GTGTAACAATCTTTGTACATCATGACAGAATTTAGTAGAAGGAGGGACAAGATAGGGGATTGGGGAAAAAAGAGATAATATTGCTGAAAGAGAGAGAAAAGAGGGTGGGCATAATGACAGCAAAAGTGAGTCATCCTGGAATGAGATGCGGAGACTCCAACATGGATTCCTACAGACTTCTACATGAGCTACTTAGTCACGTTAACATCCAGTACAGTGCATTCCAAAGGTTCACACAAGCTAGAGGAAAAGATCTGTGCTGCCAAAACAATGCCGTGTCAAGACAACAAAGATCAAAACCCGGGACTCTCAAAGAGCCACAACTAAGTGCGAATTCTACTGAATAAACACAGCAGAAGTGCTGCCAACTTCAGAATTTATAATAAGCTTCCCAATATGTGCTTTTCATTCCAATGCCTCACCAGCTGGAATGTGCATGATTCTGAAAGGTTCTTTAAGCTTGGGGGTGGAGGAAAAAAGCACCCCAAAACTATGAAAAATACTGGGGAGAGGAAGAAGAGAAGGAAGAGGAAGGGCGAGAGCGGGAGATCTAAAAATAAAGTGAACCTAGGGATGCAAAAGCCAGGAAGTGTTATTTTAGCATTCTCCCACTGATTTAAAAAAAATAAAATTACACAAACTTCTAACAGAGTCGGGGGAGGGCTTGACTGCCCCATTTCTGGCTTAATAACTCTTGAATGCTAGGCACAGATAACATGAACTTGAGAGTTCAAGGCCCTGTGAATTCTGCAATTCCCAGTATTCCCACAGAATAAAAAGCACTTCAGTACCTGCAAGGCATCAAGCAATGGGAACCAGTATTTTGCAGTTAGCAGGAGGGATTGAGTAATCTCTAGCAGCTGCATCAATATTTCTGGATACAAAGAAAATGCCTCTGTGAAAGAATGAGCCTGGAAAAACAGTTCAGGAATAAATCTTCCCTAAAATGCCCAAACCAACTAATTTAAAATGAAAACATTTCTCTAGTCGCTCACAACATTGTTTGGCCACAGCTTCTCACAAGGACTCAGTGGTACCTCCATCCCAAACAAAGAACTCCAGATCCCAAGGCAATATAAAACAATAGCTTTGTTTCTAACCAAAGCAATGTTATTCCACAACATGAAATGCGAGTCCGCGCTGGAGCACTTTTGGGGAGCCTTTGAAATTGCCTCTACTTGCTGCTGCACAGCAAGGCTGAAGAGGCTCTCAAGGTCATTAAAGGAATAGTAACTGCATCAATTAAAATGGATATAGCACTGTCAAAATGTTAAAAGCACTTGTCATGCATTATTTTTATTTACATGTGCTTTATTATTCTTTATCACTATTGTAAGCACTTTGTGCATTGGGGGAATAAACAATAAATATATTCATTATTATATGATTATCATCATGATGTAATTTTTATTATGGCCTTGAAAAATAGGGGTAGTGCTATTATCCCCCCGTTATTAAGCCGAGAGAACGTAGCTTGCCTGCCTCTGGCCACCTAGTGATTTCACCCGATTCCTAGCTCTCTGGCTACCATGTCACCCCAGCTCTCAATCCAGCTCTCTGAATAATCCAGCTCTGACATTCACCCTGCCAAGAATACCTGCTGCCCGGGCTGAACAGTTTTTGCCTGATGAGCAAAGTTGGGTGTAGTTCACCACCCTGGGCATTTCTAGGAAAGATGGCATACAAGTTCTATCTTTTTAATTTCTTCAATTTAGGGAGCTGGGTGAGAGGTGAAATGATGGTAATTATGTCCAGGCATGATTGACGTAATAAAGACTGGAGGATCATGTGACTTGGACAGAATTTGACACTCTGAGCCCACTCCGTACTATCAGGCTCACTGTCTTCAGGTCTCCTGGATTTATTTATCCAAATTTAGACACTCAAGTTGCAGCAGTGAATCCTTGCCTTAAGCTCTATTGCAGCCTTTTCTTTTAAGATCAGCTCAGAATTAATACTTAACAATTTCTACGTTAGGTGGCTGTGTTTTCTGTGGGTAAGCCCCTCAAAAGTAGCACAGAAATGTCAACTGGTACGAAACATCACTTCTCACTTTCTGAAGGTCACAAGAAGCATATGACACCCATGACAGACCATCAGCACTGGCTCTTTACTGCCTTACTAGCTAAATTTAGGCTGCAGTCCTATATACACTTTCCAGGGAGTAAGTTCCACTGAATTCAAGTGGGGTTTATTTCCAGGTAGGCATGTGCAGGATCACACTGTTAATGTGTTGGGACTTATGAAGCCCTAAACAAACTGGGCCAAACATACCTGACCAACGGCCTCCATCCCTCTGCTTCATTGTAAGCTCCAATAATATTTGGAAGCACCCTCTCAAGTTTAACATTCACAGCACTCACAGAGAGGTGTTCTTAGTGGTTGCCCTTTGTCTGTGGAACACCCCTGAAGACTTAAGGGAGTCTGAGCAAGCATCCTCTCAAAGCAGTGTAAAACATTTTGATTTCACTTGGCTTTGAGTGGCCAGGGGCAGTAAACAACAATGGTTTCAAAAACTGTACATGGGTTAAAGGGTTTAATATTTTTAAGTGCCTCAAGTGCACACTAGCCATTAAGTCTCGAACTGCCATCATTCATTCATTCATTCATTCATTCATTCACTTTTTACCAATGATCCAGATCAGAGGTCAGCAAACTTTTTCAGCCAGGGTGTCCGGTCCACTGTCCCTCAGACCTTGTGGGGGGCTGGACTATATTTTGAGGGGGGGAAATAATGAACGAATTCCTATGCCCCACAAATAACCCAGAGATGCATTTTAAATAAAAGCACACATTCTACTCATGTAAAAACACGCTGATTCCCGGACTGTCTGCAGGCTGGATTTAGAAGGCGATTGGGCCAGATCCGTCCCCCGGGCCTTAGTTTGCCCACCCATGATCCAGATGATGCATTCTACTTCTCTTGTGTTGTCTGTTTCCTCCAGACCTGATTTGTGGTGATTCTCTTCATTTAGAAAATGATAATAAAAGAACTTAACACTAGCTTTCTTTCAGCAAGCACAGCTCTATTGAGACTTCTCACACCATTGTGCTTTTAATTAGAAACTTCTTCCTTGCAGCTTTTGCCTCTAATTGCTTACTGTTCAATATGGTCTGGGCATTATTGATTCATTTGCCCTTTAATTAAATCAGTTCCTGCTCCCCACCAGTGGACATTTTAGATACTGTTTTCCTCCCCTTAATATTTCTTTTACTTTTTTAATTGCAAAACAGCTCTATTTCAGAAAGAAAGAAAGAATGAAGGAAAACAGATATTAAAGTCCCCAAGCCTGTTGGAGGAAAGGCACTGACTGATTAAGGAGTCATTCATCAGCAAAGCCAAGGCTCATAAAAAAAACCATAAAGCAACTGGAGATTTAAACTACAAAGTGGAAGCTTCTAATTAAAGTCACATGGGATCTTTGAGTAATAGGACTTACTTCTGAGTAAATATCTTAGATATTTGGGACGTCATCATAGGGATGGGCATGGCAATTAATATAGTTAGTACCAGGTATAATTACCACTTTAATTCTGTTTCCAGCTAATTTCAGAAAGGCAGTACTTCAGCACCTTTAAATAAAACTAATATGGATGTAACCAAACATACAAATAACATTTAGTCATCAGAATGTTATTCTGAATGTCATCCTTTTCTTGCCATTTTGCTGTACTATAAATACTCAGTTCTTCTTCACTGTATGGACCACACCACACCATTAGTAAAGCTGTTGCACTTTTCCCCATTGCACCTTCCCATAGCCCTTATGGCTTGGCTACCAAGGATAACTTTGTCAAAGGTGGACTGTCCTTAATACCAAAGGGGATGTGTGACATATGACATTAAGGACTTATTTCAAGACTTTTAGAATACTGTATAACATCCTAGAAAGGAAAATTATTAGCTAAAAGGACGTAACATTGAAATCAAGCTAACAACAGGGCCTTTCATTCTCAAAAGTCATCTGTGCCACACAAACACTTCCCATCAGATGTTGTGATGGGGGTAATTCAGCACTGCAGGCTTGTTAGTAATTATTTCTCAGTGAGAATAATCAAAGGTGTTACCCCAATAAAAACAAGACAACTGCTGAGACTCTTAATGAGAAACAAAAAAGTTTAGGAAACACTGACCTAATTGGAATAGAATGCATAAAGCTCAAACTGGTTCCTGCCAACTCTGCAGTTCGCCAACACACTATGCAAACCAAGAGTTCAGGCAGAAGCCTATTCACACAATCAGCATGCTGCAGTTAACTGTACGATGCTAAAAATGGAAGTGGATTCTGACAATAATTGCCAGTAGTTCAGTGGAGTTCAATTGTAAACAACACCATATTAGCTGTCAGGTGGAAATTCTGCACATGACATTCCCAGGTGTGTAACCACAGATCTAGGGTAATAGATTTATTTAAAGGTGCGGGTTAGGATGATCATGTGGCTGAACTGATAAAGAGTGTGAAAACATTTTGTATGAATCACCTCTCTGAAACCAACCCCAAAGTGACACAGATATTTTGCATTCAGTCTCTTTGCACAACATTCCACAGAAGAGGAATCCTTCCCCCACTCCATCAGAAACTTCAAAACTGGGTGTGGGGGCGGTATATAGGGAAAGAAAAGAGATGGCATAAGTAGCACAATGTTTTGTGGCAGTCAGCCAATGGAAGAGAAATAAACTGTAATAAAATTAGAAGCATAGCATAAACACCCATTGCTTCTTTGAAATTCATTCCAAGACAAAGATGTTAACTTTGGCAATGCTTGGATAGCCATGCCATGCCAACAGAGATATCAAGATTGAGGCTGAACATAGTGGAATTGGTCCAGAGAGGGACTGAAGACAGCTGACGAAGAGGTGTGTGCTGGAGGAGAGAGGAAGGAAAAAAACAGTGGAGAGCAATGGAGGGGAGGAGAACAGCGGGAGGGGGTCAGAAGCAAAGAGGTATCAGGGAGACAGAAAGAGAAGTGCAAAAAAGAGTGGAGTGCTGAAACAGGCAGAGGAAAAAGACGTTTATATACATATATATCTCAACATGAATGCCTGAGAACATTGCTTCCTTTCACCAGGTGTTATAATTTTGTTTACAATACTCTTTAAAAATAGCCCCTGATGCCGCCCAAGAGCTTTGGTCTCCTGCTTTTGGAGAAACCTCCCTGAGAATTTGTGCCCCCCTCCCCACATTCCTTCTTTCTTACTCCCTTCTTAGACATGCTTTTATTGCTTAGATTTAATACAAATCTAGCCCGACAGCCCCCACAAGAATGAACCTGCCACCTTCCGAAATGGGGGGCAAGTCCTGTGACTGCCACCCATCCACCCAAGACCCACAAGAAGTCTGCAGTGGCCCAGGTCATACCAGTTTTGCTTCTGTGCCCTTTTAAGGGAATAAAAAGTCAGGAAAAGCAGCAGGGCAAGGCACAAGGCTCCTTTCCCACCATACAAAGACTGGAGGCAAAGCTCTTTCCTGGACCGGGAGCTCTCTGCACAAACAAAGCTTTCGCATGAGCTTCTTCTCAAACCTGACAGCTGGACGGAGCAGTCCAAAGGACGTTTCTCTCTCCAAGTCTAATTCCAGTAGTAGGATAAAAAATCCTGGGATGAAAGAAGATGTTACATTCACACACTCAACTCTGTAGCCCTCCGGGGCTCAGAGTTCAAGGTGGGTAAGAATAGGTAGGAAGGGGAGAGAACAAGATGGCTTTATCCTGACTTGTCGAGACTCATTGTAGCATACCAGACAACCAGAAAGGAATCGCCCAAAGATACACCAGACTCTCAGAGCAGCACAGGAAAGTCACTTCAAGTCTTCGGCTGGCAGAATTTTGCAGGAAGCCCAAGGAGGTGATTACTGCCCAGAGAGAGGCAGATTGTACTTTTCCACCAGGATGTGACCATTGCCCATATCTTGAGCGAGGGTCAAAAGGACTAACATTTCAAAGATTTGATGCAAAGAAATGATCCATCATGAGAATAATTTTTCCTATACAGTACCTCCTATTCCCATCCCTTGTGTCCTAGGACTCGGTAGGGTGCTTACAAGTTACCCATAGTGCATTACAGCTATATGGGCTAGGGTCAAGCATGGCTCCACATAGAAAAAAGACAGCAAGCCTTCTGATGAGTTGCTGTCATGTGTTCTTTACAAGGGATCGTCAAGGTCCCATCAACCTGCCTCAGAGATGGTGGCTCCTCCTGAGCCTAGTGCATGCCCAGCTCCTAATACCCTGTCAAGCAGTAGAGCCAAAAGCCTACCAACATCCATCAGATTTTTATTTTTACAGCAGCAGCCATGTTAATTGTTGTAGCCTTTCATGTCTCCTCTGGAGAACATTCCTGGGCACAGTAACTTCCCTCTCCATCATCCAACATGGAGGAGTCATTTTTCATCTGGGCCTGCAGAACTTCAGATTCATTCTCCTCCTGCTCTTCTTCTTCTTCCTGCTCCCGAAGGGCCTGGAGACGTTCCTCCCTAGCCTCCAGAAACTCCTGAGCCCCTTCGCCCACTACCAGGACTGTGTCAGCCACATTGGGTGGTGCTTCCACTGGATTGTGGTCGTAGGAGAAGAGCCGAAGCCTCCGCAGGTGGCTCAGGTCAGGGAATTCAGTCAGCTTGTTGCGGTCAAGGTCGAGGATGTGAAGCTGCGTCATGCGGAGCAAAGACTTGGGGAACTCCTCAAAGCGGTTCCCATACAGCCAGAGCCCACGAAGTCCCCTCATGCGTGGCAGGCCATTGGGCAGTGTTTTGAGCCGGTTGTCTCCCATCTGCAGGGACTGCAGCCAAGGCATCTGAAGCAAAACCCGAGGGAAGTGGTACAAGTAGTTGCTCTCGATCCACAGGCAACGGAGAGTGGTGAGCTGGCAGAATTCTGCGGGAAGCCCAAAGAGGCGGTTGCTGCCCAGATAGAGGCGGGTCAGGTTGGGCAGGCGACACAGGGCCTCGGGCACTTCCTCCAGCTTGTTGAAGTCCAGGGCCAGGATACGCAGCTCCTGCAGCCCTTCGATCTCCTCAGGCAGCTCCGTTATCCCCGTGCCACTGATGTACAGCTTCTGCAGGGTGCCCAGGGCACAGACTGGCAAGGGCAGTTTCTTCAAGTGGCGCCCCGAGAGCTCCAGCATCTGATCCCCGCCGCTCAGCTGCTCTTCGGCAGCTGAGGGCAGCCGCTCCTCCCTCCCCGAGGACCCGCCACTGCCCATCCTCATAGCCAAGGCAGGCTGCTGCCAGCAGGACTAAGGCCACCACCTCTGCCCGGTGGGCTCCAAGGAGACATGGCAACCACCGAGGTCCCTGCCCACCACCAGGCTGGCCTGCCGGGGTTAGGACCAGGGCTCGCTGGATGATGGTTCCCCCTGCCAGGGCTGGAACTGATGCTGCCGCCGCCACCTCCTGCTGCTCCTCGTCCCTCAGAACACCTTCCCTGCCCTCGGAGCTGGGCCTCCTCCGGAGTCTGGTGGCGGCCCCCTGTGCTCCTGGGACCTCGAGGGCGGGAGAGGAGCTTCTTGGCGCGTGGGGCGGACGAAACTCCCGCTCCAGAGCTGCTCGCTTGCTTGCTTGCTTGCCGCCTGCTTCTCCTCGAGGGCAACCGGGACCGAGCAGCCGCTCCAGCCCTCAGCAGGGACCCCGCTCGCGTGGCCCCGTCGCGCGTCCGTCCAGACAGGCGCTGACCTCGGCCCTCCCGGCTTCTCGCTCCGGGGCTCCCTGCTAGGTCTGAGCTCGGCTCCCACACACACGAGCCCGGCGCCTAGCGACTCGTCGCCATGGAAACCCCCACGCGGGATCGCCCGCCTATAGCAGAGCTCGACGCTTCGGACGGGGCGGGACTACGCTCTTGTTTGCCGCCGCCGCCCCCCCTTCCCGCGACACAGAACACACAGCCTGCGAAGAGTGGAGGAGTTTTACTGGGCTGTGAGGGCTGAGGGGCGGGAAGGGGGGCGCGAGAAGCCACGCCTCGTGGCCCAGGCCCTCGTGGCTCCTTTAACGGCTGCCGGGGTGGCAGGCCCCGCCCCTCGCTCGCTCGCTCGCTCGCCCGCAGCTGCGGCAGCCTCGTGCCGGCTACACGCCCCCTTCGGCTCCCTCCTCTCCACGCCCTACAAGCCCCACTCGGCTCAGCCATAGACAGCACCGCCTCACATGTGGCTCCCGCCCCTTTAAACTGCTGCGCTAAGAGGTGGCAATTCAACAGGTGCAGGTTGGTCTTTGCTTCGACTCCCGCCCCGCCCCCACCCGCGACTAGGAGATGCAGGGACGTGGAGGAGATTCCGCCCCCCCCGCCGAGGTCCATTTCTGCGTGTGGCGCCCGAAAGGTACAGAAGCCCAGAAGGAGAGTCCCGGGTGAGAGAGGACGAGGCATGGGCGTAACCAGGAGCGGGGAGCAGAGTTATCTGCGATGCAATTTATATTTTTATTATCAGCTGCAGCTGCGCCCCCCTGGCTACGCCCATGTGACGAGGGGCTGCAAAAGGGCGGGAGTGGGAAGCAGCGGCAGCAGCAGCAACAACCACAGTGGGGACGACGGCCGATTTCCCCTCAGCACCCAAAGTCCACACTGCAAAGCGAAAAGGCTTCCCAGTAATCTTGCTGCCACAGATTCCCTACACCCGAGAGAACAGAGAGAAGGCACACACGGGTGTTACTACTGCAAGGTAGCATCTGTTGGTTGAAAACTAACAGCACCCAGTCACATGGGAGCAAGCCCCATTGGGTCCACTGAGGCTTACTTTTGAGTAAGCAGACTTATCAGACTTACTCTTTTTTAAAGAGCTTGATCCTTGTAACAACTGAAAGACTGCTCTCCACATTTTACAGCTGAGAAACTGAGGGCCCATTGTCACAGCTGCTTGCTGGATAGTATCCACGGCCTGCAGTGATTTGCAGCTGTGGTGCCATGTGCCGAAGTTGTGGTGCAAAAGCCACAAGAGTAGATGCAGAACTCTGCATGAGCTGGTTTTAAAGGCACTGCTGGCAAAAGTAGCTTTTTGAGTACTTCAACAATCTATAAAAAGCGAATCCACACAGACTTCTTGTGCGCATTTGGCACTGATTGTCGTATTACGTCAGTTCGTCGCATCTGCTGCTGGAAGTCAGTGCAACAAATACAGTATCAGGTTAGGAGGCAAACCATTAAAAGGTACAACAGTTGTATGAAGACTCTGGCCTCTGGTTATATAAAATCAGTGTTTAGTATAGAAAACACTAGATTTCATTCAGTTAACACACAGAAGTAAGTCTGTGAACCAAGAGCTAAACATTTACATTCAGGCAGCTGAAGACTGGCTATTTAAGTGAGGAGAACTTGCTTCAGGAATCTTGGTGACTTCAAATTTCTAAGCTGCCACATAGAACTGATTATTGTGTGAAAAGAATCCCTTTGCATGACTGTTCAAAATAATAATATAGATTTGCTCCCTTACATGCCACTGGTTTCTAATCTGGTGCATAGACTAGCAAAGCACCCTAAATCTACACCCTAAATCAGCCTTCTGCCCTTGAAGTAAACTTTAAGATACAGAAACACTCATATTAAAGAGGATGTTTAAACATGAGTTATAGGAGTAAATATGTGGCCATAGCCACATTGTGTAGAAAAGAATTCCTGCACCTGCCTAAAATGCATAAATTACAAATCCCATCCTTAAAATAGAGGCTAACATTTATGATAATTGCACATTCAGAGGATGAGAAAAATAAGGCTCTTTCAGATCCTGGTCTAGCTCCCATAAAAATGAGCAGTTGTTTTTCCATTATTTGCAGGCACATCAGAACCTCAGAGTTCTATACACAGAGTTTGCTTAGCACACAGTCAGATCAGTACTGCCTTATTCCCCATGAACTATATTAATGTATCCCCATTGGTAGGCTTGTTATTTCAGTACCAACTCCCCCTCAGTCATATATCTATATCTATATCTCCATCGTCATGAGTGACACTCACTCTGAATTATTCTCACTCCAGATGGTTGTAAAGGTGATGGGGATTCTTTTTCCAGAGCTATATGTAGACTTCTCTGCCTTCTGCAGACATAGTTACCAGCTGATGTTGCAGATCTGATTCATATATTCATACCCATTTTAAACTTCCCTCTAGTATAGTAGAGTCCATGGCTAAGTGGTAGAGCATCTGTTTTGCATGGCAAGGATCCCAGGTTAAATTGCCAGCATCTCCAGGTGAGGCTGGGAGATACTTCTGACTGCAACCACGGAGGGCTGCCACCAGTCCATGTAGACACTATTGAGCTAGATGGACCAAGTGTAAGGCAGCTTCTATATTTCCTGTGTATAGCTAACCATGAAGCAGTAGCCCATTTTTCAGGAAATTGCCACCATTGTCATCCAGTACACCACATACAGTGGAATGGAGAACCCTTTTGGCCCAGTGTGTCCAGATCTGTACCTCTGCTGCTCCCCCTTGCGCGCGCGCACACACACACACACACACACACACACATAGCAGCAGCAGCAGCATATGTTATATAGGCTTCTACAAATGTGGAAGACACTCCTCCCCACCCACCCACAAGTGTGTAGAACAAAACACAATTTGGGACAAGAACCCCTTACTCACTCAAAGTTGAAGACAAGAAACAGCATGGGCTGCCTATCTTCAGAAAATGCAACTAATCCATCTGGGGAAATATAAACACAGATATTCAGTGGGAGGGAGAGAGCAGAGAGGGAGGCTCAGGCAGCACATTAGATATGTAAGAGAACAGCCTAGAAGAGAGTGCAGTTCTGCAGGGTATATGCAAAGTGAAGATGTCGGGGTTATGAAAGAGGGAGGAGATGATCCTCGTGTACAGGACTCTTCTAGTCATGTGCTGGCTGACAAGTGAGAGGATGACGTTGAAAGCAAAACAAAACCCAAGCCCAGAAATGATCAAATAGCAGAAGGAAATGGTTTTTAAAGGCGAGCTTCTAATGGAGTTAGCCCCGCATAGCTTCACTAGGCTAGGAAAGAGGGGGCATCAGATAACAATCTAAAAATTTCAAAGAAGTTAAACTATGGATGGCTGGGAGAAAGTTTTGGAGCAAAAAGTTAAAAGTAAGGAAACATTTTATTGGCACTCAGAGGCATCAGGCTAATGAAAACCTTTGCTTGCAATATTACAGTCACACCATGAGGCCACAGAGAGAACCCAATAGTACCCTTAATGAACTAAGGATTTAAATTAAATTGCTTTTTTACTGCTTTCTTTTCCCATCCCAAAAGCTGTCCTAAAAGCTGTTTAATTCTATATACACACATGCAAAAACCAGCCATTCCTTTTGCCCCATTTTTGAATCATCTTGGCTTGCATTAAACTCTTTCATTATCAAGCAACAAATGCATTCCATGCACCAACTAAGTTCAAGGAGAGTTCTACCTAGGTCCTAGGACAACAACATGCTGAGGTGTGTATGTGGCAGAACCATCTCAGTTTCCTCCTAGTTTGAAGAAGAGATCAGACATGCTGTCACATTCCAAGGCACAATGAGAAACTGATCTGATGCCAGATATCATTACGCTGAGCTTAAAGCTGCAACGTGTGTGGTACATTTGAGAGAAGTATTTCTTTTCAGTGTTGGAGCAGCCTGTGCCACCAGCTCATGAAACATTGACTAGGAGTGAAAACTCATCCACAGAGAGAAATGTGAGAAATGGAAAAAGGAAAGCAGTACGCTGTGACTCCTATTAATACTGGGCAGAAAACTGAGAACCAGAGCAGAAATGGTGTGCATTGCACCTGAAGGAAAAGAGAAATCAAGGTGTCAGTTCCATGCTGAAAAGGGGAAGGGAGACTGCGTTCATGTAACAGTGAGGAGGGAGGGTACAGAGTGTGTGTGTTGTCTTTACTATTCCTGGCCACAGGAGAAATATGCTTTTCATATGGGTCACACAATTAAAGGATACAGGGAATTCCAGCTCCGCATGCACCTCCCACTACTTCACACCATACAATGCTCCCCAACTGTGTGAATGTTTATTGCACAATGCATGAAAGAAGCTGTACCCTACTAGCTATGTAGGTGGGTGAATTTGGGTTTCACAGTACAAGGACATATGGGAACCCATACTATATGGTGTTATATCACACCCTGCAGGGGACAAAAGATCCTACTGTTTCAGTGTTCTGTGTGTGTGTTTCTAACTCTATACCACGATCAGAAAGATAAAATATATTTGCTGCCACAAGGCAAATGTTAACTAGCATACTGAGAACAACATGCTAGTGGTACTGGTATGGGGACATTGTACCAGATAACAGCATGAAATGAGTCTGATTGCAGTCTCAGCAGAGTGACACACAACCTTTATTATACTACAGTTGTTGGGAACTGAAGAAGTCCAGTGTACACATAGCAGGGTTGTTGGAAGAGTGCAACAGAAAGATGTCCTAGATGTATATGAAGGAGATATTTGTGCTTTTGCAACACAAGACATTGTGTTTCAAGGTCACAGCATTCACCCACCCATTGTATTAGTGGAATATTTATACCATATACTAATTCTAGGAAAGACAAGTGTTGAGAAGTTTAGAAGTTGAAGAATAAATGTAGTTCACCAGACTCTTCATGAAAGTCATATCCATCTCTGCTTCCAGGGGTCTTTCTATATCCATACCAGCAATATATTGTCTGAATTTATTTAAAACTATACAACCTTTAACAGTAAAATATGAATGATGTGACAGCGCTATCACTGTTGCTCCTTTCTTAGCATGCGGGATATTGTTCTGAGGCCCAAAGATGTCAGTGTGGGGTCCAGTTTGGAACAGAGGCTGTAAAGAGGCAGAAAGACTAAAATCAATCACTAGTCTAAGCTTTAATGTTAGACTAACGTGTGTGTGTGTAAACGGCATAGAGGTTTTAGATACAATCAAGCAATATACCAGTTTCGTTGAATAAATAGCCTTAACAGGTTAATGTTGAAAGGCAGAGAGAATGGAAGTGAAAAATGTCCGCATTTGTCTTCCCCAGCAAAAATAACCCATGGCAAATTTCCAGGACATTTCTGTGTATGGAAAAGTGCAGTTGGTTCTATGAAATTTTACTTTTCAGAGGAGAAAAAAAGTGCTGGAGTTGTCTGTATGTATTCCTGGAATTCATCCATAAAACCGTAGGTGTTTCCAGTCTGTCACTATTTTCAGGTGGGATCCAATCATATACCAGAAAATTCAGATTGCATGCATATAGTTGATTGGGAGGTCTTACACAAGAAACCTGCTTCCCCAAAAGATCAGACATTTTACAATAAGAAAAGTGATGAGGGAAAATGTTCTGGAAACTGGGATAACAGTTGCTTGGATGCAATGTCATCTAACCTCTCAATGAACACCAGAGTGAAAGCTCATTAAATAACTAATGTTTACTAATCTCCCTGCAAACAAATCAGAATGAGTGCCCAATAAAAAGGCCGTCTGGTTTGATTAAACCTGAGAAGCTCTAGACTCCAGTTTCCAAACAGTGGCCAAATTAAAACAGCATAACACACAATATTGCCCTTTTGACTCTGCAGGTACCTCTCAGGTGCTCGATACTGCCAGCCTACTGTCCAATGATGCAATGGGTTATGTCACTTACTTAGTTGGGCACAGTCGTCTGATGGAGAGCAGCAAAGCGGCGGTCATGGGGAGAATCACGATAGAATGGATCAACTGTTGTAATTGTCCTGAAATGTAGGAGGAGAAAGAATTACAAAAGAAAGGTCAGTTGGGGAAAACAGGGGATTGAAAGAGGAATCATACAGTAAAGGAAGGTCAGAGAAGAAGAGCTACAACAAATCCAAGATTACCTGCCAACATGAGGATGGATTGTCCTCAAGGTCTCTGTGGCATTGGGGTCAGTGCCTAAGTCAGTGGCATGGTTGTTAGTAGCAAAACCACCAGGCTGCTGTGGCTGGATCCCTCCTCGTGTCCAGCCTTCCCTATCCACTCCCTTTGGAATGTTTTCATAAAACCTGATTGAGAGAAAGGATGAATTATTCCACGTGTAGTCGAACTCACCTGCTGCCTCCGTTCTCCCTCAAACAAAATCAGGTGTGTGTATATATCCTGCAAACAATGCACTTCTACAAGTATCTGTTTCAGTACACGCCATCCACACAAACAGGCCCAACAGCTGCACAAACCTTTGCTGTTCCAGTACTCCCACAATGCACTCTCTAAAGCCACTGCATGAAAAATACCTGAAGGATAAAGGACCTGCAAGGCTTTTATGCAGATAGGACAGGGGTCAGCAAACTTACCGTGCCTCGGGCCAGTGTCTCCAGCGCTGATCACGCGGCAAGCGAGGGAGCGCGTGCACACATGCTATTTCCAGCGCACTTCCAGGTTGGAGGAGCACCGGAAATAGCTTGTGTGCATGTGCATGGGCCTCCTCCAACCTGGATGTGCTCTGGAAATAACGCGCATGCACACAAGTTATTTCTGGTGCTCCAACCCAGAAGTGGGCAGCCACGCAGCACAGCGCCGGTAAGAGTGGGCAGCAGGGGTCACCGCGGGCTGGATAAACGGGTCCCTCAGGCCTTATCCGGCCCGCGGGCCTTAGTCTGGGGACTCCTGAGATAGGAAAATGGTACCTGAACAACAAGACATAGCCTGGGAATGTTACTTCTCCCAACACAGGTGGCCAACCAGTGTCAAACTTACTTGGAGTTATAGCTAGTCAGGAATCTGTTGGGCAGATCTGGATCATGTGCAGGTGTCACATATTTAAGGTTATTGAGGCTGAATCCTGATGGTTCCTGCATAGAGAGGTCCATGAAAAGAGTAAGGGTCTAGTACCATAGGAGCAGAGCAAAGTGCCCAACAGATTATGAAGACGTAAGGCCTTAAGACTGTAGTTCAGGCATACCTTGTGACCCACTTGTTCCCGACCTAGAAGATTGTTCTGTGTCTGAGGTTGATGCTGAAGCCCTTGGAACTGAGAGTGGCTCAGGGGACCTGGTGCCTCTACATCTGGTGGAACCGTCTGTGGAGATTGAAGGTCATGAGTGAAGGAACCATTGTGGGCAGTGGAGGCTGGTCCATTAAGGCCCCACCAACCTTGCCTGCCTCCTCACAATCAGTCCATGGGGAGGCAATGACTGTCAGCTTCTTCCTCCTTTGTCTCAGCTTGCCTGTCATTGGCTCTTGACTACCGCCTACTGTTGGCCTCCTGGCCTTCCTCCCCACCAATCCCAACATGCCCCAGCCACCACAGGTTGTAGGAGTTACTGAAGAAAGGGAGGCAACAAGGAAGACTGGGATCAAAATGAGGAAGGTTCTGTGAGTAAGATAGCCCACGGATGGTAGTAAGAGGAACAAGCAGAGACTCAGGAGAGGCTTCTGTTTGCGGACTCTGGCAGTGGAAGACAAATCCCAGAGAAAGCAAGAAAAGGGCCTAAAGAACAAAGGCAGGTAGAAAAATAGGTCACGGCAGGCAAAGATACATGAAAATGTAGATAAAAGGAAATGAGAGGTGCTGGCAGGGAAAGAGTGGCAGAGACTTCTAGAGAGAGCAGTGAAGGGAGATTGTGTAAGTAGGGAAAGCAGTTGGCAGAGGGAATGTACTAAAGGAAGCAGGACAGGTATTCTGGTGATAATGGAGTGTCACTTACTGGGGTACGGCCAAGATTCTGCCGACTGAATCCAGATCCCCTCTCAGAACCCTTTGACAGGACTGGTAGGAACTCATCACCCTGTCGGGAGGGGGACATACTAACGGTGAGTCCATCACATGCAAACAGCCAACAAAAGAAAATACAGGAAGGGGAAAATGGCACTTTTGCCTGCTGTCAAAGCACATCCCTTCAACTGTTTTTACAGGTCTCCACCACTAACAACCCTATTACAAATGGTCTCCTTACATGTGGAAAGGAAGATGGCAGATAATCTGTCTTGGTAATGCTGACTCCTGGAGCGCTGCTCTGCAAAGCAGAAGACAAGTACTGAGACTCAGAGAGAGGAAAGTAGACAAAAGGAAGCACCGGTTCCATTACAGCTTCTACTTGGGAGCAGGCAAGCCTGTCTTAGGAGCAACTAGTTCAGCCTTCCAAGATACTGTGCTGGTTGGGACTGGCAGGAGTTTTTATCCAAAGCACCTGGAAGGCACCAGGTTGGGAAGGGTTGAACTAGTGGTATTTTGTCCTTAATTGCATGGAATCATATTCCTGCTATAGTGAAACTGCAAGGACCTATGGGCTGCACTTGAACATTCGTGGCTAAATGTACAGAGAAACTAGATTTGCTTTTGCCTTTAACCTCTCTTAAAAGCAAAGTACCCACAGACCAAAACTCAGGTACAGGAAAAGTGGAACCTGTAACAAAATATTGCAGGGTAGAATGCTCTTGTTCTGGGTTCTTACTAGCCAATAATCCCCTTCTCCAGGACACTTCGTTCCATTCCTCCCACCCTCAACAGCAAGCATTCAATGCCCACTGAGCACGCTCAGTCTTCTTGGTGCTTTTAGGTTTCTGGAAAACCTGGAAGTTCTTACAAGCCTGCTAGTACCTCTTTTGGGTATGTGCTTGGTGCCTTTTTGGCTACATAAGAATAGGCACTATCACATCATATGAATATATGAAGAGCCCTGCTGGATCAGGTCAACAGCCCATCTAGTAGGACATTCACGTTCTCACAGTGGCCAGCCAGCTGCCTGTGGGGAGCTCACAAGAAGGACATGAGTGCAATAGCACTCTTCCCACCAGTGATTTCTAGCAACAGCCATTCAGAGGCATACTGCCCCCAACAGTGGAGGTAGAACAAAGCCATTGTGGTTAGTAGCCACTTATAGCCCCATCCTCTGTGAATTTGCCTAGCCTTTTAAAGCCATCCACGTTTGTGCCCATCGCTACTTCTCGTGGGGGCAAATTCCTTAGTAAGTGAGGAGCTCAAGGGTCAGGAGAGATCGATCCACTGTTCAAACTAACAAGCAACTTGACTAGAGTAGGAGCACCATATTCCACTGGGCTCTGCAGGTTAATGCTTAATGTGACCCACGGCGAGAACAGCAGCATATACAAAGTTTACTGGAGAAACCTGAGATTTGTCCATAATGGGGTTTGCCAGGCAGCCTTCAGTAAAACCAGTCTCTTCTTTGGCTCCAATTGTCTTCTTCTGCAGGAAATCTGTATTGGGGGAGAAGAGAGATGAAGTGATAACATGAGGAAAAGGAGCACACTGAAGAAAGAAGGCAGAAGACTTCTGTAAATAGCAGTGGCGACATAACAGTACAAAAATTAGACAGCAAGCTGTTGGCTGAGGAAGGCAGAGGGCATGGGTAAGATAAGTGGTGAAAAGGTGAGAGCTGTATTTTACCCGATATTTAGCTCGAAGCATAAAAAGGTGTGTCAAACTAATAATTCCACACTCTGACCTGCAGAAACATATTTAGCAATTCCATCTCTCCAGAGAAGAACTCACATCTCCTTTCCCTGCATTATATTGCACTTTCTGACTGTGCTACCAGCCAGACTGCTGCACCACATACATTCCCGCTCCTGTTCTTGTAGCGTCTGTTTTTCCTTACCCATGTGGCCACAACTATTCCTTTCCCATGCATACAGCTTATGCATCACATCCATGCAATAAAATTTGTTGCATAAAAGGTGAGGGGAATCCCTGATACTGGAAGCAAGTGGAGGGCGGGTGTCGGTCATTCACAGGTTCTACATGCCAATACTGTAATCACTGGGCTAATGGAGGTGACTAAGTGTTGTTTGTGACTGAAGGGGCAATTTCCCTTTGTGCAATTTTGTGTTTTACCCATGTCAAAAGGGCTGTGTGCTGGTGCTGGCTGTGATAGAAGATCTGATCCTGTCTGAGGGAGCCCTACAGAATGTGGCTGAAGATGTGGCCGTGAATTACTTCCAGCCCACTACGCAGAGAGCCTTGCACATTATGTGTGGCAAAGCGGGTAGACTGGGTTCAGTGATGTTCCTGCTGTCACTGTATGTTGACTGCAGTTTTCTAAAGTCCAAGCATTAGAAAGAAATGCTAATGTAGCAATTTTGGCAGTCACTGTTGATGGACTACGCTGAAATGGCAAAAATGACGGTGAAGATCAGACACCAAGATGATAAAATAATTAGGGGGAGAATTATAGAATACCTTAAAGACAACTGTAGATACTTTAAAAAGTCAGCAGGATTGTTATGACACTTATAATGTAATATGATTTAAGGTAAAAAAGGAGATAAAATGGATTAGAAAAATGTAATTAGATGCAAAAAAAAGGAGGGAATCGGAAAGGGGGGGGGGAGTCCGAGGGATCTAAGTAATCCCAGAAGCATAGAAATTGAAAATGATGTGAATGTATAAGAATATTGTTTAAAAGATGAAAATAAAATATTAAAAGAACAAACACTGTAGGATGGGAAAGGTAGGATCAATTATTATTATTATCATTATTACCAGGGCTTTTTTCAGCCGGAACTCACAGGAACTGAGTTCCAGCACCTCTCAGGTGGACACCGTTGCCATTCTAAGAGAACAAGGGAGGTGGTTCATGGTGAAAAATAGCACTGATTATTACCCACCAATCACTATGACATTTGCCAATGACACGCCCACACTACCCATGCATGAAAGGCAAGCTGCATGTAGACTGATGCCTTTCATGCATGGGTACTGTGGGAACATCAGTGGTGAATTTCATAGTGATTGGTGGGCAGTTGCAGCATTGGTGTGGGAGTGGAAGCCCTGCTGAATCAACCCAAAGGCCCATCTAGTCCAGCATCTGTTTCTCACAGCAGCCAACCTCTGGAAAGCTCACAAAGAGGACAGGAGGGAAAGAGCTTCCTCCTGCTGTTCCCTACTGGCTGGCATCCAGAGACACACTTCCTTTGCTCCTGGAGGTAATATATAGCCTTCATGAATATAGTAACCACTGAGAGCCTTATCATCTGTTGAGAGTTTTATCCTCCGTAGTTTATAATGACTCAATATATAATCTCACAATACTCAGAAGAAAGTCCTTTTGAATTCAGTGGGGCTTACACCTGGGTTAGTGGGGTTACAATTTCAGCTGTACACTTTTCTCTAAAATGCACATACCTATATTATGAAGTAATCTAATGTAGCAAGTGATGATGACCACTATAGAAAATACAGTGGTGCCTCGCAAGACAAAATTAATCCGTTCCACAAGTCTCTTCGTCTTGCGGTTTTTTCGTCTTGCGAAGCACGGCTATTAGCGGCTTAGCGGCTATTAACGGCTTAGCGGCTTTAAGAAAAAGGAAACAAACTCGCAAGAACTCACAAGACATTTCGTCTTGCGAAGCAAGCCCATAGGGAAATTTGTCTTGCGGAACGACTCAAAAAACGCAAAACCCTTTCGTCTAGCGAGTTTTTCGTCTTGCGAGGCATTCGTCTTGCGGGGCACCACTGTATGGTGATGCCTATATTTTGTCCAATATCAGAGGCAGTATGGTGCTGAATACCACTTACTGGGGATCACAAATGGGAGAGGGCTACTCATGATAGTTCAGCCAGTTGGACAGGTTTGTGGGTTCAAGCCCCATGTTGGGCAAAAGATTCCTGCATTGCAGGGGTTGGACTACATGATCCTCAGGGTCCCTTCCAACTCTGCAGTTCTGTGATTCTATGTTCTGGCTGTGAGCTTCCCATTGGCATCTAGTAGGCTGTGCTAGAATGGAAAGGGCTTTGGTCAGATTCAGCACAGCTGTTGCAAAAATGAAAATCTGCAACAGACTAGAAAGAAGGCCTCTGAACTGCAAAATTCCAAAGCAAAATTCTGAAGTGTACAGAAACATTCTTTCAGAGAGCTGCATCAATTTTTCACTGCCACCTTCAATGTGAATTTATTTTCAGACATGAGAGTGATTTGTGCATTTATATCTTGCACATGAAATGTGACAAGCTGTCCCAAGAATTCCAAGTTAGACTTCCATTATAAAATCTCTAACCTCCACCCCCCAAGTTGCAGAAGATGACTTAAATGTCAGCGTCCCCACAGGAACATTTTTAGGGGGGAAAGGCAAAAAACAAAAACCCCAATTTACATTTTAATCTAAAAATTTCTGAAGACTGTGGGTGGCAATATTGATATGTGCAGCCGTTTTGAAAAAAAGAATTCAGCTGGGAGTTATTTGTGATTTGGATCTAGTCCAGACTACTGCTTTAACTTCCTAAATATGGATTTAAAAGAATTTTAAATTCAAAGAACACGGAGGTGAGAATGACGTATTGCAGCATTACATAAATACAGAATAAGAAAACTGGACAAGCATATATCTCAGGATGCTACCTTTGTGAAAGTGGTACTATATTATATCTGGTCTATTTTTAATAGTAAAGTAACAATTTAATGCAGATCTAAGAACACTTAATTTTCTAGTAGATGGTGACCAGCTTCTTTGAATCAAACTGAATCTGTTTCTCGTGTTCCCTTTTTGTTTAAAGACTGCCTATCTCCTGAAAACCATACTGTGCCTGGATACAAAATGAAACATCTAGACTGAACAAACACAAGTGGCTTCTTAACAGAACCATGGACTTCAAGTATCCTTAGAGCAAGGATGGAGAACCTGTGGCCCTCCAGTTGTCAGACTCCAGCTCCCATCAGTCCCAGACAGAATAGCCAAAAGTCAGACTGATGTGAATTGTAGTCTGATGGCATCTGGAGGGCCCCATGACTTTGTTTACTTAGATGAGACATGTGTGCTTAGTCTTGGGCATACCTCACCAGTCATTACATCCCTGAAAAATGTCACATGAGAAACACAAGAAGCATTTATCACTTTGATGTGATGTCTAGCTGCCTAAATACCCCCTTCTAAACCAATGGTGGGGAACCTTTGGCCCTCCAAATGTTGTTGAATGACAACTCCCATCATCCCTGACCACAGTATTGGCAGGTTGATTGTTATGAATAAGCAGACAGCTCCCTTTCTTATGAGTGGAGTATCAATATTGTGCACGAGGATGAAGCTCTGTCAGCTATGAAGAACAATTACCTGGTTGTCCTGGAATGTTGAAGCGGTACTTTGAGTTGTACTCTGTGGACATGTAGTGAGGTCCCTGCAAATATGAAAACAGCAGTGGAGAGTAAGACCAAATGCTCCAGATGGAGTCTCCTACTTGCCCTGCCAGTAGGGTTTCCAATGCAGTGTTCCACATCTACTTCTCTGTTTAAGGGCAGACCAATTATTCCTAGGGTTACAGTTCTCAGCTTTCCGAAGTTATATTGCTCTCTCCCATGACTTTATCATTTATTGTTTACTATTCCTTACGCCTGGAACTCCCACCTCTCTCACTTCCTGCAAACCCTTCCTCAAAGCCCATGTTTTCTGGGAAGCACAACCCCCTGCTCCCCATACACTAAACTGTAACTAAGACTAAGCAGGTACAATTGGAATAATCTCATATTCTTCCCGTGTTTTCCTGTAGCGCCATTTCCCTCCACGTGGTCTATTCTGCCCCCATATGTCAATTTCTACATTTTAAGCAGTGATGTAGGGAAACTGGGGGTATAAAGCTTACAGCCTCTTTCAGCCAATGAAGTACCAGGGTAATGGACACAATCCTTCTTGCTCTGATTCAAGCTTTACTACCATTTGTGACAGATTAGCATTGGAGAAGTCAGAGGATAAGGAAAATAATCAAGGAGAGACTTTTCTTTGGTGGGGTTCCTATGCTGCCCTAGCAGTTTGAATAGCAAATGGTGTGTGTGTGTGTGTGTGTGTGTGTGTGTGTGTGTGTGTGTGTGTGTGTGTTTTGCATTTCTAATGAAAAGCTAAAGATTGCATTTACAAGTTGAACAGGGCTAGTGCCCCACCCATCCTGCCACTGTCACTAGTGTAGCGGTGATGGCAGCGACAGCAGCAGCGACAAGATCTTGTGCAATCTCACAAAAGTCAATTGCATGCAGTCTGCAATATCTTGCAAGAGCGCCACAAGATCTCATCAGGACCCACCACCATCTCTGATGCTTTGTGGGCACCACTGCACAACCTAAGTAAGAGAGGCTTTGACAGGGGAGGTTTCAGTGACAGGGTGGCACCTTCCTGTTTCCCTTCAGGCAGCAAAACACCCCTAAATTCAACCTATGCATCCAGCACAAGAATTGCTGAGTTCAATGGAGCTTACTCCAGGTAACTGTGTGTCGGATTGAAGTCATGCTATATGGCTGATCAGGGATGTGAACCCAGGTTTCACCAGCCAAATTCTAACATGTTAACCAATATGCCAGGTATCTTCAACCTTTTGAGTACCCAGGACCCCCTTTTAATCCAAACTTGCATCTGGGGATCCATTTCTTAAATCTCTAACATATCTTTGCATGGTAGTAGTGCTCCTGTTATGACCCACTTTTGATCAGGCCGTGCCCCATGAATGGGTCCCGACCTACCAGGTAAAGGACCAGTGTGCTATACCATCCCTTGTCAATTCACTATTCTAGGACTGCATTTTATTCTGTCACACTTTTCCCCCTCTCCCATACATACCACCTTAGGATGACATCACGCTTGTTCATAGCTCAATGATTGAAATGTTGAGTGATGACTTGTAGGTGTGAAACAACCTTCACAGATCAAAGAATGCAGACTGGAGCTTTCCTATTAGCTCACATCACCACAGACAATACTTTTCTATGGAGGCAATTCACACCTTCTGGTGCAAGTCATCAAGCAAGGAGACAGGCATATGTGAATCAAGCTTTAGATCAGGAGTGAAAATGAGGACTATGAGGATAAAATCGGATCACTTTCTATATGGAAAGGTACTTGGTTTTGCAGTAACCCAGGAAAGTCAAGCTTTTCCTGCCAATACTTTCACTGTATGCTAAAATATTGGTTTTCAACAGGTTTGCTGTGAGCAGCAGTGCAACCACAATTTTAAAAATATTTCCCCCCATTGCGGATTATGAAGACACAAGTAGGGAAAGTCATGCATAAAATGGAAACTCCCCTTTTATTTTACTGCATCTGGTGGTGGATATAAGAGCCAAACCTAGGACCCTGGATTCCACACTGGCCAACCAGATGCCTATGAGAAGCCCAACACCAGGACCTGAGTGCAACAGCACTCTCTGTATTTGTGATTCCCAGCAAATGGTATTGAGAGGCATACTGTCTCTGATAACTGAGGTAGTACATAGCCATCAGGACTGGTAGCAGCCATTGACAGCCTTATCCTCCGTGGCTTTTTCTAATCTCCTTTTGAGGCTGTCCAATTTGGCAGTCGTCACTACATCTTATACAGTAGGAGCAAGTTCAATAGCTTACGCACTGTGTGAAGAAGCCAGACGTTCTGGCCCTGAGTTCTAATGAAAACTCCCCTTTATACCTCTTCTGTGATCAGGTACTGCCTAAGCTAAAGTCAAATGAGGAAGGGCCCATTGAACTAGCAGCTGACTCACATGTCTGGCATGTTCCACATCGACAGAACCTCTTCCATACAACTTGTGCAGGTCAGGGGTATGTTTAGGCTCCAACCCTGTTATAGCTTGGGCTCCCTGGTCTGCCGTGTCAAAATGGACTTTCTTGACCTGCAAAATGAAGCCCAGCTTGCAATTTGGAAAGTTAAGTATGGATACCACAAATACCAGAACTGAAGTGATACTGTTCAGGGCTATTGTTGAGAAGGGAGGAGAAAGAACAGTCAAAAGAGAGCAGGAAAATACATATATAACATCTTGTATCTGTCCCCTTCTCAGAAGTGGTAGGGAGTCATCGTCATGGCTGAGCCCTTGATCACAGCTCTAATTAAAACATTAGGAAGCCAGTGAGGTCAGTCAGTGAAGCTACAAGGCTTCATGCTCACATATCTCATTCATTTCTTCTTTTTCCTATACATTCCAAACAAAATAATGAGAATTTCAGCTTATGTGTTTCCAACAGAATAAAGGTTTTAATCTTTCCTGTGGCAGTGAATGCTTTGAAAAACATGGTCTGAAAGCCCACAATATATAAGGCAAATCAAAAGAGAGACACTTTGCTTTTAGTATTCACACAACTGTAAAGCAGTTCTGAAATTATAGAGGAACAGGGTTTGGCAGATACTAGGGCTCAGTCCTACTGTGCACTTCCCAAGTCTCAATGCCTCACATAGCTAAACTGTTCTCAACACAGTGTCTGGGTTTAAAAGGAAGCAATCCTTGTTCAAATGCCTCTTTTCTACCACAACATGTTCCACTTGGTATATAATCCAGATCACAATCATATTGGCATGCACACACATACACCAGCAGCAGCTCTCCTTAGCTCCATCCTGCTCTTAATTAGAACAATTCATTAATGAGTCCCAGTCCTTTAGGTGCAGAACATTATTTTACTGATATGTCTAGTAAAAGCATATCCTGGTAGGTAAACAGTATATAGGCTGAAAACCCCACTAATCTGTCTCAACAAAACCCTAGGCTATCGAGCTTCACCCATGATTACTAGTCTGTGTAGCAAGCCTCATATGTGACTCAGGAATGTCCACTCTGACTCTCAAAGGCTATGAATGGATCACTAATATTAATGTACGTTATGCACTCCTGCCCCATAACCATCCATATTCCAAACTTTAACTTACTTACGTGGTGCCTTTATCTATAAATGTATCACATTACAGCACAACTTTATGGGCATTTACTCAGAAGCAAGTTCTACTGTGTTTAATGGGGCTAGTAAGCATATTTAAACTGAACATAGTGTGACTTAATTCTGAACACCAGCATTTATGGGATTGCACTGCACCTACTAACTTCTTCCTGGCTCCTTGTACCACCAAAATGTGACTCCTCTTCACATCTTGTATTTCTGAAGCTCTGTTTGTTTTGGATCCTCAGATGCACTTGCCAGATCACATCAGTTTATACATCCTGGCTTTTGTGTTTTGCCCTGCATCACAGTAGATTCTCTTAGACCTCATGGATATATAGAGAGAAGCCTGGGAATGGAATGACTCCTAAATGCTCAGAATTTAGTCTTGCAAAACATCCTCCTTCCACACATGCACTGCCACAGTTTTGTGTTGATACATCAGATTGAAATTCACAACGCAGGTGATTCATGTATGCATTATCAGTTATGGTAACTATCAGGCACATGGCCCCTTTAAGAAAAAAAGCTATGACCCAGAAAAAAGCTATGATGCAGGCTCTTGGAGAGGTGACTCAGAAGGATGGAGAAGCTGCTCAAATCAAGGCCTTGCCACTTGCTAGATGGATGTCGGACTTTGAGCTGCCTCATTGCTGAAGTTCCAAGCTCCAGCCTTCCTGAACTGAAGAAACAGCCCAAGCCATTATTAATGGCACTAGGTGATAGTTTTGGCGCATTACAAGCATGTTCAATAGCACAACAATCCACCGCGCAGAGGCAAATCCTAGGTTTGGTATACTTACCTCTTTAGTGGTGGGGAAAGAAAGAGGTTTTTCTCGAACATACCCACTCCCTGGCTGGTACACACTCCAGGGAAGAGGATATTTCCCATCTGGGAGCTCAAGAGGCTGGAAGTGCTTGGTTGTTGTCGATTCATAATTGTCCTGAAGGAGCTTCCTGGTTTCGGAGAAAAGAATAAGCATGAGAGACATAATAATAATAATAATAATAATAATAATAATAATAATAAATTATTTATACCCCACCCATCTGGCTGGGTTTCCCTAGCCACTCTGGGCGGCTTCCAACAGAATATTAAAATACAATAGTCTATTAAACATTAAAAGCTTCCCTAAATACACAGCATCTGAACTTAAGAGACACAGTGGATTTTAATCAGGTCATGCTTAGGCATGTTAGAATTGTACAGCCATGCTTTCTATCTCCTAAAGTGATGCGTTAGTCTAGGCAACCCAAAAGATCACACTGTCTTTGGCCCTTCCAGTCATCTACACTGCATTCATTATGGATACCACGGTAAAGTGCCAAATGCATTTGCCTTGCCATAGACTTTGTTATTGTGCTTTGAGGGAGTACAAGTAAAGCAAATGCAGGCATGTCACTGACTCAGAGGTGACATGAGCATTATGAGGATGTGATTATGTTTCACAGCTTTCCCCAATCTGGTACACCCAAAACGCTCTGGGCTACAGCTCCCACCTGCCAGAACCAGCACAGCCAATCATCAAGGGTGGTAAGAGCTGGAGCCCAAAACGTCTGGAGGGCAGCGGGTTGGGTGGTATGCAAACCACAAGACAGTTTCCCTGTTCTGATCCATCCCAGTTAATTTCCACAAAGTATACGACCAATACCTACCCCACAGTTGGATTATCTATTTTGTCTAGGCTTGGCTTGTAGTGGACGACGGGACGGTAATTGGTTTTATATCCTGCTCCAGAGTGGATGCTAGTCCGAGGACGAAACCCTGCTTGACCTGGCAAAGGAAAGGGAGACAATGGCAGATTTGTATTGCCTATTTATATCTTCACTTACTTACTGCATTTATAAAGCACTGTTTTCCCACTGCACACTCAATACAGTTTACAATATAAAGTAATAACTAATTGTCGATTCAGGTAGGTAGCCGTGTTGGTCTGACGCAGTCGGGGAAAAATAAATTGTCCAGTAGCACCTTATAGACCAACTAAGTTTGTTCTGGTATAAGCTTTCGTGTGCATGCACCAGAACAAACTTAGTTGGTCTATAATGTGCTACTGGACAATTTTTTTAAAACAATTTTTTTTATCTAATTGTCATGACACAGAAGGAAAGAGATGGGGAAGGAAAAGGAAAACCAAGCGAATTTGAGTATACTAACTCTTGCATGATTGGAGCGAGGTGTTACATAATGTTCAGGTAGGAAGATCACTACAGCAGAGGAGTGGAGGAGCTACATGGCAGTTGACACCAACCGAATCAAGAGAGATGCCATGGGGCAGCTGCAAATAGTGGCTGTTCCAGGAGGACAGGAGCCAAATGGTAGTTTGTCTCAGCTAGGCTGATAAAGGGGTCCTCACCTTTCCCCCTAATGCACCAGGTATGATGGCTCCAGATGGAAGCTACTCTGGTAGGAAAAAAGGCAAATAGAAATTGGTGCCAGCCAAGCTGACAGAGGAGGCCTCACTGCCATTTCTCTCTCTGCAAAAGCCACTGCAAGAATCAATTCTGAAGGATGGAAGCTTCATGCAGGTTAGAAGGTGGGAAGGGGTGGGGCTTCTCCAAGAACATTCTTGTAATCTTTGGTGCTTTGGCCTATGATAATACCTAAGCTTCAAGCTGGGGCTGGGGAACTGGTGGCTCTCCAGACATTGTTGGACTACAACTCCCATGATCCCTGGATATTGGCCATGCAAACTAGAGCTGATAGCCCAACAACATCTGGAGGGCACAGGTACCTCAGCCCTGGCTGTGGTAAGGGGTTCTGACATGAAATGTGTCTAACTCGAGGCATCCCTGTTACATGTGTGCCCAGCACATGCGTATCTACAGTGTGGTCAAATTGGGGCACGATGCTGATGTAGTAGGAAGCAGCAGCAGTAGTGGAACATGGATGGGCCTGACTCAAGTGATGCTTGTTGTTTAAACAGGGACATGTTTCACTGTTTCCAACTGAGTTAAAGTAGGAGATTACAGCACTGCAGACACTGCCTATAACAGAAGGTAAGCAGCTTGGCAACCAGGCAGGGACAAAGCACTTTGAGATAAAGAACACAACCTCTGCATAGATATGCCTGGGAGAAAAGTTATATCTCAGGTGAATTTCATTTTCTTTTTTTTCTTCTTCTTTTTTTTACAAAAGTGGAATACAGTCTTAATTTTATTTTCACTCTAAATTTAGACTCTAGATGGATACAGCATCACTCGGATCCTGTGTCCAATGGCTTTGGCAGGTAGGTTGGAGCGGAGCTTTGCCTGCACCATGCCACTGCTTCCATGGGCATGGGTCACCTTTCCCCAGATCACTCTGGTCCTGTTGGGTTTGCCGCCGGGAGTCACGGTGTTGTTTTTTGCTTTGTACACATAGGCACATTTCTTGCCCAAATAGAATTCTGTCTCATTACGGGAATAAACTCCCTCAATACATGGGAAGTAGCAGCATAAGCAAACTGCCTAGAAAACTCCATTGAGCTCAGTGGCTCCCTGAGCAAACATGTTTAGAACAGAGTTGTTTGTTCTGGGTACATTCAGATGCAACCCTCTAAAGGGCTTCTTGCTTCCACACAACCTTCCAATGCTTGCATCAAACTTTTCATCCAAACATGGTTTGTGCTTGCTTGAAAAACCAGGATCAGACAAGCCTTGGGTTTCAGTTCAGCGCACATTGTAGTTTGCTACTTAATTTCTTTTTTTGAAATCATTTTTATTTGATTTTACGAATGCAAATTAATTACAATGCCAAATACATATCCATAAAGAGATATTTCTCTGAATCTCGCAACTTCCCCCCATCCCCTCCATGGGTCCTAATGTCAAAAATCCCAACTGCATATTATTTCATAGTCTTATGTTTTATATCTATCCATATTGTCCAAAATATTTGTTACATTACAAGTGGGGTTAAAACCCTGCCAATGTTTTCATCTGCTTACAGTGGTCTCCTAAATAAATTATAAACTTTTCACATTCTTTCTTGGATTTCTTCTTGGTCTCTGAGTTTCCCGGTCAGTTTTGCCATTTCAGCGGAGTCTCACAGCTTAGTTTGCCAGTCCTCTCTGGCAGGAACTCTTTCTTCTTTCCATCTCTGGGCTAGTAGCATCCGTGCTGCTGTTGTCGCATACATGAAAAGCCTTTTCTGTTCCTTTGGAATGTCGGTACCTCATAAAAAGGCTTCTGGTTTTTTAACAAAAGTTTTCAATTTATTTTGCATGGGTTCCCAACAATCAAGGATCAAACGTTACTAAATGATGCACATGATGGGAGCTTGAATCTCATCATTTTATTGTTATTCATGTTTTTATACTGTATTTTATGCTGCTTTTATAATTATTTTAAAGTGTTTTAAATTTGTTGTTAGCCGCCCTGAGCCCGGTTTTGAACCAGGAAGGGTGGGGTATAAATAAATTATTATTATTATTATTATTATTATTATTATTATTATTGCAACAACAAGCCAGGGATTGGGATTATGCCTGAACAGCCTACTATCCTTTTGGGTAGTTAACACTTTCCTTGTTTGATATGACCAAACTAGCCACAGATAAGATAAATCCCTTCCCTTATCGAAGACGTCCTTACCATAAGCTGTGCCATAGCTGGTACAGTAGAATTTCATGGGGTCCATACACCCACCAGAGCTAGTTTTTACATAGGGAGAAACAATCCCCAGGGGGAGACGACCCATCTTCTCTGAAGATACAGAGGTGGATTTACTGATGAAAGGTTTCCCTGGAGGAATAGAAATGGAAGATGATTGACCACTAATCATTCTGGATAGCAGGAATGCTGCTCAGCCTCTGGACAAAGAAATCAGTCTGACTTGAAGCAACTGTTCATCTGCATTGTGTGCATGTCTCCTTAGAAACAGTGAGGTAACACACCCAGCATTGTGATGTCACAGACTCAGGATTTTTAAAGGGGGCTAATGATACAAACCAGGCCATTCTTGGTCTTAATACATCAGGGTCAGGTCTTAAACGCTCCTTATTGGTTGCAGGTGCACTGTGGCTCAAGTGAAGCAATAGAACCAACTCCTTCCACAAAAATGGAGATACAGTACCAGAATATACCATTTTACCTGAAGATTGTAAAAGTATTCAACCTTGCTATTCTGTTCCAATTGGCAAGTAAGACACCCTCAGGGAAATCCCTGTTGAAATGGAGGGGAACCACACAAGAGTAGGGTGGCACTTTTCCTTTTCATAGAGGCTTCTAGAGAGAAGCTTCCAGAAGGATTTGAAACACTGAAGATCAGGTAAAATGTTCAGGGATCTCCCGGTACTGGGTGGGTGGGTGTGAGTGTCCTTCCTTCTATGAATCAGGAACCAGTTCGTATGATAGTCCCCACCCCATGCTGTAGCACATGGATTCTGCACACTCCACACAAAGCACTAGCTAATCTGTACCCCTCCCACAATTTCTGCCTGTGCTTTTTCTAGAACTCTTCTATTGCATCTTTCTTGCTGTTCTTCTGCTGTCAATATATGAGTGCTTGTGGTGATTGTAGCACTGCACTATTATTAACATGTTTTCAATCTAACCACCTCATATTTACAATAACCTCTGAGTGGGAAGTTGTTATGCTCCATATTCGTTTCCAAACCTCCATTTTGTGTCCATTGGTGAGCAGCTGTGAGGAACCACTTTTTCTTATTTTTCCTTCATAAATTCAACTGCTTTGTTGTGAAGTACCACAGAGAACTTTCCATTTTAATTTTCTCCACCCTCCCAACACACCTGAAGTGCTATACATGTCTTGACAAAATAAATGGCACCTGTTAACAGGTCAGTTGAGAGGCCACCTTACTCATATACACAGCAGATTATTGTGTTCTGCAGGTGTCTCCCTCAAGTTCCAAAGATCTTAGAATCCCAGTTAACAGTAGCTCAGAGGAAGGCTTTCAGTGTTGCTGCCCCTGTTCTGTAGAATAGCATTTCTGTCAAGATATGGCAGAGGCCATTTTTTGCACATTCCAGAAACAATTGAAAATATATTTGTTTTGTTGGGGAAATTTCTCACAGACAATTTAACCAAGCTTTCCCAGCCAGCTGAAGAGGCCTCGCTCTGCCTTAGATTTAAAAGCAATATGAATGAATACCTATCTCTAGGGGTTTTTTGTATTGCTAGTTTTAAAAGCAATTTTTAGCTGTTTTTATTATATCCTCCATTGCAAGGGGTTGGACTCGAAGACCCTTGGGGTTCCTTCCAACTCTATGGAAATCCAAAACACATTTACAGTACATTATTTCCCCCAAGGAATCCTGGGAACTGTAGTTCTTTATGGATGAATTGCAGCTCCGTGAAATGGAAACTACGATTCCCAGGATTCTTTAAGGGAAGCCATGTGTGTGGCATGTGCTTTAAATACATGGTGTGCATCTACCCTAAATCATTTTGACACACACACGTAGGTGACTCATAAGTAAGTAAGTAAATAACCTCCTGGCATGCGGCAAAGCATGGCTGCCACTTGGGCGGGGGAGGGAGGCTCCAACCATCTTCTGCATCTGGCAGCCATGACCAGCAGCTCCACTACTTGGCCAGTCCTGCAGCATCTCACCCACATGGCAAGGCTCTCCTCTTTGGAGCAAGGCAGGGAGAAGGTGGAGACAACAACAACAAAATGTTGCAGATGACTCCTTCTGCTTTGAGGTATAGCATACACACAGTTTTATTGTGTTTTTGCATGGGTCGTACATTTTGTGTATTGTCTTGATGGGGGGGATGTGATAGAAAATTACTTATTGCCATTCACTGCCCCTTTTGTCAGGAACACTGACACTAAGATTTTTACCTCCTTAATAAGTTACGTGTCTAGGACACATGCCTTTTTACCATAAGAACTGCATAATTATTAACAGTGGTTACAGACGATTCTGCCCATCTGTCTAGTCTGGCTGCTGGCTCCCATGTTCCCTCCTGGCCATTGGAAGCCAGGAAACAGGACAGGTGTGCAATAGATACACCATTCCCCTCCTGCCACCATTCCCCAGCCACTCGTATTCAGAACCATCCTACCTCTGATCCTGAAGACAGGATGTAGCCATCATGACTAGATGTCAATGACAGCCTTATGCTCCATGAATTTATTTAATTCCCTTTTAAAATACATTAAATTGAGCAGCTATCACTTTCTCTTTTGGTAGTGAATTCCATAGTTTAACCATACGCAGTATGAAAAATACTCCACTTTCAGAATTACGAGTCCCGAAATGCTAGGACCATTCCCTGTAAAGCTTGTATTGGCTGCCCCTTTCCCCAGCCTTTTCCCGCTCTTCTGTATCCTTTTTTGGGCAAGGCAACCAGAACTGCACACTGTATTTTAAAGTGTGGACACACCACATATTTATATGAAGATGTTTCCTTTCGTAACAATGCAAACACTGAATTATATTTTCACGCAGCTGTCTCAACATTTGCACTGAGCATTTCCTGGTTGGTCGCCATCAGCTCAGACCCCATCAGCATATAGGATCTTTTTGCCCCAATGTGCATCACTTTACACATAGGTGGTCATTGTTCAAGCACATTGTTCAAGTTGGACTAGGAACTCGGAGACCAGGCTTGAAAACCCAGCTCAGCCATTAAGCTGACTGGAAGTCACAGCCTCAGAGTCTAACCTACCACACAGGGTTGCTGGGGATAAAATGGGGAGGAATTGATCCATGTACACTATCCTGAGCTCCTTAAGTGGAAATATGGGATATAAATGGAATAAATAAATAAACTGCATTTGCCATTTTAATGCCTATTCAGCCAGTTCCACTGGGAATCCCATTTTGTTTCTATTGACCTGAATAATTTGATGGTCTCAGAAAATATCCATCATTGTAGGAAACATTGCTGTACACACCAGACATGTGCATACACATATCTGGGAACCCAGCAAGAGAAATAAAGTGCGTACATATGTCCTTACATAGGGTTGTGCACAGAGTGTAGGGGAAAGACGTAAACCAGGTATTAAACCACATGACCACATCTAAACAGATTCTCCAAAAACAGCAATTAGCCATTGCCCCTTATCTTGCCGTTTTTCTAAAAATTAATATTTCCAATCTTCCGAGCACAGAAAAGGGGGTGGGGGGAGGACTATATAACTTAGGTACAGAAGCATAGTTCAGGGTCAGACCACGTTTTGTGTCCAAAAGATCTAAAGTTCAGTCTCTGGTAGCTCCAACCAAAAAGGTCTTAAGCTTGCAGAGTTTGGGAAATCCTTGGCTAGTCACTTCCAGTCAAAGCACTGAGCCAGTGCAGTGCAAGGGAGACCAAAGGACACTGCAGAGAAGTTTGTGAGACACCATGCTTCTTCCTCACGCAAAGCTAAATCCACCATGGACAGCAGCCTGCAGCCACCAACCCCATTTCGCCTCGCGAGGATGACATTGTCCTTACCTGTCCCAACCAACGAGGCACTGCTTGCTGGCTGATGGTAGCAAGCAGAACTAGATGTCCAGAAGGAATGAACCATTCATTTATTTAAGGAACTGAAGTTGGGAACTTGACGGACGAATGCAGAAAGCTGAAGTCTAGCAGCATGTAACCTAGCAACCAGCACCTAGCAACTAGCTCGACAACATTGCTCTCCTTCCAATGGCCTTATAGTTCAGAGGGTATTGGGAGCGACTGCAGGGGTCCTGGGCACACATGCCCAATACGTACATGAAATGGTTCTGATTATTTGGATTCCTAAATATAGCCCTCGAGCGGTTGAGGTCTGTGTGCTTCCTGAGCCATTGTCCCATTGTATTCAAGTTGAGCTACTAGATAGGAGCTGGGGAGGTGTGCTGCAGTTGAACAAGGTAGAGTCACTAGAATCAGTGCTGCCACTGCTCCCATGTCCGTAAAACATAGAACAGTACCAAGTGGGCAGAAAGGGACATGTGTAAGGCTGTGTGCCTACGAAATGTCTGCAGTCACAGCTGTGCAGTGTAATTCAAGAGTAACTTTAGATGTCCGGCGCACAACTCTTGAGAATTTAAGCCTTCACCACCATTATCCCACCTCCCAATGTTCTGCATTCGTATCTGCGAAATAATATTGAAATGTTATTGTAAAGTCTTAGCTATATGAGTTGTGGGTTTCAGATAGCTCAGTTTTGGTGCTGTTGCTTACCTAGGACTAAAGTAAGTGTATTTGTGTTATATTTTACTCATGTCATTGAATGTGGCACTGCTTGACACAGAATCTCTGCAATCTGAACTCTGACACGGAAGAGAAATCTCTGAGCATACAAAATTAAAGATATGTAAGTTACACATCACTTTTGATCAAGGCTGCATGTGAATATTTAGTACTGAGCAAACATCATCATCATGCTTATAATGACACCATGTGGTAGTTTAAAGGTAATGCCATAGACTAGGTGGCTGCAAAGAAACATGTAACCCTAAGCATGACTTTTAAAGTTCTGTGTGATAAGGGGCGGGGGGAACCAAGTCTAGGAGGGCTAAGCTGTATTTCAAATTGTCACACAGCTAGCTGGTTTTAATAGGATTTTTTTTAATAAAAAAAAGTACATGACATAGAGGGACGCGGGTAGCGCTGTGGGTAAAAGCCTCAGCGCCTAGGACTTGCCGATCGCATGGTCGGCGGTTCGAATCCCCGCGGCGGGGTGCGCTCCTGTCGTTCGGTCCCAGTGCCTGGCAAGCTAGCAGTTCAAAAGCACCCCCGGGTGCAAGTAGATAAATAGGGACCGCTTACTGGCGGGAAGGTAAACGGCGTTCCGTGTGCTGCGCTGGCTCGCCAGATGCAGCTTGTCACGCTGGCCACGTGACCCGGAAGTGTCTTCGGACAGCGCTGGCTCCCGGCCTCTAGAGTGAGATGAGCGCACAACCCTAGAGTCTGTCAAGACTGGCCCGTACAGGCAGGGGTACCTTTACCTTTAAATGACATAAACCATGTTCTGTAGAAACCCCTGGGTGTCTGAAAGTGTTACTTATGATTATTGAAGAAGTCACTGCTGGCCAGAAGAAAAAGTATTTACGTATCCTAGAACGATTTCAAACACCTGTTTTGAAAATACCTGACTCCCAGTAATTGACTGAAAAGTGGAAAAGAGGCTAACAGGGTTAGACACAAGTCACACAGTACTGTTTTCTTCTTTTTGCACCATCAACTTCTAAAAATAGAATAGCGAAAGTACATTCAGCTAGGAATGCTAGCAGTTGATTGGATATAAAAAGGAAATACAAGCAGACTGAATAAACAGTGTATGTTTTTGAAAATTTATGAACAGAGACATAGGCTGATCTATTTGCTTTTTTATTTTTAAGTATTTCACATAAAATTTTCAAATGGAAGGGTGGTCCCCTTTGGAATAAGGAATCTGGAGTGAAGAACCTTGTTTTGTCAGCAAATGGCACACATTTTTGTGTTCTGGGAAATAATAATGTTCTTGTAAGTTAAATTCTACTTTCGGCTTCTAATTTTTTGTTCTCAGTTTGTCTATGTTGAGAACTGCCCTGTGATCTTTGAATGAAAGGCAGTATAAAAATGTAATAAATCATAGAGTTGGAAGGGGCCCAAGGGTCATCTAGCCCAACCCCCTGCAATGCAAAAATCTCAGCTAAAGCATCCTTGACAGATGGCCATCCAATCTCTGTTTAAAAACCTCCAAGGAACGAGAGCCCACCACCTTCCAAGGGAGTCCGTTTCACTGTTGAGCAGCTCTTGCTGCCAGAAAGTTTTTTCGAATGTTTAGTTGGAGATATTCATTGTTTAACAGTATATTGTGTACTTCTATATTAAACTTTGCTTGGTATAGCAAGTGGGTGGGAATTATTCTACATCTGGGGGTGCGGGGGAGACAGTGTGAGTATTCACTAACTGCCAAACTCATCAAATTACAACAACTACAAAGGACAGACAGTATCCATTTAATTCAGCAGCTGCCACTATATCAGACGGTACCAAATGAGGGAAGAGGAGTGAAATGAATAGACACCAACTACCGTATTTTTCGCCCCATAGGGCACACCGGCCCATAGGGCGCACCTAGTTTTTTGGGGGGGAAATAAAGAAAAAAAAAATTATTTCCCCCACAGGCGCCCGAGCTTCCCCTGACCCCAGCCCCCAGAACAGGCTGCTCTCCGCAAGCTGTGGGAGAGCTGCGCGAAGTCACACAGCTCTCCCACGGCTTGCGGATAGCTTTCTGAAGCCTGGAGAGCAATGGGGTCGGTGCGCACCGACCCCTCTCGCTCTCCAGGCTTCAGCGAAAGCCTGCATTCGCCCCATAGGACGCACACAAATCTCCCCTTCATTTTTGGAGGGGGAAAAGTGCGTCCTATAGGGCGAAAAATACGGTATAAAGGATAGGGTCAGCAGGGGGGGAAACAATAACCATGTGTCACTGGTTTTTACTGACAAGTGCCAGCTAAAACCTTGAGTCCCAAAGTTGGATTAAGGTAGTTGGGGACCCTGGCACAATTCCCAACATATGACTCTTCCCCCCACAAAAAACACATAAAATAAGGTACCACAGAATAGGGGCTGCCGTCTACTCTATGAAGGAATTACACCCCTCTGTGCATCCACTGTCACTGAGTAGCAGTAATTACATCTGCCTGTTGCCAATGATGGAAGAGAAGGAATGTAGGGCCACTCCACTGGGACAGCTGAGAGATCAGTAGCTTTTGGCGCCTCCTCTCCTTGCATTTTCCCATCCCAGCTGGTCATTAAAGCAACTTGAAAACATGGATTTGAACCAGAGTTTGCCTATTTCCTCCTAGCTCCCTCCATTTTCCTTTGTGTCATGTATTTTTAGATTGTAAGGCTGAGGGCATATATAGTGATTTTAATGATTTGTAAGCTGCTCTGCGAGCCTTTTTCGGCTGAAGAGTGGGATTAAAAAAATCTTTAAATAATAAGCACACACACACTGCCAAGGACATACACGAGGGCAATATGCAAGGGCCAAATCTTCCATGTGCAGCTTGTTAATGTTGGCCTCATTGATCTACTGAAGATGTACTAACAAACAGCACCAATATGTACAAGTTCTGGTCTCAAAATTCCTGCAAAAATATTTGTGGCTAAGAATAATAATAAGAAGAAAGTCTTCTAGGCTAGGGACACAGGAGTTGTAGCAATTGGACAAAGGCAGTAGCAAATAAACCTATCAAGCAGAATGGAAGGAAAGTGATGGGCACACCCAACAGTGCATAGGCTGACGTAGCTGAAATCTGGTAAGTATATCCAGAACAAAGCTGCACTTGTGGGGAGGCCTGAGGCAACCCCATTGCTGTCATGTGACTGCATGGAGTCAGATCACTGCACCAACTCCAGCAATTGGCTTAAGGAAGGTACCCTCAGCATCTAAGATGTCCAGTAATGAATTAATTATATGGGGTTGCTATCCATTCATTATTGAAAATACACTTATAGCATGAAGAGTACCATAGACTTCCACAAATCTATGATTCTCAATCATTTGTTCACCTTTTGGACAGAATCATACAATACAGAAATCTGCCCAGGAATCCTAGAACTGAGCAGAATATAAAATAATACTACAGTTGTATAAGAATAATGATAATGATAATTTATTATTTATACCCCGCCCATCTGGCTGGGTTTCCCCAGCCACTCTGGGCGGCTTCCAACAGAATATTAAAAACAATACAGCGTCAGACATTAAAAACTTCCCTAAACAGGGCCGCCTTCAGTTGTCTTTTAAAAGTAAAATAGTTGTTTATTGCCTTGACATCTGTTGGGTCGTACCTTGGAAGTCGAACAGAATCAGTTCCGGAAGTCCATCCAACTTCTGAAATGTTCCACTTCCAAAGCACGGCTTCTGATTGGCTTCAGAAAGCTCCTGTAGCCAATTGGAAGCCGCAGAAGCCCTGTCAGACGTCTGGCTTCCAAAAGAACATTTGAAAACAAGAACACTCACTTTCAGTTTTCAATCGTTCAGGAGCCAAAATGTTCGACTTTTAAGGCATTCAGAAGTTGAGGTACAACTGTGATTTGTTATGTATAATTTAACAACCATGTGCATTTCTCAATGAACCAGAACACACGACAGTGCCTTTTGTTTTTATCAATCACCCTGCAGTCCTATACCAGTGGGATTGCTGAAGTGCATTCTGAGTCAGAAGAGGTACTCTGTCAACACTTCTATACCTGTCTTCTCAGAAGTGTTGCATTGAATTTAATTGGAGCTATAACCAAGTATCTAAAGGACCGCATCACTGAAGCTTTATTACAGATAAGCAAAGCATGGAAAACAGACCATTTAGGAAATATTTCACAAGAGTGGGACTCAAGAGGCCTAAATACCACAGTGTGTGCTTCTAGGTTTCAAAGGATGTCCAGAATGTATGGCCTTCTCCAGAAACCACAAGATCAGTGTGAAGCTTCAACAAGATACTCAAGATCTGGTTGTTGCAGTCTCTTTTCTCTGTTCTTGTTTTTGGTAAACTCTCTAAGCATCTCCATGACTTCATTTTCAAAGATTTCTGGAGCAGGCTTTGCTTCTTTGGGGAGAAAAAAGGAAGAAATGAAATAACAGTATAAGCTCTGCTACCAATGTCTGACGATTCTGTACACTGAGGTGCCCACCAGATGTTGGATTCCAACTCATCAGTGCCAGCCAACAAAGATAAGAGTTGTAGTCCAGCAAAATCTGGATGAAATCACATTGGCTACTCCTGCTCAGAACTACAGAGTGTACAGATCTAGTAGGTCTTCCAATATCATTTTGTCACTGGACTTAAAATTATTTGTCAAGCCCCATTTCAAAGACATCCCAGTTAGTGTGTTAAGTACAGAAAAGGAAACAAAATGGAATGCTTGCTTTGCAAACAAACGAAAGGCATTTTTTATGTGACAGGGAGCAAGAATGTTTTTGGAACTTCTTGTAAAATGGCAGTGGGAAGTCTCAGCCCGTGGCCCTAATTACCGTAGTTTTCGCTCCATTACACGCGTTTTTTTCCTCCTAGAAAGTAAGGGGAAATGTCTGTGTGTGTTACAGAGCGAATGCTTCCCTCCTCCGTGGTTTCCAGTGGGAGAAGAGCCGCTGAATGGGGAGGAGAGAGGGACAGAGTGCCTGCTTCTTTAAAGGAGCAAAGCGGGAGGGAGGAGCCGCACACGAGTGTAGCGGCTCCTGTCCGGTTGGCTCCTTTAAAGCAAGCAGGCTCTCTGTACTCTCTCATCCCCTTGCTGAAATAGCAGGAAAGATTTTCAGCTCGCTAAGGGGAGGAGGGAGAGAGCAGAACCTGCTTGCTGAAAGGAGCCTACCGGACAGGAGCCGCTTACACTCCTGTAAGCGGCTCCTGTCCGGTAGGCTCCTTTAAAGCAAGCAGGCTCTCTGCCCCATATCTCTTCTTAATGTGGATTATAAAATTTTTGCAGATATTTTGGCTAAAAGATTAAAAAAAATATTAGTGGAAGAGATACACAAAGATCAAGCAGGCTTTCTCCCGGGCAGACACTTGTCTGATAATATGAGAAACATAATTAACATTTTGGAGAAATTACAAGTGAACATTAATACCAAGGCAGTTTTGATATTTGTGGACGCGGAGAAAGCTTTCGACAACATTTCCTGGAGTTTTATGAAGAGAAACCTACAGGGGATGGGGGTTGGTCAAGGTTTTGAAAACGGTATAAGTGCAATATATTCTGAACAAAAGGCTAAACTAATTGTTAAGAATGTGGTGACGGAGGAATTTAAGATAGAGGAAGGGACACGACAAGGTTGCCCAATTTCCCCATTGCTTTTTATATCGGTCCTAGAGGTTCTTTTAAATATGATTAGAAGGAACCAATTGGTTAAGGGTATACAAGTCGGAGCTAAACAGTATAAATTGAAAGCATTTGCAGATGACTTAGTATTGACATTACAGGAGCCAGAATCTAGTACTAAAAGAGTAATAGAACTGATTCAAGAATTTGGTCAGGTTGCAGGATTTAAGTTGAATAAGTTAAAAACTAAGGTTTTAGAGAAAAATTTAACAGTGATTGAGAGAGAGAGGTTTCAGAAGGAGACAGAATTAACACTGGTTTAGAAAGTGAAATATTTGGGGGTTAACATGACTGCTAAAAATGTGAATTTATTTAAGGATAACTATGAAAAATGTTGGACTGAAGTGAAAAAAGATTTAGAAATACGGTCAAATTTGAAGCTTTCACTGCTAGGCCGTATCGCTGTGATAAAGATGAATGTATTGCCAAGAATGTTGTTTTTGTTTCAAACACTGCAAACTGTGGACAAAATGGACTGTTTCAAGAAGTGGCAGAGAGATATTTCCAGATTTGTCTGGCAGGGCAAGAAGCCTAGAATAAAATTCAAAATACTAACGGATGCAAAAGAAAGAGGTGGATTTGCCCTGCCAGACCTTAAACTTTACTATGAATCAGCCGCATTTTGTTGGCTGAGAGAATGGCTGCTTCTTGAAAACACAGACATTTTGGACTTAGAAGGTTTTAACAATGTATTTGGGTGGCATGCATATTTGTGGTATGATAAGGTCAAAGCACATAAAGCATTTAAAAACCATATTGTCAGGAAAGCATTGTTTAATGTCTGGACAAGATATAAGGATCTACTTGAAAATAAAACTCCAAGGTGGTTGTCACCGATGGAAGCGAAGGCTCTGAAAAAGCTCAATATGGAGGCCAAATGGCCGAAATATTGGGAAATTCTGGAACAAGAGGGAGATAAATTGAAATTGCAGAGCTTTGAAAAACTAAAAAATTAAGTGCGAGATTGGCTTCATTATTATCAAATAATGGAGGCATACAATCTGGACAAGAAAATTGGCTTCCAGGTGGAAAAATCAAAATTGGAAACAGAACTGTTAGAACCTAAAGTTAAGAATTTGTCAAGAATGTATAACTTGCTGTTGAAATGGAATACTCAAGATGAAACAGTGAAATCTGTTATGATTAAATGGGCACAAGATGTTGGACATAACATTATGATGGCTGACTGGGAACAGTTATGGACCACAGGTATGAAGTTCACGGCATGTAATGCCTTAAGAGAGAATATTATGAAAATGATATACAGGTGGTACATGACACTAGTCAAGCTTGAAAAAATCTATCATTTTCTGTCCCTCCAGCAAAGTTTTTCAGCTCGCTAAGGGGGGGGGGGGGAGGGAGAGAAGCAGAGCTTGCTCCACGCGTACTCTTGTCCCTTGAGTGCTTTTCCTTCCCTCCCCACTTAAAACGTGGTTACAAAGCACAGATCCACATGGATCCTCAGGATTTTTGCATTGGGCTACCCCAAACTCACCATCAGATCAGCATGAACCACAAAAATCATACATCCACTGTTTCGTGTAGAATATTTTTTTTCTTGTTCGCTGCTGCTGCACCGTGAGTGTTGGGGAAGGCCGCTCCCTCTTCAGGCTGATTCCACCTGGCCTAGGGGGCGGGGCCCAGACTCACCTTCGCCACAGCTTTGAGAAGCCTCACTGAGGCATTGGGACATCGCTGCTGCTGCACCGTGAGTGTTGGGGAAGGCCGGTCCCTCTACAGGCTGATTCCACCTGGCCTAGGGGGCGGGGCCCAGACTCACCTCCGCTACAGTTTTAAGGACACTGGTGCTGCCGCAGCAATTGTTAAAAATGTTTTTATATATTTTTTATAAGTATTTTAAAGGTGTTTTTACTTCTTACGTTATTGTACCACCGTGAACAGTGGTTTTTATCTATGTATTTTTATTTTGTTCTGTTTTATTGTGGTTTGGGGTGGGGGTTGGTTTTGCTTAGGTAGAATTGTTTTCAGTTTGGTTTGGTTTTCTATTTTGTAAATGGAGGCTTGTATGAGGCTTGGGATTGCTACCGTGGAGGGGCGAGGGAGGTATGGTGGTGGGGGGCAGATGTTATAGGCGAAGGGGATCGAGATACGGATATGCTCGTACCCCTTCCAATCTGCGCCCCATCCCGAGGGACGAGGGTAGGGTGAGCAAGGATTACTCACCTCCGTCACTGGTGTTGTGCAATGCCAGGTCTATAGGCAACAAAACCGCCACTCTGCGAGATTTCTTTACCTCGCAGGTGGTTGACCTGGTTTGTGTGACGGAGACCTGGGTACGCGAAGGGGCAACAGTTACCTTACGAGAGATGGCGCCCCCCGGGTTTCTCCGTCCTCCACCAGTCACGGACTGTGGGCCGGGGGGGGAGGGGTGGCATTATTAATCCGGGAAGATTGTCCTTTCAGGGCTCTACCATCGCCATCGATCCCTGGCATTGAATGTGTTGGCCTAGTGTGGGGCTCTGAGGTGAGCTTGGCTGTCTGGCTGGTGTACCGGCCACCTAGCGCACCAGCAGCCACCCTGTCAGGCCTACTGGAGGCGGTGGCCGGCTGGGCCTTGGAGTTCCCTAACCTATTGGTATTGGGGGACTTCAACATCCATGCTGATGCCACTCCCTCCTCACAGGCTCTGGACCTGGTGTCTTCCATGGCAACACTAGGGCTCTCCCAGTTTGTTTCAGGCCCCACACATCAAGCAGGCCACATGCTGGATTTGATCTTTGGCGTAGGTATAGATGTGATCATGTCTCCTTCAATTAAGGTGCCATGGTCTGATCACTACGCTCTGAAAGCCAGGATTGACTTTCCACCCCCACCCTGCTTAGGTGGCGAGCCGATTTGGGCTCGCCCGCAGAGGCTGATGGACCCTGATAGATTCCGTCAAGCCTTGCGGGACCTTGCTCCCCTGGCGACTCATTGACTGAGCTTGTTGAGGGCTGGAATACCCAGCTCCTGGCAGCCATAGATGAGATCGCACCTAAGCGCCCTCTGCGACTCCGCAGAAACCGGGCTCCCTGGTTTACCGAGGAGCTTCGGAAAATGAGCGGGACCTAAGACGGCTAGAGCGAGTATGGCGGGGTGCCCGTGACGGAGCCTCAAGAACATCTTATAGGGTTTTAATGAAAACCTACGAGATGGCGGTGAAGGCTGCGAAGAAGTCTTACTTCGGCCTCCATTGCATCCGCTAGCTCTCGCCCGGCGCAATTATTTAGTATAATTAGGTCTTTAACGTCCCTTGAAGGACAGCCAAATTTAAATAACAATCTGACACACAGCTGTGAGGCATTTGCGAGCTTTTGTGCGGAGAAGGTCCTGTTGCTCCGCCATGACCTCCCTGCCAATTTGGATACAATAAAGGAACTGGAGGCCCCTCGACTGTCCTCGGGTCCAGTATTGGACCACTTTGATCGGATATCCCCAGCCGATGTGGACAGACTCCTCCGAGCTGGAAAGCCCACCACCTGTCCTCTTGACCCGTGCCCGTCTTGGCTGATTAGAGCGTGTCCAGACGAGGTGCGGGCCCCCCTGGGGGGTATCATCAATTTGTCCCTTGGCACCGGGATAGTCCCAGGGGAACTGAAGGAGGCAGTGGTGCGCCCGCTCTTAAAGAAAACATCCTTAGATCCTTTAGATCTATCCAATTACCGGCCGGTTTCGAATCTTCCATTCCTGGGTAAGGTGATTGAGAGAGCGGTTGCTGAACAGCTTGGTAGGTTTCTGGATGAAACATCGGCTCTGGATCCATTCCAGTCTGGCTTCCGCGCTGGTCATGGGACCGAGACGGCTCTGGTCGCCCTAACAGATGATCTCCGCAGGCAGCTGGATCGAGGCGGGTCGGGGCTGCTGATTCTTCTAGACCTGTCAGCAGCCTTCGACATGGTTGATCACGAACTCCTGGACCACCGCCTTGCCGACGTGGGGATCCAGGGCACAGTCCTTCAATGGCTGCGCTCGTTTCTCTCCGGTCAGGGACAGAGGGTGGCGCTTGGGGGGGAATTGTCATCCCGCCACTCCTTGGTGTGTGGAGTGCCTCAGGGTGCGATACTCTCCCCGATGCTTTTTAACATCTTTATGCGCCCCCTCGCCCAGCTTGTCCGGAGTTTTGGGCTGGGTTGCCATCAGTATGCCGATGACACCCAACTCTATCTGTTGATGGATGGCCATCCTGACTCGGCCCCAGACACACTGACCAGATGTTTGGAAGCTGTGGCTGGATGGTTACGCGGAAGCCGGTTGAAGTTAAATCCTTCGAAGACAGAGGTCCTCTGGCTGGGACGGGACGATATGGGATTGTGGGCAACTCCCATCTCTTGCGGGGGTGCAATTAGTGCCAGCACCGTCCGTTAAGAGTTTGGGTGTAATCTTCGATACCCCCCTCTCTATGGAGGCGCAGATTACAGCTATAACAAAGGCGGCATTTTTTCATCTCCGCCAAGCTAAGCAGTTGGCCCCTTATCTCTCTCGCCCTGACCTAGCCACTGTGATCCACGCGACGGTCACCTCCAGACTGGATTATTGTAACTCGCTCTACTGCCCTTGAGACTGACCCAGAAACTCCAGCGGGTGCAGAATGCCGCGGCGAGACTCCTTATGGGGTCTTCGCTGCGAGATCACATTCATCCGGTACTATACCAGCTGCACTGGCTCCCGGTGGAGTACAGGATCAGGTTTAAGGTGCTGGTTTTAACCTTTAAAGCCCTATACGGCCTAGGACCCTCGTACCTACGGGACCGCCTCTCCTGGTATGCCCCACAGAGGAACCTACGGTCTGCAAATAAAAACATCCTGAAGGTCCCAGGCCTCAGAGAGGTTAGGCTGGCCTCAACTAGAGCCAGGGCTTTCTCGGCTGCGGCTCCAATCTGGTGGAACGCTCTGTCACAAGAGACTAGGGCCCTGCGGGACCTGACATCTTTCCGCAGGGCCTGCAAGACAGAGTTGTTCCACCAGGCCTTTGGTCAGGGCCCAGCCTGACTCCCACCTCCGGCAACCTGCACAGAACTTTGCTTAACGGTTGCCATTAATTTGATTTTAATTAATTTTATAATGAAATGTTTTAGAATGTTGGATTATTTGATTGTTTGATTATTTGTTTGTTGTTAGCCGCCCTGAGCCTGGCTTTGGCTGGGGAGGGCGGGATATAAATAAAATTTATTATTATTATTATTATTATTGTTTTCCTCTACAAACTACATGCATGTTATGGTCGGGTGCGTGTTATCGAGCGAAAAATACGGTAGGCTGGTGCAGGTCACATGAGGCTGTTGCCCACAACCCACAAGACGTCGTAAGTGAAATGGGGCAGGTATAGGCAAGAAAAGAACAATCAGGAGTTTAAAATGAGTTCTCAAATTATTTCTTCGAAAGAAGGGTTCTCTGTCAGCACCAATCAGCTGATTAATGCAGACAGGGAGCCCTGCTACGAGTCAGTGGCACTCCAAACAGAGCATTTTCCCCTTTGGAGAGAAAAAACAACTAGCTGTTTGGAGCAAACACTTTGAATCCTAATTGCTACCTCCAAATGGACTTCAAAGGTTCCCTGTAATGCTCGTCAGCTAATTGGTGCTGAAAGTGCATCTTCAAATAAGATTGTTGTATAGTAACCCATTTGAATGTTGATAGGTGTCATTTGATGTATTATGCCATCAGGTGACTGACAGTTGGGTGGTCCTATGCATCTGTCAAAGTTGGCCCGTGGGAAGCAGAGTATTGGCCTACTAGCCAGATCCAGTTCCCCACCCCTGCCATAAAATATATAATATACAGTGGTACCTCAGGTTACAGACGCTTCAGGTTACAGATGCTGCTAACCCAGAAATAGTACCTCGGGTTAAGAACTTTGCTTCAGGATGAGAACAGAAATTGCGCAGCAGCGGCACAGCAGCAGCAGGAGGCCCCATTAGCTAAAGTGGTGCTTCAGGTTAATAACAGTTTCAGCTTAAGAACGGACCTCCAGAACAAAGTAAGTTCTTAACCCGAGGTACCACTGTATTATCATTAACTATACAGCAGTTCTGCAACCTAAAACTATACTTGTTAAGGAGGATGTTAAGTTCTACTAAATTCAAAAAGGGCTTACTGCAAATAAAAATACATATGTTTTAAAGGTATATACATTAGTTATACTCTTGATCAGCCTGACTGCTAGAGTTGGGATGTTTATATGGTGAACATGACAATTTTTAGATGCTCATAGCTAAAACTGTATTTCGGATTGTCAGTGACAGCCTTCTAGGACAATCACACACCTTTTCAGGACAGAGGTCGAAATATTACGTGTACTGTGCTGCTGTGTGTGGTCCAGAGGGCAGCAGCATGAGAACAAGCATTTTCTGTGACGGCTCCCCACTTGTGGAATGTTCTCCCCAAAGGGGCTTGCCTGATGTCTTCATTTACATATCTTTAGGCATCAGGCAAAAACATTCCCGTTCTCCCAGGCCTTTGGCCTTTTTAACTGTGTGCAGGGGGGTTATTGTTTTTGTTTGTTACTATGTTGTTTATTTTTAAGTTTTTATATTGTGAAATGCCCTTCATAAGACACGCCCCCCAAGTCACATAAAAGCCAATAGCAAGTGACCCCAAAATACAGTGTTTTGCTTTACCTGTTGCCCAGTAGTAGATATCCCAATCATTGCTGGGCTCATTAATCAGGCGATCATAAAGATCCAGCTGTTGCTCATTCATTCGATTCAGATTCTCTTTGGCAAAGAAACTATGGGAAACAATAAAAAAGCATACTGGGAAAACCAAACTAGGTAGAAAAAAAGATACAGATACAACATTGTAATAAAGATACTACATTCCAGCTATGCAAGTGTCAGAAATTTCTGCACACCCATTCAGACAAACAAAAGGCATTGTTACAGTTCAAGGTCCAGGCAAAAGCAATGAGGAGCAGGGCTACTGAGGGGTGTGGCCTTTGGAGAAGAGTCCCAGAAGCTGGATAGAGGGGCCCAGAGGGGAGACCACATTCAGCCCCAGGTTCCCTCTACCAGATCAAGATAAACCAATGTCTGACTATATCCTTGATAACCAAGAGAAAACAGAATGGACAATCTTCTCCTTTTTCCTCTATAAGCTGATATTCACTATTTCATAACAATGCTTCCTAGCGCTGTCCTTGGATAAGGGTATTTCCAAGTGCAAGGAGAGAACAACATTTCTTTTTTTAAAAATGTAGGTTTATAAAATGATGCACAATATGGAGAAAGACAACAATGATTTTGTACTCACTGTTTTCCAGCTAAATTTCCAGTTGCATTTTATCAGTTTAAACTGCCCAGAGAACATACAGTAGTTTCATCATTCTTATCTCTGTTTTATATACATTATAAAGTGAAATAATAATAGAAAAAAATATACTAAAAGAGGGGGAGAAATACTGGAGTGTGGGAATTTTAAAGACACGATTCTTAATATGGTTACCAGGAAACAAGTCCAAGTTGAAAACAACGAGGTGGTTTAGGAAAGGCAGAACAGAAGGCGGCGGCTCACCTGAGCAGGAGGCAGTTCTCCAGCATGCCCCTCTTGCGGCTCTCGTACAGCAGCCTCGCGCGCTTCCTCGCCGGGGCTTCGTGGGGCCGGGCCTGCCAAGGCGGCAGAGGGATCTCCAGCAGATCCCGCCCGGAGTCAGAAGGAGAGTCCCCGCGGTAGCAGCACTTCGACGAGCGGAGGACGCAGGCAGGGAGCAGAAAGAGGCGCTGCGAGACAAACAGGCAGGGAAGCGGCGTAAGGCAAACAAGGGCGGCGGCAGCAGCAGCAGCGTCCGACCCACCACTCCGTTACGACGGAGCCGCTGCTGATGCGACGGTTGGGGAGTCGGACTAGGATTCGGGGAAGCCGTGACCTTGGGGGCCAGTCGCTGCCTCTCAATCTCAGCCTAGCCCACCTCGCAGGGTTGGTGTTGTGGGGATTAAACCAGGAGGACTATGCGCTCCACCCTGAGCTCCTTGGAGTAGAAGCGGGGGGCACGAATTCAACAAATGCCTACATACGTAACACGCATCTCCCTTTACTTACGCGAACGCTCAGCGCCGCCATCCTGGTTTTCTCCGCAGCCGCTCTACCCTTCGCGGCTCACCATAGACACAGAGGCCTCTACGGAAGCCTCTCAGCTTCTCCACAACGCATGCGCCCTAAAGCCACCTCTCGGCCCCCCGCGCCCGCTTCGGAAAAGCCGCCTTCGGTGAGGTGCCTTTTCTGTTTTTGTTTACTCCTGCGCGAGGCTGCAGAGCAACAGGCCGGAAGGGGCGGGCCTTGCGGAAGGGGCGGGGCTCGGCAGGGAGGAAGGGGCGGGGCAACGGGAGGAGGCGCTGGCTGGAGCGGTGAGAGGAGGGGAGGAGGAGGAGGAGGCGGCCGAGGACGAGGGGGGGGGGGGGGTTCGCGCGCGCGTTTTGGGCCTGCCTGGGATTGCTAGGCCTTGAGCGGTATAACGGGCCCCGAGCGGCGCCGGGGAGGCGGCGGAGCTTCGTGGCCGGGGTGAGCGCGGGGGAAGTGGGCAGCGGCGGCGGCGTGTCTCCGTCGCAGCGCGGGAAAAAGGAGGCGATGGCGGGCGCGAGCGTCCAGGCGCGCGCAGCTATGGCGGCCCGCGGAGGAGGGGAGGCGGGGAGGGAAGCGGCGGCGGCGGCGGCCCGGCTCTCGGGTTCTCCGCTGCCGGTGGAAGGTCCCGTCGTCCGAGTGGCACTGAGGCGGCGAGGGGGGCGGGCCGCCTCCGCGGGATCCCCGGCTGCGCGGGGCTGCGCGGGAAGGGGCCTGGGCTCTGCCGGCGGCGGCCGCGTGAGGCGGCGATCTCACTAACCTGCGTCTCCTTCCCCCTTCTCTTTGCTCTGTGACCCCCGCAGTGCGGCTCTTTCTTCTCCCCCCACCCCCGGTTCTCTCGGCGGCTCCCCTGGAGAAATATGTCGGAAGGAGTGGACCTCATCGACATCTACGCCGACGAAGAGTTTAACCAGGTGAGCGCGGCTGCGGACCCCGCTGGGTGGGCGTAAGGGCTGCGCCACCGTCTCGGCGGGATGTGGAAGGGCGGCAGGTGAGCGCTAGAAGAAGAGGCGAACTCTCCACGAGCCCCGAAACTTCGGCACGTGCTGAGGTCTCAAAAGAGAGGTTTGTCCTCAGGTGCGTTGTTAGGCTGCTGGAGCATCCTTTCCTTGCACGGTAGAAATACGAAAATCTCTGTAGAAGCAAATTCCGTTGTGTGAAAAGTTCGTTGAGTGAGAAGTGAATAGTGTTAAATCAGCGTTATAACTGGAGATTTCCTAATAAACTCCTCACATTTGCCAATTGGTGTGAATTGTTTTACTCTACAGGAAAGAAAACATCATGAACCAAATGAATGCATGTTGGAGGAAATGTTGAATCACTATTTGTGCGTGTGTGTTTTGGAATGTATGAAGTCTTCCTTTTAAAAAAAGAAATAGGAAGTTAAAGCATGATAGAAATAGAAAGTAATAGCATGTTAGTCTACGTAGTCTCTCAAGTGAGAGGTACCTTCCTGGAATCAAGTTAACATAACAGTTGAGGATGCTGAATCTTTTAGAAATATGTAACCTGGGTCAGTGAGCAGACCAAGATGGTTGGTACAGTAGCTCCTGCATATGTGATTTCAAGTTACATAGTATTCTGTCCCATTCGCCGCACCACATTGACACAAAAAAATTAAACATGGAAACTGACAGGCAATTATGCAGTTAATAACAGGGAATACTAGCACCTTCATAGGAAAAGATGCTTCAGTTTTGTGCACACATTGCTTGCAGTACATATTCTTTATAGCCTAAAAAGTGAACAGTTAAGTGATGTTAGGGGTGTAGGCGGTGTAGGTAACAGCAACTTTAGTCCACCTTACAGTTCTACTTCCTACTTTTCATGCCTGCTTATACCTAATATTTTTTGTTACAATTATAAATTGGGTCATCTTAGTTATTGAAATGACTGTGTTTAATGGGAGAAAGAAGTGGGAAGACAGGATAACCTTTTCTGTCTGATGTATTAACTTTGTGTGAGAGTGCATTGCACTAGAAATCAAATCTGGTTTGTGGTGTATATTGTTCCCTATTGATTTCAATCCTCAAGGCTTGATTACTGTAGCACACTTTGTGAGGCTACGCTTTATCTAGTCCAGAAGCTTCAATTTGTGCAGAATGCAGTGGCCAGACTGCTCAAAGGAGCAACATACTACTCTGCTGCTGAGGGAGCTGTTGTGGTTGCCTGTTTGTTACCTGCCTAGGTTCAAGGTACTTACATTAATTCACAAAACCCTAAACAGTACAGGCCTTTGCAGTACAATTTTTCTCTTTAATGATGTTTTATTGATGCTTTTTGCTGCTTTTATTTTTATATGCTGTTAACCACTTTGGTATATTTTGATGAAAGTGTGGATTATAAATACATAAATAAATAAATAGAAATAAACACCCACATGTGTTTCAAGTGTGTGTTTATATATTACTTTAAATAGAACATTAAGAAGGCTGTGCAATTCCATAAGCAGTAGGACTGGAACCAAACTTACACTGAACAGAATTATACTGTAACCACAGAAACATGGCAACCAGCAGCCAGTTTGTTCATAATAACTCCTTTAGTGGCATTGTTCAGTGGCAGTGCACAACAACCCACGCAGGAGGTCCCAAGAGCAGTCCCTGCCATCTCCAGATAGTGACTGACTGCTGTCTGAAGCCCTGGAGAACCTTTGCCAGTCAGTCTAGCAAATACTAAGCTATATGGACAGTGGTCTGACTTGCCTTAAACCAGCACCCAATATTCCTACAAACCTGGGCTGAGGAACGTATAGCTCCATATGCTTTAGGGCCCGCCCCCCCCGCTACCTTTTGTCCTGGGCCACATGGTTAGTGCTCAGGGATTATAGGCATTGTCGTTAAGCACATCTGGGGGGGGGGGGTCACAGGTTTCCTACATGTGCAATACTCATAGTCCTTACTCCAGGTAAAGATAAAGCATATAGTTTATATTGACAAGGTCCCAAGTTTGATCTTGCCTCCTCCAAGCAGCACCATTTCATCTCCATTTTGTCCCATCCTTAACTCCTGGTCACACCCATTCTTTCCTGTTGGTTGATTTATTTACTACTATGCATAAGTTTCATTTCACAAGGGTTCTAGTTTATGTTCATTATGTATCCCTGTATGTGGTTATAGCACTAGATTGATTGGTGTACAAGAGAGAATTAATACCTATATGTCAGCTTTCCTGTATCTTGGTTTGGGATGTGTAGGAACATTTCCTCTTTTGGGTTGACATTAGGGGTGCCCAGTGCTAATTCCCTCCAATGTCAGGTGTACATTCAGGTGCATTCATGTACATGCCATCTTGCATTCACAACTAGTGCAAAGGCACTTAGCTGTTTTCAGTAATTTTGAATATATGAATGCTGGTGAAACAGGGTTTCTGCTGCTGCACTAATTGTTTTTTCTGACTGCATGGATCTAGGTAATGACCACATTTCATCTCTGGGAGCATTGGATGGATGGATGCTTGTCTCTGGAAGGCATGGGGTGTATGTTAAATGTTCCACTTGATCAGGGAAAATTTATTGTATTCTGCCTATAGTACCGCATTTTTAAATATTCTGTTCCCTATCAAGAGTAAAAGAAGTATAACACGAGTATGTAATGAATTAATTTTATCAGAGGTTTTCATATTTCTACAAAAGTTTTCTAGAGTAAAGAATTGTTCTTGTAAACTTGGTAATCTGTCCTGGTGAAGGTGTTCTACCCTGAAAAAGTTTTAATTACAACAAATCACTGGTATAGATGACACCATTATAGCTTTCAGACAAATATGTTTTATATATTTATTTGAAATTCCTAGTTGTGGCAAGAGGAGAAACATAAAATATGTTGAGGACCAAATACTCTTATTCAGGTATTTGTTACATAATTCAAAAACTTTATATGACTTTTGTGCACCTTCGTTGTGTGTGCTATGTCTATTTCTTGTAGAATTTCTGCCTACCATACACTTCATTCTGTATACTGTCAGCCACTCCTCTTTAATGTGTGCTTACCCAGTCTTCACCCATATTGGCTTGTTCCCCAGTGGATAGATTTAGGTCACATTCACAGCATACTTTTAAAGTACTATGATACCACTTTAAACTGTCATGGCTTCTCCCAAAGAATTCTGGGAGCTGTCGTTTGTTAAGCATGCTGAGAATTGTCAGGAAATCCCCATTCCCCTCACAGAGCTACCATAGTTCCCACAGTGGTTTAACAATCAGCCCCTCTTCATAGGACACTCTAGGAATTGAAGTTAAGGGAGGGGAATAGGAGTCTCCTAACAACTTTCAGCACCCCAAGAGTGCTTTAAATGTATGATTTGAATGTGACCTCATCAGTGTACATGGTGAGAAAGAAAGAACAGTATTTATAGGCCTATAGTTGCTTCTTCATCATGTATTGCCAAAGATGTCGTCAGCCACACTTGATCTGTTGCAGGATAAGAAGAATAGTGAAAATGTACTCCCCATTTCTTCACTGTATACATGGATGGAGCTTCCTTGGGGGCAGGTGGAGGGGGCGTACTCTGGCTGTGGATAGCAACTTCAACTTGGATGGTGGTGTTTTGTGGTGGGTTACCGTATTTTTCGCTCTATAAGACGCACCAGACCATAAGACGCACCTAGTTTTTGGAGGAGGAAAACAAGAAAAAAAATATTCTGAATCTCAGAAGCCAGAACAACAAGTAGCGAAAGCAGCGATCCCTCTTGCTCTTCTGGCTTCTGGGATAGCTGTGCAGCCTGCATTCGCTCCATAAGACACACACACATTTCCCCTTACTTTTTAGGAGGGAAAAAGTGAGTCTTATAGAGCAAAAAATACGGTATTTGCTACTATGTATGGCTTATTCCCCACACTTCTTACCTTTCATGGGAACCTGCTTACTAGTGTGCATCTCCTTTTGTAAGTACAGGAGTTGAACTTCTTAGCTGTTTGTGTACTGAGCAATGAGACAGGCTGCTTCTGGAGAGCCTGAAAACATAGTAAACATTGGACACCTGCCCTTTCTTCCTTTCTTTTTCTTACTTGAATCTCACCCATAGCCATAGTTGTGACATCACTGGCTGCTACACAAGTGCAAAGTTGCACCTCCACAATGGTTTTGACAGATGTGAGCTATGTGCAGGTGTAAATGTTCCATTTGTATAGGAGTAGGGCTGCTTTCCATGGTGCAAAACATGTGGGTTATCAAGTGTTTTTTCCACTGGATAGCAGGGAACTGTCTTCACATTAGATGCTGAATTCCCAGTTCATTTGCCTTACCAATCTGATCAGGTTGTGTGCATAGAGCTCATATTTTTTAATACATGTATTCCAGAATAGTTTATGTACTGAGTCTTGTAACGTGTTTGGTGTGTGGCACCTTGTCATTCCATGTGCTTGTTCAAGAGTATGATGATTAGCTATGCTCTTTTTTTCAGTTGGGGGTGTACCTGAACCTCTGCTTAAGGAACATGGGAAGCTGCCTTATACTAAATCAGACCATTTGTCTCTGTAGCTCGGTATTGTCTACAGTGACTAGCAGTGGCTCTCTGAATTTTCAGATGAGGGTATCTCCCAGCCCTATCTGGTATGCCAGGGATTGACGTTTTGATATTCTGCATGCAGTGCTGATGCTCTACCTTTCAGCTATGGCCCAGTCCCAGATCCTCTCTGGAGTGGGTTCTGATGTAATGGATGCTGCTGCCCATGTTATTTCCCCTCGTTTAAAAGTAACTTGGTTCCCATAGCTTTTCAATGGGTTGTCTTTATATGCTAACCCTTTCATTTCAGAGTTCTGTCCCTGTGTGTTTTGGCAGGAGGGTTATTCACGCTTGTCTAGCGGTGGAGAGTGTATACTGTTTCCTATGAGGAAGTATGATGGTTATCAACGTACACTCATGGTCCTTGGATAGAATGCTAATGAGCAACATTTTTTCCCCATTAGTTTCCTTTTCTTCCATCTTAGCAGCATTAGGATTTGCACACCACAACTTCACTAGTGCAGTAGTATTACATGGATGTGGGAATACACCTTTGGACCCAGAGATGCAAAAGTTGCCTGTAAGCTTTCTTGTCCATAAGAGAATCCACTGAAGAACTAGAGAAGACATGACTAAATAACAAGAACGATTGGACCAAGAGCCTGTGAGCTTACTGTATGTAGGGATTCATCTGGAGGCCTTTGTCAATTTAGAGCCTTTTCAGTAGTGGCACACACCTTATTAAATACCTTACCCAATGAGATCAGTCAGGCCTTCACACTGTTTTTAAGTAGCAGGCAGAAACATGACTGTTTAAGAAGACTTTTGACTGTCTTTTCCCTACTCTCAGTTTAATTTGTTTAATGTTGTGCCTTTATGTGATTTTCAGGAATTACTTATATTCTTCGACCTGGCATGTTAACAATTGCTCATTACCACTATTTTTTAGAATTGCTGCTCTTTTATGTTTTTAGATATTGTATGAAACTTTGTTTTGGAAACCACCCTGATTCCATTTTTCCCCTTAAAGGCAGGATATAAGTTTTTACAATAAATTAATAGTTGAGCCAAGAATATAGCACTGGGTTCTAGGATCAAGTTTTGGAAATGGAAATCTCAATGTATGGAAATAGGCTAAAGATTTGAGCAAAGTTTCAGCAAACTATTTGTTTCCTCTGCAGATTCAGAGTGCAAACAAGAATGTGTTTCAGATGCAGCTTCATGAAAAACACACATTGTAGAGAATTCAAAGCCTCCGTGCCATGCAGAAGTAAAGAAGCACATACTATGGCTTGGGTCCAGAGTTCCTGCAGGCAGAACTTCGCTCAATCTGTGCTCCCATTGGAGGAAAGGAAAAGCAATCTCCACTGATGCTTCCTGCCCCCTGAAAAACTGCTCTTAGGGGAGGGTGTTAAGGAAGACCCTTTGGAACAGCATGGAAGGTGGCAGCAGGAGGAAATCTGCAAAAATGGCCATCATGGCCTCCCTCCAGCAGGAGCCATCCCTTCTACAAATGAAGGGAAACTCTTGATGAAGCCTCGTGAATTTAAATTTTGAAGAAAAGGGTCAGACTTTCCATGGAATTGAGCTTTACTCTGATTGTAAAAAGAAATAAGATAGTCATATTTCAAATTTGAAAAGGGTCCAAAGTAATGAAAAGCAAAGTATGAAGCCAGTGAAATTCCAGCTGGATATTTTCTATACGGAGCTTTTTCTTACTCCAAAGGTTTTAAAACTCACTCTGAAAACTGTTTTAACAGTTACTGATTCACTTGGAAGTACTAGGGTAGGGGTAAAACAAAAATTAACCCCAAATCTCTTCCTATGCTGCTAAAAAAGAAATTGTATGCTGTCGTGTCTTTGGTTTACCAATTGCATCTAATGGTCTTGATTCACTTTTTCAAGTTCCAATAAATATTGATTGGCAAAAAAGGAAAAAATTGAGAGCCATCTAGGATGCAGGGAGAAACTGTAAATCATCAATTCTCTATTTGTGGAATTAGAAATGAATAAACTCTGGAATTCCCTCTTGCCTTGAAAAGGGGGATATCAGCATTGTAGTCTAAAAAGAATGCAGTTTGAGTCTGAAGAGACACAAAGTGTAGCACTGTCTCCTTGGGAACCATGGCCAGTGGAAAGAGAATCTCTAGGTGTTCAAAAACTGCCCAGAAATACAGCAAATAAAATAAAAGATGTTACCTGTGTGAGACATGACCAGATAACCATGAATGTGCAGGTCTTTCTCACATGAATGCTTGCAAGCACATTTAACATGATCTTTGGAAGGTTTCAATAGCATCATCAACAGCCACTACCCTTGTTTCTGATGAGTCATCAGGAAACTACTTTGTAGTATATGTGTGGGTGGTGTTGCTGGATATGCACTGTTTTCTCCTCCCCTGTAGCTTATGTGATTCTGTCTTAGGTTCCTGGAGGCTATTGGGGACATTCTTCTGATGGTGTGGGCTTTACATTGCTTTGCAATGGCAGTCAGTATTTGCTACAAGGCTAGAGTGGTCTTGTGCCCCTACGGTCTTAGTTTAGTTGAAAGTGAGTATCACAAGCTGTACTGTGGTCTTTACTGAGGAAATCTAAATATATTTTTCTTGATGTCAGGAAGCTAACAATAAGTAAGTTTCCAATCTTCTGCTATGCAGATTTAAGAGGTATTCTAAAAATAGAATTAAGTGCTGATAGCTTGAAAATGTTGAAGTGACTTGATTTTCCTATCACCCTTTAATATCACTGCTGTTCTTAATTGATAACATTTTGTAAGCAGTAATTTTTTGTAGCATGTACCACTTTTTACTTGAAGACTTCCCAGTATTTAACTTTATAAAGATTGCCTGAAGCAGGAGCTGCTGTTATGTTTAAAATGGTCTGAAAGACCCAAGTTTCTCTTATTCTAGATAATTGGAAAGTAACAAGCATATCACTAGTTTTATGAAACCAACAAATGGTTGTGACCTTCATCCCAATATATTTACTTTAATCCAATTTAGCATACTCAGGCTAAAGCCCATTGAAAACTATGTAACAAGCTAACTGTGATTAAAAGTTTGACTGATTTCAGTGGAGTTAAGCACATCCATCTCAAATTAGACAGTGGCCATGATCCAGTACATGCCAGAATTCTGATGTTCTTTATAACATAGGCTAAATTGGATTGTTTATATCCTGCATGAGTTTTTGCAGTCTTGCTAGTTTAAAACATTGAAGAATCCTTTAGGTGGGAAGCCATACCTTACAATAATCTGTGAATTACAGTAATAGTAATATGTATTTGTTTTATTTATTCAATCTATTAGTTGCTTTTTTACCAGAGGAACACAAAGCGACTTTGAGTATATAAACAGACGCACATATTAAAACTGGCATAAAGGAAAAAAAGAAAAAATCTGAAAAATCACCCTATTTTTAAAAGGCAGTACAAGCTTTATGTTCTAGCTGCTGCTGTGTATACAAATTGGGCCAGATTATGTTGCGTGGGAATTTTATATACCACTCTACATAATACTGGAATACATATATATATATATATATATATATATATATATATATATCTCCATCCAGCTTCTAGATAACTTTAGGCTGACAGGAATTATACATATGTGTGCATAATGTGCATATTCATGTATTAGAATTCTTTTACGGTGCATTTTTTTAGCTAGCAAAGGATTGCTGTGTGAATCACAGTAGACTATAACTACATTTTCAGAAGACCAGTGAAATATCATTAGAGTTCCAATATAATTGTTTGCTTCTGATAGTGACTCTTTAAGTGTTGTGAGGATGAAATAATACTGCATGATACCTACCAGTAACTCCTCTGAAGAAAAATGTAGAGGCTGATTTCTAGTGGGGTTCGGTATAAATCTTGACACAACCTGATCACCTTTCATGAACAGCCTACAACATGATACTGCTCAAATAATCCAAAATAGGGAAAGAAACCAAGAGGCCTTTCTGCCAAGTTGAGTGGCCTCTTATAGAGGTTGGTGGTTATGCTATATGTGATAGTCTCCTTCAGTGCATATATGCAACAAGGAAATACCCCTCATTGGAGCAGTGAGGAAAATGAGGTGGGTCTGCACATAGTGTAGATTGGGGGAGGGGGGTGTAAAAATGTGGTTCGATTACCCAGTCCTCCACAAAGAATGGAGAGGCAAAACGTCTTGTGCAGTAATAGATGGCAGTGAAACATGCATTCTCCTCATCTCAGAGAAAATGATGGGGTGCTTGGGGCTACATGAAATAGCTAGTCCTGCTATACTCTTTGCTCTTCCTTGCCACTAGCAAAAAGAGCATGCTTCTTTTTGAGAAGCAGGTTTTATGTTATTACTTAAATTGTGGAATTTATTATTTGATATAGGTGTGCTACTATTCTGTTACGAAAAGAACTAATGTGGAGAATTGGCCCTGCTTTGCCTCTGCGTGTGCTCAGTGATATCTTGTGTCTTCTAGGACTCTGAGTTTAGTAATGCTGACCAGATGGATCTATATGACGACGTGCTAGCTGCCAGCTCACAACCTTCTGAAAGTTGCCCTAGCAGCTCCGAGCCACCACCCGAAAACCGGCAAGAGCAGTCTCCTAAGCCAAACAGCAAATCACCTGCTATCCTGTATACCTACAGTGGGCTGCGTAATAAGAGGGCTGCTGTTTATGTAGGCAGCTTCTCTTGGGTGAGTGCGTTCCATAATCGGAGCAGAAAGTAAAGGGCCTAACAAAAACAAAACATTTGTGTGGAAAGGCTGCATCTGCACTTTAATCTTACTACTGTTCTTTAATGTTAATAGAGTATAGTGCCCCATGTGAGTGGGTAGGTTTTATGCTGCTTGCCAGCCTCAGTCCTCACAACACATTGGGTAAATAACTAGAAGCATTGTTCGTTATGACACATTGCTCTATTTAGGACATTTTTACCCTGCTTTTCTCAAAGACTCAACAGTGGCTTCAAATAAATAAGCTGCAGCAACTGTGGATGAATTTTCTCCAGCAAGTATTCCGTACTATGCTAAAAAGCAGCACATCTCAGAGTTGGAGAATATGATGCTCTTGCATTAGCAGGGTAACTTTTAAGAGAAGAGGATTTAACACATTTAAGATACATCAGAAAATATGATAATAGTAGAATTGAGGCCCTTAAAACGCCATGATACAGACATTTTCACAAAATTTTCTGTAGCTGGCATACAGACATGAGAGTTTTCTCCTATGAATGAATCTCTTAGGACCTGAGTAAGTCATACTGGGCCTGCTGTGTCATGATTTAGGGTGTGTAGACTGATCACTGCCCTAAGTACACACAGTTCTTTTGAATACCTGTGGTATGTGTTGGGAAAGGGATTGCTGCTGCTGCTCCTTCAATTACTTAGGTCTGTCTAGAACTTTCATCTTCTAGGAAGATACATGTTCACATATGTACGCGCTCACACATCTGCAGCTCCAAAAGTGACTGTAGTGGGAGGGGTTTAATCAAGTGTTCCTTCATTAGACTATACCAGGAACAATATAGGAGATTGAGAAGGACGAGTTCTCTTACTAATATAAGATGATGTGGGTTCTCTAAAAGGTTTCACATTATAATGTAATTTTCTGCTTCTTCATACATAGTGGACAACTGACCAGCAGCTGACCCGAATAATCCGTTCTGTGGGTGTTTATGATGTGGTGGAACTCAAGTTTGCTGAGAACAGAGCCAATGGCCAGTCCAAAGGGTGAGCACTCCAAGACTGCTTCATAAAAGGACCCATCATGAGGGGCTGTTATTGTGGGAGGAATGATCTAGGGACCAGTGTGGTTGATAATGGTGTGCACATAAGTCTGGTTTTCTTGCTGTTTTTTAAGGTGGCCTTAGAAGTCCCTTTTACTGTCCGGTTTGGATGCCACTGCCTTCAAACTAAGTGACTACTTGTTATATGTGATTCAGGAAGGTGGTGGGCTCTGTCCAATTCTGCAGAGTGATCCCTTGTCAATGTGCTATTTGCTGCTGCTCTTAATAACAGCTTTAATTTGGAGGGCATGGAGCTGAAAATTCTGCACTGTTAATGACACTGTGCTTGTGGACAGCGGGGTTGGTCTGAGAAATCAATCAAATCAGGAATGAGAGAACCGTGGGCCTGTGGGCCACATCTGGCCATCAGAGGATTCCCATCCAGCCTCCACAGCCTCTTGTCCTTGGCTCCTGGGCTGGCTGTGGAGGGCAGTGTTAGAAACTGGGATAGGAATACTAGGAGCCATGTGAGTGCCAAACCAAAATGTGTAGTGGGCCATTTTTATTGCCCCCCCCACCAGACCAGGCAGCCCCACCAATAAAAATTAAAATTGCTGCTGGGTGACTCAGGACGTCTGCAGTGTAGTGTGGCAGCAAAAGACAAGTCTTTTGCTACCTCTCTACCCTGCCAAACACCTGGGCCACCTGGCAGCGGGGCAGCAGCAAAAAACAAAGACAGATGGAGATGCTAGGCACCAAAAGTGGCGCCTGGACACCTCCATCAAGTTGCAAAAGGCCAATTGCAAAATGTGACTGGTGCCCGCTAATTTCAAACCCTGGTGGAACGAGCTCTCTGTCTCCCAAGCTATCACAGAAGTGCAGCAGATTGGAGGCACAGGAACTTCATCTGGATAAGTACTGCAGTGGGAGATAAAGGGATGAAACCCCTTGCCGGAGGGGGGCACTCACATAGGAACAAATGGGAGGTTTTCCCTCAATGCATCTGTGTGTATGCGAGAGAGATAAATGTAATGAATGGTGTGAGCTCATATGTGTGAGCAGATGAGGATGGGGGGGTGAGAGAGGGAGTGGTGTGGCCCTGTCTAATTTTTCCTCCCATCCCACCCACCAATGCTATATAGCAGTGACATTTTGTAGACCTTGGGTGGGGGAAGATTTATTGTCTTGGATTAGATGGTTTTCCTTACTAGAAGTTGCTGACAGTCTTCAGTTCTTTTTCCTCTGTGACCAGGTATGCAGAAGTGGTGGTTGCCTCTGAGAACTCCGTCCACAAACTTCTGGAGCTGCTACCAGGGAAGATTCTCAATGGAGATAAAGTGGAAGTGAAGTTGGCTACCCGGCAGAACCTTGCACAGTTTGAGGCTCAGGCTCGAAAAAGTAAGTTTAGATGGGGGTTGTGTTTGCTAAGTAGGGAACAAGGCAGAAATACAGGGCATTGGTTAGGTCTTAGAGAAACCTGAGCAGAGCTTTAAGCCAGAAACAATTTGGATGTGTGTGAATATCCAGGGAGTGGCCATGTATATTTTCTTTTTCTGTTGCTGCTGAGTGACGCCTAAGTAGATTTTATTATCCCCTTCTATGTTGCATGATTTGAGGCACCCTTGAAACTGAATGGGCTTAAGCTCTTGAAGCTGTTATAGCTAGGACCACCCCCAGCTCCTCTCTGAACCTTCTCCAGAATTTGTGCAGCCCTGAAGAGGTAAGGTGCCCTGTATTGGATGCAATGCTCCAGCTGGGGCCTTACCTCTTGGTCATATAATTCATTTACTCTTATTTATAAAACACATATCCCACCCTTTCTCCCAAAGGAGCCCAGGGTGGCAAAGGAGGACCATAATAGATGGCCCTGTTTGTCAATTTCTGTGAAAGGTATGCTGTTGAATGTACTATCTGACTTAGTAAGTGGAGAAGAGGACAGTTTCCTCTGTTGTTTGCAGAATTAATCTGGACAGTTAGGATCCACCGTTTTGTATGATCCTGTCATAGTCTCAACTGAATATAGAGTTGCAGCCTTGTCAGCTTTAGCACAGCTGCGTTTTAATGGTCTCCATGTTCTGCCCTAGAAATTGACTGAATTTCAGTGCAGAAAGTCATGCTGTTCCTATGTCCCTTATCTCCACGGGGTGTCATGGTGCTGTGGTCCAGTTCTCTGTGGTAGGAAGGTCAGTCAGTGTTGCTGAATCATAAGATGAAGCAGAGCTGCTTTTAGCCCTCATCAAGCTTTTCCCTGTGAAAAACTGCTTAAAGGGGCTTATCTTATCTTCACTAGGAGGTCGCGCTGGTGAATGGCAACGCCTGACAGTAACCATGGCACGTCACCATTTTTGACAAGGCCTTCGTAAATGACTTCCACCACTTTGTGATTCCTCGCCCAAAGGGCCTGAGAAATACAAATTTGTTGTTTTTAGTAATTTTATTTACACTCTGCCTCTCTCTAGCCCCCAAAGTGGCGAACTGTAAAGCAGACAAGCCAGTACGATAAAGAAAAACACATGCACAAGTTAAACGTTTGAAGTTCTCTTTATTGCACTCTCCTATTTATCACAAAGGAAACCTAAAAGTGGCTTCCGTTCGGTGACCATGAAGTGAATTTTTAATGCAATTCAGACACGTGCTGAGTTTGAAATATGAATGTTATTAGATTATCCCAGACTTGCTGTCACCAAGTCTCATGTGGTGATGGTATAACAGATTTCTGTGTCCCTAATTATTGTGTGTCATTGCAATTGTATGATCATGGTTTTTTTCTTTTGAAATGTTTCTCAGCTATATTTGCAATTAATTAATTTTGCCACATTGGGACAAGATCGCAATATGTTTCAAAATCCATCTTCTCAACATTCTCTCCATGTTTTTTTTTATAGGTTTTTTTTTTTTAGTTCTTTTGATTATTGATTTCTTTCAATTATGCTTTAGATTCTCTATCTTGAATAAAGGTCTTAATTTTAAAAAAAAATGTATCAAATCTCATAACATACTATAGTTGAGCTTATTGTACATTAAAATTCCAAATTAAGATGACAGCTTTTTTTAACCTGGAGTTTTTGAAATAATATATTTTTGCTTTACGCAGACATTGTAAATCTTTGTAAATACTTCCTGTAATGCCCTTCCATATTATTGCCATCTTGGTTTGTGTCAAATAAAGTTGACTCTAAGTACAGTACTTTGGTCAGCATGGCTTGATTATTTCTCTGGGGTCAATAACTCTTCATTGGGAAGAATAAAGGAGTTATGTTTCCAGATTTAGGAAGCTTTCTGACTTTGAGGCCAAGCAACCGGCCTGGTGGAGCAATGGTGGATAGTATTGATTGCCTTCCAGTACTTGGGTATTGTCCCCTTGTTTTTCTAACGTTGCATTTATTAAGAATGTCGATTTCTTAATTGTAGCCAGAAGTATTCATGACAACTGAATCTAGTTTAATTCATTAGTCAGGATCTGCTGATGTATCTAAAACTATATTGCTCTCACAAGGACCATAAGTTTTCTTCCATTCCACAGATAGTTGCTTATTTCAGTTGCTTATTTTATGTAGAAGGAGATGCAGTTTGTATTACAGATTAAGGTTCAGAGACTTCTCTACATCTACATTTTGTATTCTATGAGAATGGAAATGTTGATTATTTTCTGGATGTAGTGGAAAACACTCAGTTTGCAGTAGGTGTTCAGGAAGTAGTTCAGTGACTTAAAAGTAGCAATATGTATATAAGCCTGTTGATATTTGCCTTTATATAAAGCAACGTATACGCATATATTGCAAGGTAGTTGATATTGGCATATTAGGTTTTAATATTTCACTTTATTGAAGAATTCTACTAAAATAACCAAATGTTCTGCTGAGTGTATTCACTAAGCAGTAGGTTCCTGAGGTCATTATTTCATGGGACAGGGGGAGGAGTGGGAGTTAAGCATATCTCCCAAAATTATGGGTCTTGAGGATTCTGTATAATTGTGTAGTGTTAGAATGTTCAGGTTTCCACTCATTAGAATACTTATAATAGGAAAGGAGTAGGGATAACACTATAGCCAATTAGTGATTTTACTGAAGAAGACCATTCTTGCATAATCCAGTGCTTGTATAGTGTTAGCTAGAATTTCAGACACATTTTACATAATTAGTCAAGAGAATTAGCTCAGTGAGAAGGCCATTCATGTACAGTTTTGTGGCTGTTGCCTGCAGTTTTCAGATGGTGGAACAATTGCTTTGTCTGCAGAAGTTTCCATATTTAATCCCTGGCATCGCCATGTAGGATTGGAAAGAGTCTTCTCTGAAGTCCCAGAGAGCTACTGCCAGTCCGTGTAGAGTATACTGAACAAGATGTGTCAATCACAGAAGCAGAATTGTAAATGTTCTGACTTGGATTAAGTCAACTTCCAAGTTCCTAGTCATCAAATGATAACCCATTTGTGGTGTTACGTTTGCACAGTGGGCTTCCATTAACACATTGAACTCTGCTCATTCAGCATTGGATACAACACCATCTATTTTAGTTGTCACTGTACCGAAGAGTGGGTTAGTCAAATATTCCCCTTATATTCAGCATGGTTTGATTAATTTTTATGCTGTCTGTCACATTTTTGTTCTTTTCTCTTGAAGCTTCCTGATTTTGCTTTTCCTTAAATGAGAAAGTTCAATACATTTGTCTCTGATAGTATGTGATGTTCTAATCAGTTACATTAAAAATGAATATTTTAATATATCTTTATATACAATATAACATACTGACTATGGCTGAGATGTAAACGACATAGACACCAGTTCAGATTTCCCCTTGGCTATAAGCTCAGTTACTAGGTAATATTAGGTAAGCCACACTTTTTCAGCCTAAACACCTATCTAGAATCTTTGCGATAAAGATCTGTCAAGTAGGATTATTAGCAAGTTTACTGTGCTAATACATAAAGCATTTTGAACACACTATAAGCACTATATGAATGATAAGTATTACTTGAATGCTCAGGCAAAATTTATTTCACTGAAAGTGAACAGTGTAAAATACACTCAAGACATTCTAAGACCATAAATAAAATGTTCTCAGTTCAGTTTGGACACACTGCTATTGTAAATTGTAATTAAAGTTAAGCATTTATTTAGCATGTTATGCTGCCTGTCCATCTGACTCGTAATCAGTGCATGATACAACTATCTCTGTCAACTCAGCACACAACACTTAAGAGAGCTCTTACAGGTCTCTTGGCCAAGACTGGGAATGCCCAGTTCCAGAGCAGGAAGGTATCTCTCTAGATACCTCAACATTTGCCCAAATCAACCCAAAAACCTGTGTGCACATACCAGCGAAACCCACTTTTTCTCACATGTATGACATAAGAGTACTGATATTTGGGCAAGGTGTTATTGCAGTTCAGAGGCATGATGGTTGACATGGGTGTACTTACTGGAAAGCGGGGAGAGGGTTATTTTGTCAGAAAACTGACCTACCCAACTGCTACAGTGTTGAGCGCTTTTCCTCTTCTGTGATGTCTGACAGGGGTGCCTCCGAGGGCTCACTCAAGGGATTCCTCCGACTCGGTAGATGGCCGAGCCACTCCGACAGAGAATGCTGTGCCGCCGCCACGCATTGAGAAGCCTCCTGTGTTGCCTTTCTTCAACCGCCCTCCTTCTGCGCTTCCTCTCATGGGGCTGCCACCTCCACCCATACCACCCCCTCCTCTTTCCTCAAGCTTTGGGGTTCCCCCTCCCCCTCCAGGAATCCACTACCAACACCTCATGCCCCCTCCCCCTCGACTTCCTCCACACCTCACTGTGCCACCTCCTGGGGCCGTGCCACCTGCGCTGCACCTCAACCCAGCCTTCTTCCCCCCACCCAATGCAGCAATGGGGCCCCCGCCAGACACCTATAACAAGACCTCGGCAGCATACAACCACAGCAGGTGAGAGCAAGCCCATTCCCAGGAATCTGAGAAGAAAAAAATCAAAACTAAGCAGTGCAAAGAACAGTAGCTAAGCCTCTTGTTTAGCAAGGCTGCAGACCTAATTCTCCAGGGGCTTAGTTATTTTGTTTTTATGCAAAGAGTGATGGTTCGACTAGACATGAAACCACCTTCTCATTGGTGGTAGAAAATGCCTTGCATAGCTCTAGGGCACGACAGCTGACAACTTGGTTCGTAAAGGATGCTACTATGTCTGCTTTGGGGAGGGGGGCAGTACCTGGTCAACCACACATTGCTGTTTTGAAAGGCCTTGAATTGCCATGTCTATGAATAAGGAACTGTGTCATAGTTCTGCTTGAAGCTGTTTATCCTCTGTGTGTGATGGGTGTGTGTTTGTGTACTACAGCCGGGAACTGGGCCCATTGCCACCTCCTGTCAGTGAAGCTGAATTTGAAGATATCATGAACAGGAATCGAGCAATTTCCAGCAGTGCCATTTCCAAAGCTGTGTCTGGTGCCAGTGCAGGTAACCAGAGCTGGCTTTTGCTACCTCTTGCCATTTCCCGCTCCTGGTCTCATTCTTACCATGCCGCCTTTGCTCTGTTATATTGCAGGGGACTACAGCGATGCCATTGAGACCCTGCTCACAGCCATCGCTGTGATTAAACAGTCACGTGTCGCAAATGATGAGCGGTGTAGAGTCCTTATCTCTTCACTCAAGGATTGTCTTCATGGCATTGAAGCCAAGTCTTACAGCATGGGCACCAGCAGCAGCTCCTCCAGGTGAGCTTCAGGCACAGTTATTGCCAAGTCATCCAGCTACTGTCACTCATGTTGCTGATGGGCGAGTCTCAGTTGTGCTCTGGTCCCCTTCCTGGGCTTTGTACAGCTAGGTAGGAATAAGTGCTTTTGGTAGGGGAAAGGGTCTTGTTACAGCTTGCCAGTAACTAGATACCTCTTTGTTTTCCAGAAAACGGCACCGGTCTCGGGATAGATCACCCAGTCGGTCTCGTGAGAGCAGTAGGAGGCACCGAGACGTCGTCCATAATGAAGATCGGCATGAGGACTATTTCCAGGAAAGAAGCCGGGAGCATGAGCGACATAGAGACAGGGACAGAGAAAGAGACCGACATCACTGAGAGAAGTGAGAGATGTTTCCAGGGTGCTTTACCTTTCCCATCCCCTCCAGCCCCACCCAGTGTATTTTCCTTTCCGAAAAAAGCACCCTTCTCTTCAAGTTGAGTATCATCCCTCTTGTAGATGCTGGCTAGGTAAGGTTGATTTCCCTTATGCTCTGGAAGACTTTCCATGGCATAATCTCACACTTCTCTTCAGTGAGTGGACTGGTCATGCATGGATCTTAAGCTACCAGGGCAAATACATATTGTATTGTGTTCTCCATGCAGTATGTTCTGCTAGGTAAGATTTTTCAAAAATAAGGGAGCTGCCGGCTCCCTGATTGACTTGCACTTTGAGTACATGCTTGAACTGTTTATTTTCTAACTTAGTAGATTTATAGTATATTCAGCTGGGCTCGGAATAACTATGTGTCTCAGGCCAACTATGCAACTTTGTTAGGGTACTTTTCCTTATTCCTTGCACTGTGACCAGTGGATTGCCGTATTTTTCGCTCCATAAGATGCACTTTTTCCTTCCTAAAAAGTAAAGGGAAATGTCTGTGCGTCTTATGGAGCGAATGTGTGGTCACTGGAGCCGAATTGCCCAGGGGCGAAATGCAGATCATGCTTTTTTTCTTTCTTTCTTTTTCTTCTTCTTCTTCTTCTTTTTTTAAAGAGGGAAGTGGTGTTGAAACAAAGCTGCTGATCGGCAAGTGATCAGAAGGGAGATAAGGGACGCTAACAATAAAGGAGGCTGCCTGGGATGGGGGAGGTAAAAGCCCATGGATCCTCAGGATTTTTACATTGGGTCACCTGAAATTCACCATCAGATCACATAGCATGTCCATGGCTACAGCCTGCCCCCCCAAAATCACGCACCCACTGTTTTGTGGGGCCGCAATGGCGCAAAAACGTGGTTACAAAGCACGGATCCACATGGATTCTCAAGATTTTTGCATTGGGCTACCCCAAACTCAGCATCAAATCACATGTTTGTGGCCACAGCATGAACCACAAAAATCATACATCCACTGTTTTGTTCAGAATATTTTTTTCTTGTTTTCCTCCTCTAAAAACTAGGTGCGTCTTACCGAGTGAAAACGACGGTATTTCTGTAGGTTAGAATCAGATGCGTGGTAAATGTGTCAAGGGCCCAGTCTATATGTTGCAATAAGTCCTGGTTACTGTGAACTAGTAGCATGCTAATGCAAACTGCTCAGTAGCTGCCAGTTTGCTGCTGCCCTGCCATGAATGACAGCAATAATCTGAACAAGACACAATCCACAAGCCAAAGTTTGTTCTTGACTTACTGACTATTGTTCAAGAGAAACAAGCTGTGATTCCAATGTGCATGTTAATGACAAGCCAATCTCCATGGCTTATTGCTCCCATCCATGCCATGGGAGAAACAAAGTGGGAGTGCTTGGGCAGTTTTGTTTTTACGTTTGTGCAGAAAGCTACTTTCACCCTTCCTGACTGTATTGATTGTGTCTTAGGCTGTACCTCTGCAAGCATTAAATTCAAATTCAGTCATCATTAGTGTATTTGATTTATGGAATCCCTGATGAGCCCAGCTATGACTCACAGACGTAACTATCTCTTTGAAGAGTTTTTACATGTGTTCATGTTTGCTGGTCTTGTTTGCCTCTTTGTAAAGCAAACCAATAAACCCACCAACAAATCCAACTGACTTATATTACTTTGAATTCTCAGACCTAGTATAAGGGAAAGAAATTGCAAAAAAGAAGAAGAGTTCAGATCTTTTATTTCAAGAGGCGCATCACAGACTAGTATTGGTAGAATAACTTCTCTAACTTGAAAATTAGCCAATTTTTTCCAATGGCAATCTGCCTTGGGTGCCCTGGAATAAAAAGTGGAGTAGAAACTACAAAAATAAGTAAAACATAGCCTTGCAACCTCACCACCCTCTTTGCCTTATGAATGTGACTAGCACCTAAGGTGGCGATGAGTCTGACTTGAGAGTAAGTTTGATTCAGTGGGTAAAGTGCTGAGTCTAGTCCAGTTCAACCATGAGCTAAGACAACCCTGTAGCTTTGGTTCCCTATTGCATGTGGAAATAACTGTGACTTCCCCACGGAGTTACAGTCCAGGGTTAATGGGCAAAATTCTCAACATACCTCTTTGAAAGTGCTATAGAACTTACTAGCATTTCCAATTTTGTTTTGTCTCTTTCTAGGAGCGTGGGAAGCATTCAGTGTTTTTATGGACTCTTATCTCCTCTCCTTAATCAAGACTAAAATATGGAGGCTTCTCCACCCCCTCCTTCCCACTGCCCTCTGCTCTTTCCGGACCCCTTGGAAGGGACTTTGCCTGCAGAACTCCATCTGGCACACCATGGTATTGGGACCTGAGCTCTGCCTGTGTGCTGTCGCTGCTGCTTGATGGAGAAGCACTGAATGACTTGGAGGGTGGGAGGGGTTGGTTGTCTGAGCCACCGTGACCAGGGGGCCACTTCAATCCATGGATTCTTGGACCCAAAGAGAATGGTGCTTTCCACAGAGGTCTCTCGCCTCTTTCCTTTCCGTGGCTTTTTTAGGAGCACTGGGGAAGGAGCCCATCCAGCTCGTCTCCTGCGAGAAAAACTGGTGCTTCAGCACAGTATGAGATGTCTGACCCTATTCTCCCCGGAACTCGTGTCCACGATCCACACTGCATTGTTTTCTTAGGCATCGAGGCATCCATTCCTCCTTAAATCTGATCCTTTTTCCAAAGCAGCTTCAGTCTCGCCCTCCAGCACCGTTGTACACAGCTTAGAAAACAGTATTTCCCTGCTAGGATGGAAGGCAGGCTGGCTGCTTCTTCGGGTGACCCCTCTTCTCCCTTCCTCCTTTAGTTGCGGGAAAATGTCACCTCCTTTCTACCTGGCTTCTTCTAGAGGGGCCTGCGTTGGTCAACCGGCTCGCAACGTTGAATCTCCCTTAAAAAATAGATCTGGCTACTGCAGGTCCGCTTTCCACTGATTTGCTAACCATTTTCCTCGCTTTGTTTCATGCAATAGCTGCTCCAGTTGTAACTTCTGGTGTAAACCTTTGTTTCTGGGGCCAGCCCCTCCCAGATTGCCGCCTTCCTTGTTGTAGAGGAAGTGTTGTGAACGGAGACCATAGAATGGAAAGGGGCAAAGTCAAGCTGGGGCTACCTGGAAGTTACCGAATGCAGCACACCCTAAGCATTTTTAAAATTCTATGTGATGTACTTGTTGAACGTGTTGATTTAAGGTCCAGAGCTTTCCTTGGCCCCTGCCTCCTTTTAAAAGGAGTTCCTTTTTGGAGTGGTTCACTCATGAGTTTGCTTCAGATAGCACCATACCTCACTGATCTCTGGCATGCCAGTCTAGGGAGACGATTAGAGACAGTGGGAGGCGTCTCTTCACACCACCATATTTAGCTGTGTTATGTAATCGTAAGTAGGGTTTCTGGAGCCACTCTAGTCACCAGGCAGCCCTTTGAGACCAGTTGCAGCAAAAACCTGCGTGTTCGGAGCATTATGGGACAAAAGCACCTGCAGAGTTCTTGATTAAGCTCTCATCTTTGAGTTGCAACCCTTCGGGTGTTTATTTTCAGCTTTCATTGCTCCATCCTAGCCTGAGCACCCAGTTACTTAAAATCAAGGTAACACGTTACACCCTGGAATATGCAGTCTCCAGCAACTGGATCTCGGTAGTGAGGCCAAGCATCTGTTGTGTTCATGAACACTTAATGTGATTGTTCAGCTGCATGGTGAAGCCTCCCTTGTAGAAGGACCCTGTTTTGCCTCACAGAACAATGTTGTGGCCTAAGGCGGAGGGGGTGGTGTCTGGCAAAGGATGTTCTTGTGTGATGTGGCACCTCCTTTTGTACTGTTGATCACAGAGGTGCTCAGCTCTAAATGTGGTTTTTTTAAAAAATAAAACGGGGAAAGTTGTGTAAGCAATGGAGTGACAATTTAAACTGTAAAATATATTAAAAATTGATGATTGGAAAAGTTGCTTTTTACATAATGGACATTTTTAGTTTGTTTTGAAATAATGGAAGTAAGAAAAGAAAGAAATGAAACAACAGAAACATAGCCTTGGTTCCTCTCAACTCACCCACCCCTGTTCTTCGTGATTTGATTTGTTTGTCTTTTTCTGATAGGTTGGAAATTGTGTAATAAACTTGATGATATTGTCAATCTTTTATACTGCATTGTATGGCTTCTTTTCATTTTGTAACTATTTTGAATGCTGGGTGAGCTGTTTTCTAGAATCTCCACTAAATATGAGCGGGGGGCAGGGGGAGACCTTGATATGGAAAAGAGGATGGATAGATAAGACAGGTGCCATATTTTGGCTGGGTAGTAGCCCTTGTACAACCATGGTTTTATGTATTGCTAAACTAGTTCCAAACCCACTTTATGTACACATATTAAAATGATTTTTTAAAAGCTTCTATCTCTCAGTCATCTCCATTTAAAGGGGAGTGTCTGGTAGCAAGCCAAGGAAAGATTTGAGACCCTTGAGAATTTCTGCCAGTGTGAAATCAGTACACCGAATGAAGATTCAATGCTCGGCATCATTTTAAGTAGCTCCTTTAAAAAATATTTGCTCTGGAAAACATGAACAGAAATCACAGGTTTCATAAAAAGGGAGAAGCATTATGCTGAACAGAGATGGGGAAATGAAGCCACGATGGAAACAGATGAAACTCAAACACTTTGAAAGGGGATTGTGCCTTTCATGTGAAATTGAATATTACAGGCAAGGATGCAAGGAAATATAATAGCATATAAGGGCTTTCTGTCTATGGCAGGAAAAGGTTCAGTTACAAGAATATTGTCCTGATTGCTAGTGGTATTCAGTGAAATGTTTCTGGGGATCATAGGCTTGCACAGATGGTTTGTGTTTCACCTTCCTGAAGGCTTGTCATAAAAGGGTATTTGCCTGTGACTGGCAGGTGAGGTGGTAGTACTTTCAGAATGCAGCTTGAGTGGTGAACAGTCTGTGGGAGGGGCTTAATGCTGAGTGGGTGGGTTTACCTGGTTGCTAGGTGATGATTGTGATCTAAGGGACCAGGATTAATCTCAAGTGAGCCCAGATAACTGGTCTGATGAATGGGTACCATTCAAGTCTCTTGTTATTCTCACCATGACATACTCACTAGAATTTGGCCTTGTTAATGCGGCCAACCGCTACCTGACTGCTGAACCTTTCCGTTTCCAGGTGGCAGCCACAGGCAAGCAACTGAAGCCTCGCCAGTTGTGGGTACTGCAGTTTGTGAGCCCACAGGGAGCTGGGGCAGCTGGCCCAGGAGAAGGGGCTGGCCAAAAGCTTCACCTGATCAGTGCACTGAAACGCTACTTGGCGGCTGACGCAAATGGAAAAGTCACCTGTGACCAGGACAAACCAGGGCCTCAGACCTTCTTTCTCTTGCATCAGTATCCGGATGGCAAGGTGCTGTCTCTCACCCAGGCACAAGCATCCTATCTCTCAAGTGTAGCTTATGTCCGATATTATCGGGCTGGAATTCTGGACAAAGAGGGTTGGGTGGGTGAGACGGAGGGCAGAAGGTAGGAAAACAATGCTTAAAGTTGCCTCAATAGGGCCTCAAAACTATTCCTCTATTGCCCAAATGTGGGCCTCTTGTTTTGCTTACAAATGTCTTTTACAATTAAGAGGCAGAAATGAGGGCAGGATTGAGCTCGATATGCAGACTAGTTTGCTGTGGTGAGAAGCAGGGTCTTTTCTTAGTGTGCAAGTTTGTAAGTCCAGGCAGCAGATTCCTGTAAAGTGCATCAGGAAGAGTGTAAAATGTCCCTGGACTCCCCGCCCCCCCCCCATGGTCTCCTTGGGAAGCTAGTCACATGAGCCAAAGCTCTTTGTCCCTGTCGGCCAAACAGTATGATAGTCAGCCACTAAGGGCTGAAGGGGAGAGAATGTGTCTGAATAGCTTATTTGAGTCCCTGTGCTAAGAGTTGCCTGGTGTATCCTTCAAGGTGCCCTAGCCACTTCCCATCCACAACTGGAAATAACTGTTGCACAATGGAACTTAGGTAATCATGGCAACTCCATAAGCCAAAAGGTGTAACGTAATTGGTGTAAAGATACCTGAATTTTATTCTGCCATGTTCTTTGCTCTCATTGAGAGTGTTCCTGCTTTTCTTGTCTTGGGCAATGTAGCTGACCAGACATCCTTCCCTCCCTGCAGGTGTCCTTGCAAAATGAACAGTCCAAGCGCTACCTGGGTGGAGCAGAGGAGAATGTCACTTGCTTTGCCCAGGCTGCCACCGAAACTGAAAAATGGACCCTTCACCTGGCTGTGCACCCCAATGTTGCCATGTACAACCCCAACAGGAAGCGTTATGTGCGGTGTGATGATAAAACGGGGGTGCTGCGCTGTGACCGTGACATGCCCTGGGGAGCTGAATCAGTCATCACTATCTACTATGATTTCAGAGGTGAGTGGTGGCATTTTCCTATTTTGTTTTCAATTGATATGTCAGTGTAACACACATCTCCCCCCCCCCCTTTGTGGGGGGGTGTTAAAGAAGCAAAACAAGCATTCTGCTGTAGGGTTACACACACACACACACACACACACACACACACACACTTTTACAGTAATTCCTATTGCAGATGAGGACTTATAGCTTACCATACTAACAAGAAAGTTGCTTCCTCTGAACTAAGGATTGTTTAAAGTTTTCTGTTATCCTCTCCAACTATGAATCGGACACCTGGGGTAAGTCTGAACACATGGAAAGGCTTGAGAAATTTGAGAGATGGAGAAAGTCTGTACCTGTTACAGGCTTTCTCCCACAGTGAGAAAGTTGGTGCTTTATTCTACAGATGTTTGTCTGCTTGTGGTTTTACCTGTACATGAGGATTTCTAAGTGCTACAGGTGGGTGGGGTGGCCTGGGAAGGCAGTAAGTGCTTCTAAGTGGAAGGTCTTAATTCAAAAAGTTTGAGTGACACTGCCTTATTTACACATCTCTATCCAAAAGCCACCCAAGCACCTTCTAAGATAGTCCTCTGTTATTGATGTGTGAAAAAGTTCAGTTTGAGTCATTTGCATCTCCTCCAATAGGTCTGGAGTCCAATGGTGAGAGAAGGCAATTTTCCCCATACATACCAGGTGAATTCAAATTCTGTTTACCCAAGAAGTCACTGTGGCTGGCAGGAATTTTGATTTCCTTAACATCATTAATTAGCTTGGGTAATTCTTAGAACTACTAATTGCCCTATGCAAGACTTTCTGGTAAGTTAGACACCAGTGCAAACTTTCCAAATAAGACAAGAAAGGGAATTGTCTGTGCAGAGAAGTTTCCAAGTGCAAATCCTCTTTCCTGACCGTATTGATGTTGGAGGTTCCCCACTCTCTCACACACACTTTTAAGTGAAATTGCACACTAGGCTAAAGAATCTAATACAACCAGTTTTTAAAACACACATGTAGTGTGGATAAAGGTGTGTATTAGTGCAGATGAGAACATGACTTCAATCCCAAACTCAGCCTGCATGTGCCCATGGCACATCTCACTATACCTGGGTTGGGGCAATGGCCTCTAGCTTTATCAAGCACACACGTAAACCCCCAAAGTAACTATGCAAGAAAAATAGGGTGTAATCTACGAGGAAACAAATGCAGTGTCAGCACCACCAACGCTGTACAAAGCTGAGACCCAATGAACGTCAACTTGCCTATCAGAACAAAGCACACATGTACAAATGATATATGAGATTCTGGGCAAGGGAAATACAATGGGAAATGTTAAGGGCGAACAGGACTAGGGTACTCTAAAGGGTTGGTGTTTGGAACTGCAGGCAGGGTGGGCCTGTGTGGCAATTCTGCAGTAAAACAAGCATCAGCCCTGATGCTACTTTGTAAGACAATTGATTTGGAGATTGTTTTCCAGGACTGAACATCAAGCTGCTGTCAACCTCTCATCTCTCTCGCCTTTGTCTCCAGTAAAGAAGTATGGATTGAGGAATGGGGCTGGCAAACTGTTGGCTTCCAATGGCTCACTGGTGCCAGATGTTACCCCACAAACGTTGTACTCCCTGGAGGTGCATGGCGGCTTGGTCGCTCTGCGGGACGAGGAGGGAAAGTACTTGACTGGGCGAGAGGGTAGCATGAGAACCGTAAAGATGGACAAACCTGGACGGGAGGAACTCTTCAGCATGGAATCCAGCCCTGCCCAGGTCTCTATGCGCTCTTCCTCTACTAACAAGTTCATTTGCTGCAGGCCAGGTAAGTCAGGAGAAAACAGCACTATCTATATTGCATTGCACTTTGTGAAGCCTCTGCTGCTGATTGGCTGTTCCGGTCTGATGAGATGGAATGTTTGTGACCATTCCACCTGCTCAGAAAATGAGGCACAGTGGTAGTCCACATTCTGCGAGCAATGGGACAGTTGTCAGTTTGGCTGGGTAAAACTGAGATAAAACTGACTTGGGAGGCAGGGTGAAGGCTGGGAGGAGTTCTTAGAAGGCAGGTAAGCTTAGATGCTGGGACCTTAGAGGCAAGATGGCTGAAGAGAGGGTGCAGAAGTAAGAAGCAGAAAAAGGGCACATACAATTGAAGTAGCAAGGATCCAGCAAGATTACGGTCCCTGAAAAAAACCCACAGCATTTCTTATTAAAAGTGGTGTGACAGAAGTGCTTGGGAGGCTAACCAGAATACAAGATGGCCAATCGAAATGGGCTAAGTAGGCAGTGAGCTGAAAAAGCAAAAACTTGAGGAAATGAATGGTGTAGCTATAGAACTGGGGCAAGAAGACTGGAAGAAAACCACACAAAGTGCTTTGACTAGAGAAACCCAGGATGGAATTCAATGTCACTTTCAAGCGATTGTTCTGCTTCCCAGATGAACTGATTCACCTTTCCCACATACACTGTTCGGGGGTCATCTTGAACCTGCAGAGCAGATTTGGGGGGCGATGGGAGAAGCCATGTAGCCAAAGATCTTCCATCGGGCTCCCCTGGTGAGACAGGTTACTTGAATCCACACTCTGCACTCCTTTGGAAGAAATGAAGTACAGCAAGCCAGCAACTTACGGCACATTTAACTTGTGCACAATTAATCCAGATCTGAAAGAGGATTTGAATTTAGGATTGCACGTGACGTTTTGTGCTCTTAAACCAGCCTGCCTCCAAAGATAAAGATAGGAAGGTCCAAATGATCCTAGGTCAGTTGACACACAGACAATGCCCCCATTCTCTGCATGATGTTTTCCTCTTTCAATCCACAAAACACTGATTTCAGCCTGCAAGGAGTGGGCAATGGCATAAGTAGGAATGCTGACCTAGGGTGTTTCTTCCCTGCCCCCTGCAGGTGCTGATCTCTATGCCAATGCTATGGCTGTTGGCAACACAGAGATCTTCCAGGTGCTGTTTGATGACACCACAAAGAAGGTCTGCTTCCGTAGCCACAGCGGAGCATATATGTCCTTGGTGAGTGTGCCTGCCATGTGTTACGAGGAACAGCAGCAATCAGGCAGGACCAGCTATTTCAATTTGTTTCCTAACTATGGAGAAGGACTGCAGCTCGTAGGTGGTAGAGCACCTGCTTTGCATGCAGAAAGCCTTTTTTCAGCCACAGCCACTCATTCCAGTCTTGTCCCCAACCTCCTTCCGACTATATTCTACAGTGGGCAACACTGAGACTAAGGAGGGAGGAAGCTGACAGGCAGCCCCACCCCATGACTGGTTGTAAGTGAGAATGTGGGGACTGATCAAGGGCAGAGTGAGGATGGTGGGGCAGGGCCCCTTTTGCCCAAGTGGATCAGCCTCCACTGGATACATCTGTGCCCAGATTGTGCTGCACCAACTTAATCTGGAATTCTTTTAAATGTGAGCAAGGAGGTGGGTGAGCTGCATCCTCGACACTTGGCTGCGAGCATTCACAAAAATTGTGGCCTGGTTCAAAAAACAAAATGACTTAAGCTTGAAACTTGGTGTAGTAGAGGCTTTGCCACCTCAGGTGTTCACCTAACTCTCCCCAGATGAAGAAGATATATCTGCGCCGTGTGTGTATTAATACAGAAAGGCAGGTTGGAAATGAAGAGGAGGATAATTTAGCAAGCGGGGAACTGATAAAAGGAGGCTTGTTAAATAGCAGTAGATAGCTCTTGGTCCTGAACTTGTTTGTTAATGTTAGTAAGGGCTGTCTCAATCCTTTTCCAAAACATTTTTGTCAACTTTAGTGTGGGTGGGGGGAGTTACTCTATTCTACAAAGCAAAGCAGGGCATTATACACAATCCTCCTTGTGGAAAAGTGAAAAATTGTTTTTTGTACACTGAGGATGGAGAACCTGTGGCTCTCAAGTACTCAAATTCCTATTGTCCTTGATCATTGGCTGGCAGTTATTACTCCAACATCTTGAGGGCCTCAGGTTTCTCATCCCTGCCACAGATGAAATATGTAAGAGTGCAGTAAAAATGCACAACTTCCTGAACAACCTCTTAAGAGAAAGCTAACTGCTTAAGCCTGGAGCACTGGAGACATCTTTTTCAGGTCTGCTATTCACTTGCCTGGGAGTAAAACTTGTTGAACTAAATGAAACTTATAAGTAGAGTTGAAGGTGATCTTCTGGCTGCATTGCTGTTCATGGTGTGCACATACCCTATCTGCTATGGACCATGGTCAGAAATTTTGCAGATTTTTGTTGTGCTTCAAAACTTATACTGTCTACATCTAACATACCATTTAGAAATCTTAATTGTTTGGCTTCAGTCTGGGCTATGGTTCATATAGTGCAACTTGAAGTGTGAAGTCAACAAGAAAGTGGCTTTGAATAAAGCCAAGGTCCACCACCATCCCTATCTTGCTGATGCTAGAAACCCTCCACTTGTGGAGGTAACTACTGCTGGACGCGGGTGGCGCTGTGGGTTAAATCACAGAGCCTAGGACTTGCTAATCAGAAGGTCGGCGGTTCGAATCCCCACAATGGGGTGAGCTCCCGTTGCTCGGTCCCTGCTCCTGCAAACCTAGCAGTTCAAAAGCACGTCAAAGTGCAAGTAGATAAATAGCTACCACTCTGGTGGGAAGGTAAATGGTGTTTCCGTGCGCTGCTCTGGTTTGCCAAAAGCGGCTTAGTCATGCTGGCCACATGACCCGGAAGCTGTACGCCGGCTCCCTTGGCCAATAAAGTGAGATGAGCGCCACAACCCCAGAGTTGGTCATGACTGGACCTAATGGTCAGTCATGACCGACTCTTTACCTTTACTGCTGGACTAACCTCCCTGATATTGAGATGCTCATGCATTGCTGTACTCTTGTGTTGTGTCACCCACCACAATGGTATTCTCAGTCTTGATGCAGCACCAAATACCTTCCACTGAAAATATATCAACATGGATCTCAGAACGTAGCTGATAAAGGGACTGCAGCAGGAGGTTTCTATCAGACAAAGTAAGCCGAAAACACAAAAAGCACTTTCCAACGAATGCATCCTGTCTTTTGCAGGGTCCTAATGACTGTATTAACAGCAACACCAAACAGGACAGGAATGTCTGGTTCGACATCCAGTACCAAGACCAAAAGGTGTGTCTCCGCATAGCAGACAAGCAAGTGTCCATGCGGCCCAATGGACAGCTCCTGGCAATTCCCAAAGCTGCAGGTACAAGTTGGTAGAGAGCTTCTCTTACAAGCACCAGGGAATCAGTGTGGACAGGTGAACACAGCTAGGGTGGGAAGAGAGACTGCACACTGCCAGCTGCAAATTAGCTTTAGGTAGTTCTAGGGGAAAGGAATGGAAGCGACAGCCTTGCACTAAGTCCCTAGATAGCCCTCTAGAGGAATAATGTGGGGAAAGTCTTTGCACAGAAACCAAGCTGTCCCTGGATATAAAATTGGAACATGGGGAGCCAACCTTAAGCCCATCCTGTGAAATGGCTTTTTAGACACCTCAAGGGCTTCTTGTTGGAAACCAGCAACCAAAACTTTCATAATCTTGCTCTTGCAAGATGGAATGAGTTCTGTTTACACTCCCTTCCTTACGCTTTGGAGTAGCTAACATCACTACAAATACAGCCTGGATGAAAGAGAAAAAAACACCCTAAGACTCACTAAAACACTGCCCCTCTGTGCATATAATCCTGGCCCCCAGAACTGCATACCAAGTAGGTTGACATGCTTCTGTAGCTTCTGTAATGTGATCTGGGAAGCAGTCAGAGAATGAGCTCCAGTTTGGGGGGAACCACCACCAGAAACAGCTGTGCAGTTGTTGTCCATAGTGGTTACTTGAATGAACTTTAGGGCAAATGCCACTGACAGTAGAAATCGGGATAAAACCCAAGGGAAGAACAGTATTTGAAGTCTAAGACATTAAAAGCTTTCTGTGCCATAAGCAGCACCTTGAATCAAGTAAAAAAGACTAAAGGGAGACATTGTGAATTCTGGGCCCCTGTTACAACACTCAGCCTGGCTTCTCAGTGTGGGGCGATTTCTCCTGATCTTTAGCACTGAAGTTGACTTTCCCTGGGGAGCTGATTCCCTCTTGAGAGCAAAAGGAAGGGTGGTAAATAGTTCTCTTTGAAAGCCAGGTGCGGCCAATGCTAAAGGTTTCCCTTGTACCTTCAGGGAAGAGTGAAGATTTCCTGCTGGTGCTGGTGAACCGGCCACTGCTTGTCCTGCACAGTGATGCCGGCTACGTGGGTCTGTGTTCTGACATGAGGAAGTTGGAAGGGAACTGCGTCAGCTATGTTGCCAGCAGCCTGTCGCTCACCGAGGAAGGCTACTATAACTTCCAAGTTGGTTAGTATGTTTCCAGGTGGGACTAAGTATATTCCAAGGGGTTGGGGTCTCCTAGTATCTGTGTTGCGAGAGAAACATGACCTACTCATAAATGGGAGCTGCCATCAAAGGATTTTTATAAAAACAAGCCTAGTTTATACGTAGCCATAAGAGGGAGCCAAAACTTGCTTTCCCAAACCAAAACAATGCAAGAGAGCACATCATCACTATTCCCCCCTCCCTTTGCCATTTGTTTTGCTACATGACCCCTGGACAATAGTTTCCTAGGCCCAATTAAGGATAAACTACTGTTCAGGTTGGATGGCCATCTGCCATGGTTGATTTAGCTGTGATTCCTGTGTTGCAGGGCGTTGGACTAGATGACCCTTGGGCCCCTTCCAACTCTTATTATTCTAGGTGTCGGTCATGTTTTCCCTTTATACATGGTTTCTTTCTAAACCATATCTAGTATTGCCATGACAAGCACATCCGAATTACCTGTGATTCTTTTACCTCGTAAAAGTCGGAGAGATCCAAGAGCTGGTCTTGCCACGCCTCTAACCTTCCCTGACCCTCACCCTTCCTTCCACTAATTCTGCCACTTGACCTACAGGCAGCAAGTACTGGGCTCTGGATAACGATGGACAAATCTTGGTAAACAGTGACCGTCCCAGCAATTTCACCATCCAGTTTGCATCCTCCAGTTGCCTGATCATCAAAGCACCCAACAACAAGTTTTTTGTGGCTGAGCAAGGAGGCCGACTATGGGCAGGGGCTTCAGACGCATCTGGAGCAACACTGTTCCATTTCTAAGAGCATCTGACCTTGCTCTTCCCACCAATAAACTTTTTCTGTGTGGGCTTACTTCATGCTTATCTCAACTGATGCCCAATTGGCCCATGTGTTAGACCTCTTGGAAATGACCCTTCCTCTGTAGATCCTCCCTCACACAGGGCATACTTGAACTCTAAATGAAAGCTCTGCTACCTACAGCAGACCCAAGCCAGGACCCTTGAATGTGAATTTCCTTATGCAAAAACTTTCTGTGCCCATGAGGTCCCTTCTGAACCACCTTCATGCAGTTAGGATGATTTGCAAAGCCTCAGTTATGTTAAAGATGTGTACCTCTCTTCACCCCAAGAGGGGTCCCCCATGCTTCTAGGAGCACCGCTGTTCTCCCAGTGTACCAATGTTTGTCTGAAGCTCCACATAGCTACAGTAGTTTAAAAATAAATATTTATTCCAAGGATGCAGTAGAAAACCAAGTATCACAAATTGTCAATACACACCAATAACAACACTGATTTGGGAGGAAGGGGCACAAGGCCTGCTGCCCTTATCCCTACCCCCATTCAGGAAAAGGGCACAGGAGGTAACACAACAATTAGAGAGGATGAGCAAGACTGCCCTCCTGAGTCACTGCACACATGCTAGAGTCTTGAGTTGTTAGAATGTACCACGCTGGGGAATTCAAAGGACACACCAGCTGCAGGCAAAGTCTGATTATTAGGTGGCATTCACTGGCCCATAGTCTTTTGACTTGCGAGAGTCAACTACCCAAGGTACAAAGTTGGAATGGATCAACTGGCGCCCTCCAGGAGGATTGCAAGCTTAGTTAGGGTGGGTGGGTCTGTCATCTCATGAAAACTGTTTCCAGACACCGGAGACCCTGCTAATGGTGCTCTACCTGAATGAGCTTGAAATGAGAAGTTGAGCCGCCTTCTTTCAGCTTATTGGGGGAATTGGACCCACACCTCATCTTGTTCCAGCCACAGAAATGGAGGGTTCATGCAGCCTCTCTCCAATCTGAAGAGCACACGGTTCGATACATTGCAGCCCACAAAGGTTCTCAGTAAGAGTCCAAACTGCAGAAAATAGAGAGCGAAACTTGAGGATCTTAGCAACAGCGACAGCAAATACCTCTGCCTTCTTACCCAATTTACATTGGAACAAACTGAACACCTATTCCAAGGATGGGGAACCTGCAGCCCTCCAGATGTTGGAATCCAACTCCCACCATAGCCAATAGTCAGTGATGATGGAAGTTGTCTAGCAACATCTGGGGAGCCCATGTTCTATTCCATTGATTCCCCTGTTTGAAGAAATAAGCCAACCAACATAAATATATGATAAGCCACCTGTGCAATTTAGCATTACATCATTGAGCCTGAATCAATCAGAAAAAGAACGTCAAACTTGCATGTTCTCCCACAACAGCCAAGGAGGACTTCAGCAGGATTTTATGTTCTCTATTTAATTCTCCTTTTAAAGAATCCTAGCTTAGCATTATGTCTGAACCAGGAATCCTGGTTTAAAACTCTGGTAAGTGCCATAATAAATCAACTTAACACTATGGGTTATGAAGTTGGCTTCTTAAACCGATCAGAGTTACAGTATACCAATTTCCAGAGAGTATAACAGAAAGGTTTGCATTCAACACAGCGCTAAGAAGAAAGATTTCTCCTTGTGCAATTGAGCATATTCCCCACCTGCATGCCCCTTAAATCTGCTCTGGGAATGGCATGGGGCACAGAAGTCCCACTGTACTAATACTAATCCTTGCACTAGTGTGGATATATGGTTGAATATTGTCCAGTCTTGGGGGGACATTAAAGGCTAAGCTAACACATTTATTACAGCTTAAGCTAGTCCATGAAAACTTATGTCATAACTAATTTGTTACTTTTTAATGTGCCACAGGACTTTTGTTGTTTTAAACCAGGATTCTTGGTTCCAACATGATGCTAAATAGGGATTTAAAAGTGAAAGTAAATCCTTCCAAGTCCTCCCAGCCATAAAGGAAGAGGATATGGGGACTCACACACAAGCCTGAAACTTTACTTAGCACTAAACCCAACATTACATGTAAATACAGTCAGTGTCTTAAGAAACAAAATCTAATCAATGCACATAAAAAAATATTTCCATAAAATACCATAATGGTAGGGAAGTAAAGTACCTGGAGAAGGCAGCCAGAGTGAGAACACCCAGTAACAGCTCCACAGCATAGAAGAGGAGGAGGATAGCATTAAGGATGGCCTCCAGCCGCAGAGCATAAGTCTGCAGCAGCAGATAATAGGCTGCCATCACTGCTGCTGGAAAGGTTAAAGCCAGACTGATAGCAAGGGGCACTTTCCGTTGACAGAGGTTCCCTTTTGAGCCTGCCATACACAGAAAATATGAAAAAGCAAATGCATAGACCTGTTCTCATTTAACTCAGGGATCAGTTCTCATTTAACTCATTTAACTAAATAAGTTAAAAAATTGTCCAGTAGCACCTTCGAGACCAACTAAATTTGTTCTGGTATAAGCTTTCGTGTGCATGCACACTTCTTCAGATACACTGAAACCGAAATCACCAGATCCTTATATATAATGGGAGGTGGGGTGGGGTATTTCTTGGAAGGGTAGTAGGAGATGGGTGATTGGCTCAATGGGTATGGTAAACCTGTTGACAACTGTGAACATTTTTTAATTTAAAAAAAGTAATAACTTTTTTAAAAAAAATTATTTCGACTGCATCAGAGCAACACAGCTATCTACCTGAATCAATAATCATTTAACTGAGAATAAGGAATGGGATTTTGCATTTAACATTTGTACTGTAGTTCATAAGCTAGTCTCAGGTCAGGAAGGACAGTCAGACTGGATGAATGGGATCTCATATTTCCACCCACATAATGTTGTCTTGCCTCCTACCTACTCCCGAATTAGGGAATGTACCACAGAGCCCCTTTTTCAGCCTTTGGGCATCATTTCATTGGAGGCACCTATTCCAGTTCAGCAGAATAATTAGGAAGGCCTGGAATGATGGGAGTGAAGGCACTGTCAGCAATTTACACTCTGCTCAACTACTCTACTCTCAAACACCTTTGCTGTTGGAGAAGCAGAATTTATCGATGAGTGAACCACAACAACAACAACTAATTTTATTCATATCCTGCCCATCTGGCTGGGTTTCCCCAGGAGTCATCTTTTCAGGTCAAGTGCCATCAAAGATCCTCACAAAATGGCAGGTGAGTGCACTACTCGTAAGAACATTTTTATTGAATACTCACCAAAAAATATCCGGGTCACTTCAATCCCAAGATAGAGAAAAAGCATAATCAGGTCCAAAGCCAAATTGGCAGAGGGGTAGGGCAACAGGAGTCCTAAGTGGGTGCACAAATGGACATATGCATTAAGAGAACAGCAAAGCAACAAACATTGGGACATGGATGGTTCTGAAAAAGGCTGTGAACTCTCAAGCAGCTAGGTGAGAAATAAATAATTTCACTATCCACTTTGTTCTTTCACTTTCTTCAGCTGAGAGCCACAAGGTAAATGCGTAAAAAAACCCTTCTGCAGGCAACCCAAACACATCATCCCTTCAAAGACTCACCTTTATAGACAAATATGAAAATCTCCAGCAGAAAATATGTTGCGTAATACCAGCCATTCAGGAACAGGAGAATCTCCAGAGGAGTGGAGGAAAGCTGGCGATCTAGGAGGTGAAACCAGAACATGATTATCTATGGGGTACACATTTTGTGTTCCACTCTCACCTTCTCTCAAAGAGGAGCAGTACAAACTTTCTTGAGAGACTATATTAGGGTTCATGTACACTTCCTCTTGTCGCCCTGCTTTCCCCCTGCTTTTGAGCTGAATCAGAGCCAATGGCAATTCTGGTTTTCCCAGGACTGCCATTTGTTCCAATCTACCCCAAGGTGGGTTTTCCCTCGGAAAGGAGATGGGCAAAGGGTGTGAGTCAAGCAGAAACTGCTGCTAAGAAGCCAAGCAGCAATGAGACAGTCTCAGTTCTGTTCTAAACTCAGTCAACAGAGTGAAGATTGTCAAAATGGAAGCCCTGAGATGACAACAGCCATTAGGGGACGCCAATATTTGTACAGGGCTGGCTGGACAAGGGCAGAAAACACAAGCCCTGTGTGCAGCCACTCTCCATTTTGCCTTTCTAGTATTTGCACTGGACGTTGTGAGCTCAAAATTGGGATGCTGCGACCTCACCAGCTTAGCGTGGAACCTCAGCAAATGGTCTAACATACCTCAGGCAAAGGGAAACCAACCAGCAGCAGAGAATATAAACCCCAGCCCACCGATCTGAGAACCCCTTGGATGGGTCCAAAACCCCGTATTTGGGCACTTTACACTACGAGAGGGTTGCTAAGGGGCAGCCTCCCGCAGGACGTGGCCCCAAGTCTACCACCCTCCTTTGGCAGGATGGTTTGTCTGGGGGAGCTCAGCGCGAGGGGGAGCCAAGAGGCCCGCATCAGGCTCTGGGGACACGGGGGCCACTCTGCCTCCTTCCCCTTCGCTCCGGCTATTCCTCCCGGCTGGGGAGCGCTTGGCGGGATGCCGTCGGATCCCCGCCGTCGCTGCCGGGCTGCAGCCGGAGCCCGGTTCCTGTCCCTGCTGCAGGACTCGGGGTGTCCTGGGAGGCCCTGAGCGAGCGGGGCTGGACTGAAGAGGAGCCGAGCCTTCCACGGGGATCAGTCGCGGTCACGTGACCTCGCAGCCCCCAGGGCCCTAGAACGCTGCCGGGACCCTGACTTACTGCGAGGCGCCATCTTCCATCGCCATGGAAACCGCTACGCAGGAAACCCACTTCCGGCGAAGCTGACGGCACGGAAGCGGGAGAGGGCGGAGTGGCGCGCAGCGTTGGCGGAGGCAGAAAGGTCAGAGTCGGAGAAGCGTGTTAGACCGAATGGACGCAGAGCGGAGCCGCTCTATCCCTGGCCTCTTTGTGCCGGAAGACCCGTTAGAAAGGCAAAAAGCTCCATGCGATACCGGATATCGAACTGCGTCTCTTTGGGGCGGAGGCCCAGATTCCGAGCGGGGACGGCGTCGCCTCGTCTCCATGGTAACCCATGAATTCTACCCTCGCTTCCTCCGCGCGAGTTGTGGAGGCGGGAAATAAACGCAGGGGCTCCGTTCTCTCGCCTTCTGACAAAGAGCGACACCTATTTCTTTGCTTGTTATGTAACGGCCCCGTTTTCCTTCCGCCCTTTCCTCACACACACATTTTTATTTTAGATTTTACAACTTTCCCCCCCAGGAAGTGAGGACAACATACACACACGCACATCATACAAAGCACCTCGGATTGCTCAGTTCACATGGCCCAAATGGCACCTAGCTCGTATATATCCGAAAATCCACTCCCAAATCCATCACTTAACAAGTTACCCAGCATCACCTCCTGCCCTCGAAAGCTTTATTATTATTCTACCAAAGGCCCACAGCGTTCCACAATTAATTCTACTGTTAAGAGTCCTGTCCCACATTTCAGAGTACAAGATTTCCTGGGTATTGCGCTTTAGGAACAAGCTTCTGTTCCCCCTCCGTTTATTTTTTTCTGTGAATTTCATTATCTTACCCTAAACCACACACATGCCAGGCATAACGAAAACATCCATTTGTTTCCTGTATTGGAATGTTGCTAAATTATATGGTTTATTTTTAATATCAACAGCACAACACAGAGAACTGGTGGTAATAAATCAAGCCTTGGAATGGAAAGAACACCCTTTTACTACCACACATTAGAGGAAAAACAATAAAGCAAGATCACCACACTATGGTTTCTGAAAAAGAGCCAATTTATTTTCTCACCATTTATAAAAATGCAAGTACAAAAGGGGAATCTAACAAGTCAATGAGAGTACATTTGCTCAGGCTGAATACTGCAAAGCCAAACCATAGTCTTTATGCCTTGTCACACTGTCAGAGGTACTAGTGAAGGCAGGAATCCTTTTCTGTCACAGGGGAGCTTAGGGCAAGAAAATATTCTCAAGGAGGAAAATGCAGCATTGCTACTCAGTGGGAGTTGTCAGCCAAATCTGTTTGGCACTTCAAATCGTTCCTCAGTAAGGCTGCAGCCAAATCCAGAGTGCAGTTTGCTGAACTGAAAGGAGGATTGTGGAGTGCTTGGAGACTGAGAAGCATATAGTAGCAAGCAGGGTATCCACAAAAGAGCAGTTTCATTGATGAGTAGCCTAATGTGCACGAATGTAGGAAAGGGATGAAGTCATTTGACCACATGAGATTTAGAACTTGACTGTAGGAGACAAATTGTAGTGGGAGGAGAGGAACTTGCTGCAAGATATTGGTAAAATCTCTGTGGACATTCTAGCAAGCTGGCCTCTGCTCCAAATGATTCAGAAGCAGCTGTCAACTGTGCGCTTGTGCAAACTCTTTCCGTAGCCAAAGAGAGTCCTGGTAGAAACGGGGATCTCCCAAGTGCACAGCCGTCCTCTTATAGAAGTAGTAGTACAGCACAGCCACTGCAACCAATCAGAAATAAGTCACAAGCCAGCAAGGTCAACACTTGTAGAACTTTACTGGGTTTCTTACATTCAGCTTCACCATTATCTGCCTAGCTACACTCCCCCTGCTCCCTGTCCCATCTACTTTCTGTAGGGAAGCACAGATGGAACCAGCCTCATTGATAAATTTTTAAGCTTTGCTCAGAAGTCATAACACAGGGGAGAAATGAAACAGCCTCGTACCCATTCTCTGGAAAACAAAAAGAGTCTGCAGCCCATCTGTCCACACAAAATAGTTGGAATTTTTCCAGCGGAGGTTCTGTGGGAAAGAAATGTATGAAATATTAAAGGCAGGAAATAGACTGTTCCTCCCAGAACAACACAAAACAATACCAACCATCCTTTCAGACTTTCTTCAGTGCCCCATCTTTCTACCAAATTCCTTCAGAAACATGGCTCCCATTTTCCTACTCCCAATAATTATTTATATATTTGGGAAGCAGCAACATTCCTAACTCCTTCTCTTGAAAGTTCAGAGATTATTACAATCTCAACTAAACATTCTAGAAACCATGCAACAATCCAGGACAACAAAGAAGGCCTGTGGTATCCCATTGATTGGTGTGTCCTCTTCCTACATCCCACTCAAGGAAGCTTCCACATTTTTTCCAAGTATATTAAACCAGGACTTATGCAACTGTATCTATAAAAATATTTTCACAGATAAAATAAAAACCAAAAGTTGACCCACATTAAAATTAGACACAATATTTGTTGAGCTTGTTGGAAAAAAAGAGTAATGATGTTAGTTCCACTACTAGAGAGTTTCCAAAACTCATGTTCCCAGTCATAATAGGCTATTCCAAGTCTTTCTTAACAGTTAAGCAACCAGACACCACATGGAATGGATGCCAGCACTCGGAGCAGCTCAGGGAGCAAAGAAAGGTTAATCGGATCAGCAGATTTATACAGAACAACCAGACCTATTCTAGCTCTCAACAACTGATCACAGAAAATCCTCTTAAATCCTCCTGCCTCACCAAGCAAGGTTTAGGAAAGCAGTAGTACCCAACTTTCAAGCTAGATTGCTTCATCTAACTTCAAAGATGAGATATTAATTCCCTAAATATCAGATGACAAGATACTGGGACTTAACTACAATATGTACCATTTTGTCCAGTGTATTCTAGGCAGGTTTACCATTTACAAATAATGACATGCAATCTTAAAAGAAAGAGTAAAAAAAAGAGATGGGGAATGAAAAGGAAAATAGGCACACTAAGTTATTCAAACTGGAAATGAGGTGAGATTGAAATAAATCTTTTGTTAGCCTCTGTAAAGCCCTCACTCATCTAAAGAGAGCCAAAGAAATCCATAGGGAGGTACTAGACTATTGAGGCTGTAAATATGAGAAGGTTTTTGCCTTCAGTGCAGTGAATTCATATCAATGCAAGCACTGATTTGGAATTTAAACATTCTGTTCCAAGAAGCCAAGGGTGCTGTACCACGAACTTTTATGACTCTTTGGCAATATAGCCCATCATCAGTGGTAAGTCATTGCATGTCAATGACACCTGTTCATTGTAGTTGTTTGCTCCACTGAACAAAACTTGGACTGAATTTAAATATGTATCCTTCAGTTAGGCAGCTGGATAGCAAGACACACGAAGAACCAGGAATAAGGACCTCGTTTTTAAATCACAACATCTGTTGATATTTGAAAAGTAAATCACACAGATCATTGCCTATTGCGACAACAGCAAAAATGCTGAGTGCTTGCAATGGATCAGGGTGTCAAACAGAAAATACAGTTTGATCAACTAAAAGCTCAGAGACCAAATATACTTCCTGGCCACTGTTCCAAGACAACTTCTGCACAGCTTCCTGACGCTTCCAAATACCCTGGAAACCTACAAATCTTTTGTCCCAAATGCTTCTGTCCTCCTTCCCTTTAATTACCCAAATTACAGTGACCTCTGTTAAACTTCACAAATCTGTCCAGGAAAAAAGGTGAATGATATAACAGTTATTAAAGCTCAAGATATGTGATACAGGACAAATGCCCAGGCACACTGCCTAGAAGGACAAGACAAACCTAGGAAATAACTACAGAACCGAGCAAATAGAGCCAGAACAAAGCATATATTGCTCATTCTATGAGATTTCAATGATCCAATGGGCTCACCCCAATCAACTAATAGCACAGCAAGAGTCAATGGAATAATGGGCTGTGAACAACGCTGCAGCCAAGAAACTTACTTATACAGCCAATAATCAATAAATTAGAGAGGCCACCTTTATACAATATTACAAAATAGTAGCAAACATATAACATTTCAACCAGACTTCACTAGGACTACACTAATGCCGGTACTGAGCAAATTAGTGAGTCACATTCCAATACTCCATTTGTGTCCATAGCTGCAGCTGCAAATCAGCAAAGGTAGTCATGTAGTCATGACAAAACTGCAGATAAAGTTTGGAAGCCTGTTATAAGAATCTAAATATAAATTTTCTTGTTGGTTCTTTTGAAAATGACATCAGCCTTCCTTATTGTTGGGATTGTTTGTTTTTGCTTCTTAAAATAAGAAAGAATTAAAAGATTAAGAAGAGATTCTGCTACAAGCATATTGGGCAGTGTAAAGGGATACAAAGTCTATACATTACATTGAAAAGATGTGAAGGCAGCATGAAGCAACAAGAGAAACCAGGAAATTGGGTGATGGGGGGAATCTGAAGGAAGAGCTGTTGTTTATGACTTCCAAATCATAAAAAGTGCCAGTAAACCAAGTCAAAGAAATGTTAATAACCACTCAACTTACACATAATCACATGTACACAACAAGCTAGCCCTCAGTAAAGACCATAAGAGGGCAACTGTGATGGAGGATGCAATACATTAACTTAGGGTGCTTTGTGTGATTTGCTATCACATGAATACAGTATTAACAAAACGTACAATAGACCACTTAAATGACAGCTTAGGCAATTATTGCAAGGCCAATCATTTTTCATGGATCTCAGACACAGATATCTAAAAATAAATTAATGTGAGCAGAAGTCAGTGTAACAAGATGTCCGAAGAAAACAAGAATAAAGGAGCACACAGTAAATTATGCTCATCAAGAGCAAAAGAAAAGTATGCTTGTTCAAAAAGATCTTAGAAAAAGAAGTGATTGGTATGTATGCAAGAAGTCCAGGGTGTGATGGTGAAGAACGAAGGACAGCTGAGAAAAACAGAACTGCCCAAAGGGAGGGAAAAACACTGGTCAAAGAAGACTGTAAGGCCTTCTGTATCCAGCTAACCCTATCAATAGGAAATTCTAGCTTTATACTGACAAGATTCTGAAAGGTTGGAAGGTGAATTAACATGCCAAGCCACAATAATATATTGCATTATAACAGTTGCAACAGCTAGGACCCCTTCCAGTTTATCCTGTTTCATCAGATGAGCTTTTAAATGTCTTAAATACTATTTGGTTTATCTAATCCAACTCCTTCCCAGGTCTTTCTTCCTGGAAACTCCTCAACCAATTCAATGAGACAGCTACTGTTCTACAAATTCTGCACACATTATTTATCACACAGAAGTTGGTACAAAAACCTGAGCTGCTTTAAAAATATAACAGGTGTTGAAACAAATTTGGAAATCCACAGGTGGTGTTTACAAGGGATTCCTAGGGTTCAATAGAGAGCACTTCTATCTCTTCCACAGCTACCTGTCCTAACCTAACCTGTTAGTTTCTTCTATTCATCCCTGCTCTTGCACATTTCTTCCATTTACCATACTGCTTTTTTGTTACATCCAGACCTCCATATTTAAAAACTACAGAGTGCTAAACCTGGGGGGAGCATAAAATAAAGTTTGTTTCAACGTGTGTTTTCTTTGCTTGCACAATTACTCCTGTATTCAGAATCTGGGCTTCCTTGATAACCAGTTTAAACAATCCTCTCCTGCCTTACCATGACCCAGATGTGGAAGGATATGCTCAAACCAAGGTAAGTTGCTGACAAGACAATGGTCCCTTTAAATTTCTGGAACAGAAGATTAACCAGGCCAGCCTGGAAGACGAAGGTATTGAAGAACATGAGGAAGATGATGATGACATTGAAGAGGATGGCAATATCCTGAATGCTGTAAGACAGGCAAACATTTTAATGAGACAGAGATTGATAGATACCTTATACACAGAGGTGTACCTAGGTTCCCTTGCATCCTTGGCATCACACACACACCCTGGTCCCTTGCACAATTGCATTTCTCCACCGAAGCACCCACAGGAGCCTGCATGCTTTGCCCAGCCACCCATAGTATTGCCAAAGGAGCAGCCCAGGGAGCACACAAACAGGCAAGCAAGTTCCTAGCCACTCCAAGCCAGAGTGGAGAGGCACAATTTTTGTGCACACACTCCAGGCCTGCACCCTTGGCAGGGGCTCACCTAACCAACTCCTAGGTATGCCCCTGCTTGTGGCTCTCCAAATACTACTGGACACCAGCTCCCCACCACCACCCATGGTCAGAGATGATGGGAGTTGTGGTCCAGCAACTTTTGGAGGGCCACAGGCTCCCCACAACTGTGGCTAAAGCCTAGTACTTGGAGAACAAAAAGCACATTAACATAGCTGCAGAAGTTTTCACTGTCCATGCTGCCAACTGAGACATTAGTCCACCAATTGCAGAGGAAAGGGAACCCCGAAACCCTTGCTAGAAGATTACAATGGAAATAATACCTGCTGCAGCTACCTCTATTTCCCCCCTGCTTATCACTCATTCTCATAATCTGGGGGTAGAACTTTATGTAATGGAAATTGAGCTAACAGCTGCTAATACCCACAGAGAAAGATAGAATGAATGGATTATAATAGCACCAGCCCTTTAAAAATATCATTCAACACAATACAGCCTACTAACTGCCGATGTTTCAGGAGTAGGGAAAGAATAATAATTTTCTTGGTATCTTTTATTCTACTTCATTCCTCCATTCATTTCTTCTCTGGCACTCTCTTCTTCCCATTTTCCTGAATGAGAGTGTCCCAAGAAGAGTAGAAACAAACAGAAAGTGCATTCCTGTGCATGTTTACTCAAAAAAGTTTCACTGTGTTCAATGTGGCAAATTCTCTGTAATCCTAAGCCCATTTACTATGGATCAAGTCCTCTTGTATACATAAAGGCTTAAGCCGCAATTCTATGCACACTTACACAACAGTAAGCATGACTGAAAACAATGGGACTTCCTTCAGAGTCCACATAATATATAAGATTGCACTATTGCTCCTGAGTAGACATACTAACCATCTCTTCTCCATTCCAAATCACTTATTCAAGCACTAGTCTACAGTTCTATCCAAGGACCTGAAGAGTAACCACGTTTTTGATCCCCACAGCTTATTTAAGAGCTCATAGCACTGTTGAGCATCTTTTCAAAGACCAATGTATACAAGCCCTTTAAAAAAAAAACAGACAGTGACAAGCACCCACTGTTGTGCCATACTCACATGAAAAGCACAAGCTGGATGACGGGCGCCATGCGCAGCAGCTCCGAGAAGGAGTTGACAAAGAGGTCATAGAACAGCAGTAGGAACTGCAAGGAAAGCACCAGGCTATAGTTGCTGGTTTGGAGCATCTTCCTTGCCTCAGTGTCTGCATCCCAGATGAGAGGGACACCTCATGCTCACACAACAGACGGATACAAACTTTTTCCTCCAGCGCAATCACTCATAGCTCCCTTTGGACAGAGACCTGAAACCTGCAGAAACACCAGGTGGGGGAAAAGAGGGAGAATAAGCTGAACAACACTTGCAATAATAGCGGGGGGGGGGGGGATCACAAATCTGGAGCACACCACACACAATCTAGCACTAGAGAGCAAAAATAAACCAGTCAGAAATACAAACAATGAATAAGAATTCCTTTGTTGAAGTAAGACAGGATGCACCATCAACTGCTATTGCTTAACATTGTTCTTAACACTTTTCGATGATCTAAGAACTTTACTCTTGCTGCCCCTCCGCAGCTTTTCTATTTCTACACAGGGGAAAGCAAAGCACGAGGGTGGGTGGCGAGGGCTAACTGGCCACAGCCACCTCCAAGGGCTGGAAAAGGCGCTTTTTCTTCCTAGGTAACACGGATCAAGCTCCACGGACCTCATCTCCTTGGTGATCAAGATTTCAATCCGGGTACACGCGATCTCGTTCTATGGGCTCCCAAGCGCCCTCGACCTCACGCTCCCCGTGTTAAGTAACGGGGCACGACAGGTCGCGAAAGATAGGCCCGTCGCTACTCCAGCTCGCGCTCTTTGCTCCCGGCCCTCACCTGGCGCGGCAGTTGCCCGTTCCCATGGAGACGGCGCAGCCACTCAGGGGAGCGTAGGAGGCAGCCTGGCCGGAAGCTGCCGCGCTTGCGGTCACGGCCACAGAGTTGTAAATGACAGAGCGGACGGAGATTCTCGTGGCCCGGATAGGAAACTTCCGCCCTGCTTCTGGAAGCCATTTATAAAGTCTTCCACGGGGCGGAAGTGAATGCATCTGAAAGAAACCCGTGATTCTACAGCGGCTTAGAGGGGACTACTTTTTTTGATGCTTAGTTTTTATAAAAAAAAAAACACCACACACATTTAAAACATGGCCCGGCACACTCGGATCACATTTCACCATCTCTAAATTGTGTGCGTCGGGGTTTGTGGCTTGGAGAGCTGCTTATAACAGCCCTGCAAGGACACTATTAATGGTGCAGGTCAGAAGTAGCACGAACGTTTGCATTTGCAGGTTACAGCAGTCTAGTTCATTTGCCTCTTCATACCACCCTCATCCACTAAACTCCGTAGACTCCACGCTACACTCGCAAATGTTTACAGTGGTGTGCGCGCGCCTCTCACCTGATACAAGACCCCGAGTTAGAAAATTATAGACTCCTCTCTTTGCTACTACTTTTTGCTCGTTATGTGGGCACCTGCTTCCCAACTATTGCTAAAGTAAAATCTTCAATTTCTCCTTTGATTTCTATGAGCAGCTGAAATTCCGCGTGCAGACGACAACCGCTGGCGCTCTTTTTCCCTATCTGTATGATACATGGTGCGGAGAGCGTGTTTTTTGTTTTTGCCTTTATTTACCCTTTGCCGCTGATCCGGCTTTTGAGCTTTTCTGGTGGATTATTACCACTTAGGTGCGAAAGAAATAATTCTCCCCTTCCTTCCTTCCTTCCTTCCTTCCTTCCGTCTCCTTCAGCGCACTAAACTGGAACTTCCAGCTGCTGGAGAGGCATTCCACCATTTGATGAAATCAATCCGTGTTTACTGCCTCAATTTTTAAAAATGCAGTCGTTCCAGTGAAATCAGACCACCGGAAATCTATTTTTGTTTTGATATCACAGCTACAGAGCGAAATCCTGCAGCGCGATTTCAGCAGATTAAGGGGCACCTAACGCCGCTGCCAGTCTACAATAATAACTTACTGGCGTGGAACAGGGAGTTATAGAAAAGGTTGCCAACCTGACAAAGCTCCTCCTTTGCCTTCAGCCCTTGCTGTGTGACAGGCAAAACTTCGTCACGTGACGCGTTTCCTGTTAATACACCTGTATACATACCTGCAATATACCTATACCAGCTCAATTTGCCGGGCACTTAGGCATCCAGGAAGTCCCTCATCTGACGCAAGGGAAAACAGTAATGACGGGTGCACCTAGGTACAGGCAGAAGCAAACGAAGAGGCTTGTAAAGCATCCTTAAATGAGAACTTTCCCGGCTCGATTCCCCGCCGTGTTCATGCCCAGCAATATACTGTATAGTACTGTACAGATCTTGCCGAGAAAACTACATTTCCCAGAAACCCGTCGTGGCGTTGGCTGGACAGTGCCATAAACTGCGCCTAGACTAATCTTGAGTGCCTCCTGTCATGAGCAGAAACGATGGAGCTGAAGGGGACCTGGAGCTTTGGAACTACTTTTCCCGGCGCTCCCCGCGACTCAGGCGGAAGCGAGGTGTGAGCCGTTGCTTGTATTTCTCGGTTCTTTGGGTGCGTGGTCGCAGCTGGGTCGCGAAAGCAAACCTTGACCCTTGTGTGCGCGCAATCCCTCTTGCGGCTGTTCCCAGGCGCTTCCCTGCAAGGGGCGATCCCGCTACCCATTTATACGTTATGCTATCTAGCAAGTGTCACTTCCTTATTGCTCCTCATATGCGCTTTAATGGCGCGGTCGGGGGTGTGCACTGGGCAGCAGAACCCGCAGTGCTTGAAACTGCTTGCAAGTTGCTCTCTGGAACTGCTGTGGGTTCAGCTTCGCTCGACAGCCTGGATCCAATAGATGTTTCGTGTGCTAGTTGAACAAAGATGCGACCGGGGATCCTGCAGCCATGCAGGTGCTTCTGGACTCCAGCTCCCATCAGCCTCAGCCACAAGGGGGAGATGGCCTGGGTCATGGGAGTTGTAGTCTATCAGTATCTGGAGAGCAGCAGGTGTCCCAGTTGTGCAAGGTAACTGTACTGTATGTTGCTTACGAAGGCTGTTGCCGCAGCAAACCAATTTATCGCTTAAATGCCAGCAGCTTTCTTGCGGCAGAGCACTGGACGTCACGGGACTTTGTGCTTTATTGTTAACTTTATGAGGCTGGAGTTGGTTCCTTGTTCAGCACGCATGAGGGAGCAGCCTGAATATGGAACTGACGTTTGCACACTTCTGCGCCTTGCGATAAGTTGTCGGCAGCCGCGTTTCACTTCCAGCGTCACCCCGAGAGACTGCCAGCTATAAGTAGTGCCATCTTAGCATTCTCTCCCATCCAAGGGTTGGTTTTTTTGTTTTGCATTGGCTGCCGTTATGTTCGTGAAACCGAGAGACGGTGAAATTCAAGGCTAAAAGACGGAGTAGTTTGTCACAAGTTAAATCTGTTCACCAGTCGATGCCAGAAATTATTCTAATTTAAATATCGACCCACAAGTGCTTAAAGTTCTCCCTCTCTTTGGAAGCAAAGGAAGGCAAAAGCAGCAACCACCTGGTGCGATTTTCAAAAGGGGCTCTTTGGCATGGTAGTGCATCAGTGTTTATTAGTTATTGCCACAGTGGCCATTTTCTGCTCTTCTCTTTGACCCGGCTTATACTTTGCAGTAAAGCTATAAGACTGTAAGTAAAAAGGTTGATCATAAAGATAAATGATTCTAATCGGGTAGCTGGTCAAAACATGTTAGCAAAACCATATTTTGAATGAAACATTTCCAAAGTTGGCTGTAGTTTCTATGTATTTCTTTTCTTATCTTACACCTACTTACCCTTGATGTTTACACTTCCTTTCCTAAGGGTGTTTTAATACTTTGTTCTAAATCTATTGATGGGGGGGTTGTGTGTGTGTGTTGTTGTTATGAATTTGTGGGGGTGAGAGACACTCTAAATTCCTGGGTCCAATAAAAGTTATAATTAATCAAGGACTGGGGAGTTAAAACTGCCGAGCACTGAACCAACAACAATTCTATACTGCCCTTCATCCAAGGATCACAGGGCGGTTTAAAATATAAAAGGACCAAAATGCATGCCATAGTAACAAACAAAAACACAGTAGTTACTCTGTGCTGGATAGCAGAGGGGTGTGAGCCCCTCCTCCTTCTAGAGAGGTAGATAGTAATACAAATGGCCATTTTTCAGTTGCAGTGGACTGATGTAAGCAAGAGGGAAAATAGTTTTGGGAGGGAAGCAGAGTCTCTGGAGAAAAGGCGGTCACAGCACAATGTGGGCTGACAGTTTGAATCCAGCGTGGCAGCAATGATAGAAACAGGGCCCTCCTGACCTGTAAAACTCCCCCATATAATTGTGGGAATTGTAGTTGTAGGTGCTGTTAATTGTAGCTCGGTGAGAGGCAAACTACAATTCCCAAGCTTATTTTGAGGAAGCCATGAGCTTTGAATGTAAATGTATGGTACGGGTGTGCCCCCAAACTGAACTGGCAACTTTAAACAATTTTTTGTGGGCTATCCCCCCCACAGAAACCACACAGGACACAGCTGCTCAGCAGCTTTCACTTTTGCATCAGCACATTTTCCTCTTGGCGTACGTGGTGAGTTAATGGCACAAAAGTTTCAGTAGAGCTCTCCAGTTCACGAGAAGATGCTAGTAGAAGATGCCAGCCATCCAAACTGAGAGTCTGGCTGCAGTTAGACAAGAGACTTTTTTTTTTAAGACCCTAGATTGTCATTCACTTAACTTCCAGCCCACCTTTGTACTGTGAAGAGCAATGTTTCAGTCATTGCCATAGTCTTTTAATGCACACACTCTGCAAGCTTCTCACTTCTGTCTTGAAAGCAGAAGTTGGGATGATCTTGTGACCGTTGTCTCCCTCCAGGACCCAGTGGTTGCAGGTGCAGCATCTGTGCAGGGCTGCTGGGTTGGTAGAAAAAGTTTGTGGTTTGCACCTTTCACTGTGGGGACAGTTCGTAAATAAATTTGAAAACTAATGTGAGGCTATCTGTTTTCTTATGCAATTGGCTGCAGTGACCTTTATTTTTGGCTGAAACTCAGCTATGGCTCTTAGATCAAGTTGGATCCAGTAGTAGCCAATCTAACTTCACTTTATGAGTGCCAGTGTTACTTACACAAAAGTTTGCCTTGGTTCACAGAAGAGCCTTGGATATCAGAATTGGACATAACACATGGTATCTGCTGCCTAACTAGATTTAACTAAATTGGAGTTGCATCCTGCCAGATCATATGATCAATTTAGTGTAGGTTCTGGTTCCTGATCAACAACTGTGGGACTGTTTTGTTTCTCTGGAAACTTTCTCTTCAGTAACATGTGTACTCCTTTGGTGTTTCTGTGCGACTTGGCTTTGGGAAGTATGGAATCATCAGTACCATTTACTTTCCGAAGGAAGTAATTGAGCCTCCTTCTTTTAGTGGACAGGGGCTGCAGACAGTAGAAGCCCCTGCTGACACAGTTGGATATAGTCTGTGAGGTGTGTTACCCCATTGGACAAGCTGCTGGTAACTGCCAGCCTTGACTTTTGCGAGAATAGTGGTTAGAATGTGAATTGCCTTAACCAGCCTGGGGAAATTCCAGATCTACCTTCCACTTAGCTGTGAAGTTTTGATGTTTCATGGTCTGTGGTGGACATACTATTGAAATCAGTTCCTCTGACCCAGCGTCTGAGACTCCACCCTATTTTGGGTTACAAAACTGTGTGACAGAAAAACAGTTCTCTGCTGAAGGGAGGAAAGCAGAACTAGGTAGTAAGGAAAGGGAGGAGGCAAAAATCTTGCTGGTGCCAGAACCAGCAGATGGTTGGATAGCTTTTACAGCTAGCTGGTCTCTTGCCTTCTCAGGTGTGCTCCCTGTGAACAGGATGATTCCCAGAGTCTCATTCTTGCTGCTCTCAATCCTACTGGGAATTCTGGGGATCTTGTGTGTGGTGTTCACAGTCTACTGGACCCAACACTGGCTTGGTGGCTTTGCCTGGGATGGTTCTTCTCAGATGTTTAACTGGCATCCAGTTTTCATGGTGACAGGCATGTTGGTCTTGACTGGTGCAGGTAAGTGAAAAGAGGATCCAATCATTTTCTGATTTCCCCTCCTCCTGCCCCAGTAGCAGAACCGATATTAACATCCTATACAGTGGTATCTCGGGTTAAGAACTTAATTTGTTCTGGAGGTCTGTTTTTAACCTGAAACTGTTCTTAACCTGAAGTACCACTTTAGCTAATGGGGCCTCCCGCTGCCACCGCGCGATTTCTGTTCTCATCCTGAAGCAAAGTTCTTAACCCGAGGTACTCTTTCTGGGTTTGCTGAGTCTGTACCCTGAAGCATCTGTAACCTGAGATACCACTGTATCCTTTTAAGTGTGTTTGTGGGGGGGGGGTTTATTTTATTATGTATCTTGTGTTTTTATCTTGTGTTTTTATGCTGTGAACCACCCTGAGATCATTGGCTGAAGGGCAGTATACAAAACAAGCAAACCTGGGAATCAGTGACTTGGCTATTTTGGCGGGGATGTGGGATGGGTGCCTGAGCCATCTTGGCTCTAGTGACTTCTCCCCCTCTTTCTCCTCCAGCGGTGCTAGTGTATCGCGTGCCCCTCTCTTGGTCAGGGCCCAAACTGCCATGGAAGCTGCTGCATGCAGGACTGACCTTGGCAGCATTCATCCTAATTGTCCTGGGACTGGTGGCCGTCTTTGAATATCACAACAAACAGGGCATTGCCAACATGTACTCCCTCCACAGCTGGCTAGGGCTTGGTGCTGTGCTGCTCTTCTCCTGTCAGGTGGGTAAGAACCTAAGAAGCTGTAGCTTGGTGGCAGAGCACATACTTTGCATCGGGTGTGGGGAACATTCACCCTCCAGATGTTGCGGAACTACACTTCTCATCATCCCTGAGTATTGGCCATGCTTGCTAGGGCAAATGGGAGTTGCTGTGCTGCAACATCTGAGGGCCAAATATCCCCCACCCCTGTTTTACATGCAGAGGGTACTTGGTTCAGTCCCAGTCACTTTTATGTAGGGTCGGAGCAGGGGGAAACCTGTCTGAAACCGCCGCTTTTAGTGTTCGGGAGGGATACACAATCTTCAGGTTTGTTGGATCTACTTTGGTTGTTTTTTTTCACAAGAATCCCAAGAGCAACCAACCAGAGCTAGGTGCAAAAGACATATTTGGAATTAAATAAGGTGGTTGCCTCCTAGCACAATCTCAGCCCATGAATCCCAGTACTGAGAAAGTTGCCATTTGTAGATCTAACCTCCTTGAATTCATCGTAATACTTCTAAAAGCAAAGTATTTTGGTGGGTTGTCACCAGTGCTTTTTTCTGGGGGACACAGGTGTACGCATACCCCTAAACATTTTGCGAATTTAATTTTGGCCTCATTGAGGGGCAATATTTCAATATTAATAGGAAAATGAGAGTACTCCTAAACATTTTTTTTAAGAAAAAAAGCACTGGTTGTCACCCACATTGCATAGAAAATATACTTTTGTCTTAAACCTGCGGCCTGACACTTCTTGTATTTTGTGAGAGTGAATAATTTGTTGTAGCCACCCTTTTCATAAATATTAGGTTTCCTCCCTCTTGGGTAATCCCCCCCCCCTTAACCCCTTCACCGTGTGCACATGTGGTATTAAAAGTTTGTTTCAAACATTTTATTTGTTTTATTTAAAATGTTATCTGTAAAAGCGCAGTAGATATTTGAAAAAAACTAACCTAAATTGTTCACTGGTGGCTGCCTATCTCTCCCCCCCCCAAGCTCTCATAGCTAGTTTGAGATTTTAGATCATGAATATAATAAAACAAATACTTCTGCAAATCTGGTTTCTGCATTACTTGTGCTCAGTCCCTGTGCAGATACCATGCTGAGCCCTTCCTCCAATATGGGTTTCTGAAAATATCCCAATTTCTTATCTCTTCCATCCAGTGGGCCATGGGCTTTGCTTCTTTCTTGCTGCCTTGGGCTCCCACCTGGTTCCGAGCCTTGTACAAGCCCATCCATGTCTTCTTTGGCTCTGCCATCATCCCTTTAGTTGTGGCCGCCTGCATCTCGGGCATCAATGAGAAGCTTTTCTTCAAACTGTGAGTAGCAAAACAGAGAGGGCTTGATAATGGGAGGAGGAAATAGCACGCGCTAAAAAGACAATGGAGAATATGTTGCTGGTTATTTACACTGGAGAGAGTTGGCAGTCTTCTGGGGTACAAATAATGAGGGATGAAGAGGCAGCTGCTCAGCCTGGTCCAGATCGATAGCAGTCATTATAAGTTTGAAAGCAATGATAGCTTTGAGACCAGGAATAAGGAACATATAGTTCGGCAACATTTGAAAGGCCACTGGTTCCCCATCCCTGTTTTAGAAGTACAGAAGGGAAATGTGTCCACAAGGCAATGGGGAACCTGAGAATGCGGTTAAACCACATGTAGCAGAAGCAGATGGGAATGTGGAGCTAGTGTCTGGAGGCTTGCAATGTGAAGATAGTGTTCTGCTCAATAGGTCATTGTACACATTTCATTGAATATAAGATGTGCTCCAGCCTCGAGCCCAAATGCATTACTTGGGTGTCTGGGACAGCAGAATGGCTGTTGGAGCAAAGCTACATATGGTGAAAGAGATTATGTGGCTTAATATAGATTGTTGGCACTATCCAGATATTTCCTTCTTTGTGGGTCTCTGGGGAGGTGTTTGTGGTGCTATTGGCTTTTCATCAAGCATTTCTGCTTTTTGTCTGTACTTTTAGAACAAGCACAACCACACCCTACTCTCAGCTTCCTGCAGAGGCATGGTTTGCCAACATATTGGGGATGCTGATCCTGGTCTTTGGGCTACTGGTTCTGTTTGCCCTTGCCATGCCAGTATGGAAGCGTCCAGATGTGAATTCGCAAGATACCCAAGAGGTGGTATTATTATTATTATTATTATTATTATTAGCCTTTAATATTTATTTATTTTACTACAACTATTTCCTGTCTATCCTTCAAGGCATCACACAAGGTTTTCTGTCTCCCCCACTACAATTTATCCTAACAACAACCCTGTGAGGCAGGTTAGGCTAAGAGGGACTGGCCAAAGTCACCCACTGAGCTACATGGCTGAGAGGGGATTTGAACCTGGATCTTCTTGGTCCTAGTCCAGCACTCTAGTCACTACACCATACTGGCTCGAACCCACTGATGTCTGTTGAGTTTAAATGGTAGTGTGTACTAGCTTGGACAAAGTAGCGGAAGGATGGGGGAAGAATTTTTCAGAAAATGAAACTCTTGTTCAACTGTTGTTAGGATGAGAGCAGCGTATTTTCGCTGTGTACAAACAAGAGTTCCAAATAGATTTGGTGCATCCCATGTTTACATGTTTTTTTTCTGTCATCCACATGATTTTATCCTCCTTCAAGTAGAAACTTGCACCACCTCCCAATAATTCAGATTTATTTGATACATGATAATGCAGTATTTGATAATGCAGTAAGGGGGGGGTGGGAATCCAACATAAAGCCACATGCTACCCAAATATGAATGTACTAAAGCACATTATGTGGGTGACACCCATATACATACGTGTGTGATGATGTTTTGCTGGGTGTCATGTTTTCATCATCACCTCTACTTCTGATGACAAGGCTCAATGGGCTTCTGGTGGGGCTGAGTATGACCTCATATATGCTTTTCCCCCCTTTCTTTTTTTATAAAAAAATCTGCTGTTTTCTGCAAATCTGGTATATCAGAAAACTTGTATCTATATTTCTTTTAATGGCTGTGCACACGTAAGCAAATACCTGTGCAAATGCTCATAATGGACCGCAGGTGTCCTTAAGTCAGGGAGGGGTTCTATAAAGTACTAATGGGGAAGTACTAATTGAGGAGAGGGGGGACAATAACACATAGTATGAGTATAGCCCATCAAGAACTGACCGATAGTATGGACAGGAGACATTAAACTTCATTAGATTTTGGGTTGTGGGTTTTTGGTTTTATTTTATACACACACACATACGCAAAAATGTTCATTGCATACCACCCTAACGAAGGAAAGAACTGAACAGTGGGGCGTATTTTTGAGATTTCATTTTCGGTTAATGATAAGACATGTTCCTTGTGGATTAATTATTAGCCTGACTGGCTTCCAAAAGTTCTCTGTCCTCTTTCCCCATAGCCTCCATGGGTTTATATTGCAGAACATTTGTTTTGACAACACAGACATAGAATGACACATGTGTATAGTAGTGGAACTTATCCCTGGCAAAAGGAGCAACAGTATGGGAGCTAAATCCTAGAAACCTGGTCTGGATTTTCTCTGCAAGAGGGCTAGACTGAACATCATAAGCAATAGACAATATGTTCTGAGAGAGTTTAATATCTGAGAGTGAGATAGAAAGCTTGTGGAATCAAGCTTTATTATTTACTTCTGGTGTTCTTTTTCTACAGCCCTTGCTACAGGAGGATAAATGAAGCAGCAAACAGGAAGGATTGTGATCCAGACCTGTGTGGTGGCCTGTTCTCCACTGAGATCTTCAACCGTTCTTGCTTCTGTTTTCAGTGCAAGAGTTGAAACTTTAATTGTGGCACTGAATTGTCTGGCCTTCTGGGTACTTTATTAATTCCCCCCACCCCACCCCACCCCGGCTTGCTCTTGCTGAGTTGTTGAGCTGCTGGAAATCCAGGTATCTCTGAACAATTAATTTCTTAGTTGCTATTGTGCCATTATGACAAGTTCCCAGATTTTTGTACTTCATGGACTTATTAGAAACCTAAATTATCAGATGAAATAAATGATTCCTTCTAATTGTTTTACTGTTGGATTTGCAGGTGCTTCCACACTAGATGTTCAGCGTGGAATTGTCATGCTTCAGGCATTCACTTTTGAATAGGGCATCCATACAGTGCTGACATCCATGTATTGTCCTCCGGTGTTTTCCTGCGACTCTTGTCAGGTATTTGTATGTGTTTAAGAACAGAAAAACAGCACAATTCTGAAGGTGTCTGCGGCCTTAGCATTACTCATCCATCTTCTTAAAGGGATGGAGTTTCAATGAGTGTGTCCAGATGAGTGTCTCCTACTGCTATCAATCATGACCCTCCCATTATAAGCAGAATTGCAACTGATTATCCACCTGCCTCTGGTGCTCTGATGCAGTGTCTGCATCTCATATTTTGTCCACATGGTGGGCATGACATAACTGTATGGACAAGGTTATATCCTTCTGTTTCTTCACCTGTTGGTTGGCTGCCACACGTCTCCTTTTCCTCTTTTGGGGCGGGTGCTCCTTAGCACTATTTTAACCCCCTGCTTTGTGTGCCCTTCTGTGTGAATGTGTTTACACAATTAGCACAATTGCAAAAAACTTAAGAAGTAAAAAAGAGTGCTTGCAGCTTACTTCCAAGTAAACATCATTAGAGATCAGGCTCTAAATCCCGTGGATTTCACTTGAGAATGACTAATCTCTAGTTCAGTCAATTTTGCAACCAGATCTAATTGGACAATCCAGTGTAGCCAGTTCAACAACCCAGCTAGAAAGCATGCTAAATTGATTCCCCGTCCCCTTGCTTATTGGTTGCAGTATTTTGCCACAGCACAATTGTTAAATGTTTTTAATAGTGTCTGCAGCACAGGGGCTGGAGGATTGTGGCCTTGCAGGATTACTGCTGAAACCTACACCTTGTTACTTGGAAGTTAGCACTACTTTATCTTAATGCAGTTTACTAATAAAATAGCTAACTGAAGTGTGTAGGTTGAAGAAACCTCGTTCCAGGGAACAATTTATTAAGACTGAAATCTGGTAGAAAGGAGTTGGGGTGCAGGACATGAAATTATTTTTAAACCAGAAGTACATGGCAGGCTTTAGAGAAAGGAGCGGTCATCTCCAACATGTCAGCTACCTTCCTCAGGGAAAACAACTCCCAGTGTGGTTCAGATGTGACTTTTCCTGTGCACAACTGCAAGGAGATTGCTGTGCACTTCTGCTCTTTCCCTCTTTAACAGTAAGAAAAAAGGTGGAAGAAGCAATGGGAAAGCATGGGAGGATTATACTTGGCTTACATCCAGATGCCCTGTAAAACTGCATGACGGAGGCATACCAAATACACATTAAAAGCTTAAGAGAAGGCATAATGAACACATATACTGAAAGCCTCATAGGGAAGCAGCCAGTGTGTGCCATGATCTATAAGCAAGGACAATAATAATAATAAATTTTTATTTATATCCCGCCCACCCCAGCCAAAGCTGGGCTCAGAGCGGCTAACAACAATATTGCCATTCAGTGTACCATTGTTATCTTTCTAGTTGGAGTCATTATATCAACCCCATTCATTTTTTTCACTCATTGTTAGTTTAGCTCTGTATTTTATTTTGTTGGTAGACACACACAAAAAGCATATATATTTCTATCATAGGACTCTGGTACACCGTGGTGACTGGTAGGATAGAAAGTTAAAGATAGAGCCAGAGCCACCCTCCTCTCTGCTGAGTTGTACAAGCAATACTGAGACTAAGGCAGCCAGGACCAATCCCTGGACTGGATGCTAAAGTAGGATGGCAGACATTTGGGGGCAGACTGGGGGCAGACTGGGACTGGTGGGGCAGTGCCCTGATTCATACCTCCACTGGTGCTACACAAAGTGTTATGCCTTCCTTTTTTCTTTTCTTTTTTACTTTGTTGCAGCTACCACCTAGTAAGAGTTCCTTAATACATCTGGGTCATCTGTCATTAGAGTCAAAGCAAGGGACACTTTGGCCTTGCTCTCACATGGGGCTACTTCTTGGTGATTCTACATTGGTAGCAGCCAATGCATAATATGTATTGGGATGCCTTGTCTAGTCTGCAGAATGCACACCGCTTTTTCAAGATGTCATGCGTTTATGTTTTTATTATATCCTCCTAAATACTTCCTGTAAAGTAAAGGTAAAGGGACCCCTGACCATTAGGTCCAGTCACGGACGACTCTGGGGTTGCGGTGCTCATCTCGCTTTACTGGCCAAGGGAGCCGGCGTACAGCTTCTGGGTCAAGTGGCCAGCATGACTAAGCCACTTCTGGTGAACCAGAGCAGCACACGGAAACGCCATTTACCTTCCCATTGGAGCGGTACCTATTTATCTACTTGCACTTCATGCTTTTGAACTGCTAGGTTGGCAGGAGCAGGGACCGAGGAACGGGAGCTCACCCCGTCGCGGGGATTCGAACCGCCGACCTTCTGATCAGTGATCTGCTTATTTTTCCAGTAACAAATGAACATAACCTTCTTTTGGGGAGGGGAGCCATTCTACCCCCCACCCCATGGCAACATGGAATATATATATATATATATTAAAAATAATATTTATTGATTTTCCAACCATTTAAACACAATAGAACAGAAAAAAACAAAAAAGAAAAAGAAAAAGCAAAGCAAAGAAAAGAAAAAACATAAGATTAACAAAACAAGACGCAAACCATTTAAAACACAAAACAATTTCAATATCTTAACTTTCATTCCCTTATTTCCACGACCTCCTCACACCTCCCTTTTTGTATTCCACTTCTATTAATTGTTTCAGCAATTCCTTTTCATCTTCCTCTGTTTTCTATCCTATAATTATCTTAACATATTCTAATCTTATTTTTCCCTTTAATACTCTGTTAGTCTATTTATACTTAATTTCTTATAGCATTTCTACTAAAGCCATATAACTTCATTCCAACATTTTGCTAACATTCATTATTTTTACAATATTTCTATAAATAGTCTTAAACTTTTTCCAGTCTTCTTCCACCGTCTCTTCTCCCTGGTCTCGGATTTCTGCCAGTCGTTTCCGCCAATTCCATATAGTCCATCAACTTCATCTGCCATTCTTCCTGGATAGATAAATCTTGTGTCTTCCAGTACTTCACAATGAGTATTCTTGCTGCTATTGTTGCATACGTGAAAAGAGTTCTATCCTTCTTTAACACCAATTGGCCGACCATGCCCAGGAGAAAGGCCTCTGGTTTCTTCAAAAAGGTATATTTAAATACCTTTTTCATTTCATTTCATTATAAATCATCTCCCAAAGTGTCTTAATCCTTGGGCATGTCCACCAAAGGTGAACTCTAATCCTCAAATTCATCTGTTTTTCTTTGAGTTCAGTCATAGCAAGCGTCAACTTATATTCATCAAATTGCTTCTGTAGGGCTGGGGTTCTCTTGCTCTTTCTCTCCAGTTGTGTTTCTTTACATTCAGCAACAACAGCTTTTTCCCTGGCCTCCTCCGCAGTTTGCCGCAACATGGAATATATAGAGGTACAAATTAGAAAGTGATATTCAGGACGATGTTTGAATTATTCTAGAACTATGTTTTACCACATCCCTTTTTCCAGCATTCTTACTAAACAGCTCATCTTCAACTAGCCTGACATAAGCTGACAAGTCATTATTTAAATTTTTATATAGATATTTCGATCCTGCCATTCTAGTAACTAGGTATGAGATTAGCTCGCCTAGTTCAAGGCCAAGTATTTATATGATACTTGTGACTTCTCTCTCTCTGATATATATCTTGTTTTGTTGAGTCACCTCAGCTATCATTTTTGGAACTATAAACTACCGTATTTTTTGCTCTATAAGACTCACTTTTTCCCTCCTAAAAAGTAAGGGGAAATGTGTGTGCGTCTTATGGAGCGAATGTAGGCTGCACAGCTATCACAGTAGCTAAAACAGCAAGAGGGACTGCTGCTTTCACTGCGCAGCGATCCCTCTTGCTGTTCTGGCTTCTGAGATTCAGAATATTTTCTTTCTTGTTTTCCTCCTCCAAAAACTAGGTGCGTCTTGTGGTCTGGTGCGTCTTATAGAGTGAAAAATACGGTATGTACTATAATGTCAGTAGTGTTTGATGGTGCTTATGAAAGACAGATTGCTTTCTCCACGGTTAACCACATAAAGATTCCCTCCCATACCGAAACAAGCAGTGGGAAATGGTCTATTCCTGGCTGAGAACTATTTCTTGGCATGAAGCTAAATTTGTACTTGAATAACACTTACTGATACCTCCTGATTCAGAGCACTGGTATCTGGCTTAGTTATTCCTAGCATGTGGTGCCTGCTGTTTTTTTTTTGTAGATTTCAGTCTGTTAGAACTGGTAAAAGGCCATCACAGTCTAATATACGCTGATTGGTGAAATAATTCTCCCCACCACCCCAGACACATCCATAAACATACATAATACTCTTTCAGTCATCAACAGCTCCTCCTAAGTCTCATTCTTGCCACCTTTCTAAAACAAGCAATGATTTCTTCTTCTCTTGGTTTCAAATGTGTTTCAGAACTCTTGTACATGCTGCCCCTATGTATGAAGCTTATGGCAAACAGTAGAGAATGCTGTTGCTATCTTCAGGGGGAATTGAAAACTAGGTTTGTGCAATTAAAGTTAATTTGATACAGCATGACCACAAACCTTTCCACCCCCAATCATACTTTTGTGATAATGAAAGTAATAGGGGAAAGCACTGGAAAGGGTGGGATAACACATGCTTGATGCATTGTGCAAGGAAATTGAATGTTCAATACGCAGGTCATCTGGAGGCAACCTTGGCTTGGGGCATGCCTAGTCTTCTCTTCTATTCCTAGACAAAAAGAAAGGGGGGCGGGAGAGCAGAGTACTCAGTCTCTTGTCTAAAACTGTTGTTTGGCATTTTTACCTTAAAAGTACTAATAGCACTTCTGTAGTGTTGCTATTTTGTGGGCGGGGTTGTGCGAGAGCACCAAATTCACTTTTAATGTTTACTATATTTTGTGCATTGCCGTATATATCAACACGCTTCCACCCCCAGGTTGGAATTTTTGTGGCAAGAAAAGGAGGAAATGTCCTACAACGTAACACTTCCTTGAGCAACATAGTACAACCTCCTGGCAGACAAATGCTCAGGAACAGTGGATATCATGTAACCTCCCTGCAAACTTTGTACAGAAAGATGTGGGTGAATGCTCCATAAAAAGGTGATCTGGAAGCAACCTGAGACTAGTATATTGTCTTGTAGTGCAATCCTAACCATGTCTACAGACCAATAAATCCTATAGATCTGAACAGGGATTACTCCTAGGTAAGCAGGGTTAGGATTGAAGCCTTAATGTTGTTTAGAAAGTTCCATCCAGTCATCTGCTTCTTGACAAATGTTCTTTGCAAATGTAGTGATTGGCTCCTTAGTATAATTCTAATACCATTTCTCCTTGCCTAGACAAGCCATTCAATATCAGGTAAGCTTTCTATGAAGAAATTGGCTGAGTTGCATTATTCCAGTATTTGTCAACTAGATATTAAGCCACTGTTCCCCCTTTTGATATACAACAGGAAACAGAAGTATAAACTTATCAGGACTGTTGCATACATGGAAGCAATTTAGCAAGCTAAGAATGAACATTTGAAAAGGTGCAATATTTCTAAGGTCGGAATATTTCTGTTTTCCTACTTGGGTATATATGTGTGCACATATCATTCTCCTTAGTTACTGCCACTAGTACAAACCTGGTTTATTGAGGACAGTGATTAGCCCAAGTCAAATATGAGCTTATCTATTCCCATGAAACAGTTTTTCTCTACAAAATGTAGTTTCAAAGGAGCATCCTCTTTGTATAGAGGGCTAGGGAACCTCAGGGCCAGGAGCCAAATGGGAGCATCTCCCTTGGCCATGTCTCATCACCAGCCTTGATCCATGCTCTACTTCAGTGCTTTTCCTAGCTGGAGTGTGTCCTTGAACTAAGATAATGCTTTCTCTTGTTTACCTGGATGGAGAGGGTGTATGCGTAGAAACCTCTGACAATTGTGTGTCCATAATGTGTCAAAAATCCATTGCTCTGCTTACTTTTGCCTCTACCCCCACCCACCATTAACATACTAAGAAAAGCCTGCTGGATCAGACTAAAGACCCATCTAGTCCAGTGCTGTGGACCTGGGAACAGCCATACTTTCCAGCTTGTGATCCCCAGCCCCTGCTATTCAGAGGCACTATCTCTGATACTGGAGGTATTATGGTCATCATGACGAGTAGCCATGGATTATCTTATCCTCCACAGATTTATCTAAATCACAGCTTTCTTCTGTTATGAAAAAAGCCCACCCTGGCTTCATCGGTGGGGTGGTGTCTAGAAATCTCAGTCAGCATAGCTGAGTAACAGATGTACAAACTTCCTGTTTTGTTAAATGTAATCAATGCATGGCTTTAATCAAAGATCTTCAGGAACAGCTCCTAAATGGGGAGGTATTGCTGCAAAAAGTATGAAGCAGCAGAGTGACAACACAAGCAACTCCAAAGATAGGACTCTTTATTACAGCCAAATTTAATAAAGTACAAAGTAATGATCTCAAAACTAAGAATATAAAGCACTTATGTACTTATGCACAGGGTTACAGAAACACCAGAAACTATTCACTGCAAGGATGCTCTTGAGCCTGAAGTATTAGAAGCAAGGTACTATAAGAACATTATGTTGCCATTCTGAAGCTACTTCGAGTCAATGGAGAGCCCTGCACAGGAGAGGAATGGTGATACAACATTTTAGCAAGTCTTGAATTACGAGCTGAATCAAAGGAAGAAGGTATCACTGCACCCAGGACCCCTCCCAACAAGCTTTTGCCAGTCAGGATGGGCAGTCAAGAGCAAGAAGCTAGTCACATCATTGTAAGAGTTCTGTCCACATCATCAGGCCATATAAACTGAAATTGACCGCACAGAGTACTGCAATGGGCACCTCAACTAGAGTTGCAGTAACAGTGACATCCAAGGCACTACAGAGCTGCGTGATTTTATCCCCAAAGCATTGTGCAAATTGCTCACAGCATGCTGCCAAAGGTTCCAGAGGCCCATCTGCTACTTCTGGCACAACCATACTCTGAGACACTCAAAACAATTCTGCTGCATGGCTCTTCGAGGATACAATAGAGGCAGCAGAATAATCTCCCAGCCTGCTTCACTACAATTTAGGTCCAGGGTACCTCAGGGATCGCCTGAACCTTTATCTGAGATCAGCAGCAGGAGTGTTCCCTGAGTTGGTGAGGCTCATTTGACAACAATGAGAAACCAAACCTTTAGTGTCTTTGGCCCAGTCCTTTGGAATACTCTGCCAAGAGAGTTTCAGGAGGGACCTTCTGTGCCATCTTCTAAATGCCTGCTGAAAACCTTTTTATTTCACCAGGCTTATGCAGACAATTAAGAGTTCATCCTCCACCATGGTTTATTTATGCTTGTTTTTAACTTCTTTTTCTTTTAAATTAGTTTTTATATTTGCTTTTTAAATGTAGCTTTTATCTTTTAAATGTTGTAAATCGCTTTGAAATGTTTTGTGATTTAGTGGTATATACTTTTATAAATATATACAATAAATTAATCACCACTAAATTAAATTGTTTTAACCTGCAATCCTTCCATCACTGCACGAAGAATAGCTGCAGCTGCTACAGCACCAGGGTCTGGCCGATTTAGGCGGGATGAGCCAATGTAACTGGCCCTGCCTGCAGCTGCTTCCATATGTTTTGTAGACTCAGCAGCAGCCTCTGCCTCCTGCAGAAAAAAGCAAGACATTATAAGAGGAGAAACAGATACCTATGTGCTCACCATTTGCAAGGAATTAAGAGTAGATAGATACCACCAAAAGCTTTCATATGCTTCTAAATTTGAAACCATAAGCCCTCATCTGGACACTAGTCCTCCCCATTTATGTTGTGATGTGATGCCTTTTAGTCCTAATGCTGCGAACAAACCACTTTAGGATTTTGCCTAATGATTTTAAGTGTTTGGTAATTTTTCAGATTGCAGATGGACTACTAGTGAAATTGATACTGTGTGACTGATAATAAAGACTTATGCTGATTAGACAATATGAGAATGTACAGAACTACAGATACGGGACATATACTACATATCTATAGCCTGAGAAAACTTGCTTATAGTACCCTGCTCTCATCTTCCTAAATGATGCAAAAGGGTTTTGTTTGGTTTTTTACACTTTGGGTTGTAGGTACATTAACATACTCACTTCTACAGCTTTGGTCAGAACCTTCAGTGGATTAGTCTGTGGGTTCTTCAGGGCTCTGAGCTGCTCAGCAGCAGCACAGAGTGAATCCAGCTAGCAAAGAGACAAAGAATAATTAAGAGGACAATAGCTCTATCAGGGCTAGTTATGGACAGTCATTATCTTGACAGGGATAGTCTCCTATCTGAACCTTGAACACCTGGAAATGTTTGCTGAAACTGAATGTTATGGGAAATATTCCATACATTCTGGACAAGGCAAGTTAATGTTGGTAACTATTGTTTAGATAAATTGTGCTAACTAACACTACACTAATTTGCTAGTGTCAAGTGTCTGGCATGTGCAGATGTGTGAAGCATTCTAAAGTAACCATAGTTAAGACTGTAAGCCATGACTTCTAAGTAAAGCCAAAAAATAAGTGGTGTCACTTTTGCCTTGAGCTAGCTCCATGGCAGAAGAAGAAATTTCAGGTGCTTCTCCTGATTTCTTTCCCTTCTCATTCCGCTCTTATCACAATATGGGATAGCATGACACTGCTCATACCTTCCTGAATTTTGTGTTTTTGCATTCATGGTATCCCATCTGACCATGTCTGAGAGTACCCATTTTCTTTGAGCACAGACCCTCCTTTCTCCATACTTCACATCAAAGCAAGAGTAACAACCTTCCATGGCTGTTCCTTGAAATACAATGACTCAAGTGTGTCCTTCTATGACAAAACACAAGTGAGGCAGCATGGCAGTGGAGCAACCCTCAGAAGTGTTATAACACCCCAGAAACAAACTGTCTCCAAAAATTCAAAGCCATACCTTTGGAATTTTTGCATCTATGCTGGTATTTACAGTAAATTTGAATTAACAAGGCAACAACTCAAGCATGGCATTGTGTAGATATCCCCTAAAATTAGTTCCTGGGACACTGTAGATATGCAGCAAATATCTGGAATGGAAGTGGCCTTAATGAAGGACAGTGCTAGGGCATATTACTCACCATAGTTCTGTCTCCAGGTGCAGCTCCTCCATACCTGTCAGATGAATACAGTTAGTAGTGTAGGTTCCACATGTGTATCCCTCTCACTGTAGAGACAGTCTCACTCATATAGCAAGGATGGAAATAGCAAGGGAACACATGTAATAATTACTCTGCTGTAGTCATGTAAGGGTCACACTCACCGCATCATGGCATCAATACCAGCATCCACGGCCGCTGACCAAGTTGCCAATTCATCATCAGTCCTTAGGGGCTGAGCAGCTGCTGTTAGAAACAGTCCATAGAGCTGTAAGAAAACAAAGTGGTTTCATCTCTGATAAAGTCTAGGGTAATAATACAATAATCAAATGCAGTATTTCTCTTTAGCATATTACAATTCCCACCTTATCTACTCCTACAGCTTGAGGCAGAAAATCGTTTAAAATGCAATAAAATCTAACAAAATAAGATGAATGGAACTTCTTTTTAGCAAAAAGCGTCTTAAGAAAGAACCTTTTAATAAAGTTTCCATAGTCAAGGTAGTCTAAGAGCTATCAGATCAAAATCAGAATTCAGTGGCCCTAGTAAAACAAATTATTACAGCCCACCCTAGTTCCAAGGTCTATGGCACATCTTTTCTATCTGCATATCTGCCATGTTGTGAGACTAACTAACCACAAAGGCACCCACTGAGTATCAGACAAAAGGGGATATAAACCTGTGTCTCCATTGTCCAACACCATTGCTTCATGAATTCCCTTTGTGATAGCTTTTGACCTCTAAACACAACAGAATGAGATGGACTAGAGTCCTGAGGTAGTAAAATGGACTGTAGCACTTCTGACTGTGGGCAAGAGATCACATTTGTGCATTATCCTCTACACTAAAAACATTTTGTAAGTAGAAATTAGCCTAACCGTACTCCTTTTATCTGGGACGCAGGTGGCGCTGTGGGTTAAACCACAGAGCCTAGGACTTGCTGATCAGAAGGTCGGCGGTTTGAATCCCCGTGACGGGGTGAGCTCCTGTTGCTCGGTCTCAGCTCCTGCCAACCTAGCAGTTCGAAAGCATGTCAAAGTGCAAGTAGATAAATAGGTACCGCTCCGGTGGGAAGGTAAAAACAGCGTTTCCGTGTGCTGCTTTGGTTCGCCAGAAGCGGCTTAGTCATGCTGGCCACATGACCTGGAAGCTGTACGCCGGCTCCCTCAGCCAATAAAGTGAGATGAGCGCCGCAACCCCCGAGTCGGCCACGACTGGTCAGGGGTCCCTTTACCTTTTTACTCCTTTTATGTTAGAACTTCTTTCCAAAATGTGCCCCACCTCCAAAGTAGCATAGTCTATTCTACTACAACTGTCTGTTGCATGAATAGACTACATTTAAATTTCTCAGTGGAAATAGTTTCAGTGTATTTTGGAACTACTACATGCATACAAGTTTGCTCCAATTTAGTAAAAGCTTTAATTTTTAAGTTATGAGAATATGCCGGTTCTGTATATTAGATATTAAAATTCAAAAACTTAATTTCTCAGCAAAAGAGCATTTATTGATGAGAAAGGGATACAGTATTGCACTCTAAAGAGTTGCTTGTTGTAGGGCTAGTTTAAGTCTCACAACTAGGAAGCTCCCAGTTTCTCCATGTGAAAGTGTTTAAAATATTCTGATCATCTCCCACCCTGTATCCTAACATGAGCCACATTTTTAGAGAATATGTGTCAGCAGTAAAAATGCTTATTTGCTACTTTTTCCTAACTGTTGCTCCTTCTCCCACTATACACACAAATTCTAGTAGTACCAATCACCCTTACATAAGAGCAAGGAACAACCTTAAACAGGTTATCCAAATTCTTCTAACACTCACCGCCCCCGAAGAACCCCCCATCTTCTCCAGCAGTAACTTTGCTAGGGCAGAGAGCAGCTGAGAGGGGTATAGTGGTAGAGGTTTTGACTCCACCCATTCCTGGATTGCTGAGGAAACAACACTCACTGGTTAAAATTGACAATCTCTCATCTGGCTAGGGCCCCTCCAGACTGGTGTTCATTGCAGGTGTATTCTGCAATGTGTTTTTAAACACGGTAATAGTGCATAAATGGCGGATTTATGCTGCTGTGATGCTTCTCCAATGCTACCACATTACTGATGTCTGGAGAGGCTATCATGCAACAAAGAAGAACAAAAATGAACATTTTAAACATTTGTTAAAAAGAGCTACAGGTTTTCAGCACAGGATATGCACTGATTGGAACTGAAGCAGTATGACCATCCCAAAGCTTGGGACAACTCTATTAGGATCAAGAACACAAATAATCATGAATATACAATAAAAAGGATGTCTGGAGGGGCCCTCACTAATTTTGCAATACTGCAGATATGTCTCAATTAGTATGGCAATCTGAAGCATCAAGGGAAAAGATCTCAACAACCTTTTTCAGTCAGAGTACATAGTTTTCCCACACCAACACCTTTTTATCATATTCAATCTATGGCATCTCTTAAGAGTCCTTTAGCAGCAGGAAGATTCAGAAAGGCATTTTACGTAGGCCACCAAGCCTACTGTTCCCTCCTGAACCGGAACAAATTTACTACTTTCAGCATATTCTTTGCTCTATTTTAGCTTAACAATATTATTATTATGGTATTTTAATTTATTGCCCACCCTTCAACACCCTGGGATGATTTACAACAAATTAAAGTGCAACATTAAAAACATTTAAAATAACCTACAATCAAAAATACGGCCCAGAGGCTTCATATAGATGTTAAATAGCATAGGGCATAAGATGGAACCCTGTGGATTCCAACACACTTTTTATCAACATATCATCAAACAGCATATATAATCCATCCAGCTCATATTCTCTGTTCTTCAGAAAAGTAGTACACCAGTGTCTTTATTCATTTAACTTACAACCCCAAGTCTATAATGGAACACAAGCAGAGGTTATGTGCTCCAAAAATAGCAAGGGAGTTGTCGGATGAGCACTAACCTCTGGCAGCTCGTGCATGTGTGCTGCCACAGTCTCCATCACCTGCGGCCCGATCTAGATCATTGAGCTCCTCTTGCAGGTTCAGCAGTGTGTTGCACACCTTCTCTAGAACTGCTCTCATGTAGGGGGTGGCTGGTGCTAAATGAAATGGGAATAGCTATTTCATTTCAATAGGGTAAGGCTCCTAGTTTCACATTTTGTCTTACAGAGCAAGTACTGATGTTGCTAAACATTTCCCTTTCATATAATGTGTGAGTGTAAGGGTAAACTCTATCCAAACATATCACTTTATTAGCAGGCTATTTCAGTTCATGCTGGATTTTTCACCACTTGTTTACTCAGCACCTGATGAAACAGCTGAAAATCTGTAATGATTCAGCTGAAGAGTTCTGTATTTGAAATGAATAAAGTAATATGAAACATTCTGCATGTGATATTTGATCTATGATGGCCCAGTCATGTGTATAAGTCACTTTATGCTGAAGTCATCATGAATATTCATGGATTAACTGGTGCAGAAACAGAAAGGCAAGCTCACAGATAAACACATCCAATTGCTTGCATATGCAGAAAGAAACGCTACAAATACTACTACCTAGGAATGTATTATCATTAACTTACAGATGGAGAAACTGGGGTATAAAAGGATTTTTGTTTTCTATGTCATACAGATAATGAGAGAACAAGAGTGAAGCAAAACAGAAGCCAACATTTCTGGCAAAAAGGCATTTACTGTCCTGACCAGCCTTTTGCTCATCCAGGACTCATTGCTTCAAACAGGACACAATGGCTCCTGTTGGTGCTGCTTGTGTCTCCATATTACTTTCACTCTCAATGCTTCTTGAGAGAAGGGAATTCTGCCATCAAAAAGCCAGAATCACAGTCTCAGCAGACACTTTATTATTTATTATTTTATTTCTTTCTTTATTATTAAAGGAGCAGTTCAAACCACTGCAGCATTTTGTCCATATTAATCACAATTAACTATAATCACTACACCGATGGACCCGAATTGGTCTTGTGTTCCCACAGTGATGTTGTGGCCCTCTACTTTGCTAATAGTCTTCTGTGCGCGGCTTTGCGTTTCCCCTGCCAGGAGTACGCTTTCAGTACGTTTGATTTGTGCCACTTTCAGTGTTTCCCTGCCAACTTTCACAAGGTGGCATACAAACCCGCTGTAGCTTTTACAATTGAAACTATACCATGAATCTGGCAAGAAATTTCTGAGAGACAGAGAGAGATGATGTTTCAGCCTGTACCTCTAAATGGAAAAGACTCCTCTTCCTCCTCTTCCTTGGGTGCTACTGACTCTCTCACTCTTTTCTGGCCTGACACATGCACCTTGGCAGGTTGTGACCACGCAACAGCTGCAGTGTCGGAATCTAGAATTTGGAATACAAGACTGTGATATAAAATTGCTGATAGTTTCACAACACCATTGGTTCATATCCATGAAGTCATTAACACATGGACTCTTGAAAATCATCAGCATTTTTCTTAGCAGAAGCCACAAAAGTCTGGTTATGAACCCCAAATAACCAAGCCCAACATAACAGAATTGGGCAGTCTGGCAGCTTGTAGCAAGCTGGAGACATTCAGTCAAACTGTCAGGAAATGCTGCCATTTGGCTCAAGGGAAATAATGTAATTTGTATTATCTATTTTATCTGTATTGGAAAGAGAATGTACTCATTATCAGGAAGGAAATGTGCCTCCAACACGTAATACATATTTTCAAGATATATACCACATACACACACATCCCACACACCCTCCTCAATTAAGTCACAACTTATTTTCAAGTTGCAAATTTGAGAAGAAAACTGGTATCTCAAGAACTCACCAATGAGAGTCAACAGCTCATCATCTACAAGCAAAAGAGTAAGGGAGACACCTGCCATTTCCAGTGCAGTCATAAAGGAGCCAACAAAAACTCGGGCAATATGGATGCCCCTGTTCTCTGTAGTGATGAAGCAAGAGAAACTAAGAAGCATGATTAGGAACATTACATCTCTGCCAGGGTGGAGCCAGATGGATTTATGAAAGGTATTGTGCATTTTTTTCCTGAACATCTGTGTGATCCTCTGATAAAGGTTCTTCCCAATATATCCCCGTCTTGCAGAACATGGCATATTGATGTCCCACAGTGATATAATGTTTGGTGGAGATACACCAAATTAAGCTTCAACGTTCTGCTGTCATATCTGGAACTGTGAAGCTACTGTCCCCAGTAGCTGACTGGTGCCCTGTTTTCTTAGTGTGTGATTTATTTCATTATATTTCAAGCCATTTGTTCTATGTTTTCTTTTTCTTTCTTTTTTTACACACTGCACCTACTCTTAGCTTGTGGCATACTAGTCTGGACAGCATGTGCTCTACTGGTGTTGGAAAAGATGAGTTTTTCTAAAGCTGATCTAATAAGTAAAATGTGATGAGCTTTATCAAACAACTACATATAATCTGCATTGTAAGTATTCTAAACTTCTAGGCATCACTCTAAACATTAAATGCTAGTTTTGCACAATTAAGCATGCTCCAAATTCTGTTCTTACCTCAGGCAATCTGGTATTTTACAGGCCTCATTTATGTAATTTTGCATAGTTTTTAATTTTACACAGTGCAGAATTAGACAATCTCACTTAACCAATATTCTAACAAGGGAAACTTACCAAGACAACGCACAGCAGACCCAGCCACTACACTTAATTCAAGGTAGGATAACCCACCCAAATTGTTCACCATCAAGACTACAGAAGCACCTGAAAGCCAAAACAAAGTAAGATTGAAGACTAATCTGAACACTATACTTAATATGCAAAAGGTGATATAAAAATCTTCTGCGTGGCTATTTCTCCACATCTGGGCTAACATCTGGATCTACTGATCAATGACTGCCCAATCACACAGTAAATCTCCATTCCAGCAATTGCTGATATTGTAATAGAAACTCGCTACATGACGTGATTTTACAAGCATTTTTGTATATATTGTACTGTATATATATTACAGCTCAGATATAGAAAAATAGCCACAGAAAAAAATATTCCCAGATTCCTCAGAGTAGAAGGAATATTATATAGGCCAGCCTCAAAATTGTTACTCACCAGACCTGAGTCGCACACGTGAAGCATTGGAGTGACTGGTCATGTGATCCAGCATTATTTTGACAACCTGATCTGCTGATGTTATCTGTGAAGAGGACATGTGTAAGGGGGCATGGTTGTACTTCTTCATTAGCAAAAGGGTGACAGGCTACTTACCTTCATCCTGCGCACACCTGCTTCACCATGGATTCCTACAGAGAGCAAGATAGCAGATATCAGTTATGGCACCTGCCATGACTATCTTCTTTCTAAATAGAAGATGACTGAGTTTAAGGGCAGTAATTGATGAAATCCTAGTCAGGCTAGTCAGTGATATATAGCCAGTGAACTCAAGCTACACACAAAAGAAAAATAGTAAAAGAACATATCTGTGCCCTTTAGTGTCTGACTGATAATGGATACCCATGAATCATAGGCGATAGTGCCTCAGACTGACTCCTATGCCTGCAATGATGGAATGGAACTGGTCACAACTAATAACTCAGAGCATGGACAGAGTCCCAAAACAAACAGCATGCAGTCCCAAAGAGACAATGCTCATGAGGACATTCTAAAGAAGTAGATGGAAACACATTCCTCACCTAAGCCTAGCTCAAGTTCATCATCAGCAAGCTGGAAGGTAGGTCTAGATCCAGGAACACTGCAGGGGGTTAGACTAACTCCAAGGGTGCCTGTGCAAAAATAAAATGCCACCTTCCATACAGATGTTTCAGCATCAGTACAAGAAAATAGACAAAAGTGTATGTTCTGCTTATGCCCTGGGTTACAATGCACAACTCTAAATGATACTACAGTGGTGCCTCGCAAGACGAAATTAATTTGTTCCGCGAGTTTTGTCGTCTTGCGATTTTTTTCGTCTTGCGAAGCACGGTGTCGGGAAAGTTTTGGAAAAGCTTCAAAAATCACCAAAGTCTTTGAAAACCTCAAAAAAGGCTGCCACACCGTGTTCTATGAGTTGCTCCTCGAAGTCAAGTTGCAACTGTATTAACTGTGTTAAGAAAAAGGAAACAAACTTGCAAGACGTTTCCGTCTTGCGAAGCAGCTCAAAAAACAAAAAACCCTTTCGTCTAGCAAGTTTTTTGTCTTGCGAGGCATTTGTCTTGCGAGGTACCACTGTACAATATTGCAATGTAGTTTTGGATTAAAAGGTGCACTCTTGAGGATCACGTGCTAATTACAGAAACATTATTTGTTCATATTAATTAAACTTATATCAAGCTATCAATGGCTGCTAATCATGATAGTTATTTTACCTGCATTATCAGAGGCAGCATGTTTCTGAATACCAGTTATTAGAGATCATGAGTAGTAGTGTCTTATTGCACCTCTGTTCTGCTTATGGAATTCCCAAAGGCATCTGGTTGGGAACTTAGGGACCACATAGCTGGACAGATAGGTCTTTGATCTGACCCATCAGTGCTCTTCTCAAGTTCTTATACCTCACCTTTTCCTCCAATGACCTGAAGGTGGTGTATATGGTTCTCCCCATTTAATCCTCACAACTATCCTGTGTGGGAGGTTAAACTAGGCGATGGTGAATGCTGAGTCCAAATCTTATACACTAACCACAAAGGTTCAGCCAACCAAATTGGGGCTCTCTTTCTTTCAGGGATCTTTAATTTTAAATCTTCAATACATTCACTGCATGTCAAAACCATAAACCCTATAAAAGACAGCATAATAAATTTAGCCAGCATGCCCTTGCTAGACTGCTTGATTTGCCAAGTGTCAAAGAATAATGTAGCCTTTGGCCAGATGCTTATCCCCCAAAGAGAGCTACTTAAACACTTACCCATTGAGTGTGCAACAGCAGTAACCTTGCGAGCAATTGCACTCAGACCACAACCTGCCTCAGACAGAGCCCCAGCTACCTAAACATAAACAACTGTAAGGAAAAATGTTGCTTTGATTTCTCAACAAAAGGATTACAGCAGATTAGCATACATTCCTTCACTTCATACTACAGGGACAAAGCCAGGTGTGTCAGGACTAAAGGAGAAGAATGGCTGTGTGAAGAATCATGCTTCTTTGTGGCTAGGAGTTCAGGCACAATATGCAGGGAGGAATGCCTATGGGCACCTCACACTCTACAACATTCTTAGGCCTCAAAGCATTATTTGCACTTTGGTAATACTACTGTACAGTGGGGTCTTGAGTCAATGACAATGTTGTTCTGAATTTGGGAATGGATGATTCCTACCTTGTGTATTAACACTGTGCCACATAGTCCTCTCCTGCCAGCCTTCTTCTGTTTGGTAAAGGCACAGTCGTCACCAATAACCACCATCTCCACAGAAGCCCCTTCTGCCCGTGCTTGTTCCAATGCCAGCCCAAAGTTCAGACGGTCCCCAGTATAGTTCTTCACTATTAGCAGTGTCCCAACTACAGAAGAGAGATGGTTTGAATTCTGTGATATTCCTCCCTCAAGAGAGATGTTCATCTACCAAAAATGATGCCATACCTGCACCAGCTTGCCTCACAGCCCGAATTGCTGCTAAAATGCTACCCACTGCAGGTGAAGTGAATACTGGACCAGCTACCACTCCAGTGAGCATTCCCTTCCCGATGTACCCTAAGGAAAGAAGACAGGCATGGCAGTATTGCATCTGCTTTGGGAGCATCTTGCTCACACTCTAGTTCTGTGGCTGTTTATCTTAACTCCAATAACTGAATCCTACAGCTGCCAGGAGAACTGTGGCACAAAAGTTTTCAGTTCATGATGTCCAGAAAGATGGAATCACAGGATGTCCTCTTCTCTTTGTATTCATGAAATGCCAGTGTCAAGTGAAGTGAGGGAAACCAGATTGAAACTCTCTCCCCCAGACTCAAAGCTCCCATAACTTTGATCTCACTAACCTGCATGTGCAGGCTCATGTCCTGAACCACCTCCAGAAATAAGTGCCACTTTGCCCCGCAGATTCTCCAAGTCAGCACGTAATGCCACTCTGTGTCCATGCAGCATCTGGAGATGAGGATTACAAGCCACTGTTCCAGCCAATGCATCGTCTGCACAACCCAGAATTGTGTTCACTAGCTTCTTTGAACCCTAGAATAGGAAAACATCACAAAAGTTTCTCATATGCACAGCCTTCCACATGGAGGTAGTTTCTAGTTCATGACTGTCCAACCAGCTTCAGACACTACAAGTGCTTATAAGCAATTGTACCAGTGATTCATGATTTTGTTGTAATATCTGAAAAAAGAATTATTGCAAGAGACACATGCAAGCTGTGTATAATGCTTGAGCCCATGCATTTCCCATGTCAAACACCTCTGAATAGCAGAGTGAAAAGGCAGAACACAAAAGTAACTAGCACACGCATTCATTAGTATTTGCAATACCACCTGATATTGCTTTCAAAAAATATGAAGGATGGGGTCATTCAGTTTCCATGCTTTCTGTCATGCCACAGACAATCATTACATTGGTAGAATTTGTTAGCCGTCCACGAAAAAACTGTTCCTCCACATTAGCAGAAAGAGCAGCAGCTGTGAATCAAAACTGAGTTTTATGTAACAATGAAAGCATAATTTTGACACGTTCACTCTTTGTCTAAAGTTGTACCCAATATATTTTCCATTTAACTTTTTGAGACTTCCAGCCTGCTTTATCCTAAAGCATTATTATTACATTGACTTCCACAAACATCACCAGGTGCACAAATGCAACAAAAACAGCTAAAAACACAGAATATAACAGATAAATTTAAAAACAATACCCTAATTAGACAGCCAAACATGCAGATAGCAGGTGTCTGTCATAGCCTGACAGGAATTCTGTTCCACAGAACAGAGGCAGACACACCAGTTACTGTGCTTCGGAGGTCTTTAGAACATGAAGGCGAAGTAGGTAACAGTATGTTAGTCATTCAACAGTATTGTAATTTAGTAGTCATTTGGTCACCTATAGCAACAAATAACTAATTCCAGGTCATCAAGAGCTGGTCATGTAACTGCAACAGTATTAGTCTGTGACAACATCACCTGACACTTCTCATATTCCCTCCTAGTCCTAAAGAGTTGCAGACTCTTAATGGTTGCGAAATATCCACATCCAGTCTTCAGAATGTTATAGATGCTGCACTTGCTTTTTTGGTTTTTCTTTTAGCTTGGGGCTAGAAAGAAGAACAAAACCATGTGTGCAGCTTTCCTAGTGTTGCTTCATGTTTGTGCAGGTGGCTCATTCTAGAGCAATATCTGGTAGCCACTTCTAAGGCCAGAGGGAAGGTAAAAGGGTTTCTTTATGAAGTCTCCACAACATTTTTATGTAACAGACCCTGTAGAAGTAGATATTTCCCTGTAACTCCTGGGTCTTAGACTTAATCTTCTGAAATCATATATACTATGGGCCCCAAAGTCACATCCAGGTAATGCAAAATGGTTCAAATGGTCACAGCGGAGACATAACCCACCAAAAGAAAATGAGGAATTGACAATTTGCTGCCCAGGGAGATGTGTCTGGCTTCCTCCATGCTCACTTTTAGGCACCAGGTCAAACTCCTGTTGTTAAACTTTAAGCAAACATTTGGCATGGGTAGTAGCCGAGTTTGGACTCTGGTCCTGATTTTCTGCTTCAGTGCATTTAATTATCTGCTGAGTCTTCTGACTGCATTATTAATTGATAATTATTAGCCAGTGTGCCCTTCAGAGCTATACAAGTGGGAGCTGCCACAAAATGTTGCAGTGTAGAATATCCCTTTTCAGAGTTTCAGCCAGCTATGCCTTCTTTCAGGATATTCAATCTCCCTGTTTTTCTGTCTCCCCCCATCAGTGGGATTCTGTGGTCACTAATCACATGCTCAGTCCTTCCGTCCTCATTGAGTTGTTTAGTTTCCCATCACCCCAATATATTTTCTACTTCTGCAAAGTTTCAGGTCCCCACCCCAAGCATTCCGACACCTCTTTTGTTAGCTCCATTGGCTTCACAGTTATTTTGACTGGGCTTCTAACACTATATATACTTGCTTTATTATTTCTTTGTACCCTAAGCTGTCCTGAATATTCCTGAGTGAACACAAAGGCAGAATACAAACATTGCAAGGGACCGATACAAAGAGACTGACGTTTGATTCCCAAGTCACAAGTTGCCCTGTTTCGGATGCTTTACCTCAGTCCGCAGGGCTTCAGAGACTTAATGGAAGGGACTCTTTCTCTTGCTTTCCAGTGATCGCACAAACACAGCTGACCAAAACCAATTCTCTGCTCTGACTGAGGCAGAAACAGTGCCAGGGCAGCAGTGCTGGATCTGAAGCACAGTTTTCTAGCCCAAGTCCCAAACTCAGCTATAGGCTTCATGGGTCAGTTGGGGCCCCGCTCAGGCTAGCGCCTACCTCACAGGGGTTTGAAGAGGAGTGGGACAGAAACGCAATAACATCCCTTCCCTCCGCCTCACGGAGACCAGACGTTTCTGGGTCTCACCTGCATGCTGCCCCTCTGGAGCTGCGACTCCGGGCTGCCAAGCTCAGCAGGATGCTCCGAGAGCCTGCGGCCGAGGCGAGGAGGGACACCTCCTGCTCCTGAGGGAGAGAGAGAGACGGCGGCTGCTCAGGGGCGAGAGGCGAAGTCGCTTCTGGCCACCGTGTGGCTGTCACTACTGCCTTTACGCGCCTCCCTTTTCGAAGGCGAGAGAGACTTCGCCCTGCAATCCAAACTCCGCCTGGCTCACAGCATCAGCCACGCGCGCCCTGCCTGACAAGGGGCGGGGGGGAAGAAGCCGATTGGCCGAGGGCAGCGCGAGCTCCGGCAGTTGGCGGTAGCGCGCAGGGCCCGTCACGCTCCGCACGGAGTCAGACGGGAGGGGGTGGGGGAAGTCTCCCCGCCTCCTTTTCTTTTTTTTCGGAGGAGAGTGGTAAGGTTTACACCCCTCTGACCGGAAGAGGGCGCTGCCACTGCCGCGCGCGCCTCAGCAGCCCCTCTCGTCAAATTTCCCGTGGTGCCCGGCGCGGCGCGGGGGCGCTCTGGCGCTTTCTCTCTGTTGCCGGAGGTGGTTGGTGGCCTTTGGAGACTGTGCTGCCCAGCGCTTCCCCTCCCCGTCCTCCTCCTCCTCCTCCTCACCCCGTCGCCTTCCGCGGGTCTTCAGCAGCCCCGCTCCCCGATACCGCCATGTCGTGCAACTACGTGGTGACGGCACAGAAGCCCACGGCCGTCAACAGCTGCGTCACCGGTAATGGCGGGAGGGGGGTGCCGTGGGAAAAAAGCGGGGGGAGGGGAGGCGCGGGCGGAAGAAGTCGGTTAGGGGGCGGTTAACGGCCCGCGGTGCGTGGAGGGGAAGCCCAAAGCGAGGAGGGCCGCGTGGAGGGGGAGGATCGGCGGCGGCGGGAGGAGCAGCTTCCCCTGCGGCCCCGGCAACTTCGCAATGTTTTGTCTCGGGCCCAGGACACTTCACCTCCGCGGAGGACCTGAACTTGCTCATCGCCAAGAACACCCGCCTGGAGATCTATGTGGTCACTGCGGAAGGGCTGCGGCCCGTCAAGGAGGTGGGCATGTATGGCAAGATCGCCGTCATGGAGCTCTTCCGGCCCAAGGTGAGCTTTGCTCTTAGGGACGAGCTGCGGGCGAATTTTGCACCCAGAGTCTTTTGCTTGTGTCCTGGAGCTGGATGGCCGCAACCAAATACTGTCCCGGCATCGGGGTCCACATGACCTTCTCCTTCCAGCTGTTTGTTTGTTTGGCTGGCTTGTACCAGCTGTTCAGAGTTGGTGCTTAGTATGCACCTTTTAATAGGCTCTGCATCTCCCCATTGTGCAGTGTTACTACTAGCTACAACAACTTAAAATTCAGAATTAAAAACAGCCAAAACAGAGGGGCCCCTGCCTGCTAGCTGTTTGAACTGCATGTTTTCTTATATTCCAATAATACGCGGGAAGAGTTGTTTCAGTTCTGCTTTGAGGGTGCCTTTGAAAAGCATGTTTGCTTTTATGGTATGACTGTGTCCTCACAACTAGTGACTAGGCTGAATTTGGTACGTAAGGGTGATGTGCTCAATGCCACTTTGCCATGAGCTGATGTGCATTCATGTTTGGTCCATTCATGTTTAATATAGTTGTGATTGGACTTTGAAGACTGCTATTTCCAAAGTGGCTTCCTTTTCGTTGCTGCTGAGGAGATCAGTCCTGGGAACTCATTCCACCTTCGACTGATCTCTGGAGGGAGGAGATAGATCTGGCTCTGCCAGCCTGTCAGAGGCTTCAGCAACTACCCTGACTCTACCTAGCCTTCCAGCTAGCCCCAGTAACTCCCTGTTAAAAGAGCAATGCCTTGTGGAACATTGTGGAGCATTTGGGGCAAGATGGATGTCATCCATTAACTGAAGTTTTCTAGGAACCTTCAGAAATGGTGATTGAGTTTTTAATGGTCTTTCTAATTCACCATGCATCTACCTGGCATCCAAATAAAATTGACAGAACTACACTTTGAATTTCAGGAGGTACTCAGGCTAAAGTCAGTGCAGCTGTTGTCCATCATAGAAAGAAGAAATGCTAAATGGAAAACAAACCACACAATGAAGAGTTTTCAAAGCATTAGTTTACATCACAAGTTTTTTATTTGTATTATAAATTGTAAACTGCTTTGTGTTTCTGTGGGAAAAGTGGAGTGTAAATCTTCTAAATAAATGAAAGGTTAAATATGTTCTCTGGTCCAAGGTGTGGTTGAGGAGGCTTTTTCAGTTGAATCCTTTTTGGCAAGACTTTCTAATTGTATTGTTTCTCCTAAGGGGGAGAGCAAGGATTTGCTCTTTATTCTGACAGCAAAATATAATGCCTGCATCCTTGAATACAAACAAAGTGGGGAGAGCATTGACATTATCACCCGAGCCCATGGCAATGTGCAGGTAAGCGGGGAGATTGACTTAGGACTGCTTAACATTGTTGTGTATTTTTGTGTAACTATAGCCTATATTCCAAAAAGCTAATAGTCCATGTTCAACCTAAGGAACGATGCCGTTCAGGTAACCATTCTTGTTGTGCTACATCTAACAATCTGCTGGGTAGATAACTGAACAGGCCATCTCCTCAGCACTTTTCCGTTGGGGTTTGAGTCTTGGTCTCCTTCTACCGATTTACTGTTACAGTGTATTTTCTTTTGATGACTGTCATGTGCTTGTAGCTCTGCTTGTTTACAGCACCACTTGTATAATGTTCATATTTATTTGACTCTTTTTACTCATCCAGCTTTTCATGCTGTCCAAAATCAAACCTACATTTTGCTGTCTGATCCCAACAGTCATTATGAACCTGCGCTCTATGACTGAATTCTGTCCTGCAGAAAGCTGATATTTGCACAGTGATGAGTACGTGCAGGAGGGGAAATAGGGGTAGGGCTGTTGCCTTCATTCCGTGGACTTTTTGAAGGTATCTGGTTGGCCACTCATTGGAGCTGGAGAAGGGGGCCAGGGATCATGCCAACACTTGTGTTGTGCTTCTGAGGCTGTCTGAACTCCTTTTCAACTGCTGGGAGAACTGGGACTTGTTTTTGTCATGCTCTGATACGGAGCCATTTGGAGCAGCTTAGACACACACCACAACTTTGTTTTTTGCAGTCTTTGGATAAGGACTAGACCAAGTGAAAAATGAATAGAAGATTTTAGCTGCAGTTCATTCATTTTCAGCTTTTTATTCTTGTTATAAAAAAGCACGCTTAGACATTCCATTGCTGCACCCATAACCTAGGTTTAAGGTGTCATTTAGCTTCTAGCTTTCATAGCTCAGTTTCTAACACTGGAAGCCTTCATTGGCCTCCTCAAATCTATTTCAAATCGATATGAGAAAGGGGGGCTTAGTGAAAATTGCCTCCTACTGGGTCAAAGATGCCTCTGCTGGATCAACAAGCCACCTGTGAATGGAAAGACAGCACAGAAATACAGCCCAGTATTTCTTTACAGCATGAGGACAATCTTTACGAGGAGCTGTCATACAGCAGAAGATTCTGCTTGTGTTAAAGGGCAAAGAGCAGACTGGTACTTTTTTCAAATACAGCTAATACAGGGGTAACACAATACAGAATTGGAAAGTATGGACTGAGCATGCACAAACTTACTATATAAAGCATCTAGTTTAACAATGAAAGGCAGAACCCATCATTCATTTGTCACATATTTAAACTGGCAATATTTGTCTGACACTGATTATAAGGCATAGGAATACCAACAGAGAAAATATTAGCGCTGGTAGAAACAGGGTACAGCTGAACAGTGTATGTTGTAGGAAAAACTTTTTCAAACTTGAAGTAGAAGAAATCACTAGCTAGTGTACAAAAGCCAATTTGATAGATTTCAGAGGGCTCCATCCTGCACATTTCACTGAAACTGCAACATCAGACATGAAGCTTGCTGAAATGGTTTTCCCTGTTTTCTTCTAGGATCGAATTGGTCGTCCCTCAGAGACAGGTATAATTGGTATAATTGACCCAGAGTGCAGGATGATAGGACTGCGACTCTATGATGGCCTCTTCAAGGTCATTCCTCTGGAACGGGAAAATAAGGAATTAAAGGCGTTTAACATACGATTGGAGGAGTTGCAGGTCATTGATGTCAAGTTCCTGTATGGGTGCCAGCCTCCAACCATCTGTTTCGTTTACCAGGTACCAATATTGGGTCTGTGTGTTGTAATGGAAATTGCTGGCAGAGCAAGTGGTGGCCAGTAGTCTCGGAACACTTTTTGATTCAGGGCTATTGCTAATGTCTAGGTTTTTGTATCTGTCAAAGCACACTTGTAAAAAGCAAAACATTTTGTGTGTGTTTGTGATATTTCACAGTTTTTATTATTTGTAGACTGCAAAACTTGTCCCTTTTTATATCGGTATTCTGTTTTCTGCATTACATCATATGATATCATTATCTGTTTTCTGCATTACATCGTATGATATCATCAACTGAATGGCCTGCTTATGTGACAATCCTGCTTTAAAAGCTTTTAATCATGATATTTCTTTTTCCTGTATCAAGTTGGCTTGCTTTATTGTTGTTCAGGCACTTTCTATTCATCTGGGGGTAGGGAGATCCATCTGTGAGACATAACTCCCATCACATGGGTTATTCATAAAATAGCAAGATCTGACAGTATTAATATTTCCAGCTTAGTATAACGATGTTGCTGCCCTATTTCCCAGTGAACCATGCATTCTTGTGTAATGGTTGTTAGGCAACATGTCTGCCAACAAACTGTTTAATATAACGTAGCCAATGTTTTTCACAGTAATGAGAGGCATGTGTTTTAGCTCTTCATTCTTGTATAAGGGATTTAAAATTGTTTACAAAAGTGGGATGGGAATTTTTTTAGGGCTGTGTATGGCCTCCCTCATCTGATTTGTCTTATCTGGTGCTTCCAGCTAGCCCTGATCCAGCCCCCAGAACAAATTGGGAGCCTTTACAGGTTTTAATTTAAGATTGGCTCCTTCTCTTCTTCCCCTTTCCATGCTGAGTTACAGTTTAAAATCCTGATACTTTTAGATGGTGTGTGTGTGAGAGAGGAAACCCTTGCAAGCTGCATCTCCTGCTCTCCTCATGTTGGCCCAATAAAATATCAGCACATATTTTTCTTGCCTTATTGGTGTAGATAAGAATCCTTCCTTGTACCCATCCTTGGCTTCAGTGTGTATGTGCCACATAATATTAGAGCTTGGTTTGCTACCATGCCAACTGAAAATGCTTATTCATTGCAGTGAAGTTGGAGCAGAGTTATTTTATTTTTACTTCCACTTGAGATGCCACTGTTTGGTAGACAAAATGTCACATCCTTGTTTAGTTCAGAATAATGACCAGCTCCAGGTTCCATATTCCTTGTCACAAATCTGGATTTTTCAAAACTGTTAGCCAGGAGTGGGTGGGGTGAAATGGATGCTTTTCAGTAAACACAATTTCAAAGATCCCTTGGACAGGTAGAACTGGTTGTGTGGATCCAAGCCACTGCACTTTTTTTAAAAAAAAATGTGTTCTTATTATAGAACATAGACATAAAATCATAGAGTTGGAAGGGACCCCAAGGATCATCTAGTCCAACCCACTGCAATGCAGAGATCCCAACACACAGTCCCTCATCCAATTTGAAACCATACTGGACCCTGTTTAGCTTTGCAAATGTGCTAGCAGTTTTATTGCTGCACCACTAGGACAATGCAGATCACACCAGTGATAGAAAATACACTTAATCCTTTTCAGCAATACCTATATAGAAATGGAAGGTTTTGGTTGAAATAATGAGAACTCAGTTTTGGACCTCCAGACTATGTCCTCCTCAAATTTGCTCCTAAGGGTTGGGGGAACCCTCTGGAACAGATTTATTTGTGCCATTCATGACAATACCTGTTGTTTCCATCTCTAGGATCCCCAGGGCCGGCATGTCAAGACATATGAAGTGTCTTTACGTGAGAAGGAGTTTAACAAGGGACCCTGGAAACAGGAGAATGTGGAGGCTGAAGCCTCCATGGTGATTGCAGGTCAGTTCATCTACATAAAATATCTTTATCTGTAGATGCTTAAAAATAAGCTTGCAGCTTCCTGCGTGTAGAAAAAGCAGCATTTTTTTTCTTATCTCAGAAGTCAACTGTGTATACTTCTCAAGAATATTCCCTGTATCTTCTCCTGCAGTCATCTTGTAGCATCTGCTTCCCATTCTCCTGGTGGGATTCATGTTGCAGTGGAGCGTCTTACTTTCCTACTCACTAATTCTCCATATTTGTTACCTTTTGTGCCCATTACTTCTTGCAGTAGTTAGCCATATATCTCTGTCCTAGTAGGATCTTGTTTCAGCCCTGGTAAATTATCTCTAGCCACTGCTCAGACTTAACGATTTCAGTTGCCTAGAGGTTAAAAAAAAACAGCAGTTGCTTCTTGTATAGCAACCATCAGGTACAATATAATGGGGAAGCTCTGTGCACCAGAGCTTCCAATTTTCTTGATTATGCTGTAGCATCTTTATAGTTCAGCCCAAATGAAATCACATAAATCCTGCAATTCATTGAAGTGGCTTATAAGAGCATCGTGTTCTCCCCTCTTGTACAGCTTTGCAAATGATGACATATGGAGCATTAGTCACTGCATTGCTTCTCCTTTCCAAATCTGGCTCCATGACACTGTAATGGCTTTGCTTCTCTCTCTCCCTCTTTCTCTCTGGGGAACCGGGTTCACGTCTCCACTCCTCCACATGCAGCTGCTGTGTGACCTTGGGCTAGTCACACTTCTCTGAAGTCTCTCAGCCCCACTCACCTCACAGAGTGTTCGTTGTGGGGGAGGAAGGGAAAGGAGAATGTTAGCCGCTTTGAGACTTCCTTAGGGTAGTGATAAAGCAGGATATCAAATCCAAACTCCTCTTCTTTTTCTTCTTCTCTCTCTCCCTCTTTCTCTCCCTCTCCCGCTCCTCTCTCTGTCTCTGCTTTAAAAAATGTTTTTAATGGTTTTCAGATTTGCTTCTCATTTAACAAGAAGTCCAAAAGCAACTAGGCTTTTGAGGCTACAAGAGGGAAGAGAAAATGAGCCATGTGTGGCTGCATCAGCACTACCCAGTATACTTACAGGGCAAACCTGTAAATTGTAACACATGGCTTGTTTTCCTTGTAAGCATAACATAATGGCACATTCTGGTGGGTGTGTTAACACAGCATGGTGGAGCATGGAGTCCCTATAGCTCCTGAATATTTCAGGTGCTTGCTTGTTTCAGGATTTGAATGTCTTTGATTCTATCTCTCTATGGCTTTCTGAGAAACAGAAGAGTGGGTTAGAAAGAGAAGCTTGAGACTTAGAAACTCTGTTTGGTTGTTTACCACAGTACATAAAGACTCAAACTGCATCCAGTGTCCCCAGGATGCTCTTCAGATTTACCAATGCTTAGGAACATCCCTCTGAGTGCAAAGATCTGAAGAAAACCACATGCCCTAGGATATTGTGGGTGGGACTTGTGCATGTCCACCCCCCAGTTTAACCCTTTGTTTGATCAGCCAACTTCCTAGACAAAGCTACAGAGCCAACTGGATGTGCAAGTTGATAAGAATCTTAAGGATAGATCAGGATATACTGTATTTTTCTGTGTATAAGACTATATTTCCCCCCTATTTTTTCAAGTTTAAAATTGAGGGGGGGGGGTCGTCTTATACATGGATAGTGCATATGTGGGATTTCTTCATTTGGAGTCCCAAAAAATAGGGGGCGTGTTATACATGGGGGCATGTTATACATGGAAAAATAGGTTCACCTGGTAGCTTTGTGAGAGGCCTGCAAAGAATATGTAAACTTAACTTGTTTTCTTGCCGGCCTATATTTAATGTGGTGTAATAAGGCTGTCCAAAAGTGAATTCAGTTGCAAGATGAAAAACTCATTGTGAAATAACAGCTGCACTTGTTGCTCCTAATAGATATCACTAACATTATGCAACCAGATATATGTTTAGCATGTTGACTTCCTTAAATTCCTCTCTTGGTTTGTTACTTCTCTCTTAGTCCTTGGTGTATGTGTTCACTCTACTTACAAACTGCTTTGTTCCCTTGAAAAGGTGGCTGTCTTTCTGTGGTCAACAGGAGATTCTGTGTGTATCAAACTGCAGTTAGGTGAGAATATAATTAAGTGCACAAAAAGCAGAGATGGGAGGATCCCATACAGAATAAGAAGAAAGGGGAAAGGGAGTTCTTTTATTTATTTACTTACTTACTAGAATCTCTTTTCTTGCTGAATATTCCTTTCTTCTGTTTGTGATGCTTAAAAAGAAAAAAAAATCACGTGCCTGTTCCAAACACATTCCTTACAGTGCCTGAGCCATTTGGAGGGGCTATAATCATTGGACAAGAATCCATCACCTACCACAACGGTGATAAATATTTGGCTATAGCCCCACCCATCATCAAGGTGAGTACATGTTTCTCTTTGAAATATATTTTGTTTAAAGCTGGAAGTACCATCCACTATGTGTGTGAATGTGGTATGGTTTACTGTATTGGTTACCGCAAAATTGGATGGGGGGATATTTTTATGAACCTACCTGTGTTGAAAGCCTTCTTTCCCATGATTTCTGAGGTTTGCTGTAGAAAGGTACAAGTATTTGCCTATCTTGAATGCTTTGCTTGCCCTCTGAGAGCCCTCTGATCAGTCCATAAAGCACTGCTGTCAATCAAATCAGTTCTCTTTGACTTTTGTGATATGGGCATGTAGCTAGATAGTATGTGATGTTGTCACAATCAGTATGTGATTCCTGATTAAGGAAAGTAGAGGCATTTCCTAACTAAGCAGGAGATAGGGGAATGAATGACAGTGAGCATTTTTGAAAAGGGGAAATATTTCCCTTCCCTTTCACAAAGCACAATTTTCCACACAGAAATGGAAACAGGTGAATTGGCACAGTCTAGATTGTGTAGTTTTAAAGCAGCTTTACAGAACCTTGAAGGGGCAGCATATGCGAGACTCATCAGGTGGTATCTCTGTTGGCCTCAACACAGCAACCTATGGTAAACGCAACAGTCGAGAAGTGAAATGTAATGGCCTGTCAGTCAAGATTGCTACAACTAAAGTACTCTCTACCAATAATAGCTGTGGTAACACAAGAAGGATAAGACCAGGATATTTTATGTTAAGCGATGCTTTTAGATTTTTCACTTTCTTTAAAGCTTCCCAAATGCTTTAGACGCCGTTTTTAGGAGGAAATCAAAGTATTCAAAGAGCAGTTCAGTGTAAATGCCATCTTGGTTCTCTGAAGAGTTCTAAATAATGCCTCTTTTGTGAAACAGCAAAGTACAATCGTATGTCACAACCGTGTGGATCCAAATGGGTCTCGTTACCTTCTGGGGGACATGGAAGGCCGCCTCTTCATGCTACTACTGGAGAAGGAGGAGCAGATGGATGGTGGCATCAGTCTCAAGGACTTGCGTGTGGAGCTTCTTGGAGAGGTAGTTCTTATTCCTTCCTCCCATTTCTGGGGCATTTGGTGTGAAACAAATTGGCAAAGCCATTTGGGCAGTTAAAGTGAAGGTGGAGAAAGAACCCCTAGCAAAGATTGACAGCTTGAATCTTTCTCCAAACACTAACTTTCAGTGCTGTCTCGTAAAGCATTTGCACCCAGCTTGCCCTAAGAAACCCAAGCAGTGCTGTGTTCAGGTGTTACCTAAAGAATTGTCTTAGAGAATCAATAAATGTAGGATTTCCCTCAGTCGTGACTCTCTGTCTCTGTGAGAGGATTTGTCACAGATCTAATTGTGCTTTCATTTCTTAGTTTTGTTTTATTTATTATAACATTTGTATCCCAGTCTTCCTCAAATGAGCTCTGAGTAGTGTGTTCATCTCACAAAAATTCCTTGAGGTAGATTAGGCCAAGAAAAGAGTCCATGCTTTTCCAAGGCTGTCCACCAAGTTGTATGGTCACGAGGATTTGAATCTTGGTTTCCTCTAGAAGACCTCCAGGTTCTGTCTGCAGCACCACACTAGCTTATGTTTCAGAACCTGATGACTGGCACTTCTTTTCATTTGTTGTAAAATATAAGCAGATTAACAAAGTATTTTTAAAGTTGTATTCCACCTTGAGGGCCCCTTGGGGCAGAACAATAATTTTGAAATACTTTTAATAAGTAGTAATTAACTGCATAAGTAAATGTTTTAAAAAGACTTACTTTTTCTGTATTTTATTCTCAACTAGACATCCATTGCTGAATGCTTGACTTATTTAGATAATGGCGTTGTGTTTGTTGGCTCTCGGCTTGGGGACTCCCAACTTGTGAAGGTAAAATGTAGCCCTCAGTGAACCTGTGAATTTTTCACCTGCAAATAGTTGCTCAGCTGTATTCTACCAGATGTATATTTAAATGCTATGGGCGGGTGAACACTAAATTTATTTCTACCATCTCTTGGAGCTCTGTGTAGTATTTTTGGCAGGCTCTGTTCTATTTTTGTTTTCTTGAGAAATTTAATCTTATTTTCATTCCTAGCTCAACGTAGACAGTAATGAGCAAGGTTCATATGTTGTCGCCATGGAAACCTTCACCAATCTTGGCCCCATTGTGGACATGTGTGTGGTAGATCTTGAAAGGCAAGGCCAAGGGCAGGTAAATTTTGGTTCTTCCCTATGAAATGTCTGACCTCACTAGGAGCGGCGTTTTGTGTACTTTTAAAAATAATGCTGCATTTTAATCTCATCTTTCCTATTAAGTTATTCAGAGGAATAAATGTGGTCCTCCCTCATTTTATCCCCAGAACAACCCTGTATGGTGGGTTAGGTTGATAAACAGCCCATGATCTAGCCCATGATCATCCTGTGGCTAAACAGAACTTTGAACAAGGGTCTGACATGCTATCCTTACGTTGCATGATTTTAGAGGAAACTTTCCCTTTTATTCTCTGTCCTTTGTAAAGGTCTTTGGCTATATACAATAAAAATGTACTTGACCATGACATGCTATCCAATGGGCATCACAGTGTGCTCATACACCTATTGAGGCCCCATGCCCTTCCCAGTTTTTAATTAAAAAAGAATTTTGGGGGGGGGGTCCCTTTGCAGGCAAGGGTTGCCTCCTTTTTTGCCACTTTTTGTTTTTGTTTTAAAGGATCTAGGGGTTTTGGTATGTTTTTTGTATGGTGGTGGTAGGTGAGGAATTTCTGACCATCGCCAGATTTACTTCTGTGAATAGGTGTCTTGTGTGCACATGACAGTTTCTTAGGTTTCCAAATGTGACCCAGGGCACTGTCTAGTTAATCTGATGATAGATTGAAAATTGTTGCTCCTCTCCAGCCATGAATGTGCTAAAGTAGAGAGACAATTTCAGAGAACTTTAACTTAGCCCCTTAAGTAGTGGGTCCATTTTGGAAATATATTTTATTTCCTACAGTATGGTGGCAGGCTGTAATATATTGTCTCCCTTCAGAGATTTGCTTAAATGCCTCTCTGGTAGATTGTAGGAAAAGCTTCCTTATCTTCAGGAACTGAATTGGATTAAATGCAATGTCTGTTACCCATTTAATATGGCCATTATTAATGTCAGAGTGTTTTAATGGCTGTTCTCTGCTTTCCCCAGCTGGTTACTTGCTCTGGTGCTTTTAAGGAGGGCTCTCTGAGGATCATCCGGAATGGAATTGGGATTCATGAACATGCCAGCATTGATCTCCCAGGGATTAAAGGTGTGTCATCATGATATAAATTAATAATTTGTGGCACTCTCTGAAGTGAGGATAATGCATATAGCTCAAAGTGTTTTGAGCAATATGCCAATGTTGTCACATAGGAAATTTTGTGAATTAGCTTTTCACGCTAAAAAAAAAGCAAACACATGATTCTAGCCCTCATGGGTGTCTAGAAAAGATTAGAAAATGGTGGACAAGTGGTTAGTGAAGACTTACAGAGGAGGCTGGCAGGTTTTGGGTAAATAAGATTGTATATTTCAATGCTTTTCTGTTCCTTCAAGTTTCAAGTTGCCTTTCTTTACTCTTCTTTCTTTACCTTCTGTATCATGTTCTTTACCTTTGTTCTGTATTCTGTAGAGGCTAAAATCTTAGACTGGGAGAAGATTACATAATGGTTTGTATAATTTATTCTAGCCTAGAACTGAGAATAGTTGGCACAGGGTAAACACTGTATGGTGCTTTAGAAGTAGTGAGGCAGGAGAACGTGCCGGCTTGGCCCTTCGTGAGTTACGAGATCCCTTGGTCTTTTGTGTTCTCTTGATAAAATATCTTTTTATGTCTCTGCACTGCAGGATTGTGGCCTCTGAGGTCAGACTCACACCGTGAAACTGATAATACCTTAGTGCTGTCTTTTGTGGGGCAAACCAGGTAGGAGAAATGCTGATGTTTTGTAGGGCTGAGAGTTGAAAATTTGTATGTCTTTGCTGATAATTTTGACCAGGTCTTCCTGCATTTTGCAGGGTTTTGATGTTGAATGGGGAGGAAGTAGAGGAGACTGAATTGACAGGATTTGTGGACGATCAGCAGACCTTTTTCTGTGGCAATGTAGCCCATCAGCAGCTAATCCAGGTAAGAAGCAAGTGTTTCTTGATAAAACCTTTAAAGTAGGAGTGGCTAACTTCCCACCCTCCGGTTGTTGTTGGACTACAGTTCACATTATCCATTGGCCGTGCTGGCTGGGCTGAAGGGACCTGAAGGGCAACATCTGGAGGGCAACAAGTTAGCCACCACTGCTTTTAAAGTATGCATCCTATCAGGAGTGAAATATCAGGACTGTGATGCATGGACAGAGGCCTAAAAACAACTTTCCTTTGAGTCGGAAAGAGATACCTGTTTTTGTTTCTTTCTTTAGATAACATCTGCCTCAGTACGGCTTGTCACTCAGGAGCCCAAAGCCCTTGCAAGTGAATGGAAAGAGCCAAATGGGAAGAACATCAGTGTGGCTTCCTGTAACAGCAGTCAAGTGGTGGTGGCTGTGGGGAGAGTGTTGTACTATCTAGAGATCCACCCCCAGGAACTCAAGCAGATAAGGTGCATGTGAACTGCAGCTGGGACATTTTGTGCTGACTCTCTTAGACTCACTGTAATACTGACATGTTTCCTCCTTGTCAGCTGCACAGAGATGGAGCATGAAGTGGCCTGCCTGGACATCACTCCCCTGGGAGACACCAGTGGCATGTCCCCTCTGTGTGCTATTGGCCTTTGGACTGACATCTCAGCCCGTATTCTTAAGCTGCCCTCGTTTGACCTCTTACACAAGGAGATGTTGGGAGGAGGTATGAGCGGCTTGTGTGTTTTCTATATTGGGAAAGGCAAATACTGCTAAGGGCAATCTGAACGAACTCTGTTCCACTTTCTGCAGAGATCATCCCACGTTCCATTCTGATGACCACTTTTGAGAATAGCCATTACCTGCTTTGTGCCCTGGGAGATGGGGCTCTCTTCTACTTTGGACTGAACATTGAGACAGGTGAGGTTTTAGGCTCCTCCTCCTCAAACTTTCTTTCTCTGTAACATTTATTTTGAGGGCCAACTTGGATACAACATCCAGAGATTTGTGATCAGGTATGTTGCCATTGTTATTGAAGGTGACAACTGCTGCCAAACAGTTCAACCATTTCCCTTTACGCCATTTCCGGGTGACCCAGAAACTGCAATTAATCCAGAATACGGCAGCTAGACTGGTGACTGGGAGTGGCCGCCGGGACCACATGACACCAGTCCTGAGAGATCTGCATTGGCTCCCAGTACATTTCCAAGCACAATTCAAAGTGTTGGTGCTGACCTTTAAAGCCCTAAACGGCCTCGGTCCCATATACCTGAAGGAGCGTCTCCACCCCCATCGTTCAGCCCAGACACTGAGATCCAGCGCCGAGGGCCTTCTGGTGGTTCCCTCATTGCGAGAAGTGAGGTTACAGGGAACCAGACAGAGGGCCTTCTCGGTAGTGGCGCCCGCACTGTGGAACGCCCTCCCTTCAGATGTGAAGGAAATAAGCAGCTATCTTCTTTTTAAAAGACATCTGAAGGCAGCCCTGTTTAGGGAAGTTTTTAATATTTAATGCTGTATTGTTTTTAACACTTGATTGGAAGCTGCCCAGAGTGGCTGGGGAAACTTAGCCAGATGGGCGGGGTATAAATAATAAATTATTATTATTATTATTTTCAATCATGTACATTAAATCATCCCCAAAATGGTGCATGCCCCGTAGAGCATGCAAATACCAGTACACTATGTGTATGTTGGCCCCAATGGGGGAAAGAGTTTAAACAAAGAAAGCAGCATGCAGGGAAAGGGTTAACACACACACAACACCCTGACTCTTACCCAGATTCTCTTCTCTCCCACACACTTTTATCTTAAAACAAAGAAACACAGCGGGTGTCTAATTGCAGATGTTCTGTTCCTAGAATCTGGTTTGGCCTTGAGAATAGAACATTTGGGAGATTCTCCCCCAAAAGACTGCAATCTACTCAGGATATCTATACTGAGAGACTGTTGTCCGCTTCTTTTGGGCAGCTGTTTTAAGGGAATCTTTCTGCTTTCTGTCTGGAATGGATTTCTGTGGAAAGTGAAAAGACACAGTGGTCTTGATACTCTTTAGCCAAGTGAGAGAATTTAGTAGGTTAATCTGCATGTGGTGGACAAACAGCAGTCACACTCCTGCTAGTTGATTTCCCCCCTTGCTTTCTCTTGGTAGGTAACCTCTCATGCTATACTTTCCCACAACAGGTTTGTTGAGTGATCGTAAGAAAGTGACACTGGGAACCCAGCCCACTGTTTTAAGGACCTTTCGCTCCCTCTCCACCACCAATGTGTTTGCCTGCTCTGACCGCCCGACTGTGATATACAGCAGCAACCACAAACTGGTCTTCTCCAATGTCAATCTTAAGGAGGTGAACTACATGTGCCCTCTCAACTCAGATGGGTATCCTGACAGGTGGGTGTGCTCTGTTTCTCCTCTTTAATTTGCCTATTTTCCACAGAGCATGCACGCTACCTCCCTGCTCAGCCCTACTTGATATGTGGACATGGCAGTTCCCTTGTGGCTGTTTCAGAGTGAGTATATGGTAGCAATGAACACTGGCAACACGCAATCTTCTGGGTCTGCCTGCTTAGACAATATAGAGATCATAAAGCTAGCTCTTTTTGCTTTCAAAATCTGGTATTGAAGCAATAGCAAAATAGCAAAGCAGTCTTCTAAATGATGAGCAAAAAGTAATCCTTTACAACAGAGTTATTCACTTGAGTGTGAAGGAGACGGCTTTTTGATTTCCTGTTCCTTCTCTTCTCCTTTAAACTTCTGATAGGTTCCCCTGCTTTTAAATGAACTGCCTCTGATTCCTCCCACAGCCAGTTTAAAATATTCAGAAAGCAATTGGAAATTATGCAGTTACTGGGGGTGTTGTGGATGGATTATTGTTTTGTTTGTTATGTTATGTATTTGTATGCTTTTTTCTTCTTCTGTACACCACCCTGTGATCCTTGGATGAAGGGCCATATAAAAATTTAATAAATAATATCTCCCCCCCCACCCCCGCTCATCAGAGGAACCTTAGTTCACCCCATATTGGAATAAATCACCTGCGTTTTCAACATCTAACTGTATGTTACCTGAAATCATTATTCATCCTATAATACCACTGACTGATTCTGGTGTTTTTTAAATCTTTCATTGTATTCATTCAAGTTGATAAGTAACCAGGAGTGCCTGGTAAGCTACTCCTTAGTGTTTTGCATCATTTATTCTGAAATGGGGCTGATAGTTCATAAACTAATTTTCTTCAGAAGTGGGGAGAATACAGTGATGAGGTGGAACAGGCAGTGAGGTTGGTGTTTATGCCTCAGCATTGTGTGTGCATATGTTCTCTTTTCTGTGGCTTTCCAAAGGAAGTTTTGGAAGCTAAAAAGACAGGTCCTTCATGTTGATGGGGAATACTTTTGGGAGAAGAGAAGGAATAAACTTGGTGTCAATACCACAGTCATTCTGCCTTTGCACAATCATCCCCCCATAACAGGTTTATCTATCATGGGGAAATGGTGGCCCTTCATATTTTCTTTGATTCATTGACACCAGCTAGCATGACCAGTGGTCAGGGGTGATGGAAGTTGAAGTCCCATATGTTCCGCATCCCTAGTCTGCGTTATCAATGCAAGGATTGTCTTCCACTCCCTGCACAACCTTCCTTCCCCTGCCTCTTACTATCCACATGCTATATTTGTTCCTGATGCCTGTGTAGGAAGTCCTTGGTAAAGCAATAAATCTCATTTAACACATATTACTTCTTTTGCTATGATACTTACCTTTTTAACTTACTGCAAGTCTTGGTAGGATAAATACCGACACTGATTCATTTCTTAAACTGTGGGTTATTTTATTGCTTTAGTTAGCTATGTGGATAGGAACCCTAGATTCAAGAGGCCCTATGTGTAGTGCTGGAAGAACAATTTTTTAAATTTAAAGTGAAATGCCTTATTTGTCCTTATTTTGCAGCCTGGCTTTAGCCAACAACAGCACTTTGACCATTGGCACCATTGATGAAATTCAGAAGTTGCACATCCGCACTGTTCCCCTTTATGAGTCACCCAGGTGAGCAAAGCGAGAAAAGAGTATCTCCAGGGGCTCTAATAGAGAGGTTTTAGGGGTGGGATAGGGTGATATCATTTCTGTCTGCATTCCTGTGACAATGTAGAAAGCAGCATAGGTAGGAGTGTATTAGTAGTTGTAGCTTTGTTTATTCTTGCCTTACCTATGTGTCCCTTTTTGTCATGCAGGAAGATCTGTTATCAAGAAGTATCTCAGTGTTTTGGCGTACTCTCCAGTCGCATTGAGGTTCAGGATGCTAGTGGAGGCACCACTGCACTGAGACCCAGTGCAAGCACCCAGGTGAAAGGAACTTCCTTGCAGATACCTCTCTGCAATATGCCATGCAAGCAGCTGGCATTGGTATCATGATTTCTTGCAGCTACATCAGAGGGAATTTATTTTGCTTAGCATTCTGATCATTCCTGCTTTTGTGAGATTGAGTGCTTTTAGCAGGCTAGTCTTGTCTTTTCCTTGCACAATAGTCTGAATTTGAGTGGGGCTTTTGAATTCAATGTCTCTGTTTTATGTTAGGAACAAATATTTTGGGCTGCTCAACACATTGAGGCACCTCCAGTTATTCAAACGTTGTTCTCCTAGTTTTCTAGTGTCAAAATGTCCTGGGGATCTGCTCATAACTTTACTTAAGTTTCTCCTTTTTATGAGCAGATCCCCAGGGCATTTTGACCCGTCTTCTAGGCTAATTTCCAAGTGCCTCTTCAGTAAACAGGAAACCTGGCAATACAGATCTGCTGCTTAATTCTCCCTGACCCTTTCCATTGCCTTCTTCCCCTCCAATCCGTATATGGTCCTATTCTTCATAAGCTTGGTGTATCTTGATCTCTGATGTATGTTCATGGTCAGAAGGAAAGGATACCCTTGCCTGATTCATTGGGGTTAGGTTACTACCGTTTCCATGGCCTCCAGAAGTAGTTTGAAAGAGTTATTCTTCCCTTCATGTTCCAGGCCCTCTCCAGCAGTGTGAGTTCCAGCAAGTTGTTCTCTAGCAGCACAGCCCCACATGAGACCTCATTTGGTGAAGAGGTAGAGGTGCACAACCTACTCATCATAGATCAGCATACATTTGAAGGTAATCCTCCTCTGCTACTAATTTCCCTTATGAGAAGTCTGCTTTTTGAGAGGCACTTAAGCATGTGAAAAGGGACTGGGAAGGGTAACTTGGAAGCACATGCTGGCATGAGAATGTGCTGAACAGACATTTTTTAAAGTTTCATAGTTACCTATGTCTAACTAGATGCTCCAGCTGAGCTTTCTCTCATTTTTTCACTTTTTTGTCTTCAGTTCTTCATGCTCACCAGTTTCTGCAGAATGAGTATGCACTAAGCCTCGTCTCCTGCAAGCTGGGCAAAGACCCCAACACATATTTTATTGTGGGCACAGCTATGGTGTATCCTGATGAGGCCGAACCGAAGCAGGGGCGTATTGTGGTATTCCACTATTCTGATGGTAAGAGTTGGAGGTTTGAATCAGATTTTCATATTCCCCCAAGGGGCTTGATGAGCTTGATTGTGATCTCTGCTTCTGCATACTTTTTAAGGCCCTCTGGATATTGCTGTTTTTGCCTGCAGAATTGTCTCTTGCTTATGAGAGGTTTTAGCTTCCAGGGTCTTCTATTGTAAAAGTCTTGGACACGGTTTTCAATGTTATAAGAACTGCCTTAATTGCTTCAAGTGGGGAAAAATAAGCATATCAGGGAAACCATTTCTTAAAATCACAGCTTCCTGCAATGACATGAATTCATTGCAACTTGTTGCCATTTTTGAGCAGCTTCTTGACCTATCTTGTCTCTCCCAATCGTCAGTAGGGAATACTTTAGGGAGATTGCATGGGTAATACTATTTTAATGTGTTGTTGAGAATAATTTTGAGTGACATGTGTACAAATAAAGTGACAATAGTTATATGCTAACTGTGCCACAGAAGGATTTTTTTTCCTCGGAGAAATGAAAGCTGTTGATGAAATTAACTGTGAAGGTGTTATGTTGGACGAAAAAGACAAACAACATATTAAAATCATGAATCTGAATAAAATGTCAAGCACTGTTGTTGATCCTTAGTGACATGCTATTTTAGTGTTGCAAGAGTGGGATAGAACATTCAGAGAGGCAGAGAAATAGCAATCACCGTAGCAGTTCCCATCCCAACAAACACCAATGCCATACAGGGCTAGGCCTCTTCCCACTTCAGAGACCTCATGTTTCTTATACAGTGAAGTGGAAAGAATTTGGTCTAAGCAATGGAGGAGGCTGCATCTTATGGCACAGACCTTCCTACTCTCACCACTAAACTGTGCCTATAGTGAAACATTAAGCACATGCATTCATGCAGCGCTTCCAAGGCCAGTCTATCATAGAACTGTAGAGTTGGAAGGGACCCTGAGGATTATCTAATCCAACCCCCTGCAATGCAGGAATATGCAGCTGTCCCATACGGGGATCTAACTTGTAACTTGGTGTTATCAGTACCATAATAATGCTCTGGCTATAGCTAAGTCTAGCTACTCATTGAGATGTGGGCAGCACATGCCCTTTTTAAGTACTGTTGTATTGATGTGTATCCTAGGTAAATTGCAGAGTCTGGCTGAGAAAGAAGTGAAAGGAGCTGTTTATTCCATGGTGGAATTCAATGGAAAACTCTTAGCTAGCATAAACAGCACGGTAAGGCTTCCAAGAGCTTTCGCATCCATGTCTTTCAGGGCTGGGGTTATTTGAGCAGGAGTGCACCTGACCCTGTTGTGATGTCCCTGGCTCTATCTCAGCTGTGACATACACCTTTCTGTTCTGCCAGGTGCGGCTATATGAGTGGACAGCAGAGAAGGAGCTTCGCACCGAATGCAATCATTACAACAACATCATGGCCCTCTACGTGAAGACGAAGGGAGACTTCATCTTAGTTGGAGATCTAATGCGCTCTGTCCTTTTGCTTGCCTATAAGCCCATGGAAGGGAACTTTGAAGAGGTATTGATTATGGCTGTTACCTTATTGAGTACAGCAGTCAAGAGGCCCTCATAAAGAGCTTCAGAAAAGAAAATAACATTTGACAGGAATAGGGGCAGCTTTTCATGTCTTTTGGCCACGGTGTTCTCATGACAGCGCATTAAGGGGAGGAGTTTTGAACTTGACTTGTCAAGCCTACTTGACCAAGGCTGGCCTTATCACTGAGTAGTGTAAGATGTGTGCCTGAGGCTGCAGATGTTTGGATTTCAGTCTTTAAAGGCAACTAAATTGTCAATTTAGTGTGTGCTTATTATTGGAAGGGAGGCATCATACGAACTTTCCACCTCAGGAGCCAAGTATCTTTTTTTTTTTTTATGAATAATTTTTTATTAACCGACCAATCACATCAAATCAAACCAAATTACATAAATTCCAAATTACACAGCCGAATTTTAAATTTTTGTTGGGGGTACCCATATTTCAAGTTCGAAGGGATCCAATCAACTTCTTGCTTCTTACTGCTGTTTTAATGTCCACAAATCTAACCTTATGATGTTCACAGTACTATCCAGTCCTTTCTTATTATTTTTCCACATCTCTTGCTGTTATTTTCATATATTTTTCCTTTCTCTTTGTGACCTCTGATAGTCTCCGCAAGCTGGTTAGAACAGTTTGTAATCCTGCGTGGATATTTTTTTTTATCCAGTAGCCATATCCAGACGTTTTCCATATAACATCACTTCCATACATCAAAACAGTCTTAGCGTCATTAATCTTCACCAATCTGCCTCCTTTCTCAAAACCTCTGAGGAGATTCACTAGGAATGCAGTCTGAAAACAAGTCCGTTCTTCCTCCCGGCTATAAATCCTTTGGCAAGATGGCGACTCCGAATTAATTGCTGCGCCATTCCTAAAAGCTCTTATTGCTTCTCGGTCTCCATAAAGCATACTTTTGGTTAAAGTTTATCTCCACACAGACCTTAATCATCCTGCTTGGGTCAGTTCAACCGACGGTTCTAGTGAGGAGGAGTTCTTGTAAATCACATAGAAGGAAAGTAAAAAAGGTTCCCCCCCCCCCATTCAGCCCCGTTGTCAGCATACCCCGCCTTTGGTGTATCTTCATCGTAAAATATTCCTGTTTCTCCAGCCCGTCGTCTTCTTTCGCAGAGGTCACTTAAATTAGCAGACTTCACTCCCCTTCTTCACTTGAAATATGTGCATTTGCTTCTTTTGTAATTAATTATTCCAAATTGCTGCAACTAGTGCGCGATCAGAGACAGTGTCCAGGAGAGCCGAGGTCCACACGGGGGCATTCTGCCTAGGGCCCTCACCCCCCTTCTTTCGAATTAGGGGTGATTTATGGGCACAGCAGGCAAGGGCAGTGTTCCCCATTTCCTTGGGGCAACAAGGGAGGCTGCCTACTCCCATAACAGCCTCTTAATTACCCCTTGTGGGTCGGAGAGATGGTATTGTCGGCCATCTTCCAATGTGCCCCCTAGTGGCCCCCCAGGAGCCAAGTATCTTAGGCTGACTGGCCCTTTTCATTTCACCCCATATTCAAGGCTGTTTGGAGTTCAATACTGGCCACATTTGTGAAATGAATAAATATTTGTGTAAAGATGATTAACAGTAGCTTAGAATTTTCTGCCTGAGGCAGAGATTGGAACCACATACTTACATGCATTCATAAATGCATATACTGCTGAGGCTGGTTTCTTCCACACAAGGTCTTTCTTGATCCTATAGCTACAGTGCAGTTTTGATTGTGCTAGGAACATAATGAATTTCAACAGCAAATGACCTATCCTTCCCTTTTAGATCGCTCGTGACTTTAATCCAAACTGGATGAGTGCTGTGGAAATTTTGGACGATGACAACTTCTTAGGGGCAGAGAATGCATTTAACTTGTTTGTGTGCCAGAAGGACAGGTGAGATGCCTCCCCAAAAGGATGGATTGAAGCAGCATGCATGTGGCAACTACACCTGGGAATTGAGGTGTGGTGGTTGCCCTGTCATTTCTCCTAGCTGATTTTCTGTGTTGCAGTGCTGCCACAACTGATGAGGAGCGCCAGCATCTGCAGGAGTTTGGGCTGTTCCACCTGGGGGAGTTTGTCAATGTCTTCTGTCATGGGTCTCTGGTCATGCAGAATCTGGGCGAAACATCCACACCAACACAGGGCTCGGTCCTTTTTGGCACAGTCAATGGAATGATTGGTAAGGTTAGAGCCAGCCAGGGACCTTCTATCTCTCCATGTAGTAATGAAAAATGTCCCATTCACTGTTTGCTGATATGGAATATGGGGATGGGGTGGGACACTGCTAACTTGGAGTTTTAGTAAAAGGAATTGAAGTAATAGAGACCTTGGTTGAAGAATATACATGCACTATCTGAACACAATGCGTTCCCAGGAAATTGTTCATTTGCATAACAAGCTGATGGTTTCCATTATTTCCTATCGGAACATTTATAATCTGTGATTTGTCTGCTCCCCCTCCCTCCCTGGTTTATGTCTCAAACTGCTGTAGCCAACCAGCAAAAGACAAACAAAGGAAAAACTGCTGCCTGTCTAATCCCTCCTGCTCCCTGAATTGTCCGATCTTTCTCCCTCCCTCCCTTGCAGTTCAGCTTTTAAATTAGGCAGCATCCTCAAAGTCCTTAGGTGGAGATTGAAATGATAACTCTTGAATACTGTTTGAAAATATCATTTTAACAGTTGTCCTTCTCCATAGGACTGGTGACTTCGCTGTCAGAAAGCTGGTATAATCTCCTGCTGGATGTGCAGAACCGACTTAACAAAGTCATTAAGAGTGTAGGAAAGATCGAACACTCCTTATATCCTTTTTTTGTCTCACCATTGCCCTATTCATTGTGCAAAATGCTTAAGAATACTATGTCATAAATTCCACGCATACTGAACCAGAGCAGATTCCAGCGTATGGTTAACAGAGTAAAAGAACTTAAACACGTTGCAGTATTCCCCCCAAAATAGACTAGAGGCAATTAATCTTTCATCCAGCAGAGCTTTACTGCTACTGAAGGTAAATGAGCATAATGGTCACAAATCCAATACATTCAGGATTGGCCCTGTCCATAAGAAATCCAGTTGCAGCTGACTTAACTTAAACTTACAATAACTTATAGTAAGACTAAACCTTAACACTAAGTATGCTATATACAGAGCATCACACCAGAAGGAAAGAGAGATAGAAAAGCGTGAAACCCAGGCGCCTACTGGCCTTATTATATAGTCAGCATGACCTTGACAGAAAGAGGTAACAGAACCAGTTTAAGCCAGCTGTACTCAGCTTCTCTGAATAACCGAAACATCATGAACCTTCTGCTTGTTTCTTTCACACCGAGAAGCTTCCAGAACCCTCTTGAATTAATTAGAATAGGAAAGATCTCTACACACCAGATCAGTACTTTCTGTACCAAGAAATGCAAACTGACATACTAGACGCAGTACAAGGATATTTTTAAAAGGCTGGTCCCTGCCTACAGACAACACATAGCAATAAATGAAAGTATGGGGAGGGGAGGAAGGGAAGGGAAGGGAAGGAGCATGAATGTAATCTGAACCCCAAATGACCAACACAGTTAAAAGAATGGAAGAGGAGAAAGGAGTTAAAAGAGATGTGTGTCGAAGAGAGAGATCTAAAAATCTTTCAAAGGAAGATGAACAAAGTGAACATCACATGACAGGGCAGTCCAAGCATAGATAGCAACCAGAGTTAAAGATGAGGAATGACAAAAAGGAAGCCTTAACTAAGAGAGGAGTGGAGTGCAATGAATAAGATAAATGTAGAAAGACGTTATGTATTTTTTAAAGTAGGGTTATATTTTTTTCTTGATTTTACTGTCTTTTTGTATACTGCTTTGAGGTTTGTTTGTTTTTTACAATCAAGCAGTGTATAAACTTTATGAAATAAATAAGATGGTAGCTGCAAAAAGCTTTCTGCAGACCACAGTGATTGATTGGGTATTTAAGGAGTGATACAATCTTTTAGGTGTCCCAATTAATTATAGGAAGGTCAGTTAATGTTACACTGCACCACTTTTGTCATGTGTTTACTCATGCCATTTTTGTTCGTGAAGAGCATGAGAATCTGTAAGAGTTAGTTCTTTTAAGGCTGGTGTTGCCGAATGGTTTGTTTCCTTGATTCATGACTGTACCTGGAGATCATTTCATACAGAACGCAAGACAGAGCCAGCTACAGGATTTATTGATGGGGACTTAATTGAAAGCTTTTTGGACATCAGCCGACCCAAGATGCAAGAAGTTGTGGCTAATCTACAGGTAGGATGGGAAAACTAATCACCTGTTAGAAGTTCTTGGGACAGCCTTTCTCATTGTTGAGAGGCCATAATGTTGTGCTCACTAGCATGGGAGCAAATACCATTAAACTTGGTGAGTCTTCGTTGTTTTTGTTAGCGTACGTAGCATTGCCCCAATAAGAAACTAAGAAGCGGTATACGCCTTCACTGTTGTTTCCACAGGTGGCTTCTGACGCCTCTTTTTGTTTCAGATTGATGATGGCAGTGGAATGAAGAGGGAAGCCACAGTGGATGACCTGATCAAGATTGTGGAAGAGCTCACCCGTATCCACTAGCTGGATGAGGAGATACTTTGCAGCTCCTTCCTCCGTGCTAGCGTATGGAGTCTTTCCCACCTGCAGCTGGGGTCCCTAGCCAGTTGCCCTGTAACACTTTAGAGGCAGTAGCAACGCGCCTGGGTGAAAGTGGGGAATCTCTCTGAACTGAAGCCATCTCGCTAGGGACTTGTGGATGCAATGTTGGCTGTGGATGACATAAGGTTCTGCTTGGATTCACCAACCCAGTACTGGTCTCAGCCAGTTGTTCCCATTGAGTAACGGCTAGCAGTTGGCAAAGGTGCGCCCCCTACCTAGACTCTTCCCACAGCTCATTCACCGTTGTCTTTTAGTATCTTTTTTGGATTTTTTTTGTTGTTCCTTGTGTTTTGAAGTGGGAGTCTTTTTTTCCTCTTCATCTATTTGGCTAGATGGCTGTGTCTGGTGTTGGGGAGATGGGAGTTGTGCCTGTCTGGGTAGGGAACTCAAGTGGGTCGAAGGCTGCTCTTCCCCTGGGCCTTTCTGCTCATTCAGGGAGAAGGGGCTGGAAAACAAAAACAAAAAAAATTTCTGTTGTTGGTTTTGGAATTTTACCAAATAAAAGTAGTCCAAGAGGAAAGGTTTGGCTGTCATAATCTCCCCCACTCTACTTCAGTATCTCTATCAGGCCAGGGGGAGAAAATCTTACATTTCACACGCTTGTAACACATTGCATTGCACACAAGAGCACGGAAGGTCTGGCAAGCTGTCCTTGAGTATTTTACACAGAAAGGTGGAATGTTGTTTTTTTAATTTATTTTTTATTCCATTTCAGCAAGGGTACCTGAGCTATAGATATACAGTGGTACCTCAGGTTAAGTACTTAATTCGTTCCGGAGGTCTGTTTTTAACCCGAAACTGTTCTTAACCTGAAACACCACTTTAGCTAATGGGGCCTCCCGCTGCCGCCGCGCCGCTGAAGCACGATTTCTGTTCTCATCCTGAAGCAAAGTTCTTAACCTGAAGCACTATTTCTGGGTTAGCGGAGTCTGTAACCTGAAGTGTATGTAACCCGAGGTACCACTGTAGAGGTAGTTACCTGACCAAACTATTGCCAGTTTCCTTAAGAAATCCCTTTATTTAGCTGTGTTTCCAAGTGATGCCCACTGCAGTCTTGGATGGCTGATACAACAAGGTCTCATATGCAGACAGACTTCGTGTTTGTGGTCAACCTCAGGTGGAAGACATCATTCATTATCTGTTAGCCTGCCATTATATAGAGACCCAAGATACTGCTTTCTGAAACCTTTATTCACACAAGCAAGCAGGAATACTCTGGCAGAAAATGTTTGGTTTCTTTTGAGTGACAGTAATAGTTTTACAACACAGTGTGGCCCTCTATACACTAGCTGCAAAAAAAATCTGGAAAAATGAGCTAGATAAAATTTCTATGAATTGTTGTGATTCGTAGTATTAAGGGTACATAACACAAAGATAAAACAAAATACAACACAAAAATGGCAGCCTAACACAGTGTTTAACATTAAGGTTAAGCTGAGGAAATTACAGAAATTTCTAGTATACATAAATTGAATGTAACATTTTTATTCCCATACAGCAAGAAAGCTGCTTTCAATGAATTAGCACCTATGAATCTGATAAGATCTAAACTGCAGTTGGGTGTCTGGAGGGCCACCTGGTGTTGGCAAATTTATTTTATCAAGCCTCCATAAACTACAATTCTGCCTTTATTTTTCCTGCAACACCCAATTCCAGACTTTGTTTCACCAGTTCTCAGACATGAGAGGAGACCTTTCTCCACTTTGGCAACTGCTAAAAGGAATAGGAGTTAGGGTTTGTTTGTTTGTGGGCGGGGTGTGTGTGTCAGCATCTGCAGTCAATCCTCAGAAAACAGAATACTGTAATTAATGTAAAGGTAAAGGGACACCTGACCATTAGGTCCAGTCGTGACTGACTCTGGGGTTGCAGCGCTCATCTCGCTTTATTGGCCGAGGGAGCCAGTGTACAACTTCCGGGTCATGTGGCCAGCATGACTAAGCCGCTTCTGGCGAAACCAGAGCAGCACACGGAAACGCCGTTTACCTTCCCGCCGGAGCGGTACCTATTTATCTACTTGCACTTTGATGTGCTTTCGAACTGCCAGGTTGGCAAGAGCAGGGATTGAGCAACAGGAGCTCACCCTGTCGCGGGGATTCAAACCGCCGACCTTCTGATCAGCAAGTCCTAGCCTCTGTGGTTTAACCCACAGCGCCCCCCGTGTCCCTGTAATTAATATATAAATAATTAAAATATAAATGACCATGGGAAGAGGCAAATGCACAGGGGCAAATGTCATTACCATCTCCTTAGCTATCAGGTTTGTGCCTTGCTCAGCTTCAGCTGTGTTGTCTGCCACTCTTGAAGACCAAAGTCGCCTCATTATTTTCCCCCTACACACAAAGCTAAGCACAGAGCAGGGGGAACCCTGCTGTTTGGTGGGTTTGCAGCTCTACCAAAGGATTCTGTGCACTTGTCTTAGGGTACTGTATACTGCAGGAGGGGTGTGTTGTCTCGCATTTGCAGGTGGTGAAATGATTTACACTTCCCTGTAATGCCCAGCTGAGGGCAGCATGTTTCTTAAACGTCTCACAGCCTATAAATGGAACAGTTCCCATCACCTGCGATAGCAGGAAGCCATGCCCTGTACAAATTCTTGTGCACTTGATGATTGTGGCCTCTGGCTTCCCATCGCTTCTAAAGAGATGTCAAGACACTGTTGCTGACAGTCTGGCAGACATTTAGCCTCATTATTTATGTTTCATTGTACAATTCTGTTACTAAGATGAGGTGCTAAATCTACTGGTGCCAAAGGTTGCAAGCTTCCCGTAAAACAGCGTATCCTTCAAAAGGTTTTCCCTTGGCGCAGGGTGTTTGGAAACGTTTCTTGTATAAGAGATACTGGCCGTGTAACCTTACAACAGAGCTGTAAACCTTCCTGTGTAGCAAATGGCCAAGTTGTTTTATAGTAAGAGCGTTCACAAAGAGCCTGGCTGCACTCCCAGAAGGAATGATTAAGAGATCTGAAACTTCAGTGTTGTTAAGACTATTACGGTCTATTCCCAGCAGTTCTCTTGGATTGGCCTGTAATAAACTAACAGCATCTCATAGCTTTAACCAGGATGGCTACTTTCTGTTTGCGAGATCTCTGTTCACGTGCACAAACATGCTCACAAGTGAATAAGTTCATGGTTCTCAGATTAGCAAGACAGCTAGGCATACCTCTTGATTCTCCTTACAGTGCTTCATTTTTCATGCTTTTGAAATGGTATGAGTTGGGCGGGAACTGCTCCTGGCGAAATGGGGCCATGGTACCACCACCAGGCCAATGCCTAAAAACTTTTATATTAGAGAAGAATTGCCACCAAATCAACACACATTAAGATGGCTGTTTGCTTTAATGTAGGGAAGCAGTCATACACATGGTCCCATACCTGCACTCTGAAGTAATATAGCAGCAGGAGAGGGTCTCTCTCCCCATCCCTCCCGCCATCAGCAAAATCCTTACATGTCCTTTTTCTATGTATGGAGTTGCAGAGTATTGCTCCTACCTAACAGGACCAAATATAGCAATAGTTTTTGGCTTGTAGGTGCCATCTAATAACAGCTAAACAGCCTCCATATTAAGAGGCAGTATATCTCTGAATACTAGCTGCCACTTTGGACAAAACTGGGAGGCAGGGGCTGTTGCTTTCATGCCTTCCTTTGAAGGCTTCACTGAAGCTTCTGGCAGGACACAGCTGGAAAGAGACTAGGCAGACCCTTGGCTTCAACCACCAGGGATCTTTGTGTGTTTTCTTGCTATCATTGTTTGTTCATTCCCTTCTTGAAACCAAGTTACCTGCCTCTCCAGGTACAAAAAGTGCTTGAAGTTGGGGTGCGAGGGGAGAAATAATCACTCAGCTGTGCAGCCTGGGCTGCTTTTCAGTCAAAATGTAGCCCAATTGGAAAGCAGCAGTGGCAGCTTTCTGAAGAGGAGATTTCCCCCTCTTTGTTTCCCTTTGGGAGGAACAATGTGACTTGGCAGGCTCCACGATGATCAGTGTGGTCAAAGTATAAAGGAAGGGACGCTGTTTCTCTGTCTAAAGGGCAAGTGTGATTCAGAAAAACAAGGAGGCAATCACTCGCCACTTCAAGGATTCAGTCCTTTTTGGCAGTCATAGGAAGCTTCTTTATTCGGAGTCAGATCATTGCTCCATCTAGTGTAGTATTGTCCACTTGGACTGACGGCATATCTCTTGGGTTTCAGAGAGCCTTACCTGGAGATGCTGGGATTGAACCTGGGATCTTCTACATGCAAAGCAGATGCTCTACCCCTGAGCTATGGGCCTGTCCTATTTCCTAGACCAGCTGTAGGGCATCAGATTGGTGAAGACTGCTTTAAAGCAAAGCCTTCCCTTAATGGGGCATTGCTGGAGAAAGGGACAAGCAACTTTACTACTCGTTGCCACTGTTTGAAAAATAAAAGGATTATGCAAGTTCTATGGCACAAGAGCACTCGGACACTAATAATGGCTATGCACACCTTCCCATTTACTCTGCATCCAGTGTGCTCTCACCATTGATTTGGGGAATAGTGTACAAAAGACATTAGCCACAATCTGCTCTTTCTCCTTTCTTTTCTACGTAGTTACATTTTCGTGTGTCCCCATCCCACCCACCGCAAACCAACTTCAATCCAACTTGTGGAAAAGAAAAGGACCTTGCTGTGTTTTAAGTCAGTAATGTGTACACAGCCTATGTAGGAAACAAAAAAAATAGAGTTTGCAAATCCACAAAATTGCATGGCCATGATGGATGGAAATGGAGTCGCTCATTACCCGCAGTGCCACGGTGTTACCAGGGACACTTGTTCAATCACGCAACACGTGGCATTTGCAAATCACAGGTGAGCTGCCAGCAGGGAGGAAAATCATGCTTGCCCTACGATGTTATTAGAATGCTTGGGGAAATGTGATAGTTCAACAAGTCTGGATTCTGTGCGGCAGCTGTGCAATTACTGAGTCAACACCATGAAAGACACCCATATTGTGACCAGGCCTCCTGCCACGTTAAGTGATCGCTGCTCTATGCATTTGGAATGTGGGTTTACCTAAGCCCCACCCTTGTTTGTTTCCACCACTAGCTTTGAGATGTATCATCTGTGATGTGGCCCATCTTAACAGCTTTGATCAGCTCTACCAAAATTGTGAATGATAGTTACGCCACTTAGCCTAGATAGATGAGAAGACAGGCGGGGGTTGTGTAAGTGTGTGTGCATGCACAGGTATGTACTTGTGTTGCTAGCTAATCTCAAAGTGGGGGGGGGCACATGGCAGATAGTAACATTTTGGTCGAATTCTGAGACACCTGTTTTGTTTCAGGACACAAGTGAAAATGCAAAGTGACGGGAACCTAAGGCCTTTTGCCCTGTATTATAATTTTGCTTTTGTTTTGCAGCGCCTCCTTTCTGGGACAGCTCTCCTCCCCCCCCCCCAATTTATCACAAGTGGCACCTCTCCGACATTCACCATTTGACACACATGCCTGGCGTTGTCTTGCCCCCTCCCCAAATCCCCCCAGCCCGCCTTTGGATCTGGCTTGGAACACTTTATCTCCTTCAGCTCCTCTTTGGTGCAGTTGGGAAAGCAGCCCAGAGAGAGAGGGGAGGGGTGGGCGATTCTTGAGCCTTGCCAGATGTGGAAAAGGAGACTCCTACAAGGGGGGTGATGGTGGTGGTGAGAGGGGGGGTAAGCCTCTTCCCAGTCAAACAACAGAGCTGCTGTTTTAGGAATGCTGGATCCTCCCTCCTCATCTCCTCTCGAGGTGCCCCTGCCCCTGAGAAGAGGGGGGAGGCACGCATACACACACACACACACACAGCACACAGAGTTTTTTCCAGTCTGTACACATGGGCTGGGGGGGGGGAGCTGAGCAATCTGAGCCTGGCTGTGGGGAGGAGGAGTCTGCTCCCAATGCTGCCCCCAGCCTGAGATCATTGATCCCAGCTCCCCTCCCTCTGCCCAGAAGGAGCCCCCAGCCTCATCCTTGGTTGGGGAGGAGAGTCCAGGCAGTTGCCATGCTGTGGTAGAGAGGGGCCTGTGGGGGGAGAAGGAAAGAGCTCTCTTGAAGGGAGCATCTCTGAGGAACTGGGAGAGAGACGCCTGTCATGTTCGCGGAGCTGCTCTTCCAGGCTGCCTGTGTCTCTGTGTTCCTTCAAGGGGCCCAGGGGAGAGTCTACACAGGAAGGAGGAAACTTGCCAACTTCGCCGTGGAGAGGTACCCACCCCCCCATACCCATCTCTGTACAGGGGCAGCCAAGTCCCAGACCTCCACACACACACACACATACGCACACCAAAACACACACAGCTACCTCCTGGAGCTTGGCTGCGGGACCTGGAGACCCCCCCTGATCTGGGCCCAAGAGGGGGTTGTTTGTTTGCATCATGTGTAGAGAGACAGCGATTCCTGCCTGAAGGAGTATTTTGCTTCCCTCGAGGTGCCCATCACCTCTTTCTTACCTATTTTTGTTCTCTTCTGAAGGCTGCAGTGCAGTTGATCTGCCCCCTTCATACTTTTGCCCCCATCATCTATAAAATTCATGATGTGCCTGAATAGAAGCATAATTCCACGAATTTACTTCTGAACAAAGTTCAGCTTGCACAACCAATGAAGTTGGGATGAAAGGTTGACTGACTGAGGGACTGCATGGATAGGGCAACGGTGTGCCCAAAGTCCTAGTTTGTCTTTTCTTTTTCTTTCAAATGTGGGCTGGTATATATTCTGTGCACCATCACTGACTGACCACCTCTCAGCAGTTGCAGCTTTGCATGCCTGGGAAACCCGGAGTGGCAGGCAAAACTGGAATGTGTACTTGTGGGGAACAATTTAGAGAGACAACCTGCATCAGTACAGATGAGAGAAAGGTGCTGGGGGTGGAAAGTACCCAACCATGTGCAGAGTGATTGTGTGTCTTAGCCCAGAAGGCTGTATACACACTGTTCCTTTAAAGCACTTTTGAAGCACATTCTTTCCCTCAAAGAATTCTGGGCACTGTAATTTACCCTCCACAGAGTTACTATGTCCAGCACCCCCCCCCCCAAACTACAGTGCCCAGAATTCTTCGAGAGGGGAGGATGTGCTTTGAATGTGCTACCACTGTATAGTGTATATGTTTATCATTACGTTCAGAGTGGTTTCTGTACCTGTGTTTCCACATATCCTGGGCACAGCTTTCTCTATGGGTTCATTCAGGCTTCCTTTTGTGTCTAGGTACAAGTCTGAGTGATGTTCGTGTTTTTTTCCAGGCACTTTCCATGGGAAGGCCCACATTTTAGAACTGAATCTAAGCAAATGGCAATTTGGTTCTTCCACGGACAAAAGAAAACCGCTCAGAAACAGAGCTTTAAAGTGTGGACCTGCGCAAAAGGAAGTGCAGCTGAGACCTATGTGCCACTGTTCCATCTACTCCTTTTCTTCCCATGTACTTATTCTGGACACTGTGGTTTGTTAAGCATTGCTGGGTATTGTAACTCTGTGAGGGGTAAACTACAACACAACAGTGCCTGGAATCCTTTGATCACCACATATTTAAAGCACATTGCTTCCCTCAAAAAAACAACTACCTTTGTTGCTAAGGGTCCTGGGAACTGTAGCTCTGTGAGGGGTAAAACTACAGTTCCCAGGATTCTGGGATGTGACCACTGGCAGCCTGAGCATACTGCTAATCTTAGCCCTCCATAAGCAGGAGGCATGTGTCTCAGTCCTCAAAACAGTGCAGCTTGGAGAGTTACTTTTCACTCCTGGAAATGTCTCAGTCCGTCTCTTTCCTATTCCTAGACGTCGCATCGGACCACATGTTTGCCTCTCTGGTTTTGGAAGCGGATGCTGCCCTGGGTGGATAGCATCTCCAGGCAGCGGACAGTGCACCATGCGTAAGTACCTGGAGTTCTTTGGAAGACATCAGCTCTGTATTGTTGCTAAATCTCATTAGGGAACTGAAGAATCTGAATATTGGAAGATTCAAGGCAAGACAAAGCAAATTGCTTCTTCACACAGTGTACAATTAAACAATGGAATTTGCTCCCACAAAATGTGATGATGGCCACCAAATTAGGGCTCATCCATACTCCTGTTTGTGCCACAATTTCTAGGCACAAGTCTGAAAGTGCCCCCCCATCCCGCTGTTTCCCTGGAAAAACCTACTGTTTACAGCTGAATCCATGGGAAATCTGATTGACATTTGTTCCAATGCAGCGGTAAACAGCGGGGGGGGGGGGGTTTCCGAGGAAAGTGGCCGGACAAAAAAAAAGAATGCTTTTGACTCCTTGCGTAGAAATTGTGGCACGAATAGGAGTGTGCCCTTGGTGGTGTTTAGAAAGGAATTAGACAAATTCATGGAGGATAAGACTTACTAGCCTCAATGGCTATGTTCTGGAAGCATGGCTATGCTCTTTTGGAGGCAGTACGCTTCCGAGTACCAGTTGCTGGGAATCACAAGTGGAGAGAGTACCATTGCATTCATGTTCTCTTTGTGGGCTTCCCACAAATACCTTGGTTGACGACTGTGAGGACAGCATGCCTGACTAGATGGGCCCTGAACCAGCAGGGCTCTTCTTAGGTTGTCAGTTTAGTATCAGATACTAGGCGTACAGCTTTTTAATTAGTTTCAGCAGTCCATTCGCTCATGCAGTTTTGTGAACTGAGGTGGGCTGTGGGGGGATAAGGCAGCTCAGTCATAATTTCCAGCACTTCAGCAAACTAGGAACATAGGAAGCCACTTGATACCAAATCACACTAACACTAGCAGACAATGGCCCACCAAGATTTCAGACAGGAGTCTCTCCAGCCCTACGTGGCTGGAGATGCCAAGAATTGAAACGGGGTCATTCTGCAGGCCAAGCAGATGCTCTTATACCCAAGTTATAGCCTTCCTAGGATTGTTTAGGGGAGGCCACCACTGTTAAGGTGTTGTATAAAACCAATATTAAGTCTGTCCTATAGATGTGCTGCAACGGTCAAAAAGCTTTCAGGGTCGGTCACATAGCATCATGCACAGTGCTGCACACCTCTACACAGTAGACGTTTCTAGTGTACATGCTGTCGCAGCACCCCATCTTGCAAAGGTTGATTTCCCTAGTCTAGCAGCGCTGGCCCCTAGTGCTGTGCCAATGTGGCGTCCTGCTGCATTTGCTCATAGCGGTGGTGCTCCCTGGCTTAGCTGCTTATTTGCTCGCATGACGACACGTAAGGTCCAGCTGCTGGGTCCTTAGCGGGTTACTACCAGCTGCTCTCATTCATTTCTGGCATCTGGCAATTGGAGATGAGAACATGCTACTCACTAACCATTTTTGTTAGATGTCACTGTTGGCAAGTGCTGCCAAGTCCAGCCCTAAAAGGAGGGGGTGGGGGCTTCTCTTACCTCCTGCAGAGCAGGCAGCAAGGCTGATGTCACAATGCCCATGCAGACAGCATGGAAGGAAAAGAGATCATTTTTTTGTCGCAGGATGAGGGGATGGGGTGGTGTTTGATAGAAGCACCCAAATGGCAGCTGGGATTTTCATGCAACAATGAATACAGGCAGCTAGACTGGGCAACTCCTGAATGGGCTGGGAGTTGTAGTTCTGTAAAGGAATCAGCGGGCTCTACCCGAGCATTTTCAGTATGCTCGCAAAACCACAGGTGGCAAGCAAGGAGCTAGGATAGTTGCATTAGTTTAAAACTGGCAAATGGCGGTAGCCTGGAAATGCCTATGGAATAAAAAGATGATGTTTTATTTTTAAAAAGGGCAGTGAATGCTTCAAGCCTGTCCTCACTTCCATACCATTGCATACAGTGGGAATTCTTTTTGCATAAATATACACAGGATTTTATTAATGATATTTCTTCTAGATACAGAGAGCGTCATTAACATCCCATTTCTTGGCAGCAAACATTTGTAGTACCTGCTGATTAGATTGTGGTTTTTTTTTTAATGATCAAATGAGGGTGCTTTCACATTGTTTATGGAGCATTCACCCTGATTTGTTTGCAGGGAGAATAGAATGTGCTGGCTGCTTAATGAGAATTAATTATTATTTCTTTGCAGGGAGGCTAGATGATGTTGCCTCCAAGCATTATCCCACATTTTCCACCCCAAAATAGTCACGGCCTGGAAGCATCTTAGTGCCTCCTCCCCATCTAACTCATTCATTTATCTTTAAAGTTCTTCCCAAAAATCCCTTTCCTTACCTGTAATTCTGCTCTGATCCATTGCTAGATCTCTTAACTGGGCTCCTTCCTGCTTGGCGTGAGAGTGGTTCTCTTCCACTGCACTGTGGTGGGGTAGAGTGGTGGTGGGATTAAGATCCTAATTTTCTGTCTTTGTTAACTGGTGCTTTCTTGGACCTTCTCGCAGCGCTTTGTTCCTTTGGCTGTGGAAGTGGCTTCTGCATTGCTCCCAATGTCTGTTCCTGCAGGGATGGAGGGCAGGGCATTACATGCCAAGGTAAGGAGAACTTTGTGGGATGATGCCAGTTATTCAGTTTGCTATGTGGACTCCTGTGAGGGCTGGCTGGGAATGTGCAAATCTGTCAGTTTTGGTTTCTCTGTTTCCCATTCTTCCCATCTTCATTTCTCCTTATTTCCACATCAGCTTGCGATTAATTTTTTTAAAAAGAAGTTTTATTATTATTATTTATTATTTATTAAATTTATATACTGCCCTTCATCCACAGATCTCAGGGCGATTCACAACATAAAATTACAATGTAAAACCCACAAAATACATAGTAAAAATAAGAACAACATTGGAACTTCATTAGAAGTTCCAATGAAAATTCATCAGCACTTTGATGCTGATTTCTCCTAATATACACCTGTTTTTGTAAGTTAAACACGGTTTTACTTTCAAACTCTTCCAAGGTCAGATTCATGTGCTTTTCCATAAAGCATTCAGAAAAAAGTTGCACAGGTAGTAAAACTTAGCATAGTTACATAAAGTGGTGAAAGTCCGTATTGGTATAGGAATTCAAGAGTGGCTAATGAGAACTGTGTGGCTGAGCTGGAGCAAGCAGCTCACGCCTCTTCCCATGTTGAGCTTCTCAGGTGGACTGGATGGGAACATTAGGCTTGATTACCTATTTCCCCCCAAGATAAGGGAAGTGACATAGCTAAACCTGGCAGGACAACTTACTCTATGCACCTTCATGCATTAATTAGACTTTGGTTATGAGATGAGTTATCCCACAGCTAATTAGAAGCCTAATTGGAATGGGGGGGGGCATGTTGAAGAGTCACATCTGTGAAGGGAAGGAATCTGTGCCACCCCCCCAAAAAAAATTGGGCTTGGGAAAAATCAAAATAAAATCTTGCCTATCCAACTTTACCTTCCAAAAATATCACTGCCCCTCAATCTGATTTGAGGGGGAAAGCAAGGAAAGTGAATGTGTGCATGATTATGGTTGTGGTGTGTGTCTCTGGATTGCAAATGAGCCCACAGGCCAAAGAAGGCTAGCAGCCCTCGCTCTATTCAGCCCAATGGGTCTACACCAGCAAAAGCTCTGCCTCTCCTTTGCCCAGATCCAGCCTTTAAACATTTTAATGGACCGAGCTAATTGCTAAAATTCCCCTCCTTTCTGGGCATATAAAGCAAGACTTTTGCTGCGAAGGCTTAGTGAAATATCCTTCAAATGTATCTGAGAGTTGGTTGCTTTTAAGGGAAATCAGTTCATGTTATTATTACCTATATTAAGAGCAACACTTAATCAGAACAAGGCTTTTGAAAACATGTTGTAACATTCTGGATGATTTTCAGTTTATGTAATCGTAGGTTTTGCAACAATGGCCATGCAAAGTTTATGATGTTCTTATGTTTTTTGAATGCTATAGTAGAAGGCAGTGGTTTATTGGTCAAGCAGTGCTTTATTCCACCCCCCCACCCCCAATAACAACAAACCTATCAACGGTGCTGCCTCCTTGCTCATACTGGATGCTGGAGCTTCTGGGGCAAGCAATCCTCCTCCAGCAATCTGGACAGCCATTGTGGGTTTTCTGAACCCTGCAAGGGCCTCTGACCCTTTCCCTGTAAGAGGCATCCCCCTCAAAGTATCTGGCTTGCGCCCTTCTCACTGTACCTTCAGTGATGCCCTGCCTGGTCCTCCCTTGCTTGCCCTCTTCCACTTCTTTTAGGGCACCTTTGCCTGTTATTTGCCTGTGATTATATAGCCATTGGCAAGAGTTGTAGCTTGGTAAAGTCATAAATTTCCTGTTGGCATCCTGTTTTCTCTGGCAAGAGACAATAAAGTTCTTCCTGATTGATGTGTGTCTTCTCTAAGGCTGCTTATACACCATGTTTTCATAGCACATGTTTCCTCCCAAAAAATTCTGGGAAGGGTAGTTTACCCATCACAAAGCTACAGTTCTCAGCAGCCTTAACAAACCTTAGTTCCCAGGATTCTTTGGGTGGGGAAAAGTGCATTGAATGTGCTTTATGATGTGCAGCAGCCAAAGCCTGCCATGGCACCTGCCTTTTTTCTTGCCTGCTCTTCTTTCACATTCTGCTCTTCCTGAAACAAAAGCCCATGCAACTGGGGTTGTGCTCATCTATGCTTCTGTTGCAAAAGTGTGGCCTTTGGTTAATTTGGTCCTAGTCACCAACTCCAGCATCCTTGGTCAGCTGCTAGGGTCCCAGGGCCCCAACAAGGCCTACTGCTGCACCAACACCAGCCTGCTAGGTCTCTCTTCCCAGGCAGTGTGGAGCCGCCATTTTGACTTCCCACAATGCCTCCAAGATAGTGTCACTCAAGGTCATTTTGGGAAATGCCTGCTGCTACACACTATAACGTAAATCAGAAGTGGCCTGCCAAGAAGACCCTCTTACACCTTAGAACAAGCCCTGCTATCTATCAGTAGGGAGACCCCTGCAATGAAGTCAGTTGGATGTTCATTCACAGATAGACTTTGGGGCAGATATCCAGGGCCACACTTAGCAGAATGGGCAGGGGGACACCTTGAGGTTGTCATCTGTTGTGCACACAACAAGTGTTTAAGTCCAGAGTCTACAGTTATCTAAATGTAACACTGAAATTGCCTACCTGCATCTCCCACTCCCCTACCTAATGGTCAGGGTTCCTTCTTGCTTTCTAACCCTCTTTCAGTGAGGGAGTCCCATTCCCCGGCATGAAATTTCTCCTCTCTGTCTTTTCAGACGTTCCTGGTGCCTGTGGAGAGTATGGCTGTGACCTTGCTTGCAATCACGGCGGTTGTCAGGAGGTGGCGCGGGTGTGTCCGCTGGGGTTTTCCATGACTGAGACAGCCAATGGTGTACGCTGTGCAGGTGAGCTGGAAGAGAGGTGTCTTTCTTACATGGAACCAGCAGGGCCTGAAGCCCCTACTCCTAGGGAGATAAGGAGCTTCCTGACTGCGGGCTCTTAGTGCTACTCAGTCATTGCTCTTCCACAGTAAGCTGCACACAGAATTGCAACTGCCTTTTTCATTCATTGACACATGGGAATGTTTCCCCCTGTAGACATTGATGAGTGCCTGAGTGCCTCCTGTGAGGGACTTTGTGTGAACACAGAAGGTGGCTTTGTATGTGAATGTGGCCCAGGAATGCAACTCTCTGCTGACAGACACAGCTGTCAAGGTGAGTGTGATTGGGAACATAGGAGGGGAGAGGGATGGAGCTGGAATATTTTTAGGGAAGATGTCAAAGATCGGTTTATTTTTGTGGGGCAAACGATATCGACATTTGCATCCTCCATTTTGCTCCTAGATACTGATGAGTGCCTAGCAACACCCTGTCAGCACCACTGCAAGAACAGCGTGGGCAGCTATCGATGTTCCTGTCATTCCGGCTTCTACCTGCATGGCAACCAGCACTCCTGTGTGGGTAGGTGTCCCTACTTCTGTTGTACAACCTAGCAGAGGAAGGGCTGTAGCTCACTGGCAGAGTATCTGCTTTGCATGCAGAAGATCCCAGTTCAGTACCCAGCATCTCCAGATAAGACTGAGAAAGATCCTTGTCTGAAACCCTGAAGAGTCACAACCCATTGGTGTCTAGACAATACTGAACTAGATGGAAGAATGGTTTGATTAAATATAAGGCTGCTTCCTGTGTTCTAGAGGTAGGTTACCTCCCTTTGCCAGATACACTAACCCAGCCTGGCTTTTTCCAGAGAAAACCTCCTGCTGCCTCCAGATTAAAAAAATATTTAGTTTGTTAGTTTATTTTATATCTGCCCATCCACTCCCAGTGCCCCGAAGAGACTCTAAGTTGCCCCCTCCCTGGTCATCACATTGATAATTTGATGGGAGTGTTGTGAGGGAGCAGTAACCATCAGCTGAGGAGGGAGGCTGTGTGTCCCTGTGTGTGTCTCTGTGTTTGCAATCCTCTGGCCAAATACACTTTGCATCAAAGGGGCCTCAAGGCTGGTCCGAGCCCAGCTTTGACCGTGTGGTAATGCACCAGGTCCCTTGCTGTGCGATCCCTTTTCTGACCTTGTATGGCTAAGCAACAGGAATGCTTGTAGAGCCACAAGCTTGAGCCCAACCCAGCCCTGAAGTAAGTGCTGCATCTGGTGCAGATGTGAATGAATGCCGGCGACTCAGTGAGAAGCGAACCTGCCAGCACTCCTGTCACAACACGCTTGGGAGTTTCATATGCAGCTGTCGCCCAGGCTACCGGCTCAGTGTGGACAGAGTGTCCTGTGAAGGTAAAGACCATTTCCATCTTTCCATCCTTCGTCATCTGGGTTGAGTTGCGTTGTTTATGTTGAGTGATGTCACAGGCACTGTCCAATAGCAGCCGCAATGTGGACTGCCCTCACTGCTCAGGCAGTGGAGTGGAGACTGAGTTGCTCATTTCCAGAAAGAAAATATTACCCTTGGACTGCTGAGAAAACAGCTGCCACAAGCACACCCAAAGTGCTACCTAGAAGAAAGAAATGATTCTTTGCACCACAGGAACAACAATTGTGCACTTCTTGTGGTATAAATGGGTTGTCTAGAAAGAGACCATGAGGGATATGCATTCAGCTGCTTGGGAAATGCTTAGGAATACATGTGAGGTACGTCAGGGAGGAGACAGAAGCATGAGGGCCGAGATGGACATTCAAAACTTATGACTCTTCTGTGGTTAAAAAGCTTCACTCTCAAATGGACTTCAACTCTCTTTGCCTATTACTATTACAGTACCTGTTTTTCTGTGGCCAAATGATGTGAGGGTGAGTGTGTACCTGCCACAGTAGCTATATGTAAATATGTGAGTGGCTAAGGTGGGGAGCTCCTAAGTGTGCTGGAAAATGCCTTTAATTTTTGATGTGCATCTTCTGGGGATTTTTGAACCTGGCTTTTCTCTCTCCCTCCCTCTTTTCCCTGCAACCCAGGTTTTCCGAAGACCAGCCTGGCCCCGTCTCCCATCTTGCAGTCTCTCCAGCACCCGCCAACTCTCCTGCGCCTTTCTCCGGATTCGGTGGCTCCTGCCGTGCCCCCCAGGGGCTCTGCTCCATCCCGAGCACCTGCTCCCCACATGGCACTCGGGACCCCGCCTTCTCCCCGTCTCCTCCCCACTCTCCCTGTGCTCCCTCCTGCAGCTTCTCCCACCCCTTCATTCCCTCCACCCAGTCCCTCCCTTGGCGCACCCATCTTGCTAAAGACCGCCAGGCCCTCCAGGATGGAGAGCCCACTGCCGCCATCGCTGCTGCGGGAGGAGGTGACGACGCTCCTTCCCACAAGTCCTTCTGCTCCAGGGGTTTCCTCCACAGCCCTGCCTTCTGCCTGCTGGCGTGGAGGGACTTTTCATAAGAATGGCAGCCACTGGGTGGAGCCAGGGTGCCTGAACTGCTCCTGTGAGGTGTGTGGTATGTCCTGGGTTCCTAGCTTTCTCCCGCCCTGCCCCTGTGTCAAATGTGCAGCCACCTTTACAGTGACTGTCTTTTCCTTTTGTAGGGCGGGCAAGTGCTGTGTGGAGCAGTGATGTGTGAGGTTGCCTGCTCCCACCCAGTTCCTCCAATGGAGGGGGAGTGCTGTCCTAGCTGCACAGGTGAGAGAAGCGCCCTCAAGATTAAGACTGCATTGATGGGACTGGTTGTGGCACATGGGCCTTCCCTACACCTAAACTGGGGACTTTGTCACTATATATTCCACTGTATGCCTCAACCCTCTGAGTTTACCAAGGACAGTCCCTGTTTTCTGGAAGCCGTCCCTGGTTTAAACCACTGGTATCTCTTATTTTGTCCGAATTCTGCCTCTTTGGAGTGGCGTGTTAAAGTTTCGTTAGCCCAAATTTTATTTTCATCCCGTTCCACAGGTTTTCTAGAAGCTATTCTTACTTATTTGTTGCTTTTCCCACAAAAGGGGCTCAAAGCAAATTTCAGAGTGGAAAGTGGATGCACCTTTCCCCCTTTCCCAGACAAATGTGAATGCACACACACAAGGACATTGAGTTAAAACCACACCATACATTTAAAACATCCCCAAAGAGTCCTGGGAACTACAAGGGTGCTAGAAATTGCAGCTCTGTGAGGGGTAAATTACAGCTCCCTGGATTTTTCTGGAGGAAACCTTGTGTTTTAAATGCATGGTGTGGATGTGACCTTGGTATGGGGATTTTTATACCCAAAAATATAAAAGAGGAGGGGTACAAACCTATCCTTACTTTCATCTGTGAAATACTGATTATGTGTCATTCGGCCAAATCCTTTTAAAAGTGGCTACATATGTAAGCCAATGAGTGTTTCCTAATCTGGAGTGGCAAAATGAGATGGGACTCACAGAAGGCTCTTCTCCCCTCTGAGGAGAAATTTCACATTCCTGTCTCCTGCAGGCTGTTTCTATTATGGGACCGCCAGAGCTGAGGGGGATGTCTTTTCTCTTTCTGAGGAGAACTGCACAATCTGTGTCTGCCTGGTGAGTATCACAGAGTCCACAGGTGCCAGGGAAGGTGTGTGCGTGTCCCTCAGGTTAGCTCACCTTCTTGCTTTGAAATGGGCATATTCATCACTTTGTTTGCTACCATTGCTAACCCGCCCTTCATGTGTTGAGCTTTGCGTAATGGTCCTTGCCCTTGCTATGGCATATGAGAATGTCTCAGTTGTGCAGACAACTAGTGACCCAGAAAGCTTTGTGTAGGGCTATCTGAGGGGGCCATTGAGTTATTTTACTCCAGGGGAGGATTGCCACCTTATTCCTGTGTGTGGCATGTGATCTGCAACTGATTTTACCCGTGACCTTGGCTGAGGGCTCTCTTCTTGATTCCAGGGAGGCAACATATCCTGTATCTCTCCAGAATGTGCACCCACTCCATGCCCCAGTTCTCTTCAGACCGACTGCTGTCCCTGCCAGCCAGGTAGATAGCTTGCAACATCCTACTTGATGCTCACTCACAAAGCAGACAGGGCCTGAGGGGCACCCTGGGCACTCTCCTCTCAACAGAGAAAGGTGTGGTTTCCTAGGCCGAACGAAGGGTAGTAGAAATGGTGTGAGATCAACTCTTCCAAAGGCCTGGCCTAGACAAACAGGCCACCCTACGTGTAAGGCGCTTGGAACACATATTGAGAAAAATGTTATTATTCTGGGGTAAAGCTGTCTTTGGAACAGCGCTTCACTCTGCTGAGGGAGTGGGTTGCACTGCTGAATGCTCCCTCACAGGGATTGTCAAGAAAGTCTTGCCCAAAAGCCAGACCAGCATTTTCTGGGGGTTTGGGCATTACTAAAATCCAAGGGTAAAACCAACCACCCAACCCGAGCCAGGAGATCTTAGGCTATATTCCAAGATGTCCCGATGAGCAAGAGTTGAAGTACCATTCTCTGCTTCTGGGGGCCTCAGGCAAAATAAGCCAAATTACGCAGCAGGGAATGTGAAGATCCAAGGCACACTGAAATTAAGAGGTTTTAGTAATAATAACCAAAATAGCAGTATTGCATGAAACCCATTACCAAGCGGGAGAAATAGGAAAGGAAAATACTGTTTAGAAATAAAGGCCCATTGGGGAAGTCACAAAACAAAAACAATAAAGCTAGCTAACTTAGTCTAATACATTACTAAAATGAATCCATGATCCTATGCAGAGATGTAATATAGGTGTCAGTCAGGAAGGTGAGGCAAAACTTACAAGACATAGGGGTAACTTTATACTCTTTTGCTTAGTAACCATCCTGAATCTTCCCAGCCAACTGGAAGACATTTAAGGCTGTAGTTTTCTAGAACCGGGAATCCAGGGTGTACATGTGACTTCACAGCTGTGGAATTTCCCCCAATTACTGAAACCCTGATACAGGCAAGATAACACAAGTCCAATTAATGAGAGTGCTAGCAATTAGCGGGGGGGGGGGGGAGAGAATGCTTTCTCATGATCTTATCATTTTACCCGGAAGTTTGAGTTTCTATTGAACCAAAGTTTATGAACAGGGAAAATACAAGCCCCCTGCCACAATATATTGACAAAGATGAAAATCACATTTAAAGCACATGGCTTTCCCCAGAGAATCCTGAAAACTGTAGCTTGCCTCTCACAGAGCTGCAAGCGACAAGCTTTGAGAGCATTAGGCAAGAGCCTTTCTCCCTGACATCGAGTTTTCTATGTGCAAGGAAGCTTTGATATGGGGGGAGCCTGCAACTATGTAGTTCTCCCTGTGCAATGCCACACATCCTGAGGAAGCAAAAACTTACCCCTCAAGATTACTGACCAGGAGGGACAGCAAAGGACTTACTTATCTGAAACACTTTTATGCTGCCTTTCTGTTTTAAAAACTTCCCAAGACTGTTCACAGGAACTCAGCAGAAATAATAATTAGTGCAGCAACACATCTAAGCTTGCTGCTCAACCATCATCAAAGTGGAAGAGCAGCTAACACAGCAAAACCACCAGCATAAAAGTTGAGCATATAAAAAGGACCTAGATCAGGCATAGGCAAATTCGGCCCTCCAGATGTTTTGGGACTACAACTCCCATCATCCCTAGCTAACAGGGCCAGTGGTCAGGGATGATGGGAGTTGTAGTCCCAAAACATCTGGAGGGCCGAGTTTGCCTATGCCTGTCCTGGATGAACGAATGAAAGGCCTTTTTACCTGGCTCCTAAAAGTAATTTCATGTGGCACCAGGAGAGCCTCACTGAGAGGGAGCATTCCATAAATGGGGCACTGCAGCTGAAGAGAAACCTTACTAACGCTCTTTTCCAGTAGATCTGCCAGAGAATCACTGACATACTCTTGCCTTCCTTTGTAGCTGAGTGCCATTTCCGCGGCCAGACATACCCAGAGGGGGCTGAGTTCAGCCTGGATGGTGATGACTGTACCACCTGTGTGTGCAGGGTAGGTGTTGGCCTAGGCCTCCCTCCATGCTCCTGATCTGAGAGGATTTGCTAGCCATATCACTCACCATTAGGTGTGTTTGTTGTTCTCTGGAGTACTGGTGATTCTCAGTCACAGTCTCTGGACTCCTTGTAAAATCTCCTTACCTGTTAGACAGAACACAAAACATTCCCCCCGCTGCACTGACTTTACATGTCAATTCAGTTGGGAACATGGGAATCTGCCTGATACTGAGTCCGAACCTTGGTCCACCCAGCTCTATACTGCCTGCTCTGACTGACAGCGGCTCTCCGGGGTTTCAAGGAGGACCTTTTCCTAGCCCTACCTGGAGACAGCAGGAATTGAACCTGGGGCCTTCTGCATGCAAGGGAGATGCTCTGCTACCAAGCTACAGGCTTTCTCGAAGATCTTTGCATGTTTTATGTTGCCCATTGCTTAGCACAGGCCAAGGCTTGGAGTAGCTTTCAGTATAACAAGAGTCATTTTAAACTGCCTTTGTTGCAAACCTTAGTAACACTAGGCAAGGATACTCTTGCTGATGGCCCTTGGGCCCTCTATAAGAAAGGTCTGCAGGGGCATAGTAGAAGATGGTGGTGGGCTTTGTGAAGCCCTGGCGTTGCAGGACCCGATTCCCTTGTTTTGCAAATTTCAGTAAGGAAGAGTTTGTGAACCTCCTATCTTTATCTTTGTAATTACTGTGGGTAACATGTGCCCTCACATCCTTCCTCAGCAAGGTGAAGTTGAGTGCTCCTTCACTCCTTGTCCCACGCTGGACTGTCCCCGAGATGATTGGCTGTTGGCCCCAGGGCAGTGCTGCTTCACCTGCCGAAAGGCTGCACCCATGACAGGTAAGGAGATCTCAATGGCTGGGGCGTGTTGTTGTGGCATGAGGATGTATATAATTGTAGGCAATGGGTTATCAGATAGGTTTGCCCATGGTACATGGCTTCTGGTGAGCTAAGCATCTTTGTGCTGTACTGTCCCACCATCACACACACCTTGTTTTCCTCTCGCCAAGGTCCCCACTCTGTGCTCACAGCTGCTTCCTTCCATTGTTCCCCTTTTCTTGGCCAGGTTGCTTTGTGGATGACAACGGAGTTGAATTTCCAATTGGACAGATCTGGTCACCGGGTGATCCCTGTGAGTTATGCATCTGCCAGGTGAATGATAACCTGCTCTACTTCATTCAGTTTCAACTTCCCAATCTCCTATTGCAAAAACCATGGTAGCCCTTTGCTGCTGCTGCTGCCCCCACCTTAGCTGAGCCAGGACTAGGAGAATCCAATTGACACTTGGAACAATGTACTGTAGTTCTAACCCCAGTCTCTGTTTGCCTGTGTATGCTGGGATCCTAAGGGGTATAGTTGTGTTCTTGTTGTATGTCACAAAAATTATGAAATTTAGGCTTTGATCTCTCCTGACTGTTTAGGAGGCCAGAAGTGCCTTTTATTTATTAAATAAGTGTGTTCACAGTCCTTAGACAATAAGTGTCACTGAACCCACTGACTTGTATAAGCTGCCATGTGGACCCTTTTTTGGGAGGGGGGGGAGTAGTGGCAGAGAAATGTTTTAAATGAATTAACCTTCACCAGTGATCCTGTGCCTTCCTTCTTGCCATCGCCTCAACCTGTGATCTCTCTGCCTGCCCTATCTTCCCTAGTGCTACTTGCTGACCTGCTGTGATGTCAGAGTGGATCTAGGCAGGCAGAGGTATTATCCTGGCTTCTGTGATTACCATATAATTAGCCAAAGTGATGTCAGAGCAGTTAGTCTATTGAGTGTTAATGGGACTTCAGGCATTGAATTCTAGGATTATAAACAACCTTTGTAGGATGAAACTGTAAAATTATTGCTTACATACCATGGGCTTTCAGGTGTCAAATGTAAAGCAGTTGAACAATTCTGCAACCTTTTATGAAAACTGACACAGGGACAGAAAATATGTGCCGCTTCGAAGACAGATACCTCTAGGAAATTCAAGTCTCTTCTGGGGTGATATCGATCTATCTGCCTGCAACAGTCCAGCTGTTTGTGCTGTGGGTTTCTGTGAAGTTCTTTTCTGTTGCAGGCAGATGGCTCAGTGAGCTGTAAGAGGACAGAGTGTTTGGAGACATGTCCTCACCCAATCCGGATCCCTGGGCAGTGCTGTCCAGATTGTTCAGCAGGTAAATTCCATCTTCTCAGACAGCTGTTCCCTTCTCAGGGAAATCAGAACACCAGAATCCACAGCCAGAAAACAACTTTTGCTGTTGTTGCTAACTTGCCTGCTTTTCCTTATATTACAATGCTTATTCTAATTGCAGAATACACATCAGCACAGAGAGCAACTGCAAAACAGTGGGGTCAAAATGCAAGAAGTACAGTCTGTGACAAATATCTTGTCATATATAATGCTTCTAACAGTGCATGTTCATTTGAACCCAAATGTTTTCATATAGAGAAAGAACTGAAAACAGCAGGGCAACAATCTGGAGCAAGGGGGGGGTTGTATCTGAAGGCTCCTTGCTTGTTTTGGAACTCTAATTTCCCAGGGATATTAAATGTATGGCAAGTCACCAAAGAAAGAACAAAAGACAAGTTTTGCTGGATGAGGCCAAAGACCCATCTAATCCAGCATCCTGTTCTCACAGTGGCTAACTGGATACCTGTGGGAAGCCCACAAGCGTACTATGCTCCATGAATTGACTTCCATGATTTGGCTGGGAATGGGAATGCAAAGATTGTGTTCTTGTCCCCACTGACCCTCATGTGTTTACCTAACCATAAATCTAATGTCTGAAGAAGACTGCTGCTGTTTGTTGCTGTTTGCATATGTAAGGCCCCATCCACGCCATGCATTTAAAGCATCACCACACCACTTTAAAAATGCATGGCTTTATGTCAAGAATCCTAGGAAATGTAGTTTGTTAAGGGTGCTGGGAGTTGTTAGGAGACACCCCCCCACCTCCCCCCCACCCTATTCCCTTCACAGATCCACACTTTCCAAAGTGGTTCAATCCCAATAACTCTCAACCCTCTTAACAAACTACAGCTCCCAGGATTCTTTCTGTTAAAAGCTGAATAATGGTGTTTTAAATGTATAGTGTAGATGGGGCCTTGGCTGAAAAAGAGTGATTGTTAAGAGTCATGACCCACATTGCCCTATTATATTTTTTATTTTATTTATTAGATTTATATACCACCCTTTGTCAAAAGATCCCAGGGCAGTTCACAAGATAAAAGAATGAGATAAAAGCAGGTTGTTGACGTGACCCAAGTTGACAAACTAAGCGTGTTTTTCTTTCTTCTTGACTGAAGGCTGCACCTATGCAGGAAGGGTCTTTTACAACAATGAGACATTCCCCTCTGTCTTGGACCCCTGCCTAAGCTGCATTTGTTTGGTAAGTTCTCTGTTTTCCGCTCCCAGCCTATAAGGAGTGTTCTGTCCTAGTAACAGGTCCTACAGAGCAAGCTTGGGAAACCCGTGACCCTGCCAATGTCACTGGACTACAATTCCCACCACCCCTTACCACTGGCCATGCCGGCTGGGGCTGATGAGAGCTGCAGTCCAATAACAAGGCCACAGTGTTCCCGTGCCTGCTACAGAGCAAGCAAAAATACAACAACAAACAGCAGCCCTCTTCAAGGCATCAGTGCTCTAAAATGCAAAGGGAGGCCTCCACAGATGCAAAAGGCTCACTGCTTCAGACAGTCACCTTCCACAAGTCAGCAGGCAAGTGAGATGGCAACAGGAGAGGTGGAGGTAATGCTCTCACCTGCACTGCCTTTGCACACAGGTTTACTTAACTGTAAATGTAAAGCCCAAAGAAGGCTAAAGTCTTATCTGGGATTGTATAAGGCAGCTTCCCCAGAAAATTAGGCTGTGTATACACTGTATTCCTCTAAAGCGTAATTGAAACACATTATCTCAAAGAATTAAGGGCGCTGTCGTTCGTTATGAATTGCTGGGAAATTTAACAGAATTCTCTGAAGGAAATCGTTTTTCAAATGTGCTTTGAAAGTTATAGTGTGTATGCAACCCTAGGCTGCAATCCTATGCCTGCTTATCTGGGAATATAAACCCCAGTTGAACTGAGTAGGGCTTACTTCTGAGGAGACATTTAAAGGGCTGCACTATTAATTTGGAAGGATGTCATGTGTTTATGATATAGAATGTTATATGACTGAAGTTGCTATTAATTTTTTTAATGCATTGGCAGTAAAGATGCTGTCTTTATTGAAATGAATTTGAAAAGCTGATATTGTGTTATTGAGATAATTTGAGATGTTCACCGAATTTGTTTTTTAAAAAACAAAAGCAGAATCTTTCTGCTCCCCCAACCCAACTGCTGCCCAGGCAAGCAACAGGGCTCTGGATGCAGCAGTGCCTCCAACACCAGTGGCGGAGGAAGGGGGTGCGGTGGGTGCGCCCCGGGTGTCACCACTGTGGGGGTGTGTGACAAAATGACAAAAATATGAGTTTTTTAAAAATTGGGCTCAGGAAGCTTTTTAGTTCAGTCAACAAATGCAATGAAATGCGGGTGGCACTGGGCGCCACACCACGGGGGCCGGCACTTACCCAGGGCCTGCAGCGTGCCTGAGCCACGCATCTCTCCTGGGCGTGGCAGCTTGAGTGCCTGCAGGCTTGGCGCTGCCTGAAACGGCAGCGTGGAGCTTGCATCTGCCCACTGCTTCTCCCTCAGCCACCCTACAGCTGAGGGGGAGGCGGTGGAGAGGCTCCACGCAACTTGCCCTGCCCCCATGGGTTCGTCCCACCCCCGGCTGCAGGACGTGATTGCCGCACAGGGCACCCGAGCAGCTAGCTACGCTGCTGGCTGCCACAGCCAAGAAGTTGAATTGATCTGTAAAAGGACCAGATAAACAAGTAATAATAAGTGCCAAGGGTTATATAATATGCTCTGTATCCTGAAACAGATTGGCTGGGAGGTTTGAAATGAAAGGCAAGGCTCTCTATATTTCTCTGCCATTTAATGCAGGATCTCTCTCTCTCTCTCTCTCTCTCTCTCTCTCTCTCTCTCTCTCTGTGTGTGTGTGTGCGTGCGTGCGTGTGTGTGTTTTCTTACAGCTAGGCTCTGTGGCATGTTCTCCTGTGGACTGTGTTGTCTTTTGTACATATCCTTTCCACCCAGAAGGAGAGTGCTGTCCAGTTTGTCATGGTAAGCATTATGATCTTAGGGCTTTTCCAGATAATAATTTAAAATTTGTTTGTTTGTTTTTTTAAATGAAGGCTAGTTGTGCAATATAGAATCCCTACTAAAACTGAAAATGATATATCAGTCATTAGAATGGTTTTATAGTATTCAGATCAATAGCTGATGGTTTGTTGTCCCATTGCCTTCTAAATTGCACGGGAATTCATTTATATAAGTTAACTTGTACATTGCAACTGTGCAGCATTAAGTAGCTAGAACATTCCAGATTTTTGTGATAGTCGCGGTTTGGTGCTAGAGGAAGTAACTGTCCTACTTATGTGTGTGAATACCAACATTCTAATATGTCTGGTTTCTTGTCTGTCTAATCAGACTAGGTGCAATGTCTCTATGGCTAAAATTATATCTGTTGTGCTATTCTCCTTTTGTAGACTGCAATTACAAAGGGAGGAAAGTGGTGAATGGACACGTCTTTGTACCAGAAGGTGAACCCTGCATTCATTGTACTTGTCAGGTGAGTTGTGAGGCTCTTGGGGGAGGGGGGAGCCTGGGATGGTTTGCAGTTCAAAGGGGTTACACTTCCACTCCCACACTGTTCTCTTGCTCTTCCCATTGTTCTCTATTAGTGCTATTGTTATTAGCAGGCCTGGGAATAAAGTTTGGGGGTGTTGAACTGCTGGGCTCCATTAAGGAGATCAGATGGCCTTTAGCAAGACAGCAACCTAGAAAAAGAATAAATGAATGTTCTTTATCTAGAACCCCAAAGCTTGAAAGTATTGTTTTACCTTCTTGGGGAAAAGGTTTTTTCTTTCTTTCCTTCCTGTCTCCTCCTCATTCCCTTGCCAGAAGCATCCACTTACCGTTTTAAACTAACCACAGTTTCTTGTGACACCTGAGCTTGGAACTGTGATTTGTTTAAACCAGAAGCTGATCCTAACATATTTTCACTAACCATTGTTTAATCAACATAACAGTTATCCAAGTTATGATGTCACAGGGAACTGTGGTTAGTTTAAAGCCTTCCTCTGATATGTGAAAGGGGAGGGAACCACGCAAACAAAGGCTCACTGCAACTCATTGATGTGCTGATTGCTAAGATGCCTGATTCATCATCCACTGTCACATGGCTGAAGCTGTTACATCAGCCTTCAGCAGAGGAGGGAAACGAAAGGATGCTTGAGCAGCTGAGAGACCAGCAAGTTTTGACTCCTCCCTTTGAGCTTTTCCAACTCAGCTGGTCATCAGAAAAAAGTTGTGCTTGAGTGTGTGCATCTCCTCCTTCATCCCAATCCACTTTTCTGTGGTGTGTCTTTTTAGATTGTAAGCCTGTGGGCAGGGTTTGTATTGTTTATAGTGATCTGTAAGCTGCTCTGGGAGAAGGTTTTGGCGTTGAGTGGGTTAAAACCCCTTTCAATAAATAAACAGGAAGAAGCCATGATTTCCAGTTTTTGTCTGAACCAGTTCAACCTCTCCTCTGTTGCTTTGTGTCCCTCAGCTTGGAGAGGTGAGTTGTGAGAAGAGGCCCTGTCCAGGCACCTGTGCAGAGCCCTTTGGCCCCCCTACACATTGCTGCCCCGACTGCCATGGTAATGAAGTTCCAGGTAGGGTTGCTCATCATACCTGCATTGGGTCTGCCATGTGATTTTGTGCTGTGATATAAATTCAGCATTGTCAAATCTCACAGCAGAGAAAATTCTTTCACATTTTGGAAATAATGCATGTGGGGGTGGTGGCAAACTGGGCCTTTGACCCGGGTGAAATAAAGCCTAGTTCACCTCTGGTGGAGGAAGTGAGGGAGGCTGAGGAGCTAATTCTCCTAATTCCTGGCTGTCTCTTAAATTAATTCCCACCAACCCCAAATTTTTAATCATGTAAATTGTCTCAAAGCTGTCAAGTTTATTGCAATGTGCTTCCAAAGGAAGCAGAGTGTTAGTTGTTCCCAGGTTCTCTCAGAATCAAGAAAGCTCAGAAATTTGCCACCATAGTGTGTGTGTGTGTGTGTGTGTGTGTGTGTGTGTGTTTGCATCTCATGGTGTGGTGCAGAATGTGCATTTGTGTTTATGTGCACCTGTGGCCCTTGTAGTTCAGAATTTGTGGTCAGTAACCTAGGCCAAAAGCTGAGAGTTTACTGGAATGATTCAGGGCAAGCAGTGCTCAGCCTAGTCTGTGGTTGTTTCACAACAGATGATGTGGCTTCGCTGGAGAAGAGCCTAGCCAATTCTCACTTGGAAGATGGAGAATCAAAGGCAGGCTTGCAAACCTTCCAGAGGCGTTCCATGGACCCAATGTCTGAGAGGAACTGCAGCCTCTGCACTCCCATTCCCACACCTGCTTCGCTTGGTCCTGATGTTCATCTTGCCGCAAGTAATGCAAGTGCTTGGGAGATCGTGCCAACGAGGCCAACGGCACCAGAGAATGTTGATCTCCATCATACCAGACCAGGAGGTCTCATCAAGCTGCGTTTCAATTGGCCACCAAGTGCCAAACCCCCTTCTTTTCGACTAGGCCAATCTGTGACTCCTCAGATAAGATCAGGGTCTCCTTTGCCACTTGCAAATAGGCCAGGAAACCTCCGGCCTTCTCCCACCAGGCCAAGCTCTCTGTTGACTCATCCTCGGCTCCTTTTCCTCATCACAAGGACTGCTGGGACCCCTGCACCCTCCAATGCAGTTCCTGCCTCCACTCCGCTAATGGTAGCTAACCTCACAGAGTCCACCACCACCTCCTTTCAGCCTTCAGATACCCACAGCCTTCCTCTGTCACCTCCAACAGAAACACTTTCCCCTTCATCCAGCCGCAGTCCAAACTCTCCTCAGGAACTTCAAGATGGCAGACCCCCCCACACAACAGGTTCACCCATGGACCAGAAAACTTGGGGGAGCAGCCTTGCATTGCCCCCTGGTGGTGAGAATAACATCCGTGGCACTGCTCCCTAGCTTGAAGGAAAGACCAGGCCTGTTTTTGAACATGAGGAACATAACCACTTTTAACCTCATAGGTGTAGAAGAGGATCTACCAAAAAAAAAAGGTTGCCACTAGTGGTGTGAGGTGGCCCTGCTGCTACTTACCATTGGCAGGATCTACATTCTCTTTTCTTGAGAGCAGGTCTAATTAGCAGGGGTAGTTATTCAGCCCTAGCTACTGTTGAGATGACAAGGCCTGTTTGTGCTCTTACCTAACCAATGTCTCCTTGGCTGTGGGGCAACATGGGATAATCACCCTCCTTTCCCCCCCCTTTTTTTTGCAATATCAGTATAAAGATTCCAGCACAGCCTTCTGCCCCTTCAGAAGACAAATATATATATATGGTAGGACCAAGGACATTTTCTAATTTCACCTCTTCTGCTGTGTTGCAGTACTGGCCTGCTGCCAGCAAGGGAAGGAATCCCTTGCTTAGTAAATGTTCTCACACCAGGTCTAGCACAGGTATCCTGTTGCTGTTTTTGGACTTATACGAGAATGTCAGTCTTCAGGGATGATAATTTTAAAGGAAAGTTGGCTAGTTTCCATTTCTGGCTTTGATACCAGATCTACTATTGTGTAAGGAGTTCTGAAATTCAGATTACAGTACACAGGAGCTAGATTTATGCAAACACCAAAAACAGACGTTTTGTGGTAGCTAAATGTAAACATGTCCCCCCCCCCCCGCAATTGATAGGTAAATTTGCATTTTGAAATTTAAATTTCAACATGAATTTCATTTTCTTTGCTGAAGCATGCCACTTGCCAGCCTCCCTGAAAGTGGTTTGGTCCTTTTAGATTTGTTTTAGGCTTTGAAGGTGTTTGCAACCAACTCCTGAAACTGGTGGCAGGACAGATTTTGTTTAACTACCTCAGAGAGGTGTCTAATAAGGATGTATCTGTACTGGACATTTGAAACCAGACTAGTTGCCGTGGCTTCCCCCTACCCCGAACTCCGGGGACTGTAATTTTGTGAGGTTGCTAAGAATTCTCTCTTGGTCCCATTATGAAACAGCACTTCTTAAAACTCAATGCTTAGGAATCATGGATGTCAATTATTTTTGGAACATAGTTTGGTAGTTTGGAAAGTAGCTTGTAGCGTGTCCAGTGTAAATCTAATCTCTACAGTCCAGACTTCAGTCTGCATTACTGGTTCTTTTACCTCCCATCAGGCAGCTGGAGATGGATGCATTTTTAACTGAGGCTGTGCATTCTAAATTGCTGGCTTCACATTATGGTGAATGTTTCCAATGTGGGGGGTGGGAGTGGGAGGCGGCAGTGGCGGGGGAATAAGAGTTTGTTTTTTAAAAAAAATCAACGCTTGTGTCAAATAAATTTAACCTGTGTTTCTTCAAAAGTGCGGTTTTTAGCTTTTAAAAACTAAAGCGTTCAAAGTAAAGAGTTTCACATTAAGAATTTCTGCAACATGTAACGTGCTGTGTCAGGCTGGCCTGAATGTGTTCTGGGAATTCCAAACTAGGGCTTTGTCATGGCTGTGGAATGATGGAGGAGGTGGATCCAGTCTCTGGTCTGCCCCATGTGGATCTCAGCTGTTAGCACTGGAGCCCATCTCTCCTCCCTTGAATCCCAAGGAGACACTTTTTGCCACCAGATTCTGATCATTGGACCACAGACTCCTCAGAGGATCAGGAGAGGAGATATCCCTACAGCTTGAAAACACAGGCCAGAAGAAGTCAATGGCCAGATGCAGCATACAGCTGGTGAGGCCTCTAGTCAATGAATACCTAGCCAGGCTATGACACTGTATGCTGTGCCTCAGCTGCAGGATTATTAGCACATCTAGGTCTCTCTCCAAGGTGCTGATCGTGCCTTGCCTGCCTATCTGCCTGGAACATTGGGGTCACTGATTTCCCCCTTTCTTGGGCCATCATGTATCTTTGGTGTCCCCAAGGACTAAGTCTATATTTCATGTTCTGTTAACCTATTTCAAGCGAGGGGGGAGCATTCCCTCTGTGCAACAGAACATATCAGAAGTTCAGTGGAACGAAGTTTATCAGAAATGGACAGAGCAAGTTGCTCTGACGCGTAAAACATAGCTGAAGCTCTCACATGGAACTGGTGAACAGAAATTCAGGATAGAGTGATGTTGTGTGTTGTGCTTTAAGTTGCTCAACAGATCTAGCCAGAAGAAGAGAAGAGTAGAGACCCATGGAAACTAGAAAAGATGAACACGAAAAAGAAAAACCAGCTCCACTTTCTCACTGGTAATACTTAGTTAGATAGGTATGCATTAAGTCTGTGAGGAATGCAAACCAAAATTCATTTGCTTTATATTCTTTTATTCTACTGTTATTAATGTTTCAGCTTATGGGGAGGGAGCATAGTGACTAAATTTAGTCCCAGCAAGTAAAAACAACCTTGAGGGAATCATTTTGCCAATAGATGTTGTCACGTTCATGCCACAGGGGCCAAGCCGACCTGGTTGTTTGCTCTGTCAAAGACACAGTAGTACTCGCGGATGAAGACATCCCCAAGGATCCACAGCTCACCAGACTGAGTAGGAATGCTGATGGACTCAAAGCCACTTGTGCAATAGCCATTTTGGCCCTGAAACAAAGGGAAACAAGATACAGTTAGTGTTGGCTTTTGTGTCACACCACTTGAGTAGCTTCACTGGCATGGGAGACCCTTCACAGAGCATCTATGTTGAAGTGAGGTTGGGGGCTGTGTGGGGACTGTCCTATGATTGATATAAGGAGGGCTTTATGGTTTGTGTCACTCACTGGACACCAGCTGTCTCCCTAGCACACCTTCCTTTCATTCAGCCATGTGTTGCTTGAATGCTTGTGCATTTTATGGAATATGGCATTAGGAGATTGTCTCCCCCCCCCACACACCCTGCAGGTTCACACTATACATTTAAAGCATATCCAAGTCACATGGCTTCTCTCAGAGAATCCTGAGGACTGTAATTTCCCTCTAACAGAGCTACAATTCCCAGTACCCTTAACAAACAACAGTTCCCAGGATTCTTGGGAAGGAAGTCATGTGCTTTAAATGTGCATTGGATGTACTTCAAATGTATGGTGTGGATCTTTCCTAGGTTTGTATTATTGAATTTATATGATATTATTACCCCTTCATGGATCTGATTCCTATCAACTTTTCATAGAATCATAGAACTGTAGAGTTGGAAGGGACATTGAGGGTCATCTAGTCCAACTCCTTGTAATGCAGGAATCTCAAGTACATCATCCATGACAGCTGGCCATCCAACCTCTGCTTAGAAACCTCCAAGGAAGGGGAATCCATAACCTTCCAAGGAAGTCTGTTCCACTGTCAAACAGCTCTTCCTATCAGAAAGTTCTTCCTGATGTTTAGTCAGATTCTCCTTTCTTGTAACTTGAATTCATTGGTTCGGGTCCTAGCCAGCAGGACTGATTTAATCAGCAGGCTGATCCCTTCACAGAAACGATTTGAGAAAATTCCAGGTTAGATGAACCATGACCCTTACCTGGCGAATGTAGGCACTGGCAGGCACAGGGAACTCATAGCCATTGATGGTAAAAACAATGTCAGGTAGGCTGTTCATGGCACTGCAGCTGACCTGATGTGGAGTAGAACAAATAAAAAATAACAAGATTAGCCATGTGGCACTGTGCCTTCAAATGTTGAGAACAAAAGGAAAAGCCAACAATTAGTCTAAGTGGAAGGGCCCTGGGAAGGACATTAGTTGATACAAATGGGACCTTCAACATAATGTTGCAGTGTGGAATTCCTACTGTTCAGGATTCCAGCCACTCTACTTCATTCCACTCCACTCCATCCCTGATTTTCTGCTCCCACCTCAACAATTCAGTGTTCCATGGCCTTCATTGGACTGTATCTGGAGTCCCACCACCCTCCAGGTTTCCTAAAGATTGTTCTACTTCTGCAAATCTTGGAGGCTCCTCAAGCCTTTCTCTGTTTCATGGGTGGTGCTGTTCTGGCTGCAAAAGCAGCAGCACGCACACCCTGAACATTGCAAACAGAGGAAATGATTATGGCAGCTCTGGGGTGGGGGTGGGGATGCAGTATAGAAAACAAATAGCACCAATCATATCATGAGGGCAGGGTTGGAACTGGGCCGCTTGCCACCACAGGCAACATTTGTGCAACCACCTTCTTGCACAACCATCCCATGATAAGTGCTAGCCGGCTGGTGTTTGGATGGAAATGACCTTTTCTTGGCAACAGTCTAGTTCGGATCGAAAAGGGAATGCTCCTGCAGCAGAAGATCTTTCTTAGGGAAGCTGTTTGCATCCACCATAACAATAGCACCAAGTAACTTTTTTTCTAAAACTCCAAGCATCTAATTATTATTTTTTAATATATATATATATAATATAATATATCCATATTTACCCTGCCTTCCAGCCACGAGCAGAAGGTTCTTTGTACAATGGAGAAAGGTCACAGGAAGGCTGAGGAATAACCAACTTGCCATTCCCCTTTACTTTCTTCATAATCTGATTTTGGCCTACCTCACAGGTGAGGAACTTGTGGCCCTCTTAATGTTGCTGGTCTACAGCTCCCATCATCCCTGGCCATTGGCCATGCTGGCGGGGGCTGATAGGAGTATGAAGAGCCACATGTTTCCCACTGCTGGCCCACATCAGTGCTTTTTTAAAAACAACAACAACCACCACCCAGGAGTCAGAATTGGCATTGAACTCATTTCTCTCTCCCCGCCTCTCTCTAACACATGCATGCTCTCCATCATATCAGTCTCTTTGGTACCTTTGGAAGCCTCCCTTCTTTCCTTACCTCACCGTTGCTTGCACCAATGTAGTACTGAATGTTAGAAATGCCTTGAGGGGGACCAGCCAAGAGGGAGGTACCAGTGTCAACAATAGCTTGGCAGCCACCGGAACATGCAATAGCCTGGCCATTCATGGTGATGCTGAAGAGAACACAGGTAGGTCAAATGTGACAAAGAGAAAGCAACCTTCATCTTTTTGCCCACAAGGTGCCCATGAGGAAATGTGGGAGAAATGCTCTCGTGAGATCCACCCATTGCGTGTAAGGTACAACTTTCCATGGCTGCTCTCCCTGCCTCTGCCTCTTTCCTGCTTGTTCTCCCTCCCTCAGCTATTCTCTGAATCTCATATGTGTCTCAGCTGATCACATCATATTTTGCACCTTCTTCTTGGTGGCCTCTGACTGAAGTGATGACTGAAGTTGTCGTTACCTGTCCAGAGTGATCTGCCAGTAAGACTCAGAAGAGAGAGGCACCCAGTAGAGGTTCCCGGAATAGTAGGATGAGTCGACACCACCGAACATCACAAAGCTTCCACTCTGGTCATTGCTGAGAAGAAAATGACAACAGAGGACTCTAAGAACCTGCCCGATATAAGGTGGGACTGTTTGTCCACCTAGGCCATTACTGTCTTCTCTGACTGGTTGCAACTGTCCAGAATCTCAGGCAGAGAGTCTTTCACATAGCATAGGGTGCTTTCAGATGATCTGTTTATTGAGCATTCATCCTCATTTACTTGCAGGGAGATTTGATGATGTTGGATATTTAATAAGCATTCATTCCTATTTGTTTGTGGGGAGGATAGATGGCGTTGCATCAAAGCAAGTGTTATCCACACTTTCTACTGCATTTCCCCATCAATTTCCTTATTGCAAATAAGGAAATTACTGGTATTCTCCTTATTGATCTTTTGGAGGAAATGGGCTTGTTGCACAAGAGCTCCAAATAAGCTTTCAGTATGTGACTGAATCCACCCCAAAATGCTGGCTGAGACTGATGGGAGTCAGAGTCCAACAACATCAGAAGGGACACAAGTTTGCCATCCATGCTGTTGTAAAGACTATGGTGTCAGAGTAAGTAAAGGGCAACAAGCACTTATAAAAAGTGTTACATCACCACCATCATCTATAAGTTGTAATATATTTAGTAGTTGTCCAGCTGAGCCCTAAGTGATGCTTGATATGGTGATGGCTAGTGAGGAATAAAGTCAGAATCCCCAATATTTTAAAAAGACTTGCATGCAGTTTTGTGCTTAGACATGAAGCTAAATTTGGTATTTGGGTCAAATTTTGGACTTACTATCCAGCACAAGTTTCCCTGCTGCTGAGTTTCTAGAAACAACCTACTTAGTTCTCATGTCCTCTGTCCATTAGCAATGGGCCCCTGCTGCATCCCTTTGTGGGGAAATGCTCTCAGATAGCTCATACAGTACTTACGAACTCAGGTAGACGGAAAAGAGATCCTGAGACACCAGACCCTCGCTCATCATGTTGTCAAAGACAGGAGTTGCACCAGAGGCGGCAATGCTGGGGTAAGCCAGACCCAAGATGCCATCAAAGGGGGAATAATACAGGAAAGTGCCAGGCTCGGTCTCACTCAGGCCAAAGATCTGGTTGGTGACCTCAATACTTCCCACCTATGTGCGAGAGAAGCTACAGTCAGATACATTATGAAATTAAATGAAAATATTCCACTTCCTAGCTGATGTATGTGGTGGTGGTGGTGGTGGTGGTGGTAGCAGTGATAGGCAGTACTTTTTGTTAACCAGGCAACATAATGAAGGCTAGGGCTGCCGTACATCTAGAATTTCCCAGACATTTGGAATTCGTCCGTCAAAAATGGCGTCTGGGTGGAATTTTCAGAAATCGGTTGAAATGTCTGGGAAAACCCGGGCATATGGCAGCCCATATTGGAGGTGTTGATCTTTGGCGAATTTCCAAAGGGGGGGGGGAGCTTTAAAATTTCTCTCTTTCTCTGAGATTTTGAAATAAAAGCTCAACAACTTTTGTGTCCAGATTTTTACTTTTTGAAATATAGCAACCCCTAATAAAGGCTCTTTTTTTGCTTTTCAGCTGGTGTAATCTTGAGTGTGAGCTGGAACTCCCCTTCTTCAAAGCTCAGCTCATCCACAAATTGGAAAAGTAGCCTTAGGTAAGCCACTCTCAGCCTCCTTGCCCTTAACATGGAAATCATAATAGTGGTCTGTTGCAAGGACTGCTATGATATTGGCCTGGCTTGGACCTAATGCTAAACCATAGTTTTAGTACTACATGAGCAATCCTCCTCTGCCATGGAACAAAAGAAGAACTCGTTTCCTTTTTTTTAATTAATCATTTTGTCATTATTTTCAGACCTGGAACTGCTGATAGCTTAAACTATGGTTTATTGAAGAAGGCCAGGATCAGAAACCATAGTTTGATCTTGGATTATTTAAATAAGCCATCATTTAAATTAACCACATTTTGACACAACAAGTCTGAACCAGGCTCATTTGTGTAGCACTAAACTGATTCTGAGTTCTATTCAAATGGGACCAATGTTTGTGGAGTCCTTTGAAAACCTAGGAAAAGCACTGTGGGTGGAATTCATCATTGTGCTATGGTGAATGTTTTGCAGTTTGCCAGATGGAACGATCTCCCCTCCATCTGTTTTGGGTGTTCTCCCGACCCCTCTCCCCAGAAAAAATGGGGTGTGTGTGTGCACTGCTGGGCAAGTTGGGGAGGAGGGGGGGGGCTCATTGCGCAAACAGAAACCCTCAGGCAGATATTGCACTGCCAGGACTCATTAGGTAAATCCTATTCTATACAAACATCCTTTTTCAAAGAACCTTCTACTAATTTTGCAGGGAATCTAGATAACAGGGAATCTAGCATAGCTAAGTGCAAGCTGTAAAGTATAGAATATGACTTGTAATGCAGGTTCTGAAAGGTGTTCTGACTGAGGCTGATGAGGAGCATAGCCCAAAATATCTGAAGCTCACCAAGTTAGCAAAGAGTGATGTATTTTAGTTCTATGGTTCTCAGCAGTGCTTTGCTTCTAGAAAAAGAGGTGCCTGTACTGCATACCCTTGAGTACCCCCAGAAAAAAAGCACTGGTTCTCAGTCAGTACTGCTCCTCTTTATCCACCTATGCCCAGTGTTTAGCTTCCAAACTGGCTGCCCATCATTCTTTGTCCCCCAGCAGTTTACCTGGACGGTGTCATAGGCTAGGAATCCAGTCATGCTCCCGGTGCCATATGTGACGGAGACGCTCTGGCTGGTGGCCTGGTAGGTGGAGGACTGTTGGGGGTTGAAGCGGTTGTGGTTTGCTGAAAACACAAAGGAGTTAATCCGTGATGTTGTGGCGTTCAGGTTCAACATGTATACAGACGTGAGCTGCCTCAGTACTACAATGTGAAAGCTCTTTCCTCTAACCTCAGCTGAATGGGAGCTGGCTGTGGTTGTGAGGGGAAAACACCTGGCCAGTGCTAGGGGGAATGCTCCTCTCTAGCCGGTTGAGTAGATGCAGAGAGAAATATCCCCTCATGTCACTTCCCCAAATATTAGGGGTGGGGAACCTCCAGGCCCAGGGGCCAAATGCAACCCTCCAGGCCTCTCTGCCGGGGCGGACCTGGGAACCAGAAAAGGAAGCTGCCGGCAATGCTGGTCAGCCATTCTGGTCAGAGCATCTGGAAGAGTGGTTTGCGGGTTGTTGCTAAACTTTTGCAAGTGGTAGGCCTTTTCAGCTGTGGGGAATCTTGGCGGTGAGGCTGCGATTTTAGGCCTTGGGCGGAATCCTTTAGTCCATCAATGTGACCAAGGGGTAATGCAGTAGCACATCTCTCACACAGCGGCATTAGCAGGGCCCAGTTAGAGGGGTTTTATGCTGGGTACCACTGACCATGAGTGCTCAGTGCATGGTCAGAACCCCCATACGGGAGGAGTTGGGGGAGCCCAGCCGCATAAACTTATGTTCTGTGGTGTCCCCCTGAACTCCTACCAACCCTTGCTCTTCCTTAGTTCCCAGCCGGGGTCAGAAAGGAATACATACCCAATACCTATGCCAAGGTTCTCCTACATCTGAATTTTAATAAAGTTGTGGCCTAATTTAATCCCATAACATGCTGTGTATGTATCTTCTTATTTGCGGGGCCTGATTTCTGGGGAGGGGGACTGCGACTGGGCTCGCAATGTAGTCTCCTTTAGCAGTTGTCTCTCCCCTTTTACCTCTGGCCCCCCACACTGCTGACATGAGGCCCCTGAAAAGTTGCCCATGAGAGATTGTGGCCCTCGGGCTGAGAACGGTTCCTTACCCCTGCCATATGTGAAGATAGACCTTGTGTTGTTGTTCCACCTTGATTCCCTTTATTGCCACCTGCCATGGGCTAGTCTAGGCAACTGTCCACTTAAGCCTAATATTAGGGCTGCATTTTGCATGACCACTATGAATATACATTGAGGAAGTGATTGCTAGGCATGGGCTGAAAGGATTACCCAGTCCATTCCCAATTCTAAAGGCTACTTACAGCAGGCTGAGCTGGAGCAGTACACAGAAGGGACCCACAAGTTGGAGGAGCCGGTGTCAAAGAGGACTGTGAACTGCTGTGGTGGAGTACCGATGTAGATGGTGCCAATGTACTCAATCTGTGGGGGGAAGAAAACGGGGTGTTATCATTACTATTGCACCACAGAAGATTCACCTGGAGACAGAAGTTCTTCCTGGTGACCCGTTTATTGAGCATCCATTCTGATTGGTTCATTGGAAGCTCATATGACAAGGGTAAAGAACAACTGGCCTGTGGGCCAATCCTGGTCCACCAGGAGTCCAAGCTGGCCCTCAAGACCACTTTCTCCAAACCACAGCCACCTGCCCATCAGCTGACATCACTTGTGACATCATCTGATAGGCATGAGGGCAGGGTTAAATTCCATGTTGGCTGTGCATACATGTTCCCTGTTGGGAACAGGGTGTGTGCAGTTAAATCCTGCTCAGTTTGGCAGGAGTCCATGCAAACCACTTCTGCATTCAGGAAGGGGTTTGCATGGAAACCTTTGCTAAAATGATGTCTGTTCTAAATACATTATACCTCAGATCTAAGGGTGCTTTAGGTCTGCAAAATTGAAGTGGATTAAAGTGCTCCATTGACCTAGAGCAACAAATCTGCTTTTTTAAAAACCTGACTTTTGGCCATTAGAAAAATGATGGGGAAAGTATGGGATGAACAAATTATTAACAGAAAGACATGTAAACACCTTGCAAGCAGATCAGGATGAATGTTCATTGTGGTATAACTGCCCCATAAATAAACAGAGCAAATGCTCAATAAAGTCCAGGCATAGTCTAACTACCACATAAGCTTTGTAGACGCAAATCAATATGAATGCTAATAAAAAGGTCATCTGGAGAAGTCCTAAGGGTAGTCTCTGGCAGTGGAACACTAAGTGCCAGGATAGGAGTGCCTCAGTGAAGAACAGAAATGGCTGAAGAACAAACCAAGGATGCTTAGCAATGGAGATTTGGTGTGGGAATTTTTGGAAGGGATAGATTGGGTTGACTGGTTACCCAGATGTAGGTCCCACTCCTGATCTTCTCCTTTTCAGATTTTAATTTTATACTGAGTGAACCAATTTTGCAAGCACATAATAACCCTGGTCAGTTCCTTCTCTTTACCAAAATTCAGTAATGTATTGTTTCAGTTATAACCTATGAATAAAGAATACTTACATCCATGTAATTCTCCAAGGGCTCAGCGGCATTTGCGTTGCCTTGGCTGGGGAAATACTTTGAGCCCAAGTTGTGAGGATGTTTCTCCAGGTATTTTTCCAGCAGCCCATGTTCTTTAAGGTTTTGCCTCAGGGATTTCCCTTTCCTCAGAGGGACCCTAAACAGCAAAGAGTGAGAAGGGGGAAAAGAAAGAAAGATTGCAAGGTGATAGGAGAAAATATATATTCTAGTTCTTGAAGCTTGCAAAGCAAAGTTTGTTTTAGGACTTTCAGTATTTGCAATGTAGTGGGCCTTGGAGATCCTAGTCAAGAATGGCTTCACCAAGTTTTCTATAGAAAGATGGCACCTCCTACCCTAGGAATGTACAGGGTTTTTGTAGATGGCTAGCTGGCTGAATAGATAAATTTTTTAATGCTTTCTTTAGTTTTGGGGGGTAGAACTGGGACACAGCAAAGGGTTTATGGCTTGCTTGATATCAGAGACAGAGAGTTTGCTGAAAGAGCTTGTTGAACCAAGTTTAGAGCCTGGTTAGGATATGTGGCCCTCCAGATGTTGTTGGATTCCAGCACCCATCAGTCCCAGTTAGCTTGGCCAATAGTGAAGACTGATGAGAGTTGTATCTAATAAAATCTGGAGGGCTATAGCTTCACCATCCCTGGTTTAAACATAAGGCTGGATGTTTCTGAATCAGAGTGTACCTCCTTTCCTTCAAGAAAGCTGAAACCCCGGTACTTACTTGGTCACCAAGCACTGGGAGAGTGCCACCAAGCCCAGAAGCAAAAGCAACTTCATGATGTCTCCTTTATCCCCAAGCCGCTGATGAAAATGAAATGTGGGTCCCAACTGTAGAGCAACACAGCAGGGTGCTGCTTCTTATATACATGAAGCTCCAAGTCTTTCATATCGTATTTGCAACTCCGATAAGAAATGCAAACCTTCCTGATAAGATTTTTTTTATGTCCTTAAATAAAAGGCTTAGAGAACGTTCCAAGTTCATTCATTTCCATTTGCATTAGGATCTTGACCTAAAAGGGTGCTGAAACTCATGTGACATTAAAACCCATCAGAACACATTGGCAGGTGTCAAGGGCACTTACATAATGCATTGTATTCAACCAAGTCCTACTTAGAGTAGACTGATTGATATACATGGGCCTAAGTTCACAGTGTCTATCAATTCCAATGGGCCTACTCTGTGTAGGACTTAGTTTACTAAAAAGAAAATATTTTCTTCTTATAGTACTCAGGACAATAAGCACAAATATGTTTTCTTTAAAAAAACAGAAAATGTAAGGAACTGTATTTTAAATATGCTGTTTAATATTACTTTATATTGTAGCACAGCAGCATAGCTAAAGATTACCTGATAGGTTGAACTCCTAGAAACTGTGGTAAATCCAGTCACTCATCCTTTTTATTCTGGGTGTGTTCAGAACACATAGCAATAAGTTGTCACTGGGAGAATACAACCCCTGCCTCTAAACTAGCATGTTGGTTGCATTTGCAGTAGTACTACGTGGAATCTGGTTGCATGAGTGTAATGGGAGCCAGTTTTATGATGCCATTGATATTATTAGTAGTAAGGCACAAAGCTAGACCCTTTTTCTGCCCATGTACCATTTTATGAACTTTAAAAAAATAGGAGCCAACTTAAAAAAAAAAAATCTAGCCTCCCTTTCAAAGCATTTTTAAAGTACATGGGTTGTCAAAACTGGCTCAAGACATTTTGCTGTAACTCTCCTGTTCCAGTTACAAAAGTCAACCAGACTAGCTATTAAATCTTACTTCAGCCCTGGTGATGGACACTTTCTGCTGCACTTGAGGGCATCAGTCTATCATAGTTGGTGCAGGAAAGGCCGCTTGATAAACACAGCTCTAGTCATTCCTTGCCTTTAATCATCTGCTGCTTCACTCTGCCTCATGGTAGGGCCAATGCTGTGCATCATTTGAGTTGTGATGGATCTAGATGATACTTCTGCTCTGCATCCATTGCAGAGCAGAAAACATTTTCCCACACTCAAACCAGTGTCCTAACTTTCTGAGAAATAGTGATTTCCCTCTTAGCCTTACAAGTACAATTGTTGCATTTATGTGTGCTGTGTTGATTTGTATTAAGGTCATTACAGTTTTTCTTTATGCATAGTATTTCATTCCATGAAAATGCATAAAAGAATAAAAATATATATAACAACAAATTTTTAAATGTACAATAAAAGCCATAAATCTCCAGAAAGGTAAGACTGGTGGCAAACCCAGATTTGTTGTAAGGTCATGTGACAGGACAGTTACATATAATCACGTATGGTTATGACTCTGGATGGGGTAATTGCAAGTGAAGTGCTTAGAAAAGTTAGGGTTTTTCCATCAGACACTAAGTCATTGCAAGCATTAGATAACAAACTTTATTTTCCATTAAAGCTATTGCGGTCCTGAACTGGCAGGAACAAGCAAACCCCCAGAAAATTAAGTGAGTTGCAATGTGGGATAGATGTGTATGAGTTCTCAGGCGACCTTTACTAAAGTTATTGTGTTATTGTGCTGACTGGCCTGATAAGTGCCATGCTGCATATCTGCTCCTTATTTATCATAAAATATGAAAATGGCATTGCAAATACTGTTTATCAGCTGTCTCCTGATACTCTTGTGCAGTTTGTTAATTAATGGAATTTAATTTTCATTCTCTGCTTGGGGACATTTAGCAGAGAGACAGAGTAGATTACAGAACTCAATAAATTTGTGAAACTGATAAATAGTTACTGTTAGAAATGTTTTAATTTCTTGGCATCTAATGCCTCCAATCCTGTGCATCTCAGGTCACAACATCAGCTGACCTGGTAAATCTGTATCTAGACTGGGGGTTGGGGAAGATTCTCATGATATAACATTCCTTCATTAAAAAAAGAGAGTAAAGGCTCTGATCAAACAATAAATGCCCCAGAAAAGGGTTGTAATTTAGGCTTCTCCCTGACACGCCAGTTTTCTATGTGTGGGGGTTTAATCTTGAGAGACCCATTTGAAATGGTGCAATCCAAGAAGAGAATGATCACTTCATCTGCTGCTTGAGAAGTAGACCTAGTAATGTTCCCTAGTAATTTGACTCTTCTTCCACTTGCTTGTCTGAAAATGCCCTTGGGTAACTATGAGCCTAGTTGACAGGGCAGGTGTTACAGCTCCTACCTAGATAGAGAACATGCATCAGGTAGATTTTATGGCATTGCCAAAATTGTGACAATGCTAACTTGCCCAACAAGGTTTTATATTAAAATGTGTATATGACGGATGGAAAAGGTGCCACCAGTTCTATCATGTTTAATGTAGTATTAACCCACATTGTTTACATGTTTATTGTTGGACAGCTGTAATCTCCCACTTCTCAGGGCATCCTCAATGTTTGCTTGCTCTCATAGTCCCTTGGTTTGCATGGCCTGGTTTGGTCATGCTTTATCCCTCCCAAATTCTTCCATTCTAACAGGTACTGCACAACTGAGTGAGCACAATCTGTGAGTAGCAACTGCACTTGCTTGTAAAGAGGCTTCTTTTACATTTTCTATTATACCGTACTTCTCATGGTAGCTCATCCAGGGCATTTGCATTATTGTGCATAAAGTATAAACAAGAGCACAGTGACAGTCAACTTCTGAACCAGAGGATGTGAGCAAGGAAACAGGAGCAGGGAAAAGAGAAATATAATAAGCTCTACCCACATACAAGGGCAAATTAGTAGGATTTCGATCTGGTCAATTTATTTGTGTGTTGCTTCATAAACTGAACTGGGAAAATAAGTGCATTTCCTATTCTCTGCAGTATTGATAGCTGGGGAGAAGAGGGACCCATCTCACTCATAACCTCAGCACAGTAGATTGCAGCTTACACCTCTTTACTGAATAAAACAGAGCAGGAAAGCCTACCAGCCAACCTGAAGATGGAGGTGAGATCCCCTTTAGTAACCATAGTGTTAGGTACACTCCAGTTCTTTGGACAGTGAGAAGTTCCAGGGGTGCAGCCACTCACCCAGGTTTGGTTCATTTTGAAGGAAATGATGCAGGGGGCATATATTATGGCTTTGTATACTTGTTTGCATTTATTTACAAATATTTAAATTGAGCGTTGTTGTTGTTGTTTAGTTGTTTAGTCGTGTCTGAATCTTCGTGACACCATGGATTGCAGCACGCCAGGCACTCCTGTCTTCCACTGCCTCCCGCAGTTTGGTCAAACTCATGTTGGTAACTTCGAGAACTAAACTGAGCATAGGTGGAGGCTAAGCCAGCCAAAATCTACTTCTCCCACATCATATCTCTTAAGAGACAGCCAGGAATCCAAAATGATTTCCAGAGACCTCTGACTCTGTCTGACTCCAAACACAAATTGCAGTCTCCTTTAGTTTTTGTTCACAGGTAAAGGTAAAAGTACCCCTTGACCGTTAGGTCCAGTCACGGACAACTCTGGGGTTGTGCGCTCATTTCGCTCTATATGCTGAGGGAGCCGGCATTTTCTGCAGACAGCTTCTGGATCATGTGGCCAGCATGACTAAGCCACTTCTGGCGAACCAGAGCAGCACACGGAAACACCGTTTACCTTCCCGCCAGAGCGGTACCTATCTATCTACTTGCATTTGACGTGCTTTCAAACTGCTAGGTGGACAGGAGTTGGGACCGAACAATGGGAGCTCGGCAAGCCCTAGGCTCTGTGGTTTAGACCACAGCGCCACCCGCATCCCTTTGTTCACAGAAACATCCTCATATGGGGAGGGGTAGAGATATCACCCCTCTTTCAGGTATGCTAGAGCCATTATTCCATTAGGCAGAAGGAGGCACATGCCTCAGGCAGCAGGTGTTGGTGGGCAAAGAATGGTAGCAAGGTGTTTGAAGACATACTGTGGCTGTGTATGCATTCAACTTGTCTCACACCTCCCTGCTGCCTTCAGGTGCTGTGGAAAATGTATCCCATCACTGATGAACGAAGACTTGTCTGGCTTCTGAATGTGAGGAAACGCACAAACGCAGCAAAATAGGCCAGCTGTTGAGATAAATTAGCCACTCTATTCAGTTTTGATAGCAGCACATCACCTGCCACCTAACCAAGGAGATACTTGCCAGAACTACTAAGGTAATCTTCAGCAGTTATTCCGGTTCCTCTCCTGGCCAGACTCCAGAATCATAGAATGAAAGAGTCCCTGAAGGTAGCTCAGTCTAAATTAAATTCTTTACTGGGAATGCTTTAATTTGATTTCCCCAGTAAGATAAGTAAATGAATACCATATTGAGTTTCGTCAAATTGTATTACTTGGAAATAAACTTTCTTGCTTTGTTTGAAGACTGCCAGTGATAAAGTGTCCACCATTAAATTAGCAGTGTTCACCAATGGTTAAAAAACATGCTCTTTCTTCCCTATTGGAATTTGGAAGCTAGTCATTGGTTATTGCCACTCCTTTCCCTCTTGATTAGAGAGCACTTTTTAGTACCCAGTATTTTTCCACTGAAGGTATATGTCGCTAATCAAGTGACTTCTGAACCTTTTCTCTGTTTTTGATAAACTAAATGGATTTGAGTTCCTTAAATCTTTTGCTTTACATGACCCAAGGCAAGGACTTGAATAATTTTGGCTACTGTAGAAATGTCTGTTAGCATTCTTGCTTTGTTATCACAGGTGGTGCAAGGTGGTTTCCAAACAGCTCCTGGATGTTTGTCCCAATATCTTAACAGTGGTTAATGGAAAGTGTTGCCAGCTAAATGCTAACTACAGCAGGTCATTTGAGCCACATGGAAACACTATATTCGGCATCCTGTTACTGGTATGAATATCTAGGGGGTTAACTCTTCCAATGCTAAATACATACTGTATCCAGCACCATGCAAAAGGCAGGAAACCCAGAACCAGCTCCATACACACTTTGAAAAGTTGGCTATGTGGACTGCATAGCCCATGCTAGTCAATATCAGGTTGGTAGACTGATAGCAGATGACCAGGATGGGCTGCAACATTCTGCTGCACATACTTTGTGAACTAGCTGTACTGGCAGAGCAGATCCTGCCCCCCAAGCCACTTCCCTTGGCTCACTTCCATTTCTGGGGGAAATGGAACTGCAGGAAGGTAAGCTGTGGGAGGGGGTGGGTTCTGCTCCCCCCACTCATGTGCTCCCCTTTTCTTTGAAGAAAAACGAGCTCCACCCTCTCCACTTTGTATGTGCTCACTGACATGGGTTTAAATAAATGGGTCTGTCATAATCATATGCAATTTGAATCAATCTCCTAAATCAGCTCCCTAGATATTCTCTATATGGAGAACGTGTTTGCATGAACTGTGTTCTGCCATGAAACAATTATTTGCTTTCTTACCATGCTCAGATGCCTAGGATGCCTATGACCTTCTCTAGCACAAACCTGCCCATGTATGGAGATCATCAGTGGCCGTGCTCAAATTCATAGGTTAAGTGGGTGACTCACAGCGACAGACCTTTTTTTGATGCGGCATTCAGTAGTCGCACCTGCCCTGTGGAATGCCCTCCTGGCAGATGTCAAAGAGCTAAACAACTATATAATTTTTCGTAGTCATGGATTATCATAATGCATTTTCCTACCTCACCTGTCTCTTAGCACTGGCATAGCTCTAGAGGAAGTATTAAGAAGCAGCTGGGCAGGTTAATAAGCATTTTGTTATTTGTCTTTTACAGCTGAAATACCAAATGGTGGAAGAAGCCATTCACATTAGTATTTTTATCTTATAAAGCTAGTAGATATATGTGTAAAAGCCTCTTAGGGGAAGTCTTATTTCAATAGCTAGTGATTTTAAAAATAAATAAAAAACTGGACACTTGTCCCAAGTACCAGCTTGTTTTTAATACTGTTGTGCTGGAAAGTCATAGAAATTTTTCTTTTATGCAATATAAACTAAAGGTAATTAGTTTTTGCTGTGCAGAAAAACCCCAACAAAACTGAAATCAACTGACACTATTAGCTTGCGTCCAATAAATTTAGTGCATCTACTCAGAGTAGAAATTTGTTGGACACAACTTCCCATGGTTTATGGGTTTATAACTCAGCCAAGTCATTGTTTTTCTAAATTCATATCAAATCTGGTTTGAGGGAAACACATCAAAACACAGTTTCCTCAGAAACAGCAGGATGGACATGGCTTGTGGCAAATGTTCTTCCCAAGCTAACTGGATGCAGAGTAAATGGGAGTTTCTACACAACTTTTGTGTCCATTGCTGTTGTCTCAGCTTAGGGCTTCTTTCGCCTTCAGGGTTGCTGTACTAATTTAGAGCTGGGGCTGGCACTTGGCTGGCTGCGATGCTTGTCTTGACAGAAGGGAACTGGAGACTGTTAGGTGGACAGCTCCTGCTGCCCCTTGGACCACATCTGAGCAGAACAGTCGACTTGAAATAAAGTGATGGTATGTAAAGAAAGCAAGCGTTTATTTCTAGTTATCTGAAAGAAGAATCGGTTAAAAACCAAACCAAACCAAGAGGACCACACCTACACCTAAGTTGTAGAAATAATGAACCAAGCCAACAGGTGTGCAGAAGATTTGCATTTAATAGACTGTTGAGTTTCCAGTATTGCAAGATGCCTCCTAAGGCGTTTTATGGGTGCCCGCATGGAGAGAAACTAAATAATGCACGAAGGGATCCTATATGGATTTCTGCAGCGCGATGCTCCCACTGCACCACCATGCTTTAAAAACTAGCTTTAAAATCAAACAGAAGACTAATATAAAGTTATGCCCGAACAGGTTTCAGCTTAGGTAACAGAGCCTCCCCAAGAGAGCGTATGGAAATATCCGTCGCAACTCCCTGCCACGCGGCCGGGGGGAGGAGACTTCACGTCACGACTCTGCCTGCCCACCCCCGCCACGTATGACCCGCCCTTTCCTCGACCCCTCGGGAAGTGCGAGGGCGAGGAAACTCCGCCCACTCTCGCCCCGCGACGGACGCCCCAGCCCGCCGCGCGGCTTCCCCCGGCCAACAAAATGGCCGCGGCGGAGGTGCCGCACGCCGTTCTCATTGGTTCTGCCTGCGGAACATACCACTCTCCTCCTTTAGAGAGGGGAGAATGAGCTTCGAATTAATCCCTCCCTTCTTGGTTCGGAGTAGAATGAGCGCATAGTGTTTCCGGATCTCCACCGGAAGCCGGAAGTACTTCGGCGGCTAGGGATTCCCTCTTCTGTTCCGCTTTTCACTCCCCCACCCTGTCCTCCCTCCGGATCATCGAAGGTAAATCGCGACCCTTACGGGAGTTTTATCACTTAACCCTTCCTCGCGCCGTCTCGCGAGAAGAGTCGAGCTGCGTCCTCTCGCTTCATTCGAGTGGAGGGTGTGTAGGTGTGAGAGAGGAGTACTCTGTGCGGGCGGCACCTTCCCCGCCACCTACTCCCGGTGGGCAGGATCCCACTCCCCGCCCCGTGAATCTGAGCGATGGAGGGTGGTAGACGCTTGGCTTCTGAAATGGCAAGAGAGGGAACTGGGGCTTGTGCTCTTCTGGGAGCCACGCCTTCCCTGAGAGGGGACTCTCCTCCTCTTCCTCTTAGGTATTATGGGATGGTTTGGCTAGGGGCAGCTTCCTTCATGCTCAAAGATGTGTCCTCTCATCACAGCAACACTTTGTAACTTCTTTGGGGGGCAGGATACTCATGGCACTGAAATCAGATGCTAGTGTGAATCTCTGGCTCAGCTTAAAAGGGAAGGGGACGCTGCTCATTTTCATGTAGCAAATCTGATTGAATGATTGTGTGCCCTTCCCCCCACCCCCTTTTGGCTGCCTCTGAGGTTGTGGTTAAAGAAGGGGAAAGTTAACGGTGGTACCAGAAATGCATGTGTATAAATTGAATAAATAATAAGTTATCTTTTACTTTTGAACTTTTTGCTTATCAGTTACCTTACCCCCAGGTATATGTTTCCTACTGGCATTCCAGTGAACAAACATCAACTTCCTCTGTAGTTAGTATTTTCCTTGCAAATCTCATGCTTCCTCACCTGTCATTGACAACTGACCATCTATTGTCTTCCCACTCCTGAATGCAACATAGAAATGATTCCGGCAACTTTGTTAGTGCTTTTTAGGTTTTCTTGCTGATAGTTGTATTTGTGTCCAATATTGGCACACAGCAAGGATTCATGCTAATGTTTATTCACATTCTGGACTTACTGGAATGTTCTCTGTTTTTGCCACTTGCAGAGAACAGCTTTGTAGCTGTGACAACCCACGTGGATGACCTGTAAAGACATGTGCAAAGCACAGTTTCCATTATGCTGATGTAATTGAGTCTTGCCTGCATATGTGCACACCTTTCAAGAACTGGCATACACGGGATAAACCGTATAAACATGTACAAAGATACCCTGGAAAGATGTGGAGTATTTATTTGGTCCAGTCTGCTAACGTAACAAATGCTTCCTGGCTGGCCCCCAGAGTTCAGTAAGAGACTTGCTAAATAAGAGTGCTCACCTGTGTCATTGAGCACATTACACATTTTACAAGCAGTTTCGTACATTACAAAGAGGGGGAAATGATCTGCTACCGAGTGTATGCTCAAGGGGGTGTACACTCAATAGCATCTTAGGTGTACAAGTAAAAATTGAATATGTCTAGTGCCCCCAGCTGCTCAAATTGTGGCACTAATCTTGAAACAAAAATCGCTTTCCCTCCCACAGAAGCGCTTAATTAATTCGGTTTTGGAGGCAGGTAGGCTAACAAGGTTGACTTAAATTCTCTTGCAGATACTGATGCAGGATCCTCAGAACCAAACCTGTGAAATGTTTTGCTTCAACAAGAGGTAGAAGAGCTACTACCAGGTAGTAACAGCTTATGACCCTTGCCAGTTTGTTGTTTGTTCCACCTGCTGTGTGCACATTTTGGTTTAGAAAAGGCTAAAACTATCCAGTCTTAGTATCCAGTGCTCTTGGCGAAATTCAACTGGTGCAGCATTTTCTCTCCTCCCCCATCCATTTTCTCTCCTCCCCCTGTGCTCTCCGCAACTTTCCAAAGCTGATTTGGGATGTGGGGAGGCGGAGGGGATAGGAGAAGAAGCTTCATTGTGCTCACAGGAGTATGTTGTGTTGTTGGACCCAGCATTGGATGCCACCCCTTGTGTTGAACAGAATATTTGGAAAATAAGGACCAAACTATTATGTGACAGTGGGAAAAGAGGGGTATTGTTTTGTTGCTGATACATGGGTGGAAGTGCCAGATGGGTTCTGCCGGTGGGCACCGCTGCGTCCTCACTGCCATCATGCCTCACCCCCATTCCATCCTAAAAAGTGTGTTTATATGTGTTGGAAGCTGCCCAGAGTGGCTGGGGCAGCTGAGCCAGATGGGCGGCGCATTGCTGCAGTACTTGCACTGACAGGCATCAAAGTGTGATGTTGAATTCCATCCCTTGTCTTTAACAAGAGTAGATGTGAGGGGGAGAAACTACGTTTGAAGGATCTGATAAACTGTTGAAAAGTCAGGTGTTAATCTGGACCCATAGGGCTACTGAGTTTGGTTAATCCTAGAATCAGCCGCAATAGGCACATGCAATGGGAAACTGTGGCAGTGTGACTGAGTAATCTTTGTAATACATCTTGGCTGACAAGATGATGAGAAAAGCACCACTTGGCAGTCAGCAGATGATGAAGCCCCAACATGACTGCTAGAGATGCTGAGATAGCATTACTCAGACACAGATTATGTTTTCCCTTGGAAAACACCGAGTAAAGAAAGGAAATGGAAAAAGTTGTTCCCACCTCTGATCAGAACAAAAAACAAAGAGTAAGGTGGACTCACTCACTTAACTGAGGAAGGAAAAAGAACCACCAGATCCTTTGATATTAACAGACACTGGTAGCTAGGAACTGTTAAGAAACTTGGAATGAGTTAAAATAATTTATTAATTTCACTCTTAATTTGGCAGTGGGGAGTGACTATAGGTTGATTGGGTAGAATTCAACATCACTCTCATCCAGCTGTACCATCTGCACAAACATTGCAATTTACTAAATGGAACAATCCTCCCCTTGCACACTGTTTTGGAGTTCTCCCAACTGGGGCAGAGAGTGGAGGAAAGCCAGAAGTCCTTGTGTCGGGGCTTCCTTCTATGGGGCTGTTAGATGAATTCAGCTGCCTAGAGAGGTTTTTTGCATTGAGTGATTAATAAATCAAATTAACAACAACAAGATACAGTGGTATCTCGGGTTACAGACGCTTCAGGTTACAAACTCCACTAACCCAGAAATAGTACCTCGGGTTAAGAACTTTGCTTCAGGATGAGAACAGAAATTGTGAGGCGGCGGCAGCAGGAGGCCCCAATTAGCTAAAGTGGTACCTCAGGTTAAGAACAGTTTCAGGTTAAGAATGGACCTCCAGAACGAATTAAGTTCTTAACCCGAGGTACCACTGTAATATGAAGTAATTCTGTGTAAAGTATTTGAGATGATAATTGCTTTATCCCCTGCCCTTGTATTGGGTGTTGTGCCTCCACTTAATTTGTTTCCATTGCAATCCTGAGTTGGTTGCTGATTTGGCCTTACTTAACAGGGGGTGATTTTAAATTCTCATTTTCAGAAGAGATTGTTTTTGTATACCCCTTATGTACCCAGTTGGCTTCTGTGCTCCACAGGAGAGAGCCTCCTGCAGATGTTATCTCAGCAGCAAGTCCATTCTTTATAATATAAGAATTGGACCTTTAGTGTGGCAAGAGCTGCCCTTTGGAGCTCACTTCTGTTAAATATAAGACAATTGTCTTTTTGGTGCCTTCTGAAGACCTTTTCTTTTCTGACCAGCTTTTAAGTGTAGATCTTCATCCAACTCTGTATCTGTGCTGGATGTGAAATTGTTTTTAGATATGCAAGTTGTCTTGAGATACAATCTTGGTTTTGTTGTCGATGCTTTTTACTGTGAAATCACTTTGAGATATTTTATGAGAAGTGATTCATAAAGAGAATCAAATAAATACTTTTAAGCAGACAAGAGCAGTATCTGAATCAGGCCTTGTGCCAACAATTGTGCACTGACTGTTGCTAAATGAGCAGGAAGTATGGAGAGAGAACTTGCCTAATGCCTCATTGTTCCAGAACAAAGGCGAGCCGTTTTTAGACTAGATACTCAAACAAAGGGAGAGTGAGCTACAGGACGGTTGTGAGTTTCTCAGATACAAATGATATAATATTGTATATACAAATAGTTCATGTGTACACACACACACACACACACACACACACACAAACACACAAACATACACTCTGTTTTTCTTGATACTGGGTAAGGCAGCATGCTTCTGAATCGGGTGGTTTCTTATGCTTGCTGTTGCCTAATTTTGCATGCTTTCACACATAGAACCTTTCAGTTATTGGGCTGCCTGAGTGTATCTGACACCTAAAGTGATGCAGAGACGTTGCAGATTTCCATGCAGACCCTGCTACTTCGAACAGTGGGGTGGGGATTAGCAGGACGAGGATGGATTACAGAGTTTAAATACAGGGTTATTGTGCAAAGGAACACACTATGTACAAAATGACAATGTCTTAACTGGCACGTGCATGCAGAAAGTGCAACATGCATTGGGACTTCCCTACTAAATCTGGAAGAAAAATATCATGCGTTATTGGGCTAACATTCACATGTGGCAGGTATACTCTTAAATCCAACTTGCCAAAATGAGGGAGGGAGGAATGAGTATGATCGTGGTGTGCCACTGTGCATTGGTTTTGCCTTATGTGGAAACAGAGCTTCTATAAACTAACCATGAAAATGATAGAGTCACCCTGCAGTCATATAAACAGTACATGGGTGGTAAAGACCTTTATTAGCAACACATGAAAGGATTGGAATGCCTAGCATGGGATATAAAACTTGCTAATTACTTGTGCTTTCTCTTTTGACTCAGAGGTATTAATGAGCCTCCTAAATGATGATGGCATTCAGAGACAAGACTGTGGATGAGCTGAAGGAGCTGCAGGACAATTCAGAGGAGATTGAACGCTTGGCACTGGAGTCTAATGAGGTTAGAATATATTAGAATGCATCAGAAGGATTGGACTGGAATGGGGGGGGGGGCTTAAGAGGAGCCACCTTTCCCTAACAATGGCCTGTCTTTATCAGGTTCAGGATGTCCAGTTGGAAAGGGAGATGGCTTTGGCCACAAATCGCAGCCTGGCAGAGCGGAACCTGAAGTTTCAGGAACCCCTCGAAACAGGACGTGCAAACCTCTCAGACAAATATCAAGAACTGCAGAAGCTGGTCGAGCAATGCCAGGAGCAAAAGGCAAAACTGGGTAACGTTTCAGATCTCCTCAGCCCAGGATGGGGCATCAGTAGGCTTCTCCCCCCCGCCCCTAACCAGATTTACTTCTTGTGATTCCTCTTCTGTGTTGGGATGTATGCACGCGAACCCTAGGGTTAGCCACTCCTGATCTGGAAATAGCTCCTGTTTCTTGACACCTCTACCATTGAAAACGAGGATGGTCATCAAGGAGGGAGGGTCAATTATGAGAAAATATTTTGGTTCCCTCTTTTCTGAGCCTTCTAGCTGCCTGAACAGACTGATGGTGCACCATAGTTTCAATGCTATGGATAACCATAGAAAGCGATGTGCTTGTATATAGGCAACAGAGACCTCTGTTCTTCTTGATCTCCCCAACCTTCCTCTCTCAGTTGTGGCTGGATAGTTGTGTGGTGGCAGCTCTGAAAGCAATGGGAGCTGTGCCTTCAGAGGTGGCACTCTTCACGTATATCTGCTTGTGCAGAGTCAAGAACCGACATTGTCACTGAGATGGAGGGAAGGAGACGTGCTTGTTTTGCATGGCATTTTTAATCACCCTTCTTTATTCTTTCCCCATCCCACCAGAAAAATTCTCAGCAGCGATGCAGCCTGGCACCCTGTTAAATCTTCTGGAGGTAGAAGGGCAGAAAATCGAAGAAGAATCTGAGGTTAGCCTATGATTTCAACTCAAGAGGAAACAAGACTCATGTCTGATACTGTTTGTTAATACCGGTGATCTATTCTGAGCTCACCTCTCTCCAGGCTGACCCTCATACACCCAGACTGTCGGCCAGGACTGTGTCACCTCTCCTTTCTCACATCCTAAATTCAAGCCAGCATGAGAACCATATCATAATGTGGTTCATGTGTTTTGTTTTACTGAGCTTGTTTTATTTGCTAGAGTGGGTGGCCAATCAGCAGCATGGGTCCCATAAACCACGCAAGCGTCAAGAGTTTATGGCACTCCAGTGCGGTGGCAAAAGAGCCAAGGAACCTGACTGTGGCCTAGGTTCTGGCCTGCCCTTGTGTTTGGCTCTCTCTCTGTATTTTACCTTCTTGCTTCCCAGGATGGTAGACTAGATGCAAAACTGTGCCAAGGTACTGAGGGCTGCAAATGCACTTGAGGGGCACTATTTCATATGTGGACTTGTGGGAACCTGGTCACCGTTGTTCTAGAGCAATGGACAAGTTGCCTGAGACGATCCAGTTTCTCTCGCCACCCCTACCCCCTGCCCAGTCGTTTTCACTGTGAGTAGTCATTGGGAGATGGAATGTGCATGCTGTGATGAAGAACGCAGAAGCGAACCTTGTTCCTTACTGCAAATGAAAGCCCTGGTTTAATTGTCTTTTTACATTGCAGATGATGGCTGAAAAGTTCCTGGAGGGCGAAGTGCCTCTGGAGACATTCCTGGAGCAGTTTTCCTCCATGAGGAAGTTGTCCCATCTACGGCGGGTGAAAGTGGAGAAGCTTCAGGAAGTGTTGAGGAAGTCTCAGTCTTCCCAAGAGCCAGCCAGAAGCTCTGCGTTCAACCACCAGCATCCTTCCACGATGCCTTCTGGGCCTGCAAACCAGCAGCCACAGAATAGCCTGGCTGGGGGACTACCCTATCCTTTACCTTACAGTCTAACCCCTTGCATGCCCACCGGCCCTTCAGCTCACGGAGCTCTCCAGCCAGCTTCTTTTGCAGGAGCACCTGTTATGGTGGGACATGTCGCCTCCTCTCAGCCAAGTAGCCAACCCCCATTTCCGACTAGATCACCTTCGGGTCCTGGGTACCCACCTGTCTCTTCTAGCAGTTCATTACCCCAGCCTCAGGTAGGAGACCCATCTGCATCCTCTGGGTACTCTTGGTCCCCCTCCAGAGCACCCCCTTCTGGACCAGGATACCCTCAGCCCCCCGTTAGGGCTCCATCTACAGGACCAGGATACCCACAGTCTCCATTTTTTCCACCAGCGGGAAGGCCCCAGTGCCCTTATCCTACCCAGCCTCCAGTGCCTAGCTACCCCATCCCTTCCCAGCCTCCATATCCCACAGGTCCAAGCCCACCGTTTGGGTATCCACCACCACCGCCCCTGCCCCCTCAGGGCCCTTCTTGGCCAGGATACTAGTCCCCGTTCCCAGACAGTATTCTTTTTCATAGCAGCCTGATGAATTGATTTTTGCTAGCTACTGAAGCCCAAGATGAAAACTTGGGTGCATCCTCTTGAGAGACATACTTCCGTAAGCATTATATTGATGGCATGTATGGTTTGATGCTGTAAGAGTTGGAAAGGAACGGCTGTGTGGGATGGTTCCATTTCCTGAGTATCAGCAGGCAATGACTGTTGGCAGCCTTCAGTGGCCAGCTGTACTGACTAAGCAGTCCGTCCAAGCCATAGTATAAAATACAAATCTAGGCCCAGACACTTAGCTGACGTATACTGGCATTGTTCCAAGTAAGCCGCTTATTGGCCGCAGCTTGGATCTGGTCCTGTGCGTGTGTTGGTGTGCTCATGACTGTGTGTGTTGTTTTCTACTTTACTACATTAGAGTATCTATAATACATAAATAAAATGAATTCTGCTCACTTTATAATTTCCACAAAACTCATGATGGAGAAATCAGGTCAGCATTTCTGATGAGAAGAGCATGTTTTCCAGAAGAGGAATGAATAAATGTATGATTTCTCCTGGCACCAAGAAAATTTACTATTTACTAGACAGTAGATAGAAAGCACAGCCCAGCTAACACAAATGGAGAATGAAAAGCTCCCTCACCTAGCCTCAGCTGCAGTCAAATGTCCATCAGTCGGTCTGTGGTGGCCGTTCCCATAGAGGTTAGCTAATTTGCATGTTCCTTTCCTCTAGTGTGTTTTCATCATGGCTTATTTGTCTTTATCCTCCCTTCTGAGGGTAAACAGTGGATGTATTAGTTGTACTAATAATTAGTATGTGGAAGGTGTGAGCTAGAGAATCTTGGAACGGTTCGTTGAACAATAAGACAGCAAGTTTGGCTTTTATAGAAAGTCAAATCGCTCTGCGTTTTTATACATGGGAATAATGGACAAAATGCTATTGTTCCTCTTTCCATTGTTGATTGTAGTTTGCTTCACTGAAGCATGTAGGCCTCTGTGGCTGCCCTTTTTTTCCAGTAACCTCTTGGTGGAAGAGAGGACTTTGATAATGAAAGCCTCTCCCTCCTTTGTTTGTTGTCCCACTTCAGTTGACAAGAAGAAACACCGGCTACAACTGAGGAAACCGAGGGAATCTAATGTTGATCAAAATAGCTTTGCTAAGCACTTTATCCTTTTGTTTGCCCATAATTTATTTTTAAAAAATAGACTACTAATAGATTTGACCCGGTAGAACGCGCCTGGAATTTGATGGAAGCAATTCCATATCTGTGATTAATTATGGTAATAAAACTTGGATGAATTGCACAGAAGCTTATGATTATGACTTTTGGAAATGGAGTTGTGGTGATTGATATCTGACATTGATGCTTCTTTTTTGCTTGCTAAACATCTTCCCTTTGACTTCTAGTTTGTGTCAATAAGGCCTTTCACCTTTCATCTCAAAGAGTCATATGTTTCCTTGTCGTATCTGACTGTTTCTTGTGTCTGTGCCCTACTTAAGAGATCCATTTGTGCATCTTTCTTCCCCATGGACTAATAAACTTTGCCCTTCTCAACATCCTTCAACACCATGTTTCCTCTATCTTGTCCATTGCAATTTCTACCATCCATTTGCCCTTTCCTTATTGATGTATTTAGTGTTGTTCAGTTTCTGTATACTGTAATTAACCTCTCATATGGAAGGCACTGACTTTTAACTCTCAGTTCCCCAACTTTGATCTATTAGGTTTATCATCTATACTTGGTTAGACTCTAACCTAACACTAGATCAGAGGTGATATACTTTCTTTGCTCCAAGGGCTGCATGGGCCACATGACAAAAGTGAGTATAGCCACCCCATACTCTTATACACACTTTTGCATGGATTAGTGCATGTCAACACATACAAGACAAGTGTGATGGGCCTTACCTTTGGCTGCATGCACATAGTTTTGCATCACATATTAATACATTTTATGTAGGAGGAGATCTTGGCAGCACTTGCAGAGAATACACTCTGAAAATAGCTGTCCTAGATGCACTAAAATTAGGTCCTGGAGGACTGCATGTGAAAAATTCTGTTTGTAGATAAATATGGGCAGTACTCTGAAAACTGACTATAGAAAGTAAAACGACCAGAGCTCTAAGGTGGTTCTTAAAGAGTCTAAAAGCCAGAGTAAGCCTATTTGTTCAATTTTTCTGCTTTCTAAATAAAACTTTTTTTTGTAATCCCATACAAATCAATGGAGTGGTTAAATGGTCTAGGACAGAGCAGGTTTTTTGTCTAGTCAGTTTCATTCCAAAAGGAAACCACATTTCCCACATTTTCATTTTTAACTGCATTTCTAGTCTCAACTTTCTACCTTGGAACTTAAAATCGTATGGTTCTCTGCCTTTGTCCTTACAACAACCCTGTCAGATAGCTAAGCTGGAGGTAACACAATGAGCTTCACGGCTGACTGAAGATATGAACAAAGATCTCTCTACTAATTCAACACACTAACCACTACAGCATGTGTGTAATTACATGTATGGTAATCTTTTAAGATACTAACATCATTTTTTAAATTTCAGAAGTACCTTTATAAAAAACGTTCTTTGGATCAGGAAGGGGGAATATTATTATTTAGGCACAGAGCATGGCAACTTCCTAAATTATACTGAAGTTCCACAATTATTTATAGGTTTTTACTGTGAGGATCATCGTAAGGGGTAACTCTGCACTTCACAAAGAATTTCACTGGCAGCTTTCAAACTGCTATCTCACTTTGCAACTGAAAACTTTGAAATGGCTTCTGCATCATTTAAATGTCTAAAATGCCTTTGAAATGTATGTAAGCTTGTATGAATGGGTATTGCATTGACCGGGACGAGAGGCAACATTGTACAATATGCCAGCCAGCTTTTAGTCTCTGAACTGTGGCCCAACACTTAACCGTCATTGCGTCCAGTCTCAAATACAAAATACACTAAGCTCCTGCCAGTTTGCATGTCTGGGGTGTCCCCTCCTGCTTTTATTATACTTCCAGATATTAAACATGAATATACACAATTTACAAATTAAATTACAGATGCACTCAAGTGCAAAACAAAGAGTTGACATTAAAAACCCACAGCTATACTTGCTCAATTATGACAAATCTATAAACATATAATCTAGTTTAGTCAATAAGACATTAGCTACTAGGGTAAACTGTTGTGCTTGGAAATATTCTTTAAAAAGTAGTCCTGGTTTGTTCAGTAACAACAGCTTTCCCTGGTTTTTGTTTTAATTCATACTTTCCTGTCTTAACTCAGAATGGTTACCTAGCCAATTGCACAATATTGTCAGAAATCTTGCCCAGCTAGTGCTTGCCAGGGACCTTAGCATTTTTTGAGGTAGTCCTAATTTTTGCAATGATCGCCATTGAGAGATCTAGATACAATCTAGCAACATTCACCAACCTTGTGTCCTCTAGCACAGCATTTCCCAACCTTGGGCCTCCAGCTGTTTTTGGACTACAACTCCCATAATCCTCAGCTAGCAAGACCAGTGGTCAGGGATGATGGGAATTGTAGTTTGAAAACAGCTGGAGGCCCAAGGTTGGGAAACACTGCTCTAGCACAGGCTGGGGCTGATGGAAATCGTCCTAAACAACTGCAGGGTACAGCATAAGGTTGGCAAAGACCACTACAGCTGAAGTCCAAAGGTCATTATTATAGGCCCTCAAAGAGAGAAAACCTAGCATAATTCCACTATGAGGTTTGAATATAGAACAATAGTGCTCTGGATGATTTGAGGTAGAGATCCTAATTCCTCTCAGTGCATTGAAAAGGAAATGCACTGGCTTTGCTATTACATCTCTGTGAAGGTAGAGAAGGTCTATATGGTTGCAGGGAGGATGCTGATGGTATTTCACACTGATTGTTGTGGGTGGAAAGCTTTTTTCAGTTCTGCTGATCCCAGCTTTTCCTTGTATTGGATTCTGCCTGTATCTGCAGGGGAGAACATGAATCCCACAAAATTAATATTTCATTTCATTCAATTTTTTAAGAAGTGACAATGCAGTTACTGAAGTTGTAGGATTATATCCTACAGGTTTTGCCTGACACATAGCAAAAGCGCCTGTCTAAACTCTCATTGTTTGCACACACAGCAAAAATCAGTTTTAATTTATGCTATAAAAGGTAAAGGGACCCCTGACCGTTAGGTCCGGTCGGGGACGATTGGGGTTGCGGCGCTCATCTCGCTTTATTGGCCGAGGGAGCCGGCGTACAGCTTCCGGGTCATGTGGCTAGCATGACTAAGCCGCTTCTGGCGAACCAGAGCAGCACATGGAAACACCATTTACCTTCCCGCCGGAACGGTACCTATTTATCTACTTGCACTTTGACGTGCTTTCGAACTGCTAGGTTGGCAGGAGCAGGGACCGAGCAATGGGAGCTCACCCCATCGTGGGGATTCGAACCATCGACGTTCTGATCGGCAAACCGTAGGCTCTATGGTTTAACCCACAGTGCCACCCGCGTCCAATTTATGCTATAGACCTGCCCTATTTCTGGTGTTTTCTTTCAACCTAAGGATATACAAAAACTAAACAAAAAAAACCAAATAAACAGAGATCAGCTTGGGCGTGAAAGTTTATTGAAATAGGCATCCATACCTTTCAGATTTTACAGCCGTTGTGCAGAACATAAGTCGTAGTCACTGTCAGAAGAGTTGTCTGGGGGGTTGGAAGATCTGTTGCTTGCCCCTTCCAGAGCTGTACCAAAAAAATACTGTAATGTTTCAAAGGGAATTGCATATTCCAGGGAAATACTAAAATAACGGAGACTAAAGTAGCAGCAGGATATGACATAATGCTTTTTGTATTTTGAGGATCTCCCTTTGCATTAGTGTTGTACAAACTCAGTAATTGTCTTCATCTAATCACCTTACATTTACCGTATTTTTCGCCCTATAGGACGCACTTTTCCCCCTCCAAAAGTGAAGGGGAAATGTGTGTGCGTCCTATGGGGCGAATGCAGGCTTTTGCTGAAGCCTCGAGAGCGAGAGGGGTCGGTGCGCACCTCCAGGCTTCAGGAAGCTATCCGCAATCCTTTCAAGCCCGGCGGGAGTGCTTCGCGCCCCGTGCTTCGCGCAGGTGTCTGCAAGCCTTGCGAGCCCGGCGGGAGTTCCTGCCGGACTCGCAAGGCTTGCGGGCAGCAGCCTGCAGCCCACAAGCTCGGGGGACAGCGGGGAGGCGGAGCGCCGCCATCCCGCTGTTCCCCGACCTGGTTTGGATTCCCCGACCTGGTTTTTTGGGGGAAATAAAGGGGGGGGAAATCCTTTATTTCCGCCCCCAAAAAACTAGGTGCGTCCTATGGGCCGGTGCGCCCTATGGGATGAAAAATACGGTATATGTTGCATTTATTTAATAGAGGTCAAGATCTGAACAACAATTCCAACAATTCATCAGCTTTCACCCCAATATACCAGTGCATACTATTGTTATATTTTTCTAGATAATTGCTCACAATTATGTGAATTGCTTCCTAATACGGGTGTGTGTGTGTGAGAGAGAGAGAGAGAGTGAGTGGCTGGTGTTTCCTCTGTATTTTCTGGAGATATTTTCTTAACAGGGCACTTACCTGCATGGTAAGAGTCTAAAGTCAACACCGAGTGGGTGGGTGGGGGTTGGGAGTGGAGGAGAAAGGTTTTTGGCAGTTTGAATTTGGGGGCAGACACAGTTTTCAGCTGGAGCTGGTTAAAATTAATACTGAGGCACACTTGTGGTGCAGATCCTCTCTTTGGGAATCTGATGCAGAATTAGTGATGGTGCTGAAAGATCCCTTTTGCTGCCACTATGGTCTCTCTCTCTCTCTCTGTGTATATATATATATAAAGGGACCCCTGACTATTAGTCCAGTCGCAGATGATTCTGGGGTTGCAGCGCTCATCTCACTTTACTGGCCGAGGGAGCTGGCGTACAGCTTCTGGGTCATGTGGCCAGCATGACTAAGCCGCTTCTGGCAGCGCAGGGAAACACTGTTTACCTTCCTGCCAGAGCGGTACCTATTTATCTACTTGCACTTTGACGTGCTTTCAAACTGCTAGGTTGGCAGGAGCAGGGACCGAGCAACAGGAGCTCACCCCGTTGCGGGGATTCAAACCGCTGACCTGATTGGCAAGTCCTAGGCTCTGTGGTTTAACCCACAGCACCACCCACGTCCTTGTGTATATATACACACACATTAAAGGATAGAGTCATATTTGAGGAGCCCTTGTAGGCCACCTAGCTAAACCTTCAGCTCATTGCTGAAAACCCAGAGCTAGAGCATCCCCAACAGAAGGCTGTGCAATCTGTGCTTGAATACCTCTGGTAAGGGAGAGCCTATCATTCCTGCAGATAATTGGTTCAATTGTGAAACTGTTCTTACTTTAAAGAAGATGTAATATTCCCTCCTGTGAATTAAGCCCAACAGATCTGGTTCTGCCCTCCGGGGCAGCAGAGAACAAGATATTGCAAAGGCATATGTCTCCTCATTGGAAGGAAACAAAACCTTGCAGCGCTGCCAGTGAACTTCTAATTGCTTGGAGAATTGGGGAGTGTTTAAGACTGTTATCTTTCTATAAGGGCCATCATCTAGGAGAGACTAAAACCCTCTTCTTTCAGAAAATATTTGGAATGCCAAGAGAATGCTTTTGATACTGTCTTCTTGTGTTTTCATTGCTCACTGATAATGGGCTTTGATCCAGAGAATGGCATGCAGTGTGCATGAGTGCAACGGGGCTTTCTTGACCCTTTCCTGCTACAGCCACTCATTCTCCCCTGAAAAGCCACTCTTAATTGGTTGGGGGTCTCTGCAGCACACGATGTGTTTGCTACAACAGGCTACTTCTGGGGTGGGAGAAATTGCTGGAAATTGATGTTCCCGCTGCCTGCGTAAGTGGGAGTGTTTTCCATTTGCTTATGCAGATATTTGTATTCAAACCACTGGATTGCCTTGGATCAATCTAATAAACAACTCGCCTTGAGCAAGCAATGTAATAAACAATAAAATATGAAGAAGGGTATTGGGAAACTGAGGTCCACGATGAAGAGACTTTTCCAAGAACATGTGCCAATGGCTGTGCAAAAGGAATGGATGCAGTGTCAAACCATGTGATATTATGTGAGAATGCAGCCTGTGGGTGAACAGCTATACAGCTAAGACTGGAATAACATAAAGCCTCAGGGTCTGGCGTAGAACTGAAAATTATCAGTCATAATACTCTATTGGTTCAGACGGCACATTACACCAGTGGCGTAGCGTGGGTTGTCAGCACCCGGGGCAAGGCAAGTAATTTGCGCCCCCTAACCCGTGGATTTGCGCCCCCTAACCCTAACCCCCAGATGTTGCGCCCGGTGCGGCCGGCCCCCCCTGCACCCCCCACGCTACGCCACTGCATTACACTCTCATTTGCCTAGCATCAGCAATATGAATTGTATGTAAACTCATTCAATTTAATACCAAGAGCACCAGCCTGGGCTGCAGTGGGATTGGGATCCTTTGGAAGTGTGGGAAACCCAGTGGATTTTTAAAGAAAGGTCATGTGATACACACTATAGGACTTTAAAACCCCACCTATTGTATGCTACCTGCATAGGGTGAGAGATGAAAGTTTTTCTTCAGGGCTGGATACTTATTCTCTTCCTGAACCTCTTGGCTTTCAGGACGTGGCTGGAACGTGACAGAACTGCTGCGATGGAATGAAACTAAATAAAAGCATAATGTGGAATCACTTTCTATCCAGAAAATATCCTAACTTTCAGTTAAATATATATTTTATTGTTTAATGAAAGGAACAGAGTGAATATACAGTGGTACCTTGGGTTAAGTACTTAATTCGTTCCGGAGGTCCGTTCTTAACCTGAAACTGTTCTTAACCTGAAGCACCACTTTAGCTAATGGGGCCTCCTGCTGCCGCCACGCCGCCAGAGCACGATTTCTGTTCTTATCCTGAAGCAAAGTTCTTAACCCAAGGTACTATTCCTGGGTTAGCGGAGTCTGTAGCCTGAAGCGTATGTAACCTGAATCGTATGTAACCCGAGGTACCACCGTATTAGCTTCCTGGCTTTTGGTTTGTTGCAACAAAAGAAGCTATTTCTTGCCTCTAGAGGGAGTAAATGATCTTACTGTGATCTCTGAAATATGATCGCATATAATCATCAAAAATCTAATAGCATGGAAGTATGGAAGTTCAGTGTGCTGCTATGATGTTTCAGACATAAATGTGGAACAATGGAACTGATTATTAGACGGGGTCTCTGACCCTAACAGTCGAAGGGGTAAAGAATAAGTGGAGTGTTTATTACAGTATGATAACATCGCTTCTGTAGCTCTGTAATATCACGCTATAATAAAACTCCACATTTTGGCTGTACATAGCAGGAAATGGAAACCCAGATTACACATTACATCATATTTGCTAGGTAGCAAATGATGGTCTGTTACTGAGTCAAGTAACACCAGGTCAGTCTGTCTCAAACCAAACTGCCCAGAGTTGCAAGTTAGACATTCCTGTTAAAACAGTTTATAATGAGAATGTAAAACCTGAAACACCCAGGATGCATGTTCAATAACTCTTTGTCTGTTTCATATTAACAATACACAACCTCAAAAGAGGTTCACATGAATTTATTCATATCTTGCATATGTCTTGGGTTGAGAGGTAGCTGGGTTTGTTCTTATCCACTACAGTGGTACCTCAGGTTATAGAGGCTTAGGGTTACAGACTCCGCTAACCTAGAAATAATACCTCGGGTTAAGAACTTTGCTTCAGGATGAGAATATTGTGCTCTGGCGGCGCGGCGGCAGTGGGAGGCCCCATTAGCTAAAGTGGTACCTCAGGTTAAGAACAGTTTCAGGTTAAGAACGGACCTCAGGAACGAATTAAGTTCTTAACCCGAGGTATCACTGTACCTTGTTACCAACTGGTTTCATACTGATTTTATGCTGTTTATGTTTCTCTTATGCTCATGGCATAGATATTATATTGCTATTGTTTTAGCTTATTTTGATTGTCTTTTATGGATTTTAATTTTTGTAAAACAGCATGGCGGCTTGCTTGAAGGACAGTATAAATATGTCACACATGCGTACATACTTACCATTTTGATTCATTCCATTTGGGCCGATCCACTGATGCTCTCTGTTTTTTGAATCTGTAGTGGGGTAGAGGGAGGGGACGTTTGATAAGTCATTAAGCAAAATAGAGCATAGGCAAAAATAAATACCCTGTGCCAAACTGCATGGCTCTAAAAATGATGTCGTTAAGGCACATTAGCTGTTATGGCTTATATACTAGGAGTATGGAACCTCCGGACCTTGGGACTCTCACTCGGACATGTCCCCTCTGCTGCTCTTCTGAAGGCCCCCCCCCATGTTTTTGCCTGGCTGAAATATGCCACTGAACTGTGATAATGCCTCTTGCTTTCCTGGACAGAGAATGGAGAGAAGTGGGTATGTGTAAACACTAAGGATGGACAAATCTGCCTACTTCAGTTCTCCAAGTTTCTCACTTTCCCAATATTAAATTCAGTGCTCCACATTTCTGCAACAATTTGAGATTATTTTTTTTAATGCTCATGAAATTTTTTAGAACTTTAGTGTGAGTTTCTCCTATCAAACATATTTTTGTATGCAGTTTAAACAATTATAACAATTTTGCAAGCAATTTCCTGTAACACCATGCATTTCCCTAAGAGTTATTTTTACTTATCTATGCATTTTCATGCACATTTTACTCTACATTTTTGTACACATAACTTAGCTGGGAAACTCCTTTGCGGAGTTCAGAGAAGGTGAATTTCAAAGGGTGGCTGCATTTTGGTTTGCACATTGTTCCACAAAGCGTGAATTTTGAAAGTCTGCCTTTAAACACAAACTGAATCGAATTTCTCCCCCAACCCGAGTAAACAATCTTGGCTTTTGCATGTCAGAAATGTAGGTTGCTGTATGAAGAAAAGATTCACACCTGCTGCCTCGCCCATTTTTAACTCTGGCTCTGCGCTCACCGCTGACCCCTGGAAAATTGCCCATGAGAAATATGGCATCTGGACTGAACAGGTTCTCCATTCTGCTGTATGCAGTAAACAAAATAGTGCTGTGGCTGACATATATTCTGCCTTTCACGTCTGGTGAAACAGGTATTTGTACTTGGCTCAACTAGAAGTCACCACTTGTGAGAAGTCAAACAAAAATTAAACCCTTTCCCTTCAGGAATATACCTAGGCCCTAATCAACCTTACCCTGGTTTTTCCCAGAACAATTGACAAGACAAGAAAGAGAAAAATTCCAGAGAAAGTAACAGGAAACAAGAACAGAAAGAAATCAATATAGAGAGCTTAGTGCACACAATCACAGCATTAGTGTAGGGCATGACAACGTAGCTAGCATTACAGCAAAATTTTGATTCAGTTAGCATTTAAAGGCGAACCTAATGAATCTGCACGTCCCAAAACAAAATGCAAGCCAAGACACAGCAATCCTTTCAAAATTCACACTTCAAATTTTGCAGAGCAGTTTTCCAGACAAGTAACGTGTACGAAAAGGATTATACTAAGGTAAAGTGTGCATATAAATGCCTGTGCATTAGCTAAAATAACATTTAAAATGTGACTATTCGGCAGAATTGCATACAAACGTGTACATTAGGAAAAAACCGGGGGGAAACCCCATGAAATGGTGATGCATTTTTCTGAGGGCTTTTTAAAATAAATCCACAAACTGTTATGGAAATGCAGAGAACTGAATTTAAGTTTGGGGAAATGAGAAACTTAGAGAAACAGAATGACAGACTCTCCCTGCCCTAATTGTAGTCTTAGACTGGGAACTGGGAACCAGAAAGACCCAGGTGCACATCTCATCTCAGTCCATCAGTGAATAACCTTAACTAAGTCACTCCCTCATGGCCTCAGCCCCCCCCATATGCTTCAGTGCTAAAAGTCACATGGTCATGTTACCCCCACGCCCTGAGGGCTCCCATATGATGGTATGAATAGGTCCTTAGACTGGGGGCATTGTTCTACAAAACAGAAGAGCTTCTAGTTTGCCACAACAAAAGAATGCCACTTACATTTCTTCACCAGCTTTTTGTAGGCTGGGGGAACACAGAAAAAGAGGAGGGCAGCTGTGAGGACAAGACCCAGCAGGATTCCCAAGACGGTCTCAGTATTGGACACCCTGGGCTTGGAAACTTGGTCAGGAGAGAGAAGTTGAGATTACATATTATTTCATCCCTAGAGGAAGCTCGTCCTCAGATAAATGTTAGTGCCTCTGACACTTAACAGCAAAACCAGCTGCTCCCTTCCATTCACCGGATTGTGCTCATCTTTTAATCTCATTGTCCATACTAAACCTGTAAATATTCCAAAATTCATGCCTACTAGGCTACAGAAAACTCATACATAGGCTGTGTCTACAACACACGTCTAAAGCACACCCCCTTGTCTCAGTAAGCCTGGGAACTCTTGTTTGTTAAGGATGCTGGGAACTGCAGCTCTGTAAATTCCCAGGATTCTTTTTGTGTGTGAGGGGTGTGGGTGTGTGCAGCCTAAGTCAATCTTCAGCTTTCAACCTTCACTGCAAACAGCATTCAAATACTATTTACCAACCTCGGTGTTCAGGATAGCAACACAGTCGTAAAGAAAATGACTGGTATACTTCAAATCTCACTTTCAGAGAGTCCAGGAAATTGCAAGCTACATTTAATCAATCAATCAATCAATCAATCAATCAACCACATGAAATAATGTGGGAAAATGTGGTTGTGGAATTCTGGACTGCACCCCTTCAGACTATAGTGGGGGCTGGAGCCATTTTTGAGAATGTCCCCCTATGTAAAAACATGTAAAAAGTTAATAAACAGATATTAAACTAATGTATCATAGCAAAAGGCTTAGCCCTGGTGTTCAAGTTGACTATAGTTATTTTATCTAATTAAAAAAAATTATATACCACTTGATTACATTAAAACCATTATGTGATTTACAATATATATATATATATATATATATATATATATATATATATGCATGGAGCTTATTATTAATTGTAAAATGAGGGAATTTAGTATTCTAAAAAAAATACTATCCTATACTTGCAGTCTGCTAGAATCCAGAATTCTACAACTTCAGCTGATTACAGTTGTGATTAAAATGTATATACCCGCCCCCCCGCAATGCTAAAATGGAATTCCATATAATCCAAATAAGGAAAGCAGAGCATAGGTGTGCTCTTCTAGTCAGCCTTGCCCACCTGAGCATTTAACCAAGGTTATCAAGCACCCTTGTGTCTTGTCAAGACAGCCCAAGCTAAGGTTCCTTTGCTCACACTGCACCGTCGACCAGTGGGCAGGCAACGGATTCCTCCACGCCAGGTCCTTAAGTCCTATTGAAGCGTCACACTTCGCTCCTTGGCAATCCCTGGGTGCTAACCCACTCCACCAGCTTTGCAAAGCCAGGCAAACCATTTCCCAGCGACCTCCAAACTTCAGCTCCGTAGTCCCAGAGCATAAAGAGGTCCCATCTTCTAGCCTTATCCTTGGAGTATCTGTAAGAGAAAGACAGCAGGGAAGTGAGTGTAAGGCACTGTCAAAGTCGTGTGGCAGTACAGTGGTCAACTTCATGAGCTGCAAGTGTCTAGCTTGAATGTGAACTTTATCCCTGAACTCAGTGGTGGCTGGTGCCATTCGGACTGCTGTGCTAGGGTGGAAGGCAGGGAGGTCAACCGCAGGTGAAACCAGAGCCAATGACAGGCAGAGTCCATTCTAGTTTTGTCCCCCTCCATCTCCCTGCTGAGTTCTACCAAAGCAATACTGAGACTTAAGGAAGAGGAAGCTGACAGGCAATATAAGACTTACTTCACCGTTGGCTGTATTGTTTTATTTGCCTGAAATAAGACCCAGAAGGATGTCTCCAAACAGGGTGGATGGGTAAGGGAAATGGCATATAACACTGCCTGGCATCATCTCTGATAATACCCATGGTAGGGAAAACATGAGTTCACATACTTTCATGGGCTCTAGTAGCTTTACAAGAAAGATATTGCGGTCAGGTCATGGTTGATAGTTCAAAAAAGCAAAAACTAGGAAAGCGATGGGAAATAACAGTCAGCATGATGATAACGTTATATAAGTAGATAGCAAGGATGCTGAATAAAGGACATTGCAAAAGTGGGGAAGGTGCAGCAAAAGACAACCAAAATGATGAATGGTGGGAGCATTCACCTTACAAGGGGAAGTTCAAGTGTCGCTGCTTTTACGTTTGGAAGGGAAAATTACATAGGCTGCAAACTTATATACATTTACCTGGAACAAAGCCCCATTGAAAGTGGGATTGTCTCATGAGTAAACATGTATACGATAATGACAATGAGAACATTTAGGATGCTGATATTATAAGTATGCATAACAGGGGAAACTGGACGGAGAAGGGCTTTTCTTCTTTATGATACTTGAACTTTGGGTCATCCAATTAAACTGACTGGCAGCTAGTTCAGGACAGATAAAAGAAAGCAGTCCTTCACACAACACATGATTAATGTATGGACTCTACCGCTACCGAATACGGCTACGCTATCTAGTTTAGATGGTTTTAAAGGGGATTAGACAAAGGCATGGAAGAGAGGTCTATTGACAGTTATTAGACAGGGAAACTAATTTTTTAAATCACAATTATGATTTCTGTAGCTTTGATCACTTGCAGCAGAATCAATAAAGAGTTGGGGGATTTGTGCTTCTTAGTTTTCTTACCAGTGGGTTTTAAGGAGGTCACGAAAGGTGCTGTTGTTGGCTGTGATGCTGTTGAGGTTTCCATGGGATCTGAAATGATCAATGCAACCAAAGGGATGAGAAGAAAAAAGAGCTATAGCTTTTTAGAGAAGGGTCGCACAGGGGGAATGGGGAGTGAGTTTATCCAGTATTGCTACAGGCAAGAGCCAAGAGCAGCCTTCTATAGATAGGTTTCCCCTTTGGTTCAAACTGAACCACATGTGAAAACTTGCAGAGTGAGTTTTTCAGAGCTTGTGCCAGCACGGAAAAAAGGTGAAACTTGTACTGGACTGTGCTAAATTCTATGTAAGGTGGCCAGGTAGGCATGGCCAAAAATGTGGATTTGTATCACCGATAAAAGAGGACACCAATCTGCATAAAATTTGCATATAAGTGTATAGATGCAAAATTATGAAAATTTACTAAAATTTAAAATAGAAATACACAGTATTTTTCCGTGTATAAGACTAGGTTTTTTTACCAAAAAAATAGGTTTAAAATTGGGGCTCGTCTTATACACAGATAGTGCTGAGGGGTGTTTTCTTAATTTGGAGTCCATAAAAATAGGGGGCGTCTTATATATGGGGGCGTCTTATACACGGAAAAATACAGTAAAAGGGGGGAAGGCACAAGGTGCCTTGTCGGCCTGCTCAGGGGGCTGATCAGGTCTTAGTAACTGTTGGCTAGCAACTTGATGGCTCCTGATCTCCCTTGTTAAATCAGACTTGGACTGGACAGCCCACAAGTGGATGATATGTTTAAATAGAGGATTGTCCCCTGACAGCCTTTCAAAGCAGAGGACCTTCCTCTATAGAGTAGCCCCCCAGTATGTAAATTGTACTGCGGTAAGCCGTGTTCATATTTAGAGGCCTTCTAGGGGGAGTGTGGGAAGAAGAACTATGGCTGTTGTTTAGGGCTGCCACACAACCAGACATTACCAGGATTTCAAAGGAAGAAATGACGTCTGGGAGGGTTTTTCGAAATGCGATGCTTTGTCCTGGATCTTAGGCAAGAAGATCGTGCTTAGGGTTTTGTCTAAAAAAAAGCTCAACAACTTTCAGGGTGTCCTGGTTTTTACTTTTAGAAATATGGCAACCCTACTGTTGTTCAGATGGCTGGCTGCATTTTGTGGCTTTAGGTCTCAAATGTGTCTCTATCATAAAACAGTTTACATTCAAGTAGAAGGTTAGTCTGCTCTTAGTGGAAGCCAGAGAACACCTCTGAATCTCTAGTGCAATGGGAAGGTGCTTCCAAAACACCCCCCACTGCTCTTCTATGTCACACTTGTTTTGCCCAAAGAGAGAATGCAAGCAGGAAGGAGTGTTTTAACTACCTTGACAAACCAAGGCCAAATGGGAAGTGCAATTGGATTCTTGCTGGGCGCAGTCCTCCAGGGCTGTCTCATTTCCCTGGCAGCCCAACACGAGTGCCTCTTGTTTCTGCGGTTCTTCGGCAAACGGCTGTAGCAGTCCAAAGGGAAAACCGCAGCCAAGCTGTTTACAGGCAAGGTCTGCATTCTGCTGTGTCCAACCTGTGCTACAAATGCTCTTCCATTTGCCTTTGAGATAAATCTCCAACAACCCAGAACACTTGGAGCTGGTACCGCTGAGCCTCACAGCCCATTCTGTTGGGGAAAGACTAAGATACTGAAGACATCCAGGCAAAACCATCAAACATAGCATCACCCCCTGCACCATTCTCCCTCCTCTTGGGGCGGCTGATCAATTTTGCTTCCACACAGCAGTTTATTGTGGGCTCATACGATAAGGTTACCAGACGTCCCTTTTTCTCGGGGACAGTCCCCGGATTTACAAATCAGTCCCCATACAAAATCCATTGATGTTGAAAACTGTCCCCGGATTCATTGAAAAAAATCTGGTAACCTTATCATACGAGCAAGTTTAGCACAGCAACAACATCTTCATCAAAATGCTATCTTGTATGGTATTATTTCCCTGTGCAATCCAGTTTTACCGCTTCCATGGAAAATACAAAATTTTAGAAAAAACGTACCAGTGGAAACAGTAAATCCAGATTAAATTCTGGTGATGGGGAGGTATGGGATGGCATTATGATGAAGATGCCATGTGGATGCTGCCCAAAACTAGAATGCATGCCTTGCCTTTGACACCTGAAATATATACGCTTGAATTCAATGTGGCGCTGTATCATTCATTTCATAAGTGGAACACTTTCCACGTGTCCAACAGGACTTTCCCCCTCTTGCCCACCCCTGTTCCCTTCCTAAATCTGTTACGGGATTTCTCCTAACCCTCTGGAACAGATTTGAGGACAGTACAGGGCACATACTGGGAAAGGAGGGGGGAAGTCCTGTGCAAGATGAAATACAGTGGTACCTCAGGTTACATATGCTTCAGGTTACCGTATTTTTCGCCCTATAGGACGCACTTTTTCCCCTCCAAAAATGAAGGGGAAATGTGTGTGAGTCCTATGGGGCGAGTGCAGGCTTTCGCTGAAGCCTGGAGAGCGAGAGGTGTCGGTGCACACCGACCCCTCTCGCTCTCCAGGCTTCAGGAAGCTATCCGCAAGCCTCGCGTGCCCGGCGGGAGGTCCCGCCAGGCGTGCGAGGCTTGGGGCGGCAGCCTGCAGCCCGAAGCAGGGGGCGAGCTGCGGAGCCCGCCCCCTGCTTCGGGCAGATGTCCACAAGCCTCGCGCGCCCAGCGGGAGGTCCCGCCGGGCGTGCAAGGCTTGTGGCGGCAGCCTGTTCTGGGGGCTGGGGTCGGGGGAAGCTCAGGCTTCCCCCGTGCCAGCCCCCGCGTCTCGGGGGGGAATAATTTTTTCCCCTTTATTCCCCCCCCAAAAAAACTAGGTGCGTCCTATGGGGTGAAAAATACGGTACATACGCTTCAGGTTACAGACTCTGCTAACCCAAAAATAGTACCTCAGGTTAAGAACTTTGCTTCAGGATGAGAACAGAAATCATGCTCCAGCCGCGCAGCGGCAGCGGGAGGCCCCATTAGTTAAAGAGGTGCTTCAGGTTAAGAACAGTTTCAGGTTAAGAACGGACCTCTGGAACGAATTAAGTACTTAACCTGAGGTACCACTGTACCCTATTATTTTGATGGTAAATTGTTTTAACTGTTTTCTGTATTTACACTGGTGTAATGTGCCCTGGGACCTTATGATGAACGACAGATAAGAAACCTAATTCTGATCGTTATTATTATTATTATTATTATTATTATTAATAATAATAATAATAGCAAAAATAACAATAATAGTCAGCAGCACTGAGTCCACAATACACTGCCATGTTGAAGCAAAGACTTATGTCTCATGATCATGGCTTAACTCCCCCACACTGAAATAAATGCAAATTAAATGTGCTTAATTTTGGAGGCCTTGTGACCTTTCTTATGAAGAAACATGGAAACTAAATATCAGTTGGGACATGGCGCAGCATAAGGCAGAAACTGACCTAGCTATGCACCATCTTTACAGGTATAAATCATGAAAATGGAATCCATGTGGTGAAGCAGAATGCTATGCCTGTCTACTCACAAATGCATTTCACTGTGTTCGATTGAATAAGAAGTACTGACCTTCAGGGCTTTCACTTTGTCTGTCATCAGAAGTGACCACTGCAAATAAAGGAACAAAGTAAAAACCAACCAACCAACCAACCAACCAACCATAAAGTGGGGGAGACGCCCATAAGCTGTGTGTGAGTGCAAAGCAGATGGGAGAATTTCCAGATTCATTGCCCACCAGGTGCATACGCTCACACCACATGGCGCACGGCTCTTGAGAATCTTTCTACAGCTTTTTCGAGACGTGCTGAAGGAACTGAAATGAGAAAGGGCCCCTAGAAAAGCCCCCGCCCCAACACACTGAACACCACAAGGTCCTTGGGATTTTGGTGGAACAGGCATCCCCCCACTTGTGTGTGATTGACTTACGCATGACCACATCTACGCAAGCGATGGGAAATAAATAATTCCATTCTTAACCTGAAATGGCAGAAGAGAGCTGGAAAGCCCTCATAAGTCACAAGGAAACCCTTCCCAGAGCCTGAAGAGGATGTCAGTGAGCCAAAAGTCTAGAAAAAAAAGACTCCAAGGGTTCCAAAATGGCAGCCGGGAGCTGCTACTACGCTATGCCGTTGGGTGGGAAGCTTATGTACTGCCGTGGGCTCCCATCGCACATTTTGCTTACGTGCATGGAGGCCCGGAATGTAACCCCCATGTAAGTGGGGAGTTGCCTGTACATAGCGACACATCCATCAGTTAAGTATGTCAGAGTCTGCTATGTTTATATGTTACCCAATCTAGCTCACCCTAAAGCCGTTCCATCCCTGATGCTCACCATGGAAAAACTTCTTACACCAACTATCAGCTGCCAGTCAGCAAAATGCAAATAAAGAAGGGGGTGAAATCATATGCCCCCTGTGAGTCTGCTGGTCCCCCTTGGCTGCGTTTTGATATGTGAGGGGGTAAAGCCATTCTTTCTGTGTTGCACCATAACTACCAGAGGCCTACGGAGGAAAGGCTTAGAGCAGATCTGGTTGAATCTGGGCTGCAGTGAGAACATAAAACTGACGTTGTCCAAAATAATAATTTACACTGCAAATGCTTTTCACCCTCCTCTTACCTCGAGCTCATTAAGAAAACCTGTTCAGGTAAATGAATATGGTAAAGAGGTATTTGCAGGTGCTGACAGGAGGGCACCAGCAACTGCAGGCCTTCCCAGTTGTTCCTTCTGCCACACACTGTTTCCTGCACTATCTGAATGAACGTGCTTCCTTCACGTGGGAAGGGGGAGACAGCGCCATTGCTAGTGCAGAAGGAAGATTTAGCTGCTAGTCCAGTTGGCTTTTGTAAGTAGAATGGGGAGGGCAGGGGAGGGAGAGATCTTGTCATTTGCCTCAGGCAGCAAAATGTATTGGGCCAGCCCTGAATGCCATTGAAGATTCTGGTTGATGTAATATGACCAGGGCTCCCCCCCCCCCAGCTGGAACTCACTGCAACTCAATTCTGGGACCTCTGAGGTGGACACCATTGCCATTCTAAGAGAATGAGGGAGGTGTTCATGGTGAGTTCCGGCACTTCTTTTTCTAGAAAAACAGCACTGAATAGGACTATTTCTACACACCACTTTCTTGAGCGTAATGAGTATCTGAGTATTGTAAATATGGAATAAATAGATGCCAGAAATGCAACGACAGCAGTAGCAGCAACAACACATTTTGACAAATGTAGTTTTTACATGGGAATTGCAGACTTGATGAAAGCCACTTTAAGAATAATGTGTAAAAATGCCCTGAGTCTATGAAGTAGATGAGCTGTGCTTGAAAACCATAAAACCCACTGGGAAAGCCTATCCATAGGCTCCTTTGACATTAATGAGAAAAGTGCAAAAGAACAAATTTATGTTGTTCCTATTCATTCCAAATGAACGTGTGCAGGAGATATTCCTTACAAATGCAAATTAGGCCCTTTGTCTCCTTCTGATTACCACACCAATTACCATCTTTTCTTACTGTTCTCGGAAGAACAATTTGATTAAGCGGAATTTTGATGTACACCGAGAGTAGTGAATAATAATTAAAGATACGGGTTAAGGGCTCAAGTTAGATTTCTGCTGAGCTCAGTGGAGCTGTCCCGATTTGTACCAAGGGAATTTTCTCTCCCCGTTAGACCTGACAATTAAGCATGCAACATAATTACACCTCTACTTTTAACCACCTTGCTTTTTTCCTCCATTTATAAAAGCACAAATCCATGCAACCATTTCGGCAAGGATTGTACTCGCATGAACGTATCCAATATGTTTTACATTTTCACATCTGCAGGTGCATGCAACAAACATGTTTGCAAGGTTTAACTCTAGCTCCCTGGCAATTGTGCATGTGCTGGCATGGCTTTGCAGCTCCATGTATCAAGCAGGACCCTAGGCAGGTCCTGAACCTCACTGCCTCCTGCATCTGCCATCAAGTGTCTACTGATATTCTGAATGGGCGATGATCTCGGCACCATCCGGGCTTTGTTTACTGCACTGTTTTAAACAGCCAGTTGCATGGAAGCTCATCGCATGAATGTGATTTGTGCATATGTGTGTGCATGTGTTGTGTAGTTAGCTGCCACAGGGAAGCTTCAGCAGCATCAGGATCATGCAGGGTAGGGCGAGGAAGTTTAACCCTTTCTCTCACTGCTGTGGTCCTTGACAAAATTTGCCTCTCCGAAGCTGCTATTTGCATTTCAAGGGAAGCGCCAACTGGCATCCTTGGAGGCTTTCCTTGCAATGCAAATAACACCTTAGGAGTGGCAATTTTGGAAAGAGAAAGAGTCGGACTTTCTCTCTCCAGCCTCTGGGAATGAGAGACTGCTCAGCCTTCCTATCAGCTGCTATTTGTAGAACGAACAAACAAACAAGCATTAATTACATTAACAAATCAAGGCCATCTCCTGTTTAGCCTGCAGGCATCCCAGCTTGCCTCTTTTCCCTCAGCTGATATCCACATTACTTCTTGCTAGGGAAGGGCAAAACTGTTAATTTCAGTTTCTCGAACTTTCTCATTTTTTCCAATCTCAAATTCAGTTCTTCATATTTCCCCATCAATTTGCATTGATGTCTGCATGAAAATTCATGAGAAATCATGCTCATTTCTCCCAGCATGCACATTTTCACATTAAACTTTGCCTAATATACACACTTTTACAAAGCAATTTCCTCTAATATAATGCATTTTTATTTTTATTTCCCCTTTTATCCACACTTTTACCATAGTGATATGCATTTGTATACATATTACTTGGCCGGGCAGCTGAATTGCAAAATTCAGAGAAGCGCAAATTTTGAAGGATGGCAGAGGTTTTGTTAGCATATGGTTGCAAAAAGCGCAAGTTTGGTAGTTTCACCTCTAAATGTGAACTGAATTGAATTTATCTCACATTCCTAATTGTTCATTATGCATTTATTCTCTGGCCGCACCCGCACTGAAGCAACTCAGAGTGACAGCATGAAACAATCCTGACAGAATCATTAGAGTTAGTCTGAAAGAATGACAGCAGCCACTGAAGTGAAATTCACCACAGAGATCCAAGTTCCTGATGGATCATTTAACTTCATTTTTAATTTTCAAAGCAGCCACAGGAGCCTCCAATTTTTATCAAAGCAGCGGTTTAACCCTTTCTGTGCCTGTATCATTTCTCTCAAACTAAATGCCTCCTCCCTCAGAGCTGATGTTAACTGGGGTGTGTGAGGATATAGGTACCTAACGGCAGTATTTTGATCAGGGAGCCAACATGGATGAAAGTGTTAAACACACCTCCCACTCCCTCTGCTGCCTTAAAATTAAAAATAAATATAAACTAGAAGATCTAATCTGGAACCCCCTGCACATCACTTCAGCTTTGACTCTGAGTGGGAATTTGAACATACCTTTCCCTCCACCCGAATCCAATTATATTATCCCCTGCACTGAGTAGTGCTGCATCACACTTTTATAAGGAAGACCCATTTTTGGCAGGCACACCAATGCCGTAATATTGCTACGTCCAGCAAACTTGTAATGTCTGGATAATATTCAAATATGTGTGCCTTCTTGGAGCCCTTGATGGGTCCAGGGCTCTCTTGAAAACAGGGACAAGAGAGATGGAAATGTATGACTGGAGGGGAAATGTGATCCATATTATAGGTTCAGGTTGGGTTGAGGGAGTCAACATGGACTGAAACTCTGGGCACACCGGGATTACAGCTAGGAACCATACACACTGATTTCAGTGTATCTGGTCCTCAAATTAATATTTATGGCAGCTGTTCTACACAGATTTACCCAGAAACCCCGTTACTTCTGAGCAGATACCCAAAAGTTTGTTCTGTGAATGGACATGCATTGAGGTAGGCTAAAAAAAATAAAAATTGGAGCTTCCCTCCCCAAAAAACCATAGTAAAGCTTTTAGCACCCAGCAGACAGGAACCCCAATTTAGGTCATGGCCATGATGCTGGGGGTAGTGGGGATTTAAACATTCCCAACTAGAAACTCCCTCCCACAGGCCCGGCAGGGGATAACAGTCCCGTTCCCCCATGAGACACATAGCAGCTGGGGGCAGGATTTTAATTGGGAAAACGCCACAGGAGACAAAAGGTTATCCTGCACCTCCCGCAGCATCATAGTCTTGATCCAAACTGAGGGTCTCATGACTGCTATTCATCACCTAAAACCCTGCGAGAGAGTGTGTCTCCACATGACCTGTTTATTGAGCATTAATCCTGATTGGTTTGCTAAGAGGTTAGATGGCCATTGGTTACTTAATGAACATCAATTCTGATTTCTTTTGATGAATCTGTCAAATTCAGTTTCTCTCATTTTCCCGGTCTTAAGTTCTCCACATTTCCCCATCTGTTTGCATTTTTTAAAACAAAGCCTTCAAGAAAGTTTGTTAGCATTTTAGTGCCTATTTTTCCTAAAATACACATTTTTGTATGCAGTTCTGCTTGCAAGGCAATTCCCCTACCCTTATGTAATACATTATTGTATGTTACTTTCACTAATATACACATTTTTATGCAAACTTTACCCCAACGTATTCATCCTTGTACACATTATGCATTGTAGAATTCAGAGAACTGTGGATTTTGAAGAATGCCTGTGGTTCAATTCGTGTATTATTTAGGATAAAGTGCAAATTCGGCAGATTTGCCTGTGAATGCGAACTGAATTGAAATGCTCCCTCTTTGCTAACACCCCACCCTCTCTCTCTCACTTTTCTTCACCAGCCTCCTGAGTTTCAAACACACCCTCCCAAAGCCACTGTTTCATAAGGGAAAAAATAACTGTCCAGAGAGCGAGGTAAAATGTCTTTAGAGGCTGAGCACTCACTTGCTGTCACCAGACAGGCAGCCTTTTACAAAAGCCAGGGTGGGGGCCATGGCAAGACAGTTGAGATACATTTTAGTCTAGCCACCCATTCCCCTGTAAGACTATCCTTCCATAGTTTTACAAACCTTTGCTTTTTATTCTTTGTTATAAAGAATATTCAGCCAGCTTGGACTTGAAAGACAAGACCTGCAAACATTTGGGCAATTAAATAAATAAAATGATGCATTTTCAGAGTGCCACACGCACCTTTGTGGCGGGGATGGGGGAGGTACATCTTTCCTGTTTGCTTTTAGTATTTATTTGTTTACAGCTATATCCAACAGCGCCAGAAGTGCTAACTTTTTAAAAATAAACAACAACAACATGAAAGGAACTTTATCAAAACATGCTTGGAAAGTAACTAGATTTAAGTCATAATGCTTAGCTCCCATTTACTTTTAATCATCACATATCAGGGCCAGCCCACCTATGTGGCAAGATGAGGCAGTCACCTCAGGTGGCAAGATGCAGAGGGGCAGCGGATCCAAGGAATGCATCCTTGGCTGCCACTGCTGTGGTGGCAGCAACAGCTGTGGCGTGCTCCTTGGAGGCCAAATCTGCCACCTCCTAGGCAGCCCCCCTCTCAATGCCACCTCTACAGCAGCATCTTGGCAAATAGGAGGCATGACTGATCTCCTCCCACCTTGGTTTCTGATGCAGATCTTTATTACCCCGCTTGTTCCTGATGTGGATCTTCAATCAGCCATTCTTCCCTGGTCAGGGATGGGCAGTGAGAATGCCATTTTGTGGTTCGCCTCAAGGGGCCAAATATCTTGGGCAGGCCCTGTCACATATACAGTGGTACCTCGGGCTACAGACGCTTCAGGTTACAGACGCATCAGTTACAGACTCTGCTAACCCAGAAATAGTACCTCGGGTTAAGAACTTTGCTTCAGGATGAGAACAGAAATCACGCAGCGGCGGTGCTGTGGCAGTGGGAGGCCCCATTAGCTAAAGTGGTACCTCAAGTTAAGAACAGTTTCAGGTTGAGAACGGACCTCCAGAACGAATTAAGTTCTTAACCTGAGGTACCACTATATGACACTTTCAACACGCAAAACATTTAACGTTCCTTATGACATTCAACATCTTTTTAAACCACCCTGTGAGGGTGATGGTTTTCATTCTCCTTTTACATTTGGAGAGTTGAGGCTGAGACAAAGTGGCTTGTCTAGAGCTGGTCAGTGACCCAAGAACAAGCAGCAAAGTTAATCCATCTCCCGAGGTCAAATGCCAACATGCTGTGCCCTGAATCATTCTGAATTACCCAGGCAGAGTACCCCAGAGGGCCCTGAAATAATTGCGCATTGTGTGAACATCCTCTTAATTGCTGTAAACAACAAGGGCACAATACTATGATGTCCACTGTCACTTGAAAACAAAAGCCAGACTCGTATCTCTTAAATGTGATTTCTCATATTATGCACCATTATTGCCTGAAACCCCTCAGAATGGTCCCTTAACACAAGCTCAATCATTCCTGGAGACTCTCGGGTTATTATGACTATTATTATTAAATTTATTACCTGTCCTTCTCTGGCAGGTCCCAGGGCAGGCTGAAACAATTTAAAATTCAGAACTAAAAACAATCAGAGCAAATTACAGTTGATTCCCAGTTAATCATTGGACATTTTACCTGATTGCAACTAGGGTCCTCTCCAAACTGTCACTGTTTTATGGGAGGGTTTCAATCATGTATCAGCAAATTTAGGTTTTTGCAGTTAAAGTAGACTAAAGTGCTATAGTGCTGCAACCCCATACCTTCCAATATTTCTCTGATGAAAACAGGGACGTCCTAATCAATAACAATGACAATTTTATTATTTATACCCCGTCCATCTGACTGCGTTGCCCCAGCCACTCTGAACAGCTTCCAACATTTATAAAACAAACAACACATTGAAAAACTTCCCTATACAGGGCTGCCTTTAGATGTCTTCTAAAGGTTGTACAGTTCCTTATCTCCTTGGCTCGGAGGTTGCATAACTCCATACCCTCCAATGAAAATAGGAACGTCCTACCATACCCACCAACATGTCTCCAATGAAAATAGGGACATCTTTAGGAAAAGGGGGGCATTTCAGGTTTAGATCAGAAACTGGGACAGCTTCTGTAAATCCGGGACTGTCCCAGGAAAATAGGGACACTTGGAGGATCTGCAAACCCACTTTTTAAAACAGACTCTTCACGGTAAGGATATTGTGTGACAATGCACAAGAAAGTGTGGGATAACAATCGATTGGTGGTAAGTCACGTAACCTCTGAGCAAACCACTCAGAATGAATGCTCAGTAAACAGCAATGACTTCTGTGCAAGCTTAGTGCAAGCAAATGAAGCTAAATGTTCAATAAACAACTCATCTGGAGGCATCACAGAACACAAACCTCAAAACGTATTTATCTAGAGAAAGCTGCACTGGGAAAGTTTTTAGTATCTTCCACTATTAATGCCCTGGCATGGGTGACATCTATCATTATCATCAGATAATATTTTCAGGTTATATATATATTCTATGCACCACATGTTACAAGGGATACTGTGGGACAGGGACTGCTAGCCTAGTAGTGTGAAATAAACATTATGTAAAGTAAAGTAAATGTACTAAACTAGCGGCAGGCCACGGCAAATTTATACAAATACATAAACATTGCATAGTAATGCAGAATTACAGCACTGTTGGTATGCTCAGCACAATTTAGAATCTGCAAGCATCCATATACGCTCCCCATTGCAATCTCTCCCATTTTAAACAATTTGAGGTGAAATGATTTTGTCCCCTGAACTTGATTTTCCAGTGGCAGCCTACTATCAGCATTCCATCCATCTTCAACATCCAGGTAATACTTCTTTATTACATCGATCAATCTATCTATATCTTTACTCATAGCTAGAAGAATTGGCATTGTATTGCACTAAAATAAAGCAAAAATCTTCTGCTAGCATTGACAGTCCCCCTTGAAAATATAAAGTTCACTATCTCTAGTTGAATGAAAACATAACAAGGGTAGACAGATAAAAAGAGCCTTTTTTTTTTTCCAAAAACTTTATTGATTTCCCATTTTTTAAACAGTATATCCATATTTCAATATATCTCATACATTTTGGACTTCCTTCAGCGTCATTGACATTCATTCGTATTTATATCTTTAAAACACATTCCATTCTTTCATATTGCCATTCGTTCCTTCCTTCATACATTATTTCTATTAAACAATACTTATTCATTCTTTACAGTGCCTCTTTAAATCCCACTAGCGTTGTATTTACAAAACATTTATTCTCCAGATAACCCACAAATTTCCCCCAGTCCTCGATAAACTTTTGATCCTTAGTATATCTGATTTTCCCTGTTAATTTATCCAACTCAGCGTATTCTGTCAATTTTACTCTCCACTCTGCTATCGTTGGGATTTCTTCCAGCTTCCACTTCTGAGCTATCACAATTCTGGCTGCCGTTACCGCATACTGGAAAAGTTTGCAATCCTTCCTTTTAATATCCTTTCCCACAATGCCTAATAAAAAGGCTTCTGGCTTTTTTACAAAAGTGTAACTTAACATCTTTTTCATTTCGTTGTAAATTTCATCCCAGAAGCTTTTAACTTTCTTACACTCCCACCATTGATGATAGAAAGTCCCTTCCTTTTGTTTACATTTCCAGCATTTGTTATCTGCCTTATACATCTTAGCCAGTTTTACAGGTGTCATATACCACCTGTAGAGCATCTTCATCACATTTTCTCTCAGCAACGTGCATGCCGTAAATTTTATGTTCACTCTCCATAACTTTTCCCAATCCTCTAGTTGAATGTTATAACCGAAATCCCTTGCCCATTGTATCATGACAGATTTTACTTCCTCCTCCTTCGTGTTCCACTCTAACAATATTTTATACATTTTTGACAGGTTTTTATATTTGTTGTTTATTATCTCTTTTTGAAATTCCGATTCCTTTTCCTCGTAACCCCTTTCCTTCACCTCTTCTTTAAACATTTCATTTATCTGAAAATAGTGCAGCCAGTCATATGTAAATACTTTAACCTGATCGTATGATTTTACTTTCCACTTCCCTCCTTCATTAGTAACCATTTCTCCATACTTTCCCCACTTTTCTCTCATATTAACTTTCTTTACACTTATTATCTCCAACGGGGATAGCCAATGTGGGGTTTTCGGTTCTAATATATTTTTATATCTGTCCCAGACCTCTATTAGTGGACCTTTAAAGATGTGGCTACAAAATTCTTTATGCACTCTCTTTTTATCCCTCCATAGATACGCATGCCACCCAAATCTATTATTGTGCCCTTCCAGATCTAGTAGTTCTTTATTCTCCAGCTTTACCCATTCTTTTATCAGATAAAAAGAGCCTTGATTGTGTTCAGGCACAATGGAGAAGGGAGCAGCAGAAGGAAGGTTTGGAGTTCAGAATGAACCGCTTGCTGGTCCAAATGATGAGCAATAGTTCCACCATCAGACTTCTACCCAAGCTGCTAATTCAGATGTAGCCCTGCTTAGACCCTCCTGCCCCACAATCACAGTGGAAGTGCATTTGCAGCACTCATACAGGACTGTGTGTGCAAGGGCTTCCTTCCACACTTTAACCTCACTTGCTAAAGTGGAGTGACATCTGCTCTTATTTAGGATCCTGGGCTTGGTTTGAAATGCTTTGCTTTTCTCCTAGAAAACAGGTTGGTTTGCATCTGAGCACATTTTGCCCTCAGATACGTACATAAGATATGGGGTTTATTTCCTTTTTTTTATATTTATGAAATTATTGCTCTGACCCAAGAGAGGAGGCAATTGAGACAATCAGTGCTAAGAAATATTAAATCAGGGGCCAGCAAACTTTTTCAGCAGGGGGCTGGTCCACTGTCCCTCAGACCTCGTGGGGGCCGGACTATATTTTGGGGAAAAAAACAATGAACGAATTCCTATGCCCCACAAAAAACCCAGAGACACATTTTAAATGAAAACACACATTCTACTCATGTAAAAACACCAGGCAGGGCCCACAAATAACCCAGAGATGCATTTTAAATAAAAGGACACATTCTACTCATGTAAAAACACACTGATTCCTGGACCATCCGCGGGCCGGATTTAGAAGGTGATTGGGTTGGCCCCGGCCCCTGGGCCTTAGTTTGCCTACCCGTATATTAAATAATATATAAAGGGTGCATCATCTCAGTTCTGCAGGATCAAAGCCACTGCCACTAACAGCAGGGCTAGACCTTGATGCACGGTTGTAGCAAAATGCAATAACAAAAAGAAAGCACCATTTTGTCTGAAAAAGCCTGGAATAAAAGGTAAGAAGAGCATGAGACTCCTAATCTCAGGGTTGTGGGTTCAAGCTCTATGTTGAGCAAAAGATTCCTACATTGCAGGGGGTTGGACTAGATGACCCTCGTGGTCCCATCCAATTCTATGATTCTAAGATTCTAAGTAGCCGTATTAATACAAGTGGTGAAATCAGCATTGAGAGCAAGCAAGAACAAGCAATATCAGTTTGAAAGGTTTGTGCTGATTTGGCCCCGGGTCTAAATTGGTACCGGGAAAATGAGATGTAATCGAGCTGAGAATCTGTCTGCCTGCTGACAATAAAGACTTCATAAAAGCAGAGATATATTTGGGGTGAGTTACACTGGCCCACCATGGCCTTATATTGAAGTCTCTTGCAGCAGCTGCTTAGATAATAAGCAGTTTATATAACATCAGTTAAGAAAATACATTTTGACAGTAAAAATAGACAAAAGAATAAGTAGCAAGTCAGTCTCCAAAATTTGTTAAACGTGCAGGTAATGCACCTCACTAAAGCAACCTAAAAGCCCAAATGGAAAGCCTTCAATAACCTTCCATAAACTGTGAGGGGATTTGCCAGGTACTCTACTCTAAGGAGCGAGTGTCAAAGAAAGCACACACAGACACACCCAGACAGAGAAAGCCCACCGTCCATTTGCCCTTGACCATAATTACATGAACGAAGGAACACATTATTGAGAAAGCTCTGGAGATCACAGTGCATAGGGGAGAACATATGGGAGAATGTTCCTTCAGATAATCTGGGCCTAGGCCAATATTAGCATTGGCATCCACTGGCCGCCTTTACCCAGCCAGCCCGTTTGTTGACAGATGCTCTGTTGATCAGGGACAGCTGAATGTCCCTCCAAGGGTTGTGACATTTCTGAATGCACTCCAGAAGCAAGAGAGCTACATGAGAACTCTTATAATTTCTACAGGACTTTCCCCAAAATGCTTCACATGCACAAACTCAAAAATCCTGTATTATTTTATCATATCATTTATAAAGATTCTGGGGAGGCGGGGGGAATGGACTGTGGCTTGTTTAAAGCCAACCAGTGAGTTTACAACTCTGCTGAGTTTTGAACCATTCCTTCCATGGAATAGCCTTTGATAGCACTACTCACCCCACATCCCCACCAACGTCCATGGGACAAAGGCTAGAAGATGATTGAATTTCATCGGCCCGTTCCTCCTCGTCCGACAATATACAGGCAGCACTTTCGTGTTCCTGCCCTGATGTTCTCTGCTACCTGCTCTAGGCAAAGGGAGGGGTTGGGGAGGAAGGCAGTGTAGTTTCTCCCCGTCCTGATGTGGTTTTTCTGCGTCATTTCTCAGTTGCTTTAACTGTGCTTTCTGTACCAGTCTTCTCTCTTTATCCTTCAGAGTCCTAGAGCTGCTCCCCAGCCTCCCCAGAATCTTTATAAATCTTTATAAAACACCTGGCCACAAAAAATACGACAACAATAATACTAATAATAATCCCCACTTGCTTCTGCATAGAGATGGGTGATCTGTCAACTTCAGTTTCTCTTGGTTTCTCCTTTTTTCAGCATTACATCTCCACATTTCTGTATCCGTTTGCGATACTTTTAAAATTCCCCCTAAGATACACTTTCTTCGCATGCAGTTTTGCCTGAAATAAACTTACTTTTTTTGGGGGGGGGCAAACAATCTCCCCTACTGTAATGTAATGTGTGTGTGTAATGTGTGTATTCACTAACATTAATTTGTATGCCTACTTTCCCCTAATACCGTATACCCATTTTTGTACACTTTATTTGCTTGAAGAACTGCGTCACATAATTGGGAGAAGTGTGCCTTTGGAAAGACAAGTGTGTTTCTGTTTGCGTGTTACTTTGGAAAGTGAAGATTAGGCCATTTGCATTAGAAGTTGAAATGGATACTATTTCTCGCCACCTCTGCTTCCACAGCAGGCACTGGAATCGACGGAGGGAGTCTCTCAAAGTAGAGTGAGGGGACAGAGAGAGCGACAGAGAAACACCCATGCCATATAACTTACTGCTTATCCTCAGAAGCAGAGGTACTACCCTGGTCTGGAAGGAACCCCTTCTGAGAAGTTTGGTATCGAGGACTGAGGGGTGGAAGGTGTTTGGCAATCCTCTTTGGTGTTCACTTGAGGCCTCACTGAGTATGTATTAGAGTCTGGCAAAGCTTTCATCCTGCCACACAGCAATAAATTCAATTTTTCGCTAGCATAGCAGTGTGGTGCTGCTAGGTGACCATCTAACAGTTAAACCAAGGTGAAAGGCAGGCTGCTCACTAATTCTGGTTGCCATGGAAACTAGTCAGATTTAGGATCACTGACTGGCTAGTAATTTTAAAATTCTAGTACCTGCATGGAGTCTGAGTGGTTTTTGCTAGATGTGCAGGCACAGCCCAGTGCAAAAGCAGTCTGTAAACAACTGTTGCAGAATCGTTATTAATCACCTGTGTTCATGAGCATACCATCTGCACAGCCTTGACACCACTCTCCGATGAGCTCTACAGTGACTCCTCAACTGCTTTGCACAAGCCTGCAGGGAGTTTGGCCTTACCATCAGCCTGACGAAGACCAACATCCTGGGTCAGGACGTCGTCAGCACTCCACGCTCTGGTGACCAGACACTTGAAGTGGTACATGATTTGTCTACCTGGGCTCCACCCTAACCAGCAGCCCCTCCATCGACGCTGAGCTGGACAAGCGTATTAGCAAGGCAGCTATGGCAATGGCTCGCCTCTCCAAAAGGGTATGGGAGAATGTGATGCTAACATCCAATACCAAGATGAAGGTCTGCTAGGCTTGTATGTGGAACACTCTGCATTGTGGTAGTGAGACGTGGGCAACTTACGAACACACATATAACTTACTGCTTATCCTCAAAAGCAGAGGTACTACACCAGCCAGCATGGTGAATAGGATCATGGGGGTTGTAGTCTACCAACATTTGGAAGGCATCGCCCATGGCTACCTGACTTAGACTGTCTGCAATAAAATGTTGCAGTGTGGAGTGCTCCTCTTTAGTATTCCAGCCAATCAGCCATGCCTCCTTCCAGGATACTCCATTCCATTCCCTCCTCCTTTGGGTTTTCCATTTTCTTTCTTTCCCACCTCAATAGTCAGGAGTCTGTTGAAGTGAGCATGTTCAACCATCGCTGGCCTGATTTGATTCCCCCCCCTCCAGGTGCCCCCCCCCATAAGTTTCTTTGTCCTTCTGCAAACCTTGAAATTACCCCAAACTCACTGAAGCCTTCCTTTCTTGTGGATGCTGCCATCTTGGCTACATAAGGCTTGGCAACTGCCTTTGAACATTGGAAATAGAGGGCATTAGGATGATGATAACCTGATTTATATGCTTCATGCTGAACTGGTTTAGCTGATAGCAGTAATTTTAGTTTCTCCATGACATGCATGTTATTTGTTCTTTAACCACTGAATTACTGTATCTGTGCTTGTTCATTGACTTCCTGATTCCTTAGCTCCACAATAAAACATCCAGAACCGTGTTAACTTTTGGCTGAAACACACACTGTCAAGCTTTCAACACCTATCCAGGGAAGTATTGTAAATGAGGTACTACATTATAATAGGTCAGTATTTTCATGATGTAGACTCCTCTAGAGTCAATGGGTCATGTCTCGCCTGGCAGGTGCTCGTGGTCTACAGCTATTACAGTTCATGCTTACTTAACATCAGCTTGGTATCTGGCAAATAATATCCACAAAGGAGGCAGCCTGAGCAATAACATTGATGTGGTTGTTGCATAAAACTAGGCCTTGCCTGACAGAAATAACTGCCTTTGTTTCAATAATAGCCTACCACTTCCTGTGCCTGTTTTGGGTTTCTGACAATTTTTCTCTTCATTTTTGGCTCCTTCTATATTTACTCTCTTGTTATCTCTGTCTGTGGTCTCTGTTTGAGGTGAGAAAGTTTTCTGCTCCGAGCGACAGGAAATTTGCAGGCAACACTCAGTTGGGGGCAGGTTACCTTCCCGCCCAAGGGTGCAGAGCTGACTCGAGGCTCATACACCCAGCAGCCTCTCTCTGTCTCTCATCAGGAAGGTGAAGCTGCAAATGCATGCATGAAAATCCAAACTGTTATCAGCACAAAGCTGCATACGGAGTCTAGGCCATTGCTGAAACGATGTGCACCAGCTGGGTTAGCTTAATCTTGATAATAACACGCTAAGCCCTGCAATTCAGCTCTTGAAAGGTCACCGGGGTGTTGCTGCTGACATCCCTTTCAAGTTATTGTTGCCTTAGATGCAATCAAAGTTCCTATCCTGTTGAAAGCCTGACTCAAAGAAGGTGAGCCTCAGATAGTGGAGGATCACGGGACCATCTTGAGAGTTGGTGTTTCTGGAAAAGCTTGAAGATTTTATTAAACACAGCAGGCTCTGTCATATCCATCTGGCCACAGAACATGTAGAAGCAGACCCATGGCGCCATCTTAGAAGCTGGTGAGATTAGAGCCCAAGTGTGGCATATTTTGGGAAACAGTTGATCTTGCCTGTATTGTCTTCAGAATTCACCACCTGTGGTGGAACAGCCTGAGATTTACAGTCTGAAGAGGGACATGTCAAACGCAGCATTTATTGTTTGTTTATTGCATTTATACCCCACATTTTCTCCAAGGAGCTCAAGATGCTGGTTCTCACCCTCCTCATTTAATCCCCACAACAACCCTGCGAGGTAGGGTAGATTAGACTAAGAGGAATATACCGGCCCCCAAGGACACTCAGTGAGCTTCATGGATTTGAACTCAGGTCATCCCAAGCATCAGATTCTTGTCCATAACAATGGCACCCCTCACCCAAAGGATCCTGGGAAATGTAGTTTATCCCTCACAGAACTAAAATTCGCAGCACTTTTAGAGAACTAGGGTTCCTAGGATTCTTTGGAGGAAGCCAAGTGCTTTACAAGTGTGGTATGGATTTGACCTCATTGTCTCCTGAAGCAGTTCATGTCAGTACAAAAGGAAAGGCAGGCAAACCAATGCAGCTAAAAAGACACAGAAGGGAAGGAGAAGGGAAGGAAAACGTAGAGTGGAGGGTCCTTAAAGGTCAGAACAAAGGTCAGAACAGCATGATCTCCAGTTGGGGCCGGGTTGATCTTCCCTTCCTTGAATAGCAACAGGTGACTTATTTTCCTTTGGCCAATAGATATATTTCTATTTGGCTTAGGAAGGGTATCCTAGTCATCAGAAAACAACGTAAGGTCTTTGGGCATCTTAAAGCTGAACTATTATCATTACGGCATAAACATTATGGACTCTAGTCTACTTCATCAGATGCCTGAAGTGTAATTTACACCGGAAATCATGGGGCGTGGGCGTGTTTGGGATGGGTGAAGAGACGTGAGATCAGAACAAAGTACAATTCAAAAAGAAGAGGCGATTACCTAAAAGCAAAATAATTACCGTGACCAATTAACAAGGCAGTGCTGGAGATAACACAAACATCCTGGCCTTGGTCAGCTAATTAACACATATAGTGTGATAAAAAAAAAATCCATAATCATTATTGATTCAAGCTGCAGGGGAGCTTGAATCAGTTGCCTAGTAAATTCTAATTCAGCGCTTTCATACTGGAGTTTCCCTTTCCCTCACGGAGCTACAATTCCCATAGTTCCTTGGGAAGAGGGACTGTTAAACCACTCAGAATTGCAGCTTTGTGAGGGGGAATACAGATCTCCTGGCAACTCTCAGCACCCTTAACAAACTACAGTTCCCAGGATTTTTTTGGGGGGGGGGAGAGAACTGACTGTTCAATGCAGTATAATACTACTTTAAATGTATAGTGCATATGGAGCCAAACTGCTAAATTGAATACAGTACCTACTTTAAAAACGGTAGTTACTGTCAGTGGCTCTTTGATGTAGCAAAAGTCTTTCCATATATTTTACTGCCTTTTCTCTTCTACTTGTACCAGGTTGGTGATTTTGTTTGTGATGTTGTTGTTGTTGTTGTTGTTGGTAAAAAGGTAAAGGTAAAGGGACCCCTGACCATTAGGTCCAGTCGTGACCGACTCTGGGGTTGCGGCGCTCATCTCGCTTTATTGGCCAAGGGGGCCGACGTACAGCTTCCGGGTCATGTGGCCAGCATGACTAAGCCACTTCTGGCAAACCAGAGCAGCACACGGAAACACCGTTTACCTTCCCACCGGAGCGGTACCTATTTATCTACTTGCACTTTGACGTGCTTTCGAACTGCTAGGTTGGCAGGAGCAGGGACCAAGCAACGGGAGCTCACCCCATTGCGGGGATTCGAACCGCCGACCTTCTGATCGGCAAGCCCTAGGCTCTGTGGTTTAACCCACAGTGCCACCCACGTCCCTGTTGTTGTTAGTATTTGTACCTAAACATTGATATTTACAAAATACAGTACACCTATTCACAGATCATAAAAATATAAAGAGTACTATGCATATAAGTCATAACTACGTTCA